AGCCTCTTCTGCGCCTCTACTAATTTGAGCCGGACAAATTCGGCCTTCTCCAGCACCTCGTTGAATCGGTTGCGCACCCACTGGACGACGTTGTTGATCCGATTGCCCGCAACTGTGCTTCCAGTATCCGCTCTGCTGAGCGTATCGCCTCGGCTCTTGCGAGTCCACCATACACGTGCAATATCCATCGACTTCGCCAGCAATGACAAGGCCTTGACGTAGAGAACCAGGGCTTCCTCGGATAAGGTCACAATAGCATCAACAGTGAGTCCACCATCGGCCGAATCGACAGCGTCCGACCCAGGGTCTCCCGGGTACCCGGTGGCGGCAGATGGCGCTAGTGGGATCAGCTGCTTGTATTTGACTTCGGCAAACCCGTACACAACATCACTACGTGTGGCACACTCCTCCAGATCATGGACGGTTTTGCTGTCTTCGTCCAGATTGGCGCCGGGCTTGCCCCCATCTGCGTGGACAATTAAGCTCGTTTGGGCACTGGGGTATGCGGGAAACGGGTTGTAGGCCAACGGAGGCGAGCGTCCGCCTTTCGTGATGGTCAGCGGTGGTGAGAAACTCATCCCAAACAAACGTCCGCTGGCCATATTGAGAGCCTTCGAGATGGCCGATGTGGCCGACGTAGGACTCTGTCCGTAGCGGCGATCGTAGGAATTTTGACGGACGTGTGCCGAATCGGCACGGGAACGCCCTGAGATGATTTGCATGGCTTTGCTAGGCGAAGCATGAGGCGACGACCCCCCGGCCGGAGGTGTCCCTGGAGCCGCTCCCGAACGCCGGGATACAGCACCTGCTTGGCCACCCTGCATTCGTGGGTTGTAGGCCAGTTCATCTGCAAAAGCATTCATCTCTACCGCACGCTTCTCCACAAGCACGTAGTCTCTCTCAAATGCTACCTCTTGTGCAGCATGCTCCTTTTCGTCCTTCGCTTTCTCGACGGGTTTGTCGACTTGAGGCACTCCCGAGGAAGCCGTACGCCTCCGCTGCTGTTCCACGACAGTGGTGGTGGGAGGGCGATCGACATGCTCCTGGCGACCAGGGGCAGTCACCAGAGAGACCGGACTTGGCCTTGTCGGATGCGATGCTGGCGGTGTAGGCTCGTTCGGAGCAGCATGAGGGGTGCCCGCACTTCCAGTCCTACGCATAGGCGTTGAAGGGGTCTCTGGCCGAGGGCTGTGTGTCATGGCTCGTTGAGCCGCCGGGTAAGTCGCCGGCTCATCCCGCACTCCGCCAGACAGCGCATTCTCGCGTTTCATTTGGACGGGCGTGCTACGCCTCGACCCGGAACCAGGTCGAGGTGTTGGGTCGGCAGGGGAACGCCCGAGTGGAGCGTCGTCCGCTACCAGACAGGGAATCGGTTCTGTGAGAACTTTATGCGCGAAATAAACATCGAAATTCATCCGGTCCATTGGATGCTGCTTCAGGAGGCCCCGAATGAGCTCCCTGATGTCTTCCGACACCCGATTCTTCGAGGGGAATGAGATTTGGTCCTTATTTTGTTCGATCTTTTTGATGAGTTCAATATGGTTCACTGCACGGAACGGGGCCTTCCCGACTACCATTTCATAAAGCACCGTGCCCACAGACCAGAGGTCTGCCTTCGCGTCGTATTTCTCGTATCGCAAAATCTCAGGAGCCATGTACAGTGGCGAGCCACACAGAGTCTCCGCGAGAGAGGTTGCCGGCAAAGACCGGGCGAAGCCAAAGTCAGCAAGCTTCAGCATTGGCAGAGACTCCAGCCCGGTCTTCGGGCTAAAGGAGTCCTCACTGCTCTTGAAAGGTACAACATCGGCGGCCCCACTGCGGTAGGACGATGGTGCAGGACAGAGCAGCAAATTCTGTGGTTTGATGTCCCGGTGAATCAAATCACGGTCCCGAAGGAATCTGAGTGCGCTCGAGAGTTGTTTGAGAAAGTGGCGGACGATTACCTCGTTGAGACCCGCACCCTCCCCAGGATTGGGGTACTTCGCTATCAATTCCCGTGTGTATGGGCTGTCCTGAAGGGTGTTGCGCCCCTTGATGAAGTGGGAAAGGTCCCCCAGGGCACAGAATTCCATCACCAAATGAATATTGGACGTCGTATCATGGCAGTCTAGGAGAGCGACGATATGGGGATGGTGGAGTTGTTTGAGGATGGAAATCTCAGAGGCGAGGTTCTCCTTGAGCTTCCTGCTGAGCTTGGTCATGGTAACCGATTTGATTGCCACATAGGTGCGTGATCTCTATATCGCGGGAACCGCATCGTCACTATTAGCCTTTGCAATTTGGCATCCGAGAACACCGGTGCAATACAAAACAGGCCGGATCCTCGGCCGAGATAGGAATCAGAGACAGCATCCCAACTTACCGTATGAACACCTTTGTAGACTACGGCAAAACTTCCTCGGCCGATCTCACTCAGCCGAGTGTAATGGCCAATGGGCATCTCGCCATGAGGGCCCTCATTGGACCTCCTGGAGTGATGTGCAGATGCCATGACTGCAGCCAGGCAATGAGAGCGTCTCTTGAAAACCAACCACACGCCCCGTCAACCACACACTACCTCAACAGCGGCAAGAACAGCGTCGAATGATGGAAGAGGCCCATCAGGGGAGCGAAAGACAGGTCGGGAGAGCGGCCGGTGATGGGCGAGGTGAGAGAGCGGATGATAAAGCGAGACGGGAGATAGGAAGTAGGAAAGATGGATGGATGATGGGATGGGTGTGGACAGCCGGAGGAGGAGAGGCAAGGAGGGCTGGACTGCGTGGCAGAGGACGGGGACAGCAGACGGGGCAGGAAGAAAGGGACGGTCCAGAGCGTTAGGCGAGTAAGTAGGTAGAGTAGGAGTCGGAGTAGATAGTTGGGGGACGAGAAATAGGGTGCGCAGCACACCTACAGTAGGGCGCAAGTAGGCAGGAGAGCGGTGAGGCGGAAAACGGGGGCTTGTATGATAGGATGAAAGGTCGACAGGGATAGCCAGACGGATGACGACCAAGGCGTGGGACTTTGAGTAAGTACAGTACTATAGAAGGAGGAGGATCGGGGGATCGACGATAAGGTATGAATCACCGCACTAGGGACGAGAACGGTGGGGAGGAGTGATAGATAAGCCAGAGCAGGAAGAGAGGTGAGGGTTAGGTCAAAAGTGATGAAACAAGAAGATATAGGAGGAGGAAGTAGAAGAAGAAGAAGATTCACAGAGCCAAAATAGTCGAGAGAGAGGAAGAGTGAGTAGGAAGATGATGAATGATGTGATGAGGGAAGAGAGAGCAGGAAAGGCGGGAAGCAGCTGGACCCAGGGATCCTTGACGATGTCTGGGGGGAGAGCAGCGCAACAAGAGCCAGAGCGAGAGCGTGACCGCCGATAACGAGCCGAATAGGACTGGCGGATGATTGAATGACCTGGGGGTCCCAAGGCGGTCAGAAGAGCGGAAGTGGTCAACTTCGTACTAGGATGACCGCAACCAAATTTGGGTTCCTCTTTCTTAGCTAATCAATCCATCTGCCAAAAACAAAGTACGAAGACAGACAGGAACCAACCAAAGCAGTATACGACAGAAAACGAAAGAATCACGCAACAAGACAAACCCAAAAGAAAGTATGGCATCAACCGACTCACTAATATACTAATCACCTTGCAGGATTGCACGAGAGAGAGCAGGAAACCCCCAGAACTAAAACTACCAGCAAAAAAAAAAAAAAGGGGGACCCCGGAAGTTGCCAGGCAAATCAAAATACCACCCAGAGAGATAAAGCTGCAGGCGACAATGATAACGGGCGCGATCCAATCCATCCATCCACATCGCCTGAGGCCGGATGAAGAAGAAGCGGAGGTAGGCAAAAGTCACAGATGATCGGTATTACATCATACCGTATAGAACCAATACTCCACTGAAACCCACCTCTTCATCACATTCAACCTGCGCCTGACTTTATCTTTTACTTACCATACGAGATTCTATTCCAGGTAAAAACCAGGTCAGGTCACCCTCCATCTTTCCCAAGGGACACTGCAGCAGTGACACTTCTTCTCCCGGTTCCACTTTTCTCTTCTTTCTCTCCGCCCCAGTCAAGCCCGATCGACCCAGTTACTTTCCATCAGTCAGTCATGGTAACCACCCAACGTTCGCGGGAGAATTCTCCCCCATTCCCCGGACACCGAATCACACCTAAGTACTCCCTATTTAATTCTGCAGGCTCCCATTCCCAAACCCCCAGACGTCGCTGGCTGGCTGGTTGGTTGGCTGCTATCAAGTGACTCATCTTCAATGGCTTAACTAACATTTATTACGTCGGACAGGCTACTTACTTGTTACTAACTAACTCTTCTAGGTTCTACCTATGACACGAACACAGCCTCCCCATGCGACCTCGCCACTGAATGAACTGACTGACTGACTGAAGAACCGGATCGCCCTGATAAGCTACTTGACTGTTAGTTCTTCTGCTGCGCACTCCCGTAGCCTCGCCCACAAGAAACCTTACTTAGGTGGCGATCAACAAGCCAACCCGCGTCGGTGGCTGCTGACTGGTTGATATCTCGTGGGCCCCTAGGAATGCTGCCTGATTGTTATCTACACTGTAGATACTTGTAGTAGTAGTGTGGACTGGTAATGGAGGTGGTATTTCTATTTACTGCATGCCCGTCAATATTCACAAGAGGGTGAAGGCCAAAGTAGAAAGAAAAGGAACAACTGCATAATACACAGTAGTGACACACACACACACACATTCCTGCCAAAAAAAGACAATAAGAATGAAAATGAAGACAACAAGAAAAAAGCCTTCCACGTCATTCCCACACAAATGACCGCCTGACGCCTGGCTCTTCCTCTATTCCTTCAAAGGCAATTGTATATAGAAACAAGGAACAAAGAGAAAGAAAATCACCCTCTTTGGCTTGGTTTACTTCTTCTGTCTATCCTCCTCGGTCGGGCCATTCTTGGGTGATCAAAATCGGGGCGCCCCTGCGATGTGTCTCCTTCAGACCACAAAAAAATCGCATACTATAACCTCATCCGAGAGACGTTCTAGAAACGGAGTAGGGGTAGGGTTTACCAACAACAACCACCTCAGACCCCAAGCCCTCTCACAAGTAGCCATAGCACAATCGGAACCACCACATTGTCATTACATCCCGTCAGGATTGCCTCGGTTGCGCTGGTTCCTCCGGCGGCCAAGATGACTTTTACCATTGCCTTTACCCAAGGGAAGTTCTGGTGCGGTCCATCACTGCCTCCGCTGACCGGCCATTCTCCCACCACAAGCCAAATTCGCGCGAATAGTAAGCCACACGTTACAGCAACCGCAAAGGCCACGCTGCCCTCGAGCGATTTTCCTCCTCCCCAAAACCACTTGCGCCGACCGAACCGTCGCCCCACGAGTGACGCCGCCGCATCGCCCATGCCCACGCAGACTATCCCGCTCACCATACTGACGTCCCGGTTCAACGCACTCCACCCGATCCAGGGATGATCGCCCGTCCGAGGAATGTCCGCCAGGGAAAGCCAGAGGGGGATCGAGCATCCGATGAGGAGGAAGATGTGCGACACAATCACAGGCCCTCGATGATCGCGCCCGTCCACGTAGGGGGCAAGGAAGTAAGTCAACGGTCGCGAGATCGGGGGCAGCTGGGACGCTCGGAAGAGATCGAGCAGCAGGAAGACGGACAGGACTAGACTCAGGGCAAGCGCACAAAACGTGGGGTCGACGTACACCGTCGGAAGGAACATCAGCACCATCATGCCATGGAATACCTTGCGTCTCGTATCTACCTCCGCGACGGAGCTCAACTGTAACACAACCGCCAGTCCGGTCACAAGTACCACAATACAGTATGCTGCGACGAGGAGGCGCGAATTAGCCTCCCCAAAGACATCTCGGCGGAGATGTTCGACCCAACCAAGACCGCAGGAAGCGTTCAACAGGTCAGGGTCCAAGCGAGCGGGGATTGGAATCCAATATTCCAAGTTCCACATAATCACCCAGAATCGAAACCATGAAACGTTGCCCAGCAGATAGCTCAGTGCCCACCCGAATGGATCTTCTCCGTGTAACGCCCGCTCACCCACGTACTTTCGAACAGGTCCTAGGATGATGAGAAGCACGGTGACGTAGATAAACAGCGCGTACAACCATTTCCGGACTTGGGCTTGAGGCACTGTCAGCGACAAGAACGACGCTAAACCAGGGGCCATTGATCTCTTGCGTCGCCCACTAGGCGTAGTTCTGACCTTTCCTGTGCGTGCCACCTCGCTGACGCTAGAGATCGTGTGCCGTCGCCGGTGTGTAAGTGTAGGCTGCCGGACGCCTTCTGTCACCTCAGCCTCTACAGTGCGAATGGGCTCGCCCGCCTTGGTTCTGTCACGCGACTCAACCATTGTCTTGCGTGAGACAAGCGAGAATTGGCCTTCTGGCGAGTCACTGTCCGACAGATTGTCCTCGGAGGTGCCCGTCCTGCTTAGTCGCTGACATAATTTGTGATCAAGCACATTGAAGATACTTCGAGGTGACTGCGAGTTGCTGGGCGCTCGCCGAAATTTCCAACTGGGAATCCTTGCCAAAGCCACTTCCCAGCGAAGCACGTCGCGACAAGAGATGAAAATGCACAGGCCACCAAGCCATAGCAACGCCTTAAGGATTTCAGCCTGAGGCGAGGACGCAAATAATAATAGATTGATCAAAGCGCTTGTCAAAAGCTGCAGTTCTGCTGGAAGGACGCTGGTAGTCAATAAAAAATCTAAAGTGGGTATCAACGCTTGATGCAAAGGGAAAAGAAGAGCCAAAGATTCCGAGTTGAGACCGAGAAGAGACAAAGGTCTAGGAGGCGAGATTCCTGCCGATAGTTGCTCCGAGAGGATAATCGGAAGCAGAGTGATCATCCAATGGACAATGCTGTGTCCATGCACGCAATCATGCAGTGGGATGACGGCAGGCGGAAGAGATGAGAGACTGAGGAGGACATTAGGGAGTATTAGGGAAGGGGTATGCTGCGCTAAAGATAAAGCAACGTAAATGGGTATCAAGATCGGGTAAAGCAGCGGAGCAGGATCGAAACTCGTAGGTATAACAAAGGACCGCAGTCTTGAGAAGCGAAAACGCCCATCTCGATGGAAAGGATAGGCGGCGTAGAGCCCAATGACAAGCAGGGCATGGGCAAGGAGCTCTAGGGAACATTAGCAACCTCAAGAACGAAGCATATTCCTAAGTACCAAATGTATCTCGCGCACCTTTCCTCCAAGCCCAAGCAACCGCCCTCGTATTCTCTTGTCCCAGAACGACGCCGCCCACCGAGAGGAGCAACGCAGCCTCCAATAACCTCTGCAGGACCCCGATACGTCGCTTCCGAGCTTCTTGTTCGCGCAATCCTGTCGCTGAGGCCTCGGCTTCTTCTCCTGAGCTCCGCCGCGAGCTCCGCGAGGTGGATCGGGTTATCGACGGCCACGGGCGCAATAGGGGAAACCACTGGTCATCCTCGCCAACGGCATGACGACCCGAACGCAACCCTTTCCTTGGTCGCAAAGGTGCAGCTGGTAGACCCCTCAGTATGCCCGTGCTTTCATCATCAGCCTCGGTGCCACTATCGCTCGAGGTCCGTGGCCAGTGGAGACGGGTTAATCGGTCGCCGGTGTCCGCAGGCAGCGACGACGAATGCGAGCCCTTGCGACGATATGGGTGAGGGGAACGGGAGGGTTGTCGGGGAGTATCAGACAGCTCTATGTCGAGGGCGGAACCGTTGACAGGAAGCGATTCGTCTTCCTCCTGGCTCAGCGAAACGGCCATGGCATGGATGGTGGGTGATGAGCGGCCTTAGAGCGAGTACGTCATATCGACTGATGGGTCGGTGGAGGAGCACTGCGTTGAGATGGAGGGTTAGTGATGACAGGACCAGATGACAGGAGTCAAACAGAAGGCGTGTTAACATACCAGGAGAATTGACCCAAGAGAGGTGCGTGGAGTGGCAGCAGCGAAGACGAAGAAGATGAAGTGAGAATGTTATCGCTTTGATCGAACCGGAATCCCAGGGCGGAAAGGCGGGTTTTTTCGCTTATCACATGCCGCGCAGCACGTCAGCACGAGAGCGAGCCTCTTAGGATCAGCCCATCAAGAGAAACCACAGTCACTCCTGAATCTTACAGAAGTCTATTTACTACATTGTTGTTCCTAATCTGCTACGAGTCGGGAGATATGTACTTTGTATCGGTGCCTCCACTCTGAGACATCGAATGATCCATGATGCATACTCGAAAGCCGTGCGCGATGGACCCCTGCATGGCCCGGCAGCCTTACAGCAAGCAGCACGCCTATAATGCCGGGGCGTGTCTTTGTATAATGACACCTGCTGCCAATTCTTGTCCTTTCGGCCCCCAGACAGATTTGCAGGGAACAATTTGCGCTGGGAATGCAGGCTTGGACAATGGCTGACTGGTATAGATGATCGCGTGGGAACCTTCTACCAACTCTGGCAGCTTCTGCAGCTCGTCCTGCAGATACGAGTCCAGATCAGACCTCAGTTGTCCCATGTCGATCTCAATGCCGATGTAACTGAGGTTCTGCTCCGTGGACACTGTGGTCTTGCGGCCATAGTCCGTTTCTTCTGCAGCCATCCGCAATCCACCACATCTGTACCCCAGACCCTGCCATTCGATATCACTTCCTCGTGGGAGCTCTTCAATCTGGACCGCAAAAAACGCAGGAACTAAGGCCTCTGACTGGACCACCCCAAAGTTAGGCAAGTTAGGTGTTGATGGACCCGTTGCTTGCTCGTGCGCACGGCCTCCATACTTGATATCCCAAACATCCAGGCCTGATTCTCCGTCTTCGTCGTCTTCTTGTTCCTGACGAGCATGCATCCGCTCCCAGATGTTCCATGCTAGCCGGGCCTGCGTCTCAATATGCTCTCCTCCCGTTAAGAAAGCAACGGCCCCCAGCCACCAGTCAACTTCCATGGCGTGACCAATCCTCCAGAGATGCTGCAAGGAGAGCACCGCTCGCGTAGTATAGTTCTCGATCCACGGCCGCGTCAGGGCTTCCCCAGAGGCACTCATCATCTCCATCGAAGCCGGCTCCAGCGGAATCTGTCCGGCAATGTAAACCATGTGCTCCGAACCCTGTACCGGAACCGACATGGCTTGCGAATATGGGCCAATATTAGCCGGCGCCCAGTAAGAACGAGACTGGACATGAAGGCCCTGTCTTTGCTCCCTAGGACCCAAGTCCACCACCGCCGATACCATGACCTTCACGCCCTCCGGCAGACTCTCGCCGCAAGCCACCGTAGCTCTGGCCGGAGGATTCGGCTTCTTGAACAAGGAAACGTAGATGCCATTCATCAAGGCAAAGTCCGCCATGGAGCGTAGCAGCACCGTCGTAAAGACAATATCAGCCGTAGTACGAGGTACACTTCCATCCTCATGCCGCGTAGAAGCCAGTATCGTCTCAATCTTCTGCGCAATCGCCTCCATCTGCTCCGCAGCCCCGGGACCAGCCTCGGGAGCTGTGATGTTAGCAACCACCCACGTGCCACCATTCGTACTCTGCGATATCTCCATCTGCCTTTGAGACGACACCACCGACGACTCCTCCCTCTTCCCCATCACCTCCTCACCCCCCAATACCTCCTCCAACACCCCCTTAAACCCCTCATCCAACAACACCGGCCTCCTCACATCCCCCGGCACCACCCCATCCCCCTCCGCATCCTTATCCACACACCTCGCCCCCCTAACCCTCACAAACGCAACACCCCCCTCGCCAGCTCCTTCCTCCCACCTCGGGACCTCAATCCTTCTTTTCCAAAGGAAAGAAGGCCCATCCAACGCCAAACTCTCATACTCTCCACCCTCGCCCAACACGGCCCCCCTCACATCTCCACCATCCAACACAAACCTCTTCATCCCATTCACAATCCTCCTCCTAACCATCGCATTCCTCCCCGACACATCCCCCCACAGAAACCCCGCATCCAAACCCCCAGACGCAACCTTGATGATCCTCGCTTCGCACCCAACAGCAGCCATATCCTCCAACAGACCGGCCTCTCCACTACCAAGACCAAACCTCTCCTCCGGCGCAGGCAACACCGGATACTGCCACAGCCAAGCGAGCGGCACGAGACCCATTCGCGCTGCGACGTTCTCAATCCGTGTACGTTGATACGTGGAGAGAATAGCGCCGGCGGAGATGGCATTAGCTTCTGGGTGGGCGGCCTTGATGCGTTGAAGGAGCGGGATGAGAGATTCGGTTTCGTCTGTCCCTCCATCTCCCTCTTTCCCTTCCCCTCCGGATGCTGCCGAAGAAGAAGAATCACGATAAACCCTCCCCGTATCCACCGCGGACCCTGTAATCTGCTGCCGATACAGCGGGATCCCTAACGCGGACTCGTAGTGCGGAATGATGCTGTGGCCGATCGTTTGGTACATGAAGCTGTCGATGTCTTCTTCTTCATCCTGTTCCTCTTCATCTTGTGGTTTTCCCTCCTCATGAGGGGTGGTGGTGGTAGTAGGCGGATACAAATTCCCCAAGGCCACCACCTTATGTCCGTTCCGGATGCAGTGGAGAATAGAGTATAGGGAGTCTTTCCCTCCCGAGATCAAGGCGATGACATTTAGACTTGTGGGGGAGGTGGGGAGGGGGAGAGATGGTGTTGATGTAGCCATGTTTCTGTAGATAGACTGTGGGAGGGGTAGTCTTGATTGAGTGCGGGGGAGATGATGGATTTTTCTTTGCTTTTTTTCCCTTTTCCTTTTCCACTTCAATGGGTGGGGGAAATAAGCCCCTCCTTTGGCTGGCTCGGGTGGGTTTGGGGATTGATTGAATGTATGTCTAGATTTAGACTGGAATGATGAAAAAGTTAGCTAGGATGATTGTGTGATTCTGAGCTAGATAGCTGGAAATGTATGTGGAGAATGGTACTCAATTCATGGTTTTGTTTCTGCGGGTGACGTTCGAGGCCAGACTCGGAAAGCCGACTGCAGCCGCCCGACTTGCACTACAAAGTATACGCTGCATATAGCTTAGACTACAACCATACTATCATACAAACTTTAGCTTACAGTCTACGGAGTAAAGGTTGTGATATGATCAAAATATCAATTATACTAGCTAAGTTGCAGAACGAACAAGACGCTCAACACAAATGGCACACAAATATTATGCACATGTGGATGCAACCGACAAGAGTGGAAGGAAATAGGAGGATGCGCACAGGGGTATGAGGCAACGATTGGGGAAATTTGGTATTAAATTGTACATGTGGCCAGCACAAATTGATTGGGGGTTGTTCTGCAATTAGCAGGATGACAGGAGTGTGCAAAAATATTACATCGAATAGGCACAATGAATGCAACTGAAAGCAACAAAAAAAGAAGAATGAAGTATATAGAAGAAGCTGGTAAGGAAAAGAGGTGGGAGATCGGGTACACAGAAAATCGCCGACAGGGGGTCAATAGCCCCCGTCGCGCGAGGATTGAGTCGGAGATATTCTCTCGCTGCAAACAGGTTGTGAAAAGAAAGATCAAAAGGAGTAGAAAGGGGAATCGGAGAAAAGATCAACCCAGATCACCAGTGCCTCAAATGTGAAAGTCATCATGCGCTCTATTAGTTTTGGTCCAACCGTGGACTCCAAGTGCGCCCAAGTTCCGTTGCCGCCGGTCTAATGTTTCGCCAATATTCGGTCCCATAAAGGGTGCCCTTTGCTCATGGTTTGTTATCGTTTGTCGTTTTTGTTTTCCTTTTTTTGAGTAGGGCACCAGAACCGGTCAAAACCCGTACACCTGTAATTCCTATTCTTGTCACCGCCAGAAACAAAGCCCGGACGCCAAACCGCAAGACCAAGTCAGACCAACCAGTGGAATGGAAGGTTATGTATAGGATGTTATTAAGTGATATATGGGAGCTCCTGGTCACATATCATCGTGATAGCTGCAAGCCAAGCAGATGCCGCTCTAGGCATCGCTGTCGCGCTTGCGCTTCTTGGGCGCCCGTCGGTCGACAGCCGGCGAGTCAGAGGAACTCTCATCCGACTCACTGGTTGTGGACTTGGTAGCGGCGGCGTTGGCGGCCTCGTAGAGAACATTTCCCAGCGTACTGGGGTCTCGTTCTTCATAGGGGGTTGGCGGGGTCGCATTGCCGGTGTCGATGACGCCCATCACGACAGAGCCACCCGCATGAGTGCGAGCGTGCTGCGCAAGGTTATCGCTCCGCGAGAACTTCTTACCGCACTCATTGCACTCGAAAGGCTTGTCCTGAGTGTGGAGAGAGCGGTAGTGACGCTTGAGGTGCTCTTGGCGACGGAAGCGACGGGAGCAGAGGGTGCACACGAAGGTCTTGGAGGGGTCATCCGTCAGGGACTGCTTACGACCGCGTCGGTTGACCGAGACGGGGGCAGCAGGAGCCTCGGAAGCGCACGACGAATGCGCATCGGAGTTGTGGCGGGCCTGGACAGTCTGGGGTGTCGAGGCGTTTGTCTCAGTGCTGGTGGCACGGCTGTTGATCGAAGGCTGAGACTTCTTGCTAATCGAATCCGTTTCGCTGTCCGAGGTACTAGCCCGCTTCAGCGACTTGCGGTTGTTCCTCTTCTTGTTGCCCATCTCTTCCGAAGCTTCATTGATGTTCGTCTGGATGCCAGTGAAGTCGTGGCTTCCCAGGTAAGGGAGACTGGACTGAGAGAGATCTTGCTCGTCAGACTCGTCGAAGCTCTGCTCACTGAAGAATTCCTCTTCCTCAAGGGGGTATGTCGTTCCCACGCGCTGCCTCTTCTCACCCAAGTAGTAGGCATTGCCACTAGGGGGGAAGTCGACCAGGCGGTTGACGAATTCGTCTTCCGAGTCCAGGTCCGAGAAGCTGTCAAAGGTCGGCAGGCTGCTGAGAGGGTCCTCCGAAGAGGAGCAGGTGAAGGCGGGAGAGAGGGTCTCATGTACAGGAAGGGTCACGGCCTCGCTGCCCAGAACCACCCGAGGCTCCTCGTCATCGCAGGAGAGCGTGGGCAGAGGCGGCAGCTCAGCAGGGGTGGCATTGATGGAGGACTCAACCGTCAGCTGACGGGGGTCACAGAAGTCGGAGCTGGACTGCTCGGTCGGCAGACCTTGAGGCTGGGCAACGAATGTGGGGACCACGGGAGATGGCGATGGGGAAAGGGATGGGCAAGAGCTGTGCGCTGACAGAAGCTCGGATGTTTGGCTGGCGGTGAGGGAAGGCGGATGGATGAACACTAGAACAAGTCGAGTTAGTCTCCCTGTACAACCCTAGATGCCCGGCCCCGTGCCTTTTGCGTTGGCTGCACCCACTCCCTGCAGCCTATCTTGCAACCATGTAAAAAAGGGACATCGGGTTAGATAATGACTTACCAGGTGTAAGAGGCGGCGAGTCAGACCGGGCCCAGTCAGCATTGGCCAGAATCTCTGCATGGACGTCTCCCTCGCATCCCTCCTTGACACCTTCCACCTTCTCGAAAGCGAAGAAGCTGTCATTGATCGGGGTGTGAAGGGTGCCGCTGGTAGAAGGCGGGCTGCTGATAGAGCTTCCAGCTGTGGAGAGTGGTGGGGTGGAGGGGAATGCGTAGTAGTCGTTACCGACGAACCTCGTGTCCAGAGGCATCAGGGCGGGAGAGCCCTGCTGCACAACAATTGTGGGCTTGAGGTGTGACGGCTGAGGAGAGGCAATGGGAGTCATGTTCATGGCACCACGGAAGGCATTGGTGGTAGCCATCTGGTGCATGTTCATGAGAGGGGCAGTGTAGAGTGTCTGCTGCTCCGGCATGCAGTGCTGTGGTTGTTGCTGGAAGGCCTGCACTTGGCCATAGTATGACTGCATATCTGAGGGGTGGCTGGTGAAATGTTGTCTTTGCTGCGAATCAGCGTAGTATGCAAATGATGGTTGACCTTGCACCGAAGTAGGTGCCATGGTGTATGTTCCGTCCATTGTGTCTAGAGAGATAAAGAACGGTAACCCGGTCAGTCACTCGCATTGCGCCATGAATAGAAAGAGGTGAACTCACAGATGGTAGGACGTTGTGAATACAAGAGTAGAGATAGCTCTACTCTTTAGTGGATATTATTAGTTATATAGTTGGTAGCTCGTCCACAGCGATGAGCGCTGGGGGTGAATGAATGTCTTGCAGAGTCGCTTGCACTTTGAGTGTGAGAGAATGACTGGGGGAAGGACAGATGATAATCCAGGGACCGCTCTCAACCAGTAGAGTATATATGAGAAGCGAGATTGATTGATTGATCGATTGACTGGTATGCTGTGACAAACGACTGTATCGTTCTTGGTAGAAAGGTTGAATGGAGGTTGGTGGTATCTGGGATTATATCTGACGACTATGCCGCAAGTCTATGAAGGAAGGACAGGCACCTTGTGTGTCGAAACGAGCCAAACCAAAAAGGATGAATATGGTTCAGGACGTTCTCGATTCAAGGAAACCGGGAGAGACTGTATAGAGTCGCAAAAGTGAAAGAGAGAAAAAGAGGGCAGACAATTAAGATTAAGAGAGAGAGATAAAAGAGAGAGGGAAGAGAAAAGGAAAGACCAGATGAGGATCGAGACAAGTCTAAAAAGGGCAAAAAAGGAAAAAATAAGAAATAAAGAAGATTAATTTGAAAGAAGAGGACAGTCGCGGGGAAAATGAGAGACAGGGCCGATATGGAAAGAGGAAAGCCGGCCAGAAGGATGGGCAGTGGATAAAAGAGCGACTGATCTGCTTGTGCTACGAGCTGGTAGCGCCGTGAGTAGTGAGCAGTAGGACTGGAGCCGTACTTTTTAGTCTGAAAGCCTTTTTGGGCGAGATGGGCTGCATGGAACTTTACTTTCGCTGGTGGTGGTGCCAGCAGCGAACGGTCACTACTATAATAGTAGTAGTAATCGTAATATAGTAATAAATCATCTAATAAATCTGCCGGAATGGTATGGTGTCATATGTTCGGAGACTCTCTTTTTCTTCCTTTTTATTTTTATTATTATGTTTTTCTTATTTTATTCTCTTTTCGTGGAAATTTATTTTTATTTCTTTTCAGGATTTAGTTTTTGAACCCTTTTTTTTTATTATTTCAGATTTTCCATTTCCTCGTTTTTTTTTTATTTTCTAATTTCCCACAGCCTTTTCTCGACCCCAAATAATTTTGGGGGAGGGATCAATTATCCTCAAATTGGCATCATGCTTGCCCACTTTTTTTTTTATCCTTATGCACATCCGTCTGGGTAAGTCGATTTTCTAGTCTGGGGCGGCAAAGAATAGCAGATTGGCGCCGGTGCACATCTCAGTACCAACCGAATGAGAAACTTGGGAGCGGAGACCAACGGGAGGTGGAGCCCTCCTCGGCGGGCTTCTTCATCATCACAGTCAGCGGCATCAGCAGCAGTTAGTTAGTAGTTAGCAGCAGGAGCAGAGCAATATTCAACCTAGGCAGGTAGTAGTAGAACCCGACCAACCTAAGTTAGCCGGGACATGTTGTGCCATTCCTCAATTTGGGAGAGTGGATTTTGGGTGGAGGGAGGGACGGAGGGAGAGAGGGGAATGGGGGGGGGAGAGGGAGAGCAGAGTGGATGGACAGAAAAGTTGTAGTAAGTTGGATCAGAAGTTAACAAGAGACGACGAATCCCCGACCGGACTAGCCAGAAACCGGGCCCCACCACGTCGGCCGCGGAGCCCAAAAAAGGCGTAAGTGCGTGGGGCACATGAGCACGAGTGGGAACATTGGCGGCCCTCAAAGCCCCATTTCAATGGTGCATGAGAAAATGGTCGGCCCTCCAAGCCCATTATTACGGAACCCACGTCTTACCGTAATGGCCTGGTAAATGCGGAGATGACCATGTTCCAATAGGAGGCCGCGATGGCATGAGCGTGTGGGAGAAATGCCACAAGATACCTGGCTCCTGAGGTACGACGCCTATCTATACGATACCTGATATAGTAGGTCGTACCAGGTGTGACTGACGCCTTTCAATTCCCACTCGTGGTGGTCCAAATGGCCACTTTAAGCCCACCCCCCTCTATTTTTCCCCCCAGAAAATCTCTTCGTAACGGCCGAGTAGTTTAGGCTCGAGGAAGATGATTCCATTACCTGATAGCAATGATTGTCTGTAGAAGAAGTGGGAGAGAGATAAGTGTGTGTGTATGAAAGTAGAAGAAAGTTGGCCACAATTTCCGTTTGTCTCACGTAATTTTCCTATGTTTTCACTGATACGGTATTTATGAGCGACCTACTAACTAGCATCCTCATGGGAATGGCTGTGTGTGTGTGTGAATTGCCACACACCCCAAACCGAGACCGTAGGTATTATTGCTCCCAAAATAGTAGCCAACTTTCTGTGATTGCCCATCCCCCTCTCTGCCAGTCACAATGCTTCCCTTCTCCTGCTCAGCTCTGGAGGCCTAACATCACAGCTGCGCGCTTACCATCCATCACACTTTTGCCATCAAATGACAATGCGGCCAACCCGTTCAGCCCTTGCAATGAGAATGTTCTACAACTTACGGTAGTATTACTCGCTACGCTGTTGGATGATAGTCCCGTTACCATTAGGACCTGCATCATCTCTTAGCCTATCTGGCTTATCAGCGGCTTGTCTGTCCCACAGACATGGACGAGTGAGCGCAAATCGGGCCAGTCAGCATCTCCAGACCGAATGGAAGTGGGGGCTTTGTTGGGCGGGGCGGGGGGAAATGGTGTAGAGGGAAAGAGAGAGAGACCAAGAGAGCAAAACGAATGAGGGTGTTAAAGAAATGGGAAAAAGGGCAGCACATCCGACTAACCAATAAGCACGTCGGCCACTGATAGCAGGCCTGGTCCTGCCGGGGGGGACATCGTGACATTCAACCGAAGTTGGCTGCATTGAAAGCCAATAGACTCAACCCGTGAAAGGGAGGGATTGACTCGCCGGCTAAGCTAGTCGGCCCCACTGAGCATCCCGTCCGCCATTTGGGGGATGTCCTCTTAGTCTTGAGTCCCCCCTCCCTCCCAAATGGACAAAAACTCAAAGGGAAAACGGGAAAGGGAAAGGGAAAGAGAAGGGAACAAAGATGTGCACTGCAATTGAGGGAATGGATGGCCCATGTTCCAACACTGGGACCGTCCCGGACCACATTTCGAGTAAGATCAGCAAAGCAACGACTGAGAACAATTGGTTCAAAGTTGGAGAAAGAAGTCAACTAGTAGTATTCTCTCACACACCACACACCCACGCAACGCACGCACACACATGGGCAAGTCAGTCAGTCAATCAGTTGTCAAGATTGCTGTTGTCCGGGCCAAATTGGCCAGTGCCCATTGTCAAGTCCCCATTTTCCGTCTTCCCCCTTCTCCTCCTTGCCTATCTTGCTTTCTCAATGTCGGTGACTTCGCTCTGGACTTGCCTTTTGGTCTTGCTTTGGACTTTTGGGCTCCACGGTATGCACGTAATTCCACAACCGATGAAGCCAATCCGAAAAAGCCGGTCCCCAGTTCTGATAAGAGAGAGCACGAACGGAAAAAACGTCCGTAAGTATACCTAATCTATCTGGCAGTAGTGGCTACTAGCAATTTCGAGAAACAAGCGACTGGAATAAATTATTTCTACACCAATGGTGAAACGATCCTGAGTAAAGGCCCACCCTCTTTGTGGCATGGTGCTAGAGTCGGTACTATGGGATACCCGGCCTTATGGGTGGCACTACAGCAGAGTACTTCCTACGGACCTGCCAGCCAGGTACTTCCGGGGGGGCGGTCTCGCAGGCTAGGCAGACGAATCCCTGTTAATACTAACGTTTATTAGTATGGCTATTATTATTGTTATTATTATTATTATTATTTTTCACCGTTATTTCTATGGGCCTAGGTAAATTCTAGGTAGTAATGTCCGCGAAACGATTCCTTTCATATGATTCTTGTCGTTAGGGAAGAGCCGAGAGCGGCCAGGTCCGCCATCAACCCCATCCCATATCGTACCAGTAAGTTAGTGAGCAGTAGCTTTGGGACCCTATTATCCGGTAGCATGTCATATGCCAGGTGTGATGCGCAAAAGACATAGTGCGTACAGCATTATTGAACCTACTTGGGCTAGATTTCTAGGCAAAGAAAGATTACCGTTCATGCATCTGCCCTATCATTCTGGGGTAGATGGATACTTGGAAACGTAACAAAGTAGCCACTCACTTCTACCTAGGTAGGTTGGGCACATACATAGATAGGTTTCACTTTTTAAGGCGTTATGTCAAATCCAAGTTACTGGGAAACTCCGAAACCCAAAGTACCGGGGCCTAAGACCAAGTTTGGGAGGTTCCTAAATTTTGGGAAGTGGTACGTAGATAGTAAACTTTCTAGTCTTGTGAGCCAGTGACGCAGCAGATAGTTGCGCGCAGGCCGACGCGCGCGCGCGCGACCGAGCGACAAACAACTCTCACGCCATCTTTCACCACCAAGAAAAAATTAATCCTGGAATCCGCTCATATTTGAGATGCGACCTGTTCAACGGCGGGATGGATCGATCAGGTTTGGTCGGCCTACTGCAGGAACCGATGCGGAGCGATGGGAAGGGTAGATAGGTTGCAGGCTTGGTAAAGAGGGGAAACGTCCCTGGGATGGGCTGCCGCAGCCCGACCCTTGCTTGAATCGTGTATTTTGTTGTCCGATGGCGCGCCAAGTGGCACAACAGGGCTTACATGGCAGATGAACGCAGCTGTCAAAATGGATTCTTGGGATCGGGTTTGCTTCTTCGGTGATTCTACTTTGATTGGGATTAGTTCTGTCTTGGGTTGATTCCTTTCGTTTTAATTAGGTTGTCGTATGGTATACCTTAGTCGTTCTCATACGATATAACTACTACGTACTAGTAGTATATTAATATTTATTTTTAACGTTCCATAGTAGTACGTAGTGGTACTACATACTAGCCGAGTCTGCGTTCTTGGGAGGGAAAGAAGAATGTGACTGCCTACGATAGGGCTTCAATGCCAATAAAGAGGTGTCTTTGATTGCTACTATCTATTTTCTGCAAGCCGGGCAATCTTCGCGTTTCGATAGTTTGGGTTTCAAATTCAGGTACGGTGCGTTGGCCGCCGCGTAAATCTCCCGAACGACGTGTTTTACTTGCCAGATAGGTAAAATTAGAACCCATCCCAGCAAAGCGCCCCCCAAAGTAAAAAAAGTGATGCAAACAGACAGATATGCAGGAGCAAACACAAAAAATAAAAGTGATCAACATGACGACATCTGAAGATTGTCGTCCCTGGACAGAGAGAAAGAGGCGCCCGCTGATGATGATGATACGCGATAAACCAGCCAGACAGACAAACTGACAGGCTGCGCCACGGTAAATCATGGGAAGCAAGGGGATTCCAAGCAGAGCTGTCAGACTCCAGAACACGGACCCCTGGGCCTATCAATTTCCCCTTCTAGCCTCGGCCCATGAGCATCACAATAGCCCATCCCAAACCCTGGCCACCGCCACGCAACTGGTCCAACTGGTCTGAAACGTTCTCCTGCCGAGTCCCCTGCTCAGCGACATGACTCGTCCATCTGGTCTGCCCCTGGTGAGTATCTCAGCTTGTACATCAGTTGCACAGACATTTTTTCATACTTTTCTCTTGTTTCCTTCACTTCCTGTCCAATCAATTGATTCATTGATTGATTGATTGATTGATTGACTTTCCCTTCCAAACATACATACATACTACATGCATACATCATAACATACATACGGTAATGGGCAGTATTCACAGCACCGCCGCCCGGGGTTGGTTGTGGATCTAAAGATAGAAAAGGCCGTCCAATTCCCTGGCCAGGCCACTTTTCCTTTTTCGAACGAAGCTTCCGGGAGTCGGAACGGGCCCCGAGCGAGGTAAAATTGCCAATAATATTACTCACCTACTTCGCAAGCTATCTACAGTAATCTACAAGTTACTCTACTATAACCACTAAACTAACTGTAGAGAGAAGAAAGCTAGGCAAAAACCAAGATCTGAAATTGGGATATGACTATGGAGCAATCAGGAACATTAAGAGAGGGGAAGGACATCTGTTGCGTTCCTCGGCGTGCGTCTAGCTTCTCAGTAGTACGTAGCCTAGAAATGCTAGAAGGTCGCGGGTAGTGCGTAGTCGTGAGACTAGAACAATTATCTCACGCTTTAGAAGCGTGCTATATTGCTTGCCACGACCGGCGTAAGTTAAACGATTAGCAAGCAATACGAGGAGAAGGAGGGGAGGAGGGGGGAAGAACTGCCGACTTACTTCTTCGGGCTAGTATGTCTACTGGTTTAATCTATGCATGGAAGCCGTCGAGCTTCGAGAAAACTTACCAAGGAAGCAAATCAAGTTCTACCGTCCCAGCTACTGCCTAGTTGAGGTCTAGTTAGGTAGTTAGTTAGAGTAGTAGGGGACAACTCCCTACTAGAACTCTCCACAAGTTACGGAGCTCCAGTGTAGCTCCTTGGAAGGAAAGAGACTCCAGTTTTTCGAATTTTCGATGCGCTACTTTACTGCAGACCTACTTTGTTTACGACGGAGTACCGCTACCAGCAAACACCGAAGGAGGCGGGTGTCTGTGTGGTGGAAGGCGAGAGGGATTCCATCGGCCAGGCCTAGCTACAGTAGTAGGTCAACAGTCGCAGCTAGCTAGTTATTAGCTAGTTAGCCAGCTACGGACTCCGTCGACAATGCCGGGGATTTCGCTTGAGTTGGTAAACCCAGGAAGTGTACGCAGCGAAGCAACCCACCGCAAAGATCCGGGATTTGTCCAGTGTATGCCACTAATTAGATTCATTACCAGTAACACTATCTAACTGGTCCTTTTTTGGCCCTCCGAGAGCATGCAGCAAGACCCCTGTTGGTCGCCACAAAGTAAACCGTTGCCACAAACAAAGAACCGTTGCAGCAATAGCAACACAACAACGACCGCAACCAACAACAAAGGAAAAGCCGATGCGGGTCCCATCTGGTAGTAGGATTCTAATCGCGCAAAAGGAAACGATAGGACCAAACCTGCATAAGCGTAATGAGAGGCGGTAAATGAAAATCCGTCGTCATCGCCCGCGATGTTGACAAATTGATAGCGATAGTCCAAAGTAGCTTCTTTTTATTTTTTTTATTTTTTTATTGTTCTCTTGCACCGTCAAGGCGGTTTCGGTCTAGAAGGGGGAATGGGAATGGCGCATCATCTGCTCTGCTACGGTGTACCAGCGTGTCCCGATCCCATCCATTGCCCAGCATGTACCTGCATATTCTTCAGGACACTCACTCCAGACGACGGTCGTCTATGATCCTCGGTATACCCACAACTCTATCATTTCCCGACACCAGTGGCTACCTTACTCCGTACACCGGTGACAGGCATAACCTCCTCCCACCTTCTCCATTCGACTTCCGGACTCCACCAAGGAAAGATTACGAAAGATATCTAGACTCGACGGCTGTCTCGCATTATCTACTATGGCGCCGCTTCGGCATGCCACCGACAGTTTAGATGAGTAGTGAAGACGAGCGCCACCGGAAGGCAGCGCATCTTGCCTCTTTGCGTCGTCGGCGGTGGGTTTCGAAATGGGGATGGGCGCGCATCCGCGCTGACAGACGGGCGGTAGGGGACTTAATCCCGTCTTCCGCGCCAGCGTTACCCGTGTGGGTGGCCACGCAGGTCCTCACGAGTGAGGGAAAAAAAAAGAAAAAAATTTCTGGTTCAATTGCGACCGTGCGAGAAGTGTCAATTTGGCGAAGGCCCTTCTCGGATGCGTGGCCCCCCTTCTTCTCGGACGAATCAGAGTCAGGAAATTGTTGTGCTGGACAAAGCACAGTGGGATGTCCGGGCTGCGAGTATCCGGTGGTGGCAGGATGGGGAAACCTGACAGATTCAATGCCGCTTGGATCCGAGAATGGAGGCGAGCAGAGAGGTAAAAAGAAGCGAATCAGAATGGGTCAGATATGGCACCGCATTCTACCCTCGTCTTCCAATAGGTTCCGCGGAGACCGGAAGCAACGGTTATCGGATACCCAAATAGTATGGTACCAAGATTATGGATGGATATCAATTGGTTTTACAGTAGCACAAGATCTATGGAGAGCCTGAGAGAGAGAAGTGGTCCTTATCGGTACCGGCTTTCCCAGGATCACAACACACCAGCATCTTATGATGCTGCCTTGAACAAGACACGCCGGAGAAACCGATTGCGGATCCCCCCAATTAATTACTCCTCGGTACTCACCGTACGGCGTATATGCTGGACCATTGAAGCTGCAGCACATCATGCGACGCCGATAAGTCACTAACTACTGGGAGCAATTCTCAAGCAGGAAGGTGATTATATACTTCAGGCATCATGATCGCCTGATATATAGAGTTGTTGTACAACGCCGGGTAGGAATGATTGACGGTTGATCGCGTGAACACATGACTTGGATGCGACGCACGTAGAGATCATTCCATTATCATCTAATTGGAATTATGGCGATACCCAAAATATGGGCATTGCCAGTTAAGCTCGCTCGAGATCATGCTGGCCTTGGTGGACTGATACGATAAAGTTCAGGCGAACCAATAGTGCAGCGCCTAGTGTGGATGAGGGTTCGAATCCATCCAGAGAATGGAAGTGGGAGGCAGGACTGGAATTTACTCTCGCTGTCAATTTTCAGCACCAAATCGGTGCGAGACTATCACCGAGCGACCGGGTCTGGCGTACATCGTGCAGAGTCAGAACCAGCAGATCTTCAATTTCGTGCCATCTCCGTATACCGACTGGAGACTGGAACCTTACTACTCAACACACAGTAAGGTAGTATTACAGTCGAGGGAAGAGTGGCTAACTGGGCTAGGCCTAATGTGGCTGGGACTAGGGTAATGGAACTTCTCCATCCGTTAGGGCACTACTGCGCCAAACTGTCCAGCAGGAAGTCCGCCGGCAAACTGAACTCCTCTCCGTGGAATACTTGTACTTACCAAGTACTAGTAGTACCGACGTCGAGCGTTTGATAAAAGCAGTAAGCTCGAAATCTGAAACACACTACGCGGACAGCAATCCTCCAATCACAGAGGGCATTGTCTGGGCGTGTCTCGGTTTCGTCTTAGTCAGGTCCCCAGAATCCTGACTGTACAGACACTAACCCATTGCGTATACTACTATGGAGTACCTTACTCTGTACTAGTTAGTACTCCGAAGTCCTCGTTGCCTCCGGAAAGGGGGAGGGACTGAGCCAAGCCATCTCCGACTGTTTTACCTCTCAGCGTCCACTAGTTGGTAGTAGAATGGAGTATATTCTCCGTACGACACCAAAATGACGATAACCTCTCCAAAATCACCTTTAAGGATCTCACCTCATTCTGGAGCCAATCAAATGGCCCCTGACTAAACGGGATAATGCTGTGAAGGTCGCTACGTCATGAGCAGACAAACCTTCTCCATCGCGATCAATTAACGTCGAACATAGTGTCTTTACCTAATGCAACCGAAGTTTTTGGAGGCTTCTTCGAACCTTCTAAACCTCGACACGAGTGAGCTTGATTTCCAGCAATAGCAACCACCACGTACGAGTCTCCAAACGTGCCACAGTAGTGGCCTCAGGATCCAGAGACCCTCACCCTCTCTATCTCTTTCTATGGTTCCGTTTCCGGCAGGCTTCCGAGCCCTTGTATGAACCAAGGATAAAGAGGGGTGGTGTTATTATTAACTATGGTTCACACACAGTATCTACACATTCTGCAACATATTTCCGAGTGATCTGTTTACACGACTCTGGGTCGTTTCGGATGAAAAATCTACCCCGTCGTCAGACCATGCCATATGCCAGCTACGCCACAACTCTCCCATCCTCGGCAGTAGACCATGGGTTGGTATACTCGCATAAGATGTACTCTCCAACCGAGACGGAAGTAATGTTCCCTCATGCTCATGAGTGAATGCATGCCGTCCGACCAAATGGAGTAATGGCAACAGTCGAGTTGGCCGTAGTTGCTAACCCATCCAGCTGCCAAGCGGTCCTCGTGCCTGCTGGACGGGCTGGGACTGGCGCAAGTCGGCCTTCGATTGCCGGCATGAAGCTACCGCACTTTTTGCGGGGACCTTCCACCACCACGGCCTGCACTACTGCGTGTTCCACTGCGGACTAAACCAAGTCGGAATCCCATGTCTCTTTTGGCTTTTGGCTTTTTTCTTAATTTCTGGTTTGGGGGTCTTTGGATACATCAAGTGTGATAGTGATGAGCAGCTACCATCCCGCATTTTCGTGTTTTTTTCTGCGTTTATCGTTCATGAGCCAACAGGGATTCAATATATTACCCCGAGACTACTACTACAGGGCTGCTAGCTGAGCTTAAACCGTGCCAATCCACGAGTGACTTTGATGTGTTTAACCGCTTCTATGGCCCATCTGCCTATACTAGTTGGGGAAGGTGCGCCTTTTTTTTGATGTGTGATTGTTCCATCTCGTGCTGATTCCAATCATAACTGCATGCTCGTCTCGGCACTCCAGAACGCTGTCGAACCCAGCGGGCAGACGGGAAGACATCCATGTGGCGTGCTCATTGAGTTCTGTTCCTGGATTGGTGCAGGGAAGATCATGGACTAAAGTGGCCGATCGCAGCAAACACTGAATACGACAAACAAATTACCTAGGCCCGACCCTGATAAGCCACCAACCTACTTTTGCACGTGCGTACTGATTGAACAGCATCATACTCGGGTGTATCTATGCTGTGATTGCGAATTGCTCCATTCGTGGAGAACTTCGGGAGTGATCCAGTGGATGCCAGCGGGGGAGGGAGGGAGTGATTCGCACCACCGGCCATGGCGAAAATCATGAGTATCTCTTACTCAACCCCATCCCAGCGCTGCTCCATTTTGGATCGTGTTGTCGGAGCTTTTGGAGGCATGCGCTCTGGACGGCCAAGGGCATTGGCTGTTCGTCCCGAGCCTAGCCCAGTCAGGTATATGAATAGTATTCCGACCCGTGGTTCTAGCTCGCATTTGAGAGCTGGAGAGCTCTTGCGAGTGGGCTCCAGTCGGGATCTTGGTCGAGGACCCAGGACGTAGCCGCTCCCAGTATGATGATTGTCCGTGACTCCATGGGAAATGGCGTCACTGGGGAAATTAAAGATAGGGAAATCACGCAAACAGAGGGGAAGCTCACCGTTCGCCCGAGAGAGTCGGTCCCTAACAAACTCTCTTTGCGAAGGTTGAGAACGGAGAAATAGTGCGAACCCTCCCGATGGGACAGGCTAATACTGCCTACCTCCATATTCTACCTACTGACCAGAGACGCCTAGTCGCCACTTCCAAGACGCCAAACCTGGGCTATCGAAAATAAAAATGCGGAGAAGCAAATGGTTGCGCTATTAAACTTGGCCTTGGGATTACGGTTCCTTCGGAGCTCACGGCAAGCAAGCTCGAATCATCAACTACCCGACTACCATACCTGCAATACGGATCACTCTACGAGCAGCAATTCCGAGTCAGAGTGGACCAGAATACATAATCCAAAACAACAGCATACGATGCACAACCAAGACACAGATAAGGGCAACACCAGACCCGATCTGTCTGATGGAGTAAGTTTCCCACTCAGGGTGGTCCGGCACCGTCCGCTGGGATGCGATTGGAGGTACCAATCCTTGAAAGGGCAGGTAGTAGGCGTGGTTCCCTCGTGCGCGGAAACTTTCACGCCGACATCGCTAAGCAATTGGAATTGATAACAGAGTCATGCAGATATGGATACAAAAATTCGAATTTCTGGGTCGCAGGCAAACCTGCGCAGAATAGCGCGAGGCCAAGGTGCCTTCGGGTGAACTTTATCGCAGGAGGAATTGCTTCCATGGCGCACTACTCCACATTCCGGCCAGCTTCTGCCAGTCGGAAAGCGCTGTCTCACGCTGAGACTTTTGGCGGCGACCCAATAGCCCCCTCTGCCTCATGGGTCGCCAGTGTGACTATGCACGGGATAATGAGCATCCATACAGAGACGGTGATGCGACTTGTGAGGTCCAACAGATGGCTGCGTCGACCAGTGTCCCAACATGATCGACGCCCGCCCCAGCCTAGGGCCCAGTAAAGCCCTTGGACTGCCCTCTGCACATTGCACCCTGCAAGTGGGGGAGTGCGGGCGCGGCAAAGACAGACCACTATCAGCATCAATCAATCACGACAACAATAGTTACGTGAGGGAATTCCGTCTCAGATAAGGTAGGCTTGCGGTTCCTTGGGTCGCAGTGGGATCTCGGTCAGACCAAGCGGATCGCGGTAAGCACTGAGCATCCCGAAATGAACAATGCTCGTTCAGCTGGTTCAGCTTCCTTGGTCAGCCCGCTTCCTCACGGACCGTGCTGAACCAGAGTTTTTTTTTATCTCTTCGTTGCCCGGTTGTATCAGCCCCCAAGGTCCTGACGTGAGAGGTGCCCGGGCGCGGCGCGGTGCAGGCTGCAGAACGTGCGAGTGGGATGGAACCATGGGTCTTTTCTGAACAATCCTCACGGGTTGGGGCTAAAAAAGGTGGCTCAAACAGTTAATGCATCAGACGATCCATCGGCAGTGATGATGATTAGCGACGACGGACGCGGACACGGACATCTGCAGCTGCAGCTGCAGACACAGCCATCGCGAAAGAAAAAATCTGACATGCACACTACTAGATGCTACCAAGTTCCGGCTTACGACGACAATTTGCCCCCATGTTCAAACCACACCAATGCAACAGATACATCTGCCGTCACCGTATTTAGTTGGTATCTACGGAGTATGCCGGTACTCCTTGACGCGATTGGTTTTTACCGAGCAAGCATCATGCTAGGCGATGATGGCAGTTGAACCCCGACCCTAGTCGATAGGCCCTGGGGGCCAGGGCCAGGGCGCAAGGCGCAAACGGATGAGAATCCTTGTCATCCGAAAGCAATCAGCCGGCGAAAAAATGATCAACACGCGCACGACGGAGAGAAAAAAGTACCACAGGTACTCTGTACTACCAGTAAGAAACAGCCACGCCGACAGAAAGGGAAACAAGAGGGTAAGCATAAGCAACAAGCAAAGCAATAGCAAAGACGGATTATAGCATAGCATGGTAGTAGCAATAAGCAAATGGTCTATAACCTCCGACGAATATCACCGATAGGTAGATAGTAAATACGCCATAATCATATAACCACCACAACAAGGATCATATAAACCAAAATGATAGAGAAATATCAAAACAGGCCTCAGTGGATGAAAGTTAAGATCAATCCCCCAGATCAACGGGAGTCAGTCTCTTCCTATCATATATTAAAACATCCAATTATCTCATCATCAGCCTGATATATTTTTGAAGAAAAGGAAAAAAAAAGAAGACAAAAACTTCCACACCGAAATTTTTCACCTCCCCCCGAATTCCGCTTATGTCATCACCCACCTTCCCAATGCCTTCTTCAAATCTCGCTTAACACCGGAATAACAAATCATCCACCTCCCCACCAACCAACCCCTATAAATACTTCTTCACCCCTACACCCTTTTAGAATCTTTTTTTTCTTTTCTTTCTTCGTGCGGCGACGCAACTATTTTCACCCGTGTTGCCTGGACATCAGTTTCCCCGTGATGTTGTCATACCCCAGGTGTCAGTTGCGTCACAGACGAACGGAATTGCACACCGGTTCTTACTTTATTGGTCTTTCTGTTTTTTCTCTACGAGGATTAGACCATTTGGTTTGGGATCGGACATACTTTTTATAAAAATCTCTATCATAGATGATCGTGTCTATGGTGGTGTATTGCTTTACTAGTAGTATAGATTTGTTGGCTGGTTTGATACTGCTGCTTTCTGTGCTGGTTATGTGTGGTGCAGATTGTGGTAGATCCTATCAGTCTTGCGTTTTTCGTAGTAGATTTATTGGTTTTGAATATGAATATGATTATCATAAGTGTGAATGTGTCTACTGTCCATGTAGGAGCATAGTAATGGTTTCTGTAATTGTTCTGTTCTAGTGCGTCGCTATCATATATCTACTACTGCTACTACTCATACTCATCTGTGAGTATCTGCCTACTCACCCGGCTCATCACCAATCTTCTCCAACTTGCCCATCTCTCTCTTCTCACCTGCCTCTCCAAAAATGCGCACCCGATCAACCCGCAGCTTCTCACTATCCCCATCTCCATCCACAAAGAAAATCACCAACGACGTAACGCTCTGGAACTTGACGAACCGCAAATCTACCTTCGCCGTACCCGTCTTGGGATCCCAATCCTCCGGCTGAATCGTAACCGTCTGCACAGCAGGGATATCATCTGCCTCATCGAATCCCAGCACATGCGACCGATTCGTATACAACGACACCGTCCGAGGACGCATCGGCCGCTCGTCCTCATCCTCAACCTCCTCGTCCGCCGATGGCGGAAGCGACGTAATCTGCAACGAATGCACCTTCAGCGTAGACTGGAACGGGATAAACAGCATCAGCTGCTCGTCCGTATCACTCTCCACCCAATCCGGTGCCGCCCCGGCCTTGCCCTTGGCGTTGTCCAAGGAGGATGGCTTCGAGCTATCGAAGAGGGTCTTGGCCGTGCCGAACTCGCTCGCCCGGTTCAGTAGCTCCAGGCCCTTCGGGTCGTATTGGTCTGAGATGTCGCTGTAGTTCTTGGGAGCCGGGGCGCCGATCCAGCCTACGCCGCTGCTGGAGCCGGCGTCATTGCCCTCGGGCGCTTTTTCGGCTTCCGTGGCGAGCTTGCGCACTAGGTCGTTGAGCTCTTTGGCGTTGGCGCCGCGGACGGTGGAGGTTGGGCGGCCGCGTTCGAAGAGAACGAAGGTGGGCATTCTAGAGTATGGGTTAGTAGCTGCATTGTATTTTGTTTGTGTATGGTGGTGGCTCGGTGGGATGGGCACGTACGCTGTAATCCCATACTGCCTTGCGATGTCTTGGTTCTTGTCAACGTTGACCTTCGTGAAGGTGATCTTGTTTGGGCGTGAGAGCTGCGAAGCTAGCTGCTCGTATGCTGGGGCGATGGCTTTGCATGGTCCGCACCAATCTGCGTAGACTATGTTTGTTTCTATGGGTTAGTTTGCTGTTCTTGATGTGGTTTGTTTGAATGCAAGTGATGGAGTGACGTTGCGAAGAAGTGAATAGGTGGTGGTGGGGAGGGGAAGGTGGGGGACAGCAGATGGGAGCTCACAGTCGGCGACAACAAAGGTGGAGGAGCTCAGAAGAGAGCTGAATTGCTCGCGTGAGTTGATTTGCACGAGTGTCGACATCGTGGAGGTGTATGTCGCGTAGTGAATGACGCGAAGGAGATGGAAGGAGGTTGGCGGTGGTTTGGTGAGCTGCGGTGGTGGTTACGGACTGGAGATATATTGCCGATATGTCATCAACGCCCCCGCCGACTGCTGCAGACCTGCCACTACTGTTAACAGCCTTACTACTAGTATGAGATGTTTTGGTGAAGATCTGACTTGAACTTTACAAGATGATTTTATTTAAATAAGATGCATGCATGTTCTATACGTAGATCTGATCGTTTCTTTTGTAGTCTAATCTCTATATATCTCATGTCTCATATATCATATCTTGACTCAAGTGGCTCAAGTTCTATTGCAGACAGACCTGGCGGTGGTAGCAACAAAGTCAAGATAAACCAAGCTTTACCACATGTATATAAGTGTCCATAGTACTGCATCGATCCGCGAGCAGTATCTCAATCACCCCTGGAGGGTGGGACAGGTCAAAGTGCCACTTGACCACGAGCGTCCGCTGCGGTATGCTGATGGTGAGCTATGGACTATCCCTCAAAGACTCCTTTGCGCAAGACAGAGTGCGCAATGCCCATTATGGGCTGGCGCTCCATCACCATACCCTGCCAGGAAAGGCAACTCAGTCGCAATTATCGCGACGAAAGGCACCCCAGGAGTATACTCCGAGCGAAGAATCCACCCATCGTCGCCCGAAGACGAAAACCAATCACACAAACACATCACACAGCACCACTCAAGTATTCTGCTCATCGCCATCCCCATCCTCAACAGCAAACAAAACCTTCATCCACAAGCTACACCCCCGACACCCAACAACGATCTCCCCATGATCCGCCTCCCTCTCCAAATCCTGCTCCGTAACCAAAAACCCCCTCTCATCGCCACACCGACACCCTCTATACCAGAGCGCAGCGTCCGCATCACTCTCATCGCACGCAAGATCCTCCAGATCAACAACCTCCAACCCCGTATGGAAAACCGTCCCTGTCTTCTCCCGCTCCGCGACCCTTGCGCGATCGAGTCGCAGCGACCGATCGTATTCAGCGCGTAGATATGGATCAGAAAGTGTTTGGTACGCGGTTGTGATCTCGTCTATTGTGTAGCGATGGCTTGTGTGCGATGAGGAGTTTGTGTCTGATGTGGGAAGGCTGCTGGTGTCTGCGATTGCGCCGGGCGCTTTGTCCGGGTGGTGCTTTAGCAGAGCTTTGTGGTAGGCTGCTTTGAGTTGTTGCTTAGAAAGCGCTGTGGGAGTCTCTGTAAAGGGGAGGTTGAGGACTTCGTAGTAGTCTTGGGTGAGGGGGTGGTTGGATCTGGTCATGGTGGGTTGGGTATTGCGCTGCGAATGAGGATGGGTTTTGCGCGGACAGATAGGAGGGTCGGTTCTTTCTCTCTAGAGCAGATTAATTTGATCTTTGGTTATTGTTCCATCCAGTCTGGTTTGTATCTTGAGAGACGTGGGCTCTGGTGGGCTTTGGGTTGGTCAGTCGCACGAGATGCGGCGGTTGGTGTTCGGAGATTGAAAGAAGACTTTCTCGTCGGCTCCGCACCGCCGCCACTTCTTGTGCGCTTCCGGAGAGATGCCGACTCGGCGTGACAACAACAATACTAGTACATTGTGCTACGTGATTACAGTATCAGGTTGATCCTGGTTACGTCGCAAAGGATATAAAGGCAGATGTCTTGCACGAACGAGCTATCAATAACTAGTCAGTTCAACTAGTACTAGTAGGCGTGATTATATGTATGTATATATATATCGCATTAAGTTCGCTGGTTAGCTGGTTAGATATTAGTACGCAAAGTATTACTATGAGATATCAGCTGAATCTTCAAAAGGATGGTTTATTAATCTAATCATCTAGACATTTCCACCCCTGTATGGTTTAATGCCCCGCGGCAAGACATGCCTGTCTAAGACGCATGCTATGGTCGTCGAACATCGATCGAGAACATGTCGGATATCAAAATGTGAACAAGAGAAAACAATGCTCCGCAGCAAAAATCCTAAAACAAACCGAACCCAGAATATTCACAAAGACCCCGAGAATATCTACTCAGAGGTCTTGAAGACATAGCGGTCCTCAGTCTTGAAGGGGACACCAAGTTCGAGGAGCTTGACGAACACATTGGAGAAGTCCTTGAAGAAGAGGTCGCTGTCCTTAGCATAGAGCTCGACGTACTTGCGGAAGGCCTTGTCCTTGGTCAGGGCAAGGTCAGCGGGCATCATCATCAGGGTACCAGTGGTCTTGTCAGTGAACTGCTTAGGGCCGTTCCACTTGCGCTGCTGCCACTTCTCCTCCACCAACAGACGGAAGAACTCGTTGGTGAAGACGGTAGGGCTGAAGTCCCAGGGACCGTCGAAGCCGGAGCGGTCAGTGTGGGCGCGACCAAGGGAGTGAGCTCCAATCAGAGCAACGATCTCCTGGTCGTTGAATCCCATGCGGTAGAAGATGTCACGGATGTGCGACTGCTCCTTGGTGGCGTCGGGAAGACGTCCGTCAGGGGTGCAAGCAGCAACATCCTTGTCCTCACGGCCAGGTCTCCAAGGGATGGCAGGGCCACCAAGCTCCTGGATGGCGCAGGCACCAGCCAGGGTCCACAGGTCGGAGTAGGTGATCCAGGGGAACTGGGCCTTGATGGGCTCCAAGAAGTCTCTGGCGTGCTTGAGACCAGCGTTGGCGCCGTGGTCGGACTCGGGGGCAAATCTCATGGTGGCACCGTTGCTTCCACCAGTGCCAGTCTCCTTGTCGTAGGTACCGCTTGCGTGCCATGCCAGACGGACAAGAACCTATCCAACAACAAGTGTCAGCTTCCCATGTACTCAATGGCCCAAGGTCATCAGATGGTGGGTGTCACTTACGGGTCCATAGCTGCCATCGTCATAGTCGGTCTCGTTGGCGAGACGGTGAGCAACGGCATCGTACACCTTCTGGTAGTCCTCCTTGGTGGGGACAAAGTCCTTGGAGCTTACGGAGGCATCACCACCCTTCAGGTAGAAGTAGGCGCCAACACCACCAGCGGCGGCAATACCAGCCCACAGGAGGCTGTTAGAGGACTTGGCCTCACCAGCCTCAGAGGCATAGCCGCGGCGAGAGGGAGCACGGAAGCCCTGAGAGGGGAGGGCAAAGCGAGCACTGCGAGCAGCAGGTCTGAAGGAAGAGGTAGCGGGGGTCGAGCGAAGGAAGGCCCGGGAAGCCGTTCTAGCAGCGGATGCCATTGTGAAAGAATGTAGAGGAAAGGAGACGAAAGCTCAGGGGTGAATTGGAAGCAAAGGTATGACAGAAGTCACTGGATGGTACACAGAGGGTGGGAAGAAGAAACCCAGGGGACAGGTGGATTACCTCGGGTGTAAGACGGGAGAGAAGAGGAAGACGAAAGGAAGGACAGAGAGTTAAAGTAGGAAGGGAAGAGGAGAGGAGAAGGGGAGAGAGACAGAAGAGGAGACGAAGACAGGGATACTAATAGGCTGCAAATTGTCTCCTCAGCGCTTCCAGCGACTTCCTCCACGACGACTTATTATGCCGAGTCCGTTGTCCAGGCACGGCGCACCAATGGCAACACGCAGATTGACGAGCTCTGGGCCGAATCTTTTGACTCAGCAAGTCGCTCTCCGCATTTCTGGCGCCGTGAATCTCTTTAGCCCGCGGGCAACTGGCAGTTGGTGGTGAGGAGACCAGAATTGGGTGACCCGATCTCCGGCAATTGACCCTGTCCGTGGCAAGATGACCCCCATTTCCCGACCCATGGCTCCGATCTCAGTCTACGAATCTTGGATTCCTACAGAGTGCCACAGAGCATTGAGTTGACTGAGCCATTGTTGTGTCGATTGTCGGTGATGTGCGTCCATTGAGACAGTTGTGAGCTCTCAGGAGGGGCAACAACCACCATCTCCATGCAACGATCATAGCCGATGCGACTAGTCAATCGCTCGTTTCTGGGTCCGCGGGCGGGTCCGTTGCCATATTATTAACAGGAACATTCTCTTTGGCAGAGACTCGCGGGTCTCACTGCTCTCAAGCCGCGGTAAATTCCGGGCGCCCACTGCCTTTCCCTTCGCCTGGTTCCTATTACTAAACTTTTATCCGTCCAGAATCTTCCCATTACTCAGCTCTCGAGTCTGGCTCTCATGATAACTGCTATCAGCCCTTCAGAACCATTCTAGAAGTCTGCTGGATAGAGCTCTCTGACAAACACCGCTTCTGAGTTCTGACAACTAATTAGGCTTTGATGCTTATCATTCTCAGTTGCCGTGATGGTTTCGTCCCCTATATGGTAGGACACGTTGGCGACCGCAACAACACGGCATGCTCGGTGATCAACCACAACTTCAGTTCCTCTTTGATTGATCTCAAGAGCTGCAGCAACGACCATCCCCCAGATATCTAGATGGGACGAGGAGAGCGACCATATGCAAGGGGCGTTAATTGGCTCGTACTTCCGGTGTGTGCAAAGCACCCTTCTCAGTAGCACCGGAACATGTCCACTCCTTCATCGGAATGCTTTCCGTACAAACGATAAAACACCCATTCCAGCCTCCCAGATTTACGTACCGCGCACATCACGTATGCATATCTACAGATAAAAAGAGGTATAGAGATAAACTCAGGATGTCCGTCGTAAAAATAGTCCTGCCGTCCGATAAAAGCGAACACCAGGGTGGAGTAGACGCAGCTCTGCTAAAAACTGTTTGGTTTTGATCTTCCACTGAACGAACTTGAAAAAAAGTATGCCTCTATGCCATTGAAAAGGCTAGAAGCGCACTGTGTGGTTTTCGTTGTGCTACGGAGACAAGAAAGTAAAGGGAAAAAAGGGGGTAGACAGCTGAATGACCCTGCAAGCATTCTGCAGTGTATCTTCTACCGGGTGACTGGAAGACATATACACTCAAGCCAGAGAGACGGGAAGGAATCGTTCATAATATTCCAGAACCCCTATGGCTTGAGGGTTGAAAGGCAGGTTGAGTGACAGAAGGAAGGGGGAAACGGTGGGTGAGAGAAAATTGGAGGAAAATTGGTCTTTTCGCTTAAGCTTTTGGTCATGTGATGTAAACGCTAGCCTAAGCGAGTATGGTGGTTTATATTGCTCGATAGGGATACAGCTATCTACATATTAGCGGGCTGTCTGGCACTTTCGTTCTTTCTTCTTCAGCATTGAAGATAAGTTGTACATGCATCGCTTATTTCATGTTCAGTAAGGTATCAATGGATACTGCAATGGCATAACTGCCAGTGTGTATGCTATCGATGCCTGGTGCTATACTCATCGCCTATTTAACATGGACTCGTTTACTGTGCTGAATCGTTACGAGAGACGAGAGAAGGTATATTTTTATTCGACTGAATAAGTATATGAATAATCAGTGTGGCTCTCATGAAAGTATCAGCAGACTTAGGTATATTTCATCAATCAACGAAGTCTAGTACAAAGGAAACCCCTCACTTCCTTCTAGATCTGATCTCATCAATGGCCAATCCAATGAGCTGGCTAATAGGCCCACCACGTCTCTTCTTTTGCCTCCGCTCTTGCTTTTTGGGACTGTACGACGTCATATCAGGTCTCTGCTGTGACTCGAGCTCGGAACTTCCCTGAGCCGGCGCCTCGCAGGCCTCGTACTCTGTCGGACGTTGACGGACTTCCAGAGTCATTCCAACTCCCAGGCAGATCCCAACAATCACGATTTCCTCCAGAACCGCCATGACCAGGAAGACGGTGACGTTTCCGGTAAACATGTTGAATGTGGGGTTGTGTGTGAATACAGACAACAGGGAGTATATGAGGCGCACGAGAAGCAACGGAACTGAGACCCCAACTGCCAAAAGCAAGCGATGTTCGCCATCCTCAATGCTTGCATACTTGCTCCCGACGACGAGTAGCAGAACACAGAGGCAGGCCCATGCGATGACGTACAGGACGTCGCCAACTTTGGCTTCTATACTATTCGTGATTCCCTGAAGGCTGGAGCTCATGCTTGAACCAACAATGCAAAGAACCATGCCCGCTAGTGTGAGGAGACCGATTAGTCGGAAAAAGGCTGGAAGGAGGCCTCGTCCGGTTTTTCGATGGATGGAATCGTTACTGGAGTACCAGGGACTGGTTAGTAACTTGACAATATCGAAAAGGGAGAGATGGGTCGTACACTCGGGACAAGAGACCGACGCAAGTGGAGATCAGAGGGGCCAGCCCGATGGAAGTGCAAACTCCCCATGCGATATAAAGGTCGATCGTCTCAGGATGGGCTATCGTGGCCAAGTAGCAGCACGAACCAACAACGCGGGCCAAGGAAAAGATTATTAAGAGAATCCAGCCGGCGTTTCTCTGGAAGCCATGGCGAAAGCCCATAAACAACGAGATGAACAGGGACGGCAAGTATACAATCAATTCCAATATGGAGAGACCATGTCGGTAGTTGACGGCCATGACTGCGGTAAAGAGAGGAACAACGAGTCAGTGTCTCCTATGGAGTAGAAGAGAAGAAGTGTTGAATTTGAACAGTCTGCTTCATTGGAACGTCGGTAGAAGAGAGGCAAGTTATATAACTTCCAGGCAACCGTTTTCCCCCCTTGAAGGCCGCTATAGTTCTAACAGGATCACACATTTTCTTCACGGAACCAATACTTGCACCCACAAGGCTGTGCTTCCCTGGTATATACCTCGAAACAAGCGGCTATCGGGAGCTTGGGGCTATGCTTAGCCATATAGTTCTGCCCAACCAAAGGCCACTATGGAGGCCAGATGGAGCAGACTTGATGGATGTTTTAACGGCGATATCGTGGATGGAGCATTGAGACCAATCAGGATACGGGATTGCTCGCCCTGCTTACCACATGCGGCTAGATCGACCCCCACCGGATTGGGGCTTCGCTGGACTCGTGGCGTTTGGTGATCCCTCAATACGAACTTCACCTATCTGTCTTGCGCCCCGGAGCTCAGTCTGCAAAGGACCTACATGTTGGGGCCGCAATATGTCAACCTTGGTATACCCTTCTCTAACACCATTTAGGCATCCCTTGCGATACGACCCTCCCAGTCTACATGCGGCCTCTCCCCACTCGTGATGGGCAAGCCAAGCGGAGGTTGTGGTACGTGTCGTGGGCGAAGAGTCAAGGTAAGTAGTATGGCCTTGTCGATGATCAGCCGTTCTATACCGTATCAGAAACATCGGCGCTTTCCACTTGTTCCATTAATTCCTGATCACAGCTCATAGTGCGATGAAACCAGACCTGTCTGCCGTCGATGTAGGAAAGCAAGGCGGACTTGCTCCGGTTATCGAGACCCGCACTCGGTATGGTTTAGGGACGAGAGCGATGCAGTAGCCCGAAGAGTCAAGGGATCTGCCACTTTAGACACAGGATCTTCATCCGCAGAATCTCCAATTCTGACGCTAGCCAGAAGAAATACTTCCTCTGAATACTACCCTGGACAACACACCCTGCGGTTCCCCCTAGCGATAGTTAACTTTGCGTTGGATCATACTTTCCAAGCCACATGCTTTTTCCTGGACGCTTACACGTGGTTCAATGCTTCTAAAATAGTGGAAACCTCATTCAAACATGGGGCCGGTCCAGCTGAGTCCCTTGGCCAGAAAGCTATGATGGCTAGCATTGCATCCGTGGGATTAGCGAATCTTGCTAGTATGCAGAGGTCCTCATCAATGCGGTTGTCGGCTCGGCACGAGTATACTACGGCTCTACAGCTGACGAACGCAGCTTTGTGCGACCCGAATCTGGTTACGGCAGATACAACGCTGACCGCGATCGTTTGTTTATCATTATTCGAGGTGAGTTTGTCCATGACGAACCACAGAATATATATCTCACTGACCTTCTAAGATTATTGCTTGCCACAAAAATGAGAGCCTGGATTCCTGGATCGAACACTCGCAGGGGGTGGCAACTGTCCTTGAACTTCGCGGCAGAGATCAGCTTCGGCGCGAAGGCGGGTTCTGGATGTTTCAAGCCCTCCGAAATGAGGTGGTGGGTGCTATCCAAGTCTCTTGACTCAGAACCTGACTAATGGTCCCTCCAGGTCCTTGGTTGCCTACAAAAGAAGACGAGACTCCCTTCTGTTCTGGTCGATATGCCTGATCAAGTAGCTGCCGACTTGCCGCCGTATCCTTTCCCACCTGACGGGGATCGACTAGTGAAGATCTTGGCTAAATTCACCGGGCTTCAGGCTGATGTCAGAGAAGGAATCCTCTTGGACAGCAGTGAGATTGTAAAGATGGCCATGTCTATAGACTTGGAGTTAGGGCATTTCGCTAGCCATGTCTCAGCCGGTTTCACCTACAAGGTAGAGACACAACCCGGTAGTGTGACATCCTGCGAGCACGACGAGGGCAATTTCTGCCATTACCAAGGCACCTATCACATCTACCAATCCATCTGGTCCTGCAATATCTGGAACAATTATCGCTACACCCGAATTCTCGTTAACAGCATGATCCTTACCCATCTGCGATCAATGGCCTCGAGTGGCCATCAAGTTCTGGACTATGGCCTCTTCAAGGACCATTGTATTCGCATCCGTGATCTGATGAGGCAGCTAGCAACGGACATCTGCTGCTCTATCCCATTCAAGTTCGGAGTTGCTGGTTTTGATAAAAAGGATGTCTATGATTCCCTGCATACCCACGCGGGCACTGGGTTCACTTTGCTTCTGCCGCTGGCTATGGCTGCACTTGTTGGCGGAGTTTCCAGCCCGATGCATAACTGGGCCATGAGATGCTTCCACGTCATTGGTCGGGGGATGGGCATTGGTACTGCTTCAACCCTCGTCGCGGTCTTGGGGAATGAACCGGGTGGGCTACATTGGATAGATGCGATGGAGTCTGGCCACATCGTTTGTTCACGGGCCGTGTTACAGTGAACTTCCTCAAGGCGCCTCCATTGGCGTGGGGGATTAGTCTCTATGATTGATGTGTACATGTAGTATATTTATGAATAGATTGAAACGGATATATATATATATATATATATATATATATACGAACAACTGGAAACTCTCATGACCCATTTGCTGATATGCTCCGTGAAAATGCCGATGGCTGGGATATCCACACCCACAGTGACGCCTGAGGCCTCCACGACCCATGCCGCATATCACGTGCCCCACTATGGCATTGGCCCATATAAAAATCTTTCTTTCCGCGCCGCTTTCTTTTTTCTCATCACACTTTTCATACCTCACGAACGCATAATCAACCTCCAATTCCTTCTTAATTGACCATAGGATGGCAGGTCATATTGGCGTACTAGAGTAACTTTACCCCGGGCATAATTGGCTCCTCTACCGCACTGAGTTCCTCCCGGAGCTCGTCTGTGCAATGGTGGTCGGAGTCACCTGCTGCTCAAACATTCCCATCGATAAATTGGGTATGGAGTGTGATTTGAGATCGTAGACGTAAAATAGTATTGAACCAGATGCACCCGCGAGTGCCGGATCAGCGACACTGTAACAGTTGCCTTAGGCTGTCAGTTCGCATTATTCGCCTCTCAGGGTCCCTGGCTGCATCGGGCCGTGGGATTTCATGACGCGTCCCGGGATCCATGCAGAAAGTCCCCTCTTGGAAGGCAAGCACTGTGGAATGGGGCTTGGGATGCTTCCATAACGTTATTCGAACGCAAGAGGGGTGTCTCATTGGCGTGACTGCTGCCAAATCATCATGGATAGACTTTCCACCAGGAACAGGACTGGTCTAAGAAGAGTTAAGCCGGTGTTAACCATCCTGGCCGGTTGGGGGTCGAAAGTCAAGAGTTGCTTGCAGCCATTGGGGGCTGCTGCCCCTGATGCCACCCGGACGCTTGATTTTCTCCTATCCTTCCTGTACAATTGCTTGCTCTGAAATTATAACTTTCTGGGCGTCTGCGCCATCCCTCCGATCAAAGATTCCCTCGTAGATATTTATCTACTATCTATCTATCTATGATCTAGTGATTTTGAACAGCAGACAACGTGGGCCGAATTGGGTCGGCAGCGGACAACAACTAACTATTAATATCGTGGGAATCTAACTGAATCAATCCATCCTCGCTGCTGTGCTCCCCACCTCCGCCAACTCCTCTCTCCTCATCCCTGGCCGCTCCTTTTGCTGGCTTGCTTGTTTCCCTGCCCAATTCCCCCTCCCCCTCCTTCTTTACTGCTTTTGTTGTGCATCAACTGCTCGGCCTCATTGACGGACGCTTTCCCGGTGTAAATATGCTTTGCCTCTCAGCTTGAAGGTTTTCCCGAATCCCCGTTCCGGAAGCTCGGCTCGTGCTGTTGCTGCTTGAGACTTTTTTTTCCCCAACTCGCCCCCTACATCTCACGACTTCTCCCCCTCTCCTTGTCTTGGGTTTTGTGAGACCGGAATTTCACCCCTGTCGTCGCGCGAGATACCCCGCCATTCTGTTAGAGTGTTGCGACCATGGTGGCCGGAATTAGCAAACGGCAGCAGTTCCGCAATGAGCGGGCGCTGCAGGACCTCATTCGGTCGGTCCCTGGAAATGACCGCTGTGCCGATTGTCAGGCTTTGAATCCAGGTGAGTAGCGTCGCTGCATGTCTTGTTTTTGGTTCAGTATGCTAATGGATTGCTTTCTCCGGTATAGGATGGGCTAGTTGGAACGTACGTCTCTCATCAACCCGGTTCATACATACACGCACTCTTTCGTTTCATTGGGAAGGACGGGATATACTGATTGGAATGCATATACAGATAGGAATCTTTATCTGCATGCGATGTGCATCTTTACATCGCAAGTTGGGCACACATATCTCCAAGGTCAAGTCCTTGAGTATGGACACATGGACGGACGATCAGGTCGACGTGAGTTGTGATAGTGATCCGGGATACATTTCGGAGCCAGAGAATGAGGGCGCTGACCGGTGGTACTGTCTAGAATATGAAATCGCACGGAAACAACATCATGAACAAGATCTACAACCCCAAGAACGTTAAGCCGCCTGTTCCGACCGACGTTGACGAGTCCGATGCATGCATGGAACGCTTCATTCGCCAGAAATACCAGCACCGGTCCCTCGACGAGGCGAAAGCAAAGCCCCCCAGCCGTCATGATTCAGGCTACGATAGGCCTCATGCAGAGGACCGGTCTCCGGAAGGCTCTCCTCCTCCCCTACCTCCTAAGCCTGCCAGGCCCTTTGGCTTCGGTCTTCGGTCCGCTTCATCTGCGACCAACCTCAACCGGATGTCCAACAGAGGTTCGGCAATTTCACCACAGTCGGATAGCTTCGGTGCGTCGGGAATCTCAGTGAGGAAGGGCTCGGGAGATGCGTCGTTTGATGCGAAGTTGGCGACCTTACGGGACATGGGCTTCGCGAACGAGCGCCGCAACGCAATCGCCCTCCGCGAGCTGGACGGGAATCTAGAAAAGACCATCGAGACGTTAGTGAGACTGGGAGAAGGCAATGGATCTGTCTCGCTTGCAAAGTCTCCGGCTGCGCAACCCACGCCTGATGCTGGCAAGTCTTCCAATCCGTTCGATCAATTGGATGCCAGGCCCGCTACTCGCCAAGCAAGTGGGAGCTACAACCCGTTCGATGCACCTGTGCAGTCTCAGCAGCAGGTCCAGCAAGCCCCGGTGCAATCGCTGGAGCAGTCGTTCCAGAACCTGCAGGTCGCTCAGCCCTTGTTTCCACACTCCACCGGTGGCTATCCAATGCGGCAGGTCTCGCTTCCTCAACCTCTCTACCAGCAGACGGCGACACCCCCGGTTCCCACGAATTTTGCCCAGAGCGCATATGTCTCTTCTCCGCAGCCGCTAGATGGTGGCAACAATCCTTTCTTTCAGACCGGAGCTCAGCCGCAGGCCAGCATGACCCCTCCCGCGTCCAATATTGCCCAGAACAACCCCTTCTTCAGTCAAGTTGCACCGCAGCCGACCGGGATGCAGCAACCACCTCAGAGCCAGGCTGCATCAAATTCCCCATTCGGTCCCCTTCGGCACGCAAACACCATGCCTGCCATGCCTTCTACATCGCCTTTCGGCCAGCCTTCTCCATTCCAATCACAGCTCCAGTCCCAGCCCCAGCTTCAGCCCCAGCCCCAGGCGCAACCGCAACCCCAATACCAAATGCAGCAGCATCTGCAACAACCGCAAGGGTCTTTGAACCCCTATCAAGCCATGACTGCGCCAGCTACCCCTCAGAGCGCAGGATACTTGGCGCAACCGCAATACGGATATCAAGCATCCGCGCAGCATCTGGCGCCGCAGCCCACCGGCCGCGTCGACAAGAACAGCATCCTCTCCCTCTATCAATTCTCCCCGCAACCTTCCGCCATCCCAGAGCAACCACAATACCGACCCTCCACGGCCGTAAATCCCCCCACTCAGACCGGCCAGCCTTCACCCTTCAATACCATGCCGCAACAACAACAACAACCACAACCTTTCAACACCATGCCCCAACAACAGCAGCAGCAACAACAACAACCACAACAGCAACAACAACAACAGCAACAAAGCAACCCCCTCACAGACCCCCTATCAGCAAGCGGCACCCGCAACCCCTTCTTCACGACAGCTCCCCAACCAGGAGCCTCCGCCCTGGCCCCAACCACCACCGCACAAGCAACACCCTACCTCACCACCACCGCCCCACCCCAACAGCAACAACAACAAACAGTCAATGTCTACGGAGGAATGCCCAACAAGCCCGCCGGCTTCCCGCGAGGCCACATGAGCCAACAAAGCGTCGATATCAACGGCTTCCAAAGCGGACGACACAGTCCCGATGCCTTTGCCAGCTTGAGTGCGCGATATGGATAGTTTCATCCCTTCTATTTTCACTTCTGAAAATCTATCGATCTACCTATAAATTATCTATCTATTGCACATTATTCTCCTTGACCATATATCTATCTATCTATATATAACTTCTGTCTATCGTTTTGTACTCGTCGACTCGAGCTTTATATTTTATGTGATTCGCAAGGGAATTTGAAGTTGGGGAGGCGAGTGTAAAGTAGATAGACTAGCTGATTGCATTTTTGGGCGTCGTTGCGTTCGCTATTTGTCTTTATTGTTTCGAGGGTTTATGCGGTATATATTCTTCTGTATTTGCTTTGTAGTGGTCGGCTGGTGCTACTACTGAGTATATTGTTCTTTTACATTTCATGTTGCTTCCTGCTGGCTTTTTGCAGTGGCGGAAAGGTATATAGTGGTTTTTTTATAGTTTCCTGTTTATTCCGTCGGGGAAATTGTTGCATAGAGATAAGTTATTTTTTAGTTGTTGGATATGAGTTTGGGTAGCAGGTCAGAAAATCAATTAGATAGCTAACGAGGTACTGTGTATGGTATTTGGTATTTACTGAAATGATATAACTTCCAATGTGACAGAATCCTTCCGTTTCAAACTATGCAGCAGAGGTATCTGAGGTATTAATCCAAAATGTTCACAATACAAATGAATATACAGCATAGTATAGTAACACAGTTAGTATCTTCACGAATATATATGCACACATTAAGCTACTAAGCCCAGTTTGCCCGATCGTTCATCCGCCGGTTCAATTCTTCCCAGGCGGGAAATGTCCAAGATGATGATTTTCTGGATGATCTTGAGAACGGCCAGGCCGGCAATTCAAACCCGAAAATGGTTGTGCGTTTGCGGCGTTGCCATGGCCATGCCCACGACCAAGATCCCGATTGGGACTTGCTTGAAAATATAGATTTCCACAAACGCGTTAAACGTTGCTTGTGTGTAGGCTTGGTGAAAGTTTGGACGATGCGATCAAAGTGGAGATCCCGGCTCTCGCGTTGGCGTTGGATATACAGGCTGTCCCGGGCGGCTTGTTCGGAGGGATCGACGCACCAGATGACTATGTCGCCCCGACGGCGCCAGTCGTCATGCCAGGCGGTGTTCCAGGTGCGGTGGCATTCCTTATACGCGGAGAAGCGGAGGAGACTCCGGAGTGTGGGTTCTAATTGGGCGAAGAAGACAAGGTAATCGGGCCATTCGTGCGGCGTTTTGAACTGGTACTCTGTGGGCAACTGCGAAGATTTCCGATTATACTTGTCATAGGATGGTCTTCGAGGGAATCTGCGCAGGCCGCCGATCATGTTCGTGCGCAGGAACTGCTCAGGATCGGCGTAGAACTGGTCCGCCTCGTCCAAGTACGTTGCTTTCTCGGACGCGTCGAGGCCGACGGGAGGCTCGCAGGACAGTGCCCAGGCGCTGATGGTGGGGTAGACCAAATGTGAGCGCCACGGAGTGCTATGGCAAGGCATGAGGAACCCGGCTGTAATCCCGGGCTGAGAAGTATCGGTCATATCGTTGGAACCATGAATCTGTCGCTGGTCCCGAAGGTAGGATAATACGGCCGCTGGGCCGGATGCATGGATGACTGTCGTGTAGAGCGCAATGACGGCGTTCGCCAGGAGCAAGAAAACCAAGGTGAGCCGCCTGGGGGTGTGTCTCTGACTTCCCCCGGTGACCGCGGGACGGAAAAATTTCACCAGAACAGGAGCAGTAAGGACATGCAGCGAGGGCAGCAATGGATAAATGAACCGCACCTCCTTGTGCGATATCAGCGACAGCCCAAAGATCATGATGAGGCATACGGAAGCAAGCTGAACCTGAATCGAAGCTTGCAACTCGCTGAGCCCTCCCGATCGCGGTCGAGTCAGTGAATGGTACAAACCAGCTGCGGCGAAGGGCAGGGCTGTAGTCAAGAGGAGAGGAAGACCCTGGGACAGATAGTAGTGCCAGTCATTCTTCCCATAGAAGACCGCCAGCGATTGGGCAAGGTTGAAGTACAAGAACCGCAGGGGTGGAAAAGTCCAGAATCCGTAGAAGAACCGATCTGCTGTAGTCGACACGGCCAGGACAGCCGAACTGTAGGAGTGTTAGAAGTAGTTGCGCATTTGAGAGACTGGAGGGAACCGCTAAGCTCACCCGCAGAGTAAAGCTTCGCGGACGAGTGTCGCCCGTCGCAGGGGAGTGCCCCGGTATAACAGCAGGCTAGCTAGTACCATCCAGATCAGGAGGTTGGTGGGCCGCAGTATACATGCCACAGCCGCTAGCACAAGGCATTGTCGAAACCTATCCCAAGAGATAGAGTCAGTGCATATCTTACAGAGTTGGGTGAAAACATATGGTCGTACCTGCTCAGAACAGCAGTGTCAGACTGGTCCTCGTTGGTCTGGGACTTGAGACTACGTGGAGGCGACCCTCTGGGTTGAGTGGTGGTTGAGGGATCCGACGACCATACCCATGGCCACAGATAAAGAGCAACGATGGTAAGGGAGGTCTCCAGACAGTTCGACAAGGTCCTTGTGGAGCAGAACCATTGCCAGGGACTGATGATGGTCAAGGCCAGCTACATCCAGTGATTAGCCCTGATACGACGCATGCTGGCTGGAGAGCTGAGACATACTGCAGCCCAGGCCTCGTGAGACATGGGATCATACACGCGACAAGCCAATCGCCAGGTAAATAGGTCACCGACGGCGGCGATAACGGCTTGAGCAACCTTGGGGGCAGCAACCAGGCATTCCGCTTGCCAAGCAGGGGAAAGGCGGAGTAGGCGAGTGAGCAGATCGGTGGTGGCGTAAACAGCGGTAAAGAGTAGGGGGTGAAGGGAGGATCTCAGCTGGTGGCGCCATTCCTGTCCCACGACATCGTCATTGATTATTAGTCCTGAAGAGCCCCAGCAGATTGGTTGCAGAGATGTAGTGAGGACACCAACATTCTTGGAAGACGCAGGGAGGTGCAGAGCGAGATGCTCCAATGGAAAGGGAGAACTCACCCAAGTGATCCAAGGCGCATGGTCGTCTCCAAATGCGGCCCGCCAAGCAGGCTCGAGAGATTGGAAGAACTCATCGGGTTGGAAAAAGGTTCGGACGGTCAAAGCGTTGACCAGACGGAAGGCGATGAGGAAGAGAAAGATGCGAAGAGAGGATGGCGGGGTGGACAGGAAAGTGGAGGAGGAGGAGGAAGAGGAAAAGAAGGAGGAAGACCAAGAGGATGGCCTCAGGTGACCGGAGCGGGAGAAGGAATCATACAGAAGAGAGGCGTCGGGATCGGAGGCATCAGCGTCGGCGATGTAGTCACTGTCCGATAAGGAGGAGGGGGAGGAGAAGGAGGTTGTTGAAGAGGCTCTCCGCCGACGACGAACCCCAGACATGATGGTCGGAGGAATTATTTACTAGTCAGGCACACACCCCAGATTTTCTGGGATGATTAAGTTATGGAGCCTCTGGACCGGATTAAGGGATGACGATGTGATGGTGAGTGGTTGGGTGGAATTTTGGGGAGGTACCACGGTGTGCAGCACTAGTTCAGTGCAGTCACTAGTCACTAGTCACTAGTCACTAAATAACTAACTAGTCACTAGTTAGTGATTAACTAAGTAGTGACTTTTTCTTAGTAGTAAGTAATAGTCACGGTGAACTGCCAAGTTTACAGGTCACGATAAACTGCCATCTTTGTTGGTTTGGTTTAGTTTGTTTACGGGGGAATCGGAAAGGGAAGAAAGAAAGATACCACTTGGTCCCTTCTCAGTTCAGCCAACCAGCCAACCAGCCAATCTCGTGTTCTCTGGACTGGGTCGGACCGATAGCAAGCGTCGAGATCCGCTCCGTGGGTCTTTCGAAGAGGTAAAAGAGTAATTGTCGGGATGATGAGTGGCTGCCAGAAGATTCAAGGAAGGCGGCCAGAAAACGCAGGCCACCATGAAGTGGAGCGGAGCCGCCCGCCTTAGTCAGAAAGACATCATGATCGCTTCCACCTGCACTTAGGAGTCTTCTCCGCGTCCACCTGCGCTTAACGGTGTAGCTTCGGCCTCGCAAATTTCCTGTCTACCACAATTCGTGTGTTTGCCAGCCAAATCGGTAAAAGCCTTCCTGTCACTGCTGCACTCTCTTCTCCCCTGCCTCAACCCTTCTTATACCGTGTCTTTCCCCCCCTTCTCTGTGCTTCGTTTGTTCTTTCTTTCTTATCTTATACTTCACAGATACCTCCCCCTCAATCCTTCCTCTTCCTCTCCTCCTGCTCTCATATCTCTCTTCCTCTTTCCCCATACTTGCCTCTTATATCCCCTCATCCTCTGAAACACTACTCCCCTTAAACTGCCCTTTGATTCTTCTTTCACCATCATGGCGTCCAACGGTACCAATGGAACTAACGGCCACAATGGCGTCAGTTCCTACCATGCCTCCACCACCCAAGAGGCCATCCAGGCCGAGAAGGACTTCGCCGCTCACAACTACCACCCACTCCCCATCGTCTTTGCTCGTGCCCAGGGCACCACCGTCTGGGACCCCGAGGGTCGTCAATACCTCGATTTCCTGTCCGCGTACTCCGCTGTCAACCAGGGTCACTGCCACCCCAAGCTGGTGGCGGCGCTCGTCGATCAGGCCTCCCGTTTGACTCTCAGTTCCCGTGCCTTCTACAACGATGTTTTCCCTCGGTTTGCTGAGTTCGTGACCAAGTACTTTGGCTTCGACATGGTCCTGCCCATGAACACCGGTGCGGAGGCGGTCGAGACCGGCATCAAGATCGCCCGCAAGTGGGGTTATAAGGTGAAGGGGATTCCCGAGAACCAGGCGGTGGTCCTGAGTGCGGAGAACAACTTCCACGGACGCACAGTAAGTATCTGAAAATAAGATCGTGTAATTGGACTTTGATCCCAGACTGACCGGCGTGTCCCTTGTCTAGTTCGCTGCTATTTCCTTATCTTCTGACCCCGAGTCGCGCGAGAACTATGGCCCTTACCTGCCCGGTATCGGCTGCACCATTCCCGGAACGGACAAGCCTATCGCCTACAACGATAAGGCCGCCTTGCGGGAGGCCTTCGAGAAGGCGGGTCCCAACCTCGCCGCCTTCTTGGTGGAGCCCATTCAGGGCGAGGCAGGCATTGTTGTCCCCGACGAGGATTACCTGCAGGAGGCCAGAGCCCTGTGCGACAAGCACAACGTCCTGCTGATCTGCGATGAGATTCAGACCGGTATTGCCCGCACTGGCAAGTTGCTCTGCCACGAGTGGAGCGGCATCAAGCCTGACATGGTGCTGCTGGGCAAGGCCATCTCCGGTGGCATGTACCCTGTGTCCTGCGTGCTGGGCCGCAAGGATGTGATGCTTACTATTGAGCCGGGCACTCATGGTTCGACCTATGGAGGTAACCCGCTGGCCTGCGCGGTCGCTATCAGAGCCCTGGAAGTCGTCCAAGAGGAGAACATGGTCGAGCGCGCTGAGAAGCTCGGTCACGTCTTCCGCGATGGTCTGCAGGCCATCAAGAGCCCCATCATCCAGACCGTGCGCGGCAAGGGTCTGCTCAATGCTATTGTCATTGATGAGTCCAAGACCAACGGCCACTCTGCATGGGACCTCTGTATGCTGCTTAAAACGAAGGGTTTGTTGGTAAGTCAATACGGTTGCCTTGGATTCTCGATCAAATGCTAACTTCTTCTTCAGGCTAAGCCAACTCACGAAAACATCATTCGTCTGGCGCCACCCTTGGTGATCACTGATGACGAGGTCCAGAAGGCCTTGGACATCATCAAGGAAGCCGTCAACGAGCTCCCCACGCTCACCGGTGCGGCTGAGGATGAGGTCATTCCCCCGCCGGAGAAGAAGGTCAAGGTCAGCCTCGAGAACTAGAGGCCAGACACCACGGAGGTGACGGATGGTATCCTAGTGGGAAACGCACTGGGATGAACTTGGTACATCGACGCAACCGCGACAGTGCCTGAACATCGTCAGCATCTGAGTATGGCTTGTTCCGACCAGAGACGATGACTTGTCGTGTCGAGCAGAGGACTCGTACGGGCGCGGGGTTTTTGACTCATCGTTATGGTTGATCCATGATCAGAAGCCCAAGCGTGAGTGATGCGGTTGCACACCGTCTCTGCCACCTCGTGTGAGATGCCCTGAATTCGTAGCGCCAGTTGGATATCGATCTTTAGATGGATGAAAGTTGATGATAACGCTTGATGACCATAAGAATAAAACTCCAGCCTAGAATGAATTCAAAGCGAGTGTTTTCCCTCATATTATGTGTAGTTTTGACGTGGTTGTAGTTGAAAAGAACACGCGATGTTTGTTGATGATGCATGTGGCCGCCCCCGCGCTTCTCCCCCTCTTCCTTCCTCCCAGATCCCCTCCCTCCGATTGCTCCCCATTTAATCCCTCTCACCTTACCAGTTTCTGCCGCCATAATATATCCCGCATAGAATATGCGTAGCACTTCCCATATCAATCATACCATACACGATCAATACTTTTCCAAAAGTAAGTTCGTATGACACTCGAGCCTTTTCTATTAACACGACTTCCCCATCTCATACTAATAACCGTGTGATGGAGTTGAACAGAGAAAAGGGTGCTGGGCATTACTATACAATGGTATCTATTTATATCTTATCCTCATCTTTGTTAGTTCTTCCAATTCTATTATCCTAATCCACAATGCCAATATGTACTCCCGTTTCTTGCTGGTGGTCTTTGACCGAGGATTATTGTCAGCCTAGTCAGCAAGGGGGTAGCCAGGGGAGGGGGGGAGTAAATGCAAATGCCAGTCGGAGGAAATTGTAACTATCTCGGAGACTTTTTCACCTTACGGTCTACTACTCATCAATGATTAGACTAAAGAATACTGGGAAATGTACGAAGTATTGATTTGATTTATTCTGATATACTCAGCTATTCCTGAGATTGTAGACAGTCTGATCATTTCATGTGTCTCATACCGGATAGATACTAGTTGCTTGATTAGAACATGAATAGCATCCTTCCATCCATTGGGGCTAACGCATTGCGTAACCAGGCCGCTATCACTCACTCACTCCCAAGAACCCTCCTTCAAAGCAGGAAGGATGACACTACGACACTCTCCAAACCCGAATTTACGTCCCGTGAGACGGTTAACGCACCACCCTTCCATGATGACTTCGTCTCCGTCTGCAAGGAAGTCGAGACCGTCCTTGCTGGCTTCGGAGAGGATGTTTCTTTCTAGTTTTCGCTCCAGGAGGCATGCGACTCCGATTTCTTCTCCTTGGGCGTTGAGGCGCTTTTACAATTGTTAGTTCGTTATTCTTGTCGTATAGTATTGTTTGTTATATCTTTAAAGGAATGGGAGGTGTTACGTACATCGCTAGTTATGGTGCCCGTACCGAAGATATCTCCGGTCGACAGACCCTCGCCTGCGCTACAGAGGTGGGTCACCTGCTGGTATGGAGTCCAGTAGAGCTCTTTCAGGTTTGTTTCGGTGACGGTGTAGGATTTTCCATTTCCTGTGGAATTGTCAGCATGTCGTGTGATGATATTGTGATAAGAGGAGGGCATGATAAGGAGCGGTGAGGAAGGAGCTTACGAATAACTCTCGCTTTCAGCTCAATATCGAAGGTTGCCTCGTCTTCCTTGCCCTTCCATGCTAGGTGTTTCAAGGGCGCCGGGTCCTGCACCCTAGCATTACATTGTGACCCCTCCAGTGCCTCGATAGGTACAATCCATGGTGAGATGCTTGTTCCCGAGCCCTTGCTGTGGAATGGGCCCAATGGTGCCATCTCGTACGTCTGGATATCCCTTGCAGACCAGTCATTCAGGATGACTAGGCCGAAGATGTGGTCCTTTGCGTTGTTGATGTTAAGGATCTCGCCTGGAGGGAGTGGATGGGATAGGTAGACGCCCATTTCTAGCTCGAAATCAAAGCACGCGCTGGGTCTGAATGCTGGTGGGTCGTTGGGTTTGTTGGAGTCGAGCGTCACGCCCCAGGGTCGTCGGATGGGAGTACCGGAGATGCGGAGGCTGCTTTGTCGGCCGTTGTATACGGAGGGGATGACGAACCATGAGGCTGGAGGCTTCATGGAGAAGAGTTCGGAGCACTGATAATCTAAGTTTCTAGATGCAGAGAGGAAAAATGGGGTAGACGTACGTTTCTGGTGTGTTCGAACGAACAGTAAAAGTCGCTGAAGTTCTTGGTTTCCATTGGGAGGTGGTTCTGTACCTTTGAGAGGGGAATGGCATACTTTTTCCGGATATCATTGTCTGAGAGAAGGTCGACAAGCGCTGCTCTGGTCCGTACATGGGCTTCTTTTGAGAGAGAGGCGAACTTGTTCAGGGTTGGCTGCAGAAGTTAGGCCCCATCTATTGGAAAGTTGGAAAGGGGCGGGTGTCTTTATTAGATACCATAGAAAAGACGTCCCCTTTCAATCCTGGAATAGACTTGAAGTATCCATCTTTCTCAAGTGCACTCAGGTCTATGACATCGTCCTCCAAAACTGTTGCGCATCTCGGAGTCGGTGTTTCCGCGGTGGAGATCACACCGTACGGAAGGTTGTCGATGGTAAAGGGCGTCTCAGTTAGGGTCATTATGCCTATCCGGAGTTGATGTCAACGATAGGTAAAAACTTAGAAGTTTACGAAGCAAGAGCATATTTATCTCATGCTGAATGAGGGGTGCTTGGGTATCACTGCAGCAAGTGCGACTCGAGAGGGGATTGGAGCTCGGGCCGGCTGCACGACCTATGCATTTGTTCATTGTTACTTTTCCCGATAGCAACGGAGTAACTTCAATGCGGTGGGACCTGCAATCATTCCGATAACAACGGAGTAACTTCAATGCGGTGAGAGCTGCAATCAAGGGACGGAAAATTTAGCTGTACATTATGGTGCTAGTTGAAGTTAGACGTCAAGTCTCTGTATGCTCAGATGTAAGGGGCTCACTAGCACCACCGCCATCATGAACCTCGGTCGAAGCAGGATACAATCTCTCATCCACCAACTTCCCTACAATGATCGATGAAGAGAAGACCCAGGAGGTTGTTCATGGCCTCAAAACCACCCCTGATGGGCTCATACTCGACCCGCAGCCATCGGACGACCCTAACGATCCATTGGTATGCTCTGCGTCGGGTTTGAGTGGACAGAAGCTGACGAAACCAGAATTGGAAGCCTTCGAGAAAGGCGCGTATACTTTCGATATGGGCAATCGCTTGCTTCTCAAGTCAAGCTACTTGTATGACGAACATGCAGGGATCATATCTTCAGGCGCCTCTTTATCACAAGACGGCTACTCAGATTTCTCTCTCCGTAAGTGGCACACTAGCATATAGCAGCATGTTACTGAAAGTGAAAGGTCTCATGCGGGCTCATTGGCATTATGGTCGGCTCCATCCTAGTCGTCCCTCTTAGCCGCCGGTATGGCTCCTGCTTCTGTCTTTTCTGGTCGACAATCGGCATCCTTTTCGGCGCGGTATGGTCTGCCATGATGACTAGTTCATCGGACTACATTCCATTCCTGATATCTCGCCTCTTTTCCGGCCTGTGCGCAGGGGTACCTTTGATCCTTGGCTCCGAGTTCGTCATGCGGGCGTTCTTCCGGCATCAGCGAGGTAAATGTCTGCATATACTTCATATTCCCTTCCTCATGGGGGTTTCAATTGGTCCAACATTAGGTGCATATATCGATGCGAGAGCTTCATGGACTGTTTCCTTCTGGTATACTGTACCATTGAATGGGGTGTTGGCTCTGGTGATCCTTATCTTTCTCGAAGAGGCAGTATATGCAGAGGGAGAACAGAAGCGGCAATCTTTTTTGCAAGAGAAATGGAACATGTATGTCCGTGGAAGAGCGATTCCACCACAGCTTAGGGCAAGCTGGAAGAACATGGTGAGTCTTATTCTAACCGCATCACCATCAGTCATACTTTATGCTGAGATATAGAAGACTACCAGCCTTTCCGATATCACCCTGGTGTCGTTTTCTCCTGTCTCAATAATAATTGGTTTCTTTATCATGGTAGACTTTGGCTTTGCGACAATGGCTATTGTCCTCGGTGTCAACTTCCTTGAAGCCCCTCGAGACGATGGTGGATACGCAATGTCAAAGATTTCGATGGCCTCATGTATGCCCCCAATATTCCCTCATATTCACTTTGGCCGTTAATCTGAACACAACAGTCACGCTCACCCAAGCAATCGGCACCGCACTGGCGGAACTATACGGCCATTTCATCAGCGATAGACTTCCTTTATACCTCTCCCACCGGAAGTCCAAGACGCAGGATATTGAACCTACAGAATGGCGCCCAGAGTATCGACTTCACTGTCTCTGGATCCCGGTGATAATGCTTCCGGTTGGCCTCGGCCTATTCGGAGCTAGTCTGGAGTACCATTACCACTGGGTGCTTTTGGCACTCGGGTTCCTTCTCCTCACTTTCGGTGCCATTTCTCTTCTACCGGTTGCAATGACGTATCTCTGTGACTGTTTCCCGAACTATGTTTCAGAGGTGTCAGCAGGGATGGGGGTTTGGAGGCTTATCTTGGGATTGCTCTCGACCGTATTCATCACCCCGTGGAACGACAGAGTTGGTCCGGGATGGTTGTTCGGTTCTGCTGGGCTGATTACGCTCCCAGCGTTTGGCGGGGTGATGTTCCTCATGGTATTTGGGAGACAAGTGAGACAAATGGGGTTTCGTAGGTTGCGAGATTGATGGGGATTTGAGCTTTGGGGTTAAGGCCGACCGGCCACGATGAAGCAGGTTTCATCCCACCTCGTGGTCCATTTGAAAGGAGGGAGAAAGTGTCACTTCACAGTCAGATGAGTGTCAGGAGACAAATGACTGTATCCACTTCGGTCAAAAGAATGGCTCAGAACCGCTTCGCAGAATCGTACCATTCTCTATGATCAGGTGACCACGTACTCGTGCTTTAGAAGTCACCCATCTTATGTTCTCATTGTTCCTCCAAAGATAGAGAATCAGAACAAACAAGACTCTCGTTTCACATTTATCAATTCATCTTGTTCCATATTGGTGCACCCCTTATGCCTCAAGATTGCATATCATGCTAAAAACAGACACATATATAAGACTTCGCTACCACGCACAATGCCCTCCATCAACCCGCAAATCCGCCCCTGTCATGAAACTACTCCCATCCCCAAGCATGAAAAGCACCGGTGCCCGAAATTCATCCGCCGTGCTTAACCGAAACAGCATATTATCACCAACCCACTGACTCTCCATCCCTGGCTTCTGAAGCGCCTCTGCCGTCGCGGCCGTCCGAATATACCCAGGTGAGAGCGAATTGACCCTGATCAGGGGCATGCCGACCCTTGATCCCCACTCGGCAGCTAAAGAGCGCGTGAGTTGATGAACGGCCGCCTTGGAGGCGTTGTATCCGGCTGTATCAACACCCTAGTGACATGTCAGTCCACTCCTCCACAACCACAGAAGATAGTGTCCCGACCTTATTCGACACGTAGCCACTCATACTAGCCACAAACACCATGCTTCCGGTGGTATTTGTCCTGAGCATTTCCCTAGCCGCTGCTTGTGCGACAAGAAACGTTCCCGTGACATTGATATCTAGCATACGGCGGAACGACGAGACGGGGAATTCGGTCGCGGGACCATTACGGGATAGGCCTGCGCAGGCGACAATACCCTTCAGCGGGTATCGTAGGGTAGGGATGAACTGGGTGAATGTTTTCTCTACGCCGGATTCGTCCGTTACGTCGAGGGGGTAGTAGCTTAGTTGGCGTGCATGCTTTTGTGCGGCGGCTTCGACTTGATCTGTAATCAGGCTCTAGTTAGAGGCACTTTCATCTCTTAATTAGATTGGGGTTATAGAAGTATTTACTCCAATCCGGGGAATTCGGGGCGGATGCAAGATCAAGACAGACGACATCGCCGCCACTTTCGAGAATAGCAATGGCGAGCGTGGTACCCAGGAAGCCTGTGGCGCCGGTGACTGTATATGAACTCCGTTATTAGCAGACCCATGAAATACAGTAATTCAAACTCCCAGGAGATATACTTATGATGGTGCGATTATCGAGACGAAAGAGATCAGCAACAGGACGAGCAGGATCCCCCTGCGAGGGTTTTGCTTCACGGAACTCAAGGCCGTGTACATTGCAGTCGCTTCTCGTAGCCATGGTGAGCAGGTGAGATGCAGAAAAGATAAGGTAAATAGACTAAATGCAATGGTCTTTCAGCCAACAGAGGCTGGGTATGGTTTGGTGAACCCAAGAGCAGAGTCACTAAACGAAGGTATTGGGAAGAGTGTCCGCCCGATCGTTCCTCCATACTTCCAACCCCGCATAATGAGGGGTTATCCTTACTACTTACTGTACTTCCTTGTCTTCCGATGTGCAAGTAGCACTCTGCGCTCCGTCATATGCATGGAACTACGTAAACTGGACGAGGCGGGTATGCGGCCCGCCTAATTCCCATTGCTTGAGCTACTGTTCAAAGTGGAGTAACTTGAGCAAATGGTTCCCACTCAACAAGTTCCTATCCGCTTATCCCCACCGGTGCCGAACTGTGCAGCTTGCGGCCCGACCGCGAGTTATGGTATGGTCGGACTTCAAGCTAGACCTGAAGTCGATTTCTTGCGGGGAGCGTGTCTTGGATTCATTCTTGCGATCCCATTTCTCATGTATGGCCTTTGCTGCGAGGTGTGATGGACACTACTGTTGAGGTGCGGCTTGGAGCGCTACTACGGACACAGATAGCATTCTGCTATGGTGACTCTGGGCTTACTAGTAATGCCTCTACCTATCCCCAGACTCTACACATGAAGGCATCTTAGTAAGATGGGTAAACAGTTGGCATTCCACCGCTCAGGTGGCACTGAGGTCGCAAAAACGTCAACAATCCCACCAGCAAAAGGCATTGAGGTTCGACATAAACACTTTGCTCTCTCTAGCATAGACTGCTGAAACTTATTCCAACAACAACATTCAATATCAAACCGATACAGAACCCCCCTCCCCAACCGAGCAACCTAAACATTGATGGTCAGGGACCCAAGGGCAGACTTCAAGCAATCCTCTTCACCCTTCGGTTCATCTGTGGAATCCATCAAATCCTCCAAACAACCAACGTCCCCAGCATCGGGAAGAAGCTGATCGTCGCAACCGGCGGTAGCAGTCGTGGCTACCTCTTGTAAGCAACCATCAGCATCGCCGCGAACATCACTAGTTCTTTCACATTGTGCGTCCTCATCCAAATCCATATTTCCCTCTCCCATGACCTCGTCACTCTCGGGAACTTCGGGAGTCTGCCCATGCTCATTGGTAGCTCCCTTCAGCGGGAAGTCTTCACCAGTACTCTCGCCTTGAACAGCAGTCACACTGGTCTTTTCATCCACTGCTGGTGGCACGACTATCTTTCCCTCGGAATTGTAGAAACGGGCTATAAGCTCTTCATGCTCTGATTCCCAGCGCTTTATATTCCGTTTAGCGAGCATGATGTTTCTGGTGAGCCGCTGTAGTTCACGTCCCTAGATATTGTACAATGCAAGAATTAGTGGCAGAGTTCAATATGTATATAGGCTGGCGTGACTTACCGCTTCAGCCATGGTCATATTCTCAATGCGCTCTTTTGGACGATCGGTTTGGTCTGCTTCATATCTCTTCTTGTAGGATCTCTGAAGAGAATATGAGCCAGAAGTTGTGATGAGTTGGTGAAGAGTAGTAAATGATATTTCTTACTCTAGGGGGCATGGTGTAAAACGAGGATTGTTGACGTCAGTTGGAAGGAGTGGTTATAGATGTATAAGGATATAGCAGACGATGAACGAGTGTAATGCTGTGAAGCGATGATAAGGAAATAAAAAAGTGATGAGTAGAATATAAGCATGGCTATAAGTATTTGATGAAAGGTGTAGGTTGGATTGGCACGAGAGAGGGAAGGTGCTTTCTTGTTCTTCCTTGATCAAAATTGATTCGTGCGCTCCTTCACCACAGTGGCTTGTTTCGGGGTTTAGGGTAAACGATTTGTAGATGTGAATTCCATCAGAGTGTGTATTGATATACCATGCTTTGGGTATTTTCTTAATATAGGTTGACAAGTGGATGTCTCAAGTATGGGCGAATCACAGAATGTGAGTTAGTGGCCATGCTTCGGGAGGCCATGGTTGCTTAGCTGGCAAGTTATTTCCCAAGATCGATCCTGAAATCTATATATGCCTGTGTATTTCACAGGTGTATAATAGCAAGCCGTAATGAGATTCACAATTGGATGCCCATCTGGCACTGATGTACACTTAAGCACCAGTTCCAGACATTCCTGTGAGAGCGAAATTGCTCTAGTGCATGAAATAAACCACTACTTTTCACAAAGTTGAGCAACAACTTCTCAGGTGAATTCGTAGGCTTGTTAAATTGAACCTTATAGGGATGAATGAAAGACTTGATTAAATTTGTTGATATAATGACCTTGATTGGTAGATGAAGCGACAGAAAGGTGAGGCCTTTTTATAGGCTTGCTAGGCTACCTGGTATTTGTGGGATACTCCCGATCCAGCGTATGAAAAATCCGTGGGTATCTCCGATAGATCAGGTTCTTCCGACGAATATATCGCTGTTCCAATCATCGGCTGCAACCTATAGTTCTCCCGAAGAGTTGAATCAACCCAGGCTCTCAGAATAGCCGACAAAGTATGAGTAGTTTTTGTATATGAAAAAGATTTCATTGTTGATGTGTCATTGTAGATAATAGGAGCTTTGGTTACAAGTCTTATGTGTGTGTTCTCGGTGTAGTTGACCTCTATCTAACACATCGTTCCCTTTCCCCACAGGTGTAACGATAAAAAAAAAAGGCAGTATAACCCCAACGAATGGATGAGTTAAACAACTAGTCAGTGCCAGATTATTAATGTTCAGCTCGAAGTCTTATCTGATAAACTGTGTGCGAGCATGTTTTGAAGGCGATGTGTCAGCCAAGTCTGGAGACTGCAATCTATGCTCTATTAGTGGCATTGTACACACAATATGCCATCAAACTACGACTAAACCGTGCACTTGACTTATTCGAATTTTAGAGATCAAAAAGATGGTTTCTCAGCTACCATGCACACTGTAAGCGATTGCATAACAAGTACTCGGTAAACCCTGCAGAAAGGAACAAGGAGATGCAGATATGAGACGACTAGTAAAACTTAAAGATAAAGTGGAGGCATGCGGCATCTGCAGACATCACAGGATGCCAAAGTCTTGGTCACCTGATCTTTTTGTACTCTTCTTGTACACTGATTTTCGCGAGTCATGTTTCATGTTGCCGCGGGAGCTACAACTGGAAGACCCAACTGCTGTTCTATTGGCACAACCCACAGCTAAGAAGCCAACTTACTATGACTAAACTTCAAGCTCCAGGACCCCTAATAACGTGATTTTCGGGATGATCTGCATTTCCATGACAGGTTAGCTGTCATCCATCGAACTCCGCTATCGTTGCCGGTACATCCGACATGTTCCTAGGGCATCAGTACAGGAAGAAAGCACATCACTGGGTCTAGCACTACAAATCAAGCTTCAGAAAGGTTTCCTAGTTTACGATTGGACACTAATACCTTACTCATAGGCTTACAAACCCACAAATTCCTCCTTAGAGTGGCCAGACATCCTGACATGGCCGTGCATTTACTTACTAGTACCCGACAAAGCAGCAAGAGCTTAGATAAGACAAAGAAAACGAAGAACCACTTAACTAATCATCAGGCAGGATCAAAGCACGCACGAATAGGATCAACCATCGGAACAAAACAAAGATGACTCGGAGTGAGTAGTAAAGTAGTACTAGGACCCAGCCCATCGGAGTAGTAGGAAGGACCCTGAATCCACACTGCCCTACCGAATCCAGCAGAGACTACTACACAGCTCCCTTCTACAGGGAGGTACATCTCAGCACACCGAGATCATCCCATAAGATGAAGTACTACACCGGTACCCACGAGGGCAATCCCACCACGACGTCCACCACCGACCCTCCCGTCCACAGCCCACCGAACGAATGATAGATGATTCCCCCCCAAAGCAGTCGCCACCCGGCGGCGCGGGCGAACAGCTGATCTGAAGTTCGAGAATTATCTTGGCGCTTGCTTTTTCAAGCCTTCCCGCTGTGATGTACCCAGTAGTAGGATAGTAGAGGGAAAATATCTGGCTGCCTAATGGCAAGAGTGGGCCTGGAACCTGCTCGCTGTGCGCTCCGTTTGGAGGATGGCTTGCTGTAGGCGTTCGGGGAGGGCTGGGCTTTAATTATAAGCTTATTTGAACGTCTTTTGATGCTATATACCTGGATTTGGTGGTTTCTTTGTCGTGGTAGTGATGCTTTGGATGGCTCTGCTATGGTTATGAAGGGTACGGAGGAATGCGGATGTTGTTCCCGATTCAGTGTGGTCACGTGTGTGTTTATTTTTGTGAGGGTAGGGTTTTTATTTTATTTGTTTTATTGTGGTTTTATATTATTTTATTTGATTTAAATTTGATTATCGTGGTAACTTGTCTATCTTCGGGCTTCCGAGAGAACGAGCGAGGCTAAGCGAAAGCATGCTCTCTCTCCCTCGAGTAATGCTGTTGGTGTGACTGCCGCGATGAGGATAGAGTCGGAGCAAGAGTGGAGCGAAGTGGGTACTGTCAATATAGCGCGATGGAAAAAAAGGGTACAAACAATAAAAAAAAAGGCGCATGATGTTCAGTGTGAATACCACATAAGACGGGAGACATCCGCCGCTTCCTGTTGTCCCACGTAGTATCAAAGCGTGCGACGATCCATGACGGCATGACGCGCGAGAGACAAAGAAAAGGTCGGACCACTGGGCTGCACCTGCACGAGCAAGGATAACGGGCGTGGTAAATGGCCAGGCCAGGCCAGCCACGTCATTTCCAGATTGGCCTACACGCGTAAGAGTAATCAATCCATCAATCTAGCCGACTCCGCAGGATGGACTTGCATCCCACGACTAAGTATATGCGACCGTCAATCCATGCTACATGAGGTAAATACGACGAGATCTCTCTCTCCAAAATCCCCGGACGGCTGGCTGGCACTGAGAACATGCCAATCTCCCTCATCTCCGCATTAAACGGTGGATGACCTTGTGATCATCGCGCAGTGACTTCGAGCATGTCTCCACGAGCTGATGACGACAGAGGCGATCGGTGAGAACAGATCCATAAGCAACGCCATGAACGAGAAATTGCCTCCTATGTGCCGCAAACCCCGATCCGAGGAACCCTAGAAGTCGCTAGAAGAGTAAGAAGAATGGGACTTATCTCACCAAGACAATGTCTGACACAGAAGACCAAAGGAACGAACGGAGATGAGCCGGAGCCAGGAGATACGGATACGGAAGACCAGCGGACCAGCGAGTTGAAGAGTTTGACGGAAATACGGGCAGAAGAGCGAGGCGCGGGTGGGGCGGATGCTCGGGTGGGAAGTCCGAGGCGCGGTGAATTGCCTGATCCAGCCAGAAGCCGTCTGGTTCGAAAAAAGATGCGATCGTTGGAAAAAATTTTGCAAGGCCACTCGGGAACCATAGGGCCTGAACATGAGGGATAATCGAGAAACTCTTGGGTAATACCTACAATTGTCCTCCGTATGGAGGGAACAAACAGATTGGATCGCCAATGGCTCCTCATTTCAAACAATCGCCCCTTCTCTCAAAGCCAAGCCGTGGCAGCATCCCTATAGGGCAGAGGTAGACGGTAATGCCAAACCAAGCAGCGACTTTTAGTCTGGTTCATAAAAGCCTGTGTATGAAGGCCTCTAAGATCATAATTCGAAGAGGTCCGGCTTCGGGAGTGTTGCTTGTGAGAAGAAGTAAGCATTGATTGCCAAGGCCGTGCTCATTTTGCACGGCGGTGCCCATTGATCAGCTCATCCGTGGATGGGCCTTTGCATCCCACTACGCGATGGAGACAGCTTGGCGCGCCAGGAACAAATAGACGAACGGGCTCGGGCTCGGTGTTATAGACTAGAGAGCTGATAGCCCTGGTGGACACCGTCAGCAAAACACCCTGGACGGATCACGGCACTAGTCAATGGTAGCGGTGGGTGCTAAGGAATAATGTACACAGTAAGTACCCTGAGAAGTGGGCAGCTACCCAGCTCCTCTACACACTAATCCCCTACTAGCTCTAACACTAGCAGCTCCCTGAACCATCGCATCAGTTGATGGAGACAACCACTGTTACCAGTCAGGCTGTTATACAAATATTCTGCTGGTAAAACCCCGGGAGTCTCAGGTAGTTAACTGTCAGGCTCGCTTGCAGTCAATCAATGGTGGACAAATTATCCGAAGTACATCCCAGTGCCATCAAAGTAGCTCTGGTGATCAGAGGGGGGAAGAGGTCCGTGATGTGGCCGGCAGACCCTTGACTCATTCCAGGGCCGATAATCTAGTCGTCTACTAAGAGTTAACGTGCGTAGCAGCGACAGCTCTTCCCCCCTCGCCCAGCGAATAGTCTACTGCCAAACTAACAGGGGGGCTGATTCCTGAGAGGAGATGACCCTGCCGCCGTAGTCAAAGTAGTGGTAGCCGTTATTCTCCAAAGGCAAAATCCCAAACAACGGAGCCAGAACCAACGCGCATCGCCCATGACTCCTCTCCATTCTCCATCCTCCGGTTCGTCGCTGCCGTCCCTTCCCGTGCTGCTCTGGACCTGCCACTTCCGACTCTTCCGATGCTTTCCAGATCCGGTGACAATGGCTAATCCACAGTGGCCATCGCTAACTTCCCATGGCAGGTCATACGGCAAATCAATCAATATTATTAAGATCCCCCCGACGGCGCCGCCCAGCGCCGTTGCAGAGGCACCTCACTGTTACAGGAAAGAGGAGTCAGAAAAAAAAAAAAAATCCCTCCGTTACAGTGCTTATAAATTAAACCCAGCCCCGCCTTTCCATCCTATCGAAAGAAAAAAAGAGGGAGAAATCGCATTGCGACTCTGGCATGGCACTTTCTGGACAACGAAATAACCGCCGTCTCTAGTCTCTCACCCACTGCCCTGTCACCAATCAACCTTACCCCCTAAGCACTTCCCTCCCTCCTAATCTCGCACTGCTGTCGTTGCTTCCAGCTGTTGCTGTTGCCGTTGTTTTTGTTGCTGTCAACGCCGCGATCGTGCTCTTAATCTTATAGCTGAAAAGAAATGGATACCCAAACAACCGTCTTGGCGTCGCGCCAGTCCGGCCGGAGCTCCGAGAGCAGCTCTCTGGACGCTGTTGAGAAGCAGAAGCTCGCCAACAAGGAGCTTCCCCAAACTCGCCCTGATCTGCACAATTCGGCGTCTCCCAAGCGATGGAAGACCTTCTGGAAGGCCTTCCGGTATCTGAACAACCTCACCCCCAAGCAGGTCGATGACTTCATGGCATCCTACGTCATCTACAATCTCGACTGGTCTGACGAGAAAGCGATGATTGAGACGCTAGGTCCGGACTATCAGGCAAAGGTTGGCGACTGCCTTAAGGCGTACTATGGGGTGCTCAACCACTTGTGCGCGCTGGGCGACGTGGAGAAGATGTACATTCCCCCATTCATGAGCAAGAAGGCGACCGTGCTGGAGAACCAGTTGTTGTACGAGGAATCGATTGCGCAGGATATCGGCCTAAGCGCCGGTGATCACGTGTTGGACCTGGGTTGCGGTCGCGGAAGAGTGGCCGCTCACATGACGCAATACTCCGGCGCGAAGGTCACGGGACTTAACATCGATCCCAATCAGATTGGCCAGGCGAAGACTTACAACGAGAAGCTCGGCTTCACCAACAACTCCTTCGTCGTCCAGGATTTCAACAGTCTTCCCCTGCCCTTTGAGGATGCTAGCTTCGACGCCTTCTACCAGATCCAAGCGCTCAGTCTGTGCAAAGACCTTCCCTCTCTCTTCCGCGAAATCTACCGCGTTGTCAAGCCCGGCGCCAAGATCTCCCTCCTGGATTGGGTTAGCCTGCCCGACTATGATCCGAGCAACCCCGAGCATGCCGAACTCATGCGTCGCGTAAAGCCTCTGATCGGTGCTGTTGGCACTCCCACGCCCGAAAGTCTCGAGAAAGCCCTTACCGATGCCGGCTTCTCCGTCGTCCGCTCCGATAATGCCAGTGTTGGAGGTCTGCAGGCGCCCCTCATCGACAAGGTTGACTTTTACTTCCGCTCCATGCGCCAGGTCATTCTGGGCCTGGTAAAGACCCACGTGTTGCCCCGCCACTTTAAGACCCTGATCAACCGCTTGTGTCTCGATGGCGAGGCTTTCATTAAGATGGATACCATGCGACTTGTGACGACCAGTTATCGCATCATCGCCCAGAAGCCTCCTCAATAAACTACACACACTGAGTACGGGACTGGGTAAAGGGAATGGATCATTTGCTGCACATCGAGGATTCATCCATGCGGAAAAGGGTCACCGCCCTTGCATCCAGGAAGTAGACCATTGTTTGTGGGCCGGGGCCTCATCGAGGCCCCGACCGTGATAGCTGGATGGGACGCTTTTACACATGCGGTATACCGTAAATGGATGTTTCACGTCTAACGCGTCTCTCTCCACGATAATGCCGATGATAAGAGCATGTCACTCAATTTGGGCACATATGAGTTCGTCGCGTCGACTTGATCGCCGCATCTTTCCCGGTCCTGTGGCCGCGGCGTGTTTCTGTCCATAAAGTGAGTGCCTGCTTATGTCCCAACACCGCACGCTGGTCTTCACTGTACAAAGCGTTCATCTAATGTACGATTGCACGATCGGCTTTCTCTGACATGGCTTTGAAGATATTTGTTTTTCCGGTTCGCATCTATATACCCTATAATCTCTGGCGGCTTTGCGGATCATACCCATTTTACGACCCCATGGCAGAGCGCCCCGACAGTTCTTTGTTACCAACACTCGCTCGCTTGCATTCTTCCTGGTCAATTGGGTTGCATCCTCCTGCGTTGTGTTTCTGTTCAGCTCTGCGAAGCCTAACCGGTGTTTTTGGTGTCTCGCATATGGTTTCGTTTCTTTTCGATCTTAGGATACCCCGTGTAGATAGGGCTGTCCGTATAGAAGTACATAGACTAATACCACTTTTTCTTCTGCGATTATGGTCAATGGAAGCCAGTGAACCCACATACGCCTGAGTCATCACCGATCATCGGTTGCGTTCTCATCGTGCTAGTCTGGCAAGCCTTGTATTTTACGTAAGGTATGCCGCGCGAATCCGACTCGCGTCACATGACCGCGGGTTGTCGGGGATGCCACGGCCAGACAATACGACAACATGCCTCTGCCTTCATGCACGCCATAGGCTTTTGGCCAGCATTCATAGGCTTCCCTGCATCCCGCTGCCGACACGAGTGTGCATTGCCGAGTCAAATAATAAACTGAAAGGATCACCATTGGTGTTTCTGGCTCGCCCACCATGACTCGAGGTACCCACCACACTTTATTCTGTGTACCCGCACAGAGGCACTAACTCCAGGATGGGCGGGTACCTATCCACGAGTTCCTCGAGCAGCATAGTATAATAGGTGGGTTGATAACGTGGAAGCAATTCAATCCATCCTCTCCAAGCACTAACAGCAACTAGAAAAGCGCATCACGGACCATCCATATCACCACGAGGTGTACCGGCCGCAGGGATGTGTCTCCACTCATCCGCGACGGAGTCTCAAATCACAGAGCCCCTTTCGAGCACGTTGTCTGTGGTTCCCCCGCCCTGGGCCTGGGCATAAGGTTCCTATGGCACCCGCATCAGCGTTCCCTTATCACTTGCCTAACTAAGCACTTGCTTTATAACCTCGTCTCAATCAACCAGGGCCGGCCGTTTTGCACTGCTTTTGATCGGCTTGTGCTGTGGGAACTCTCCTCCTCGACATTGGGAATGATGCAAGTGCCCTCAACTCTAGCACATGTTGATCAGCTCCTGGGGATCCGCACGATCGTCGCCCGTCTTTTACCCGCCACATTGCAGTGTGCACGCCTCAAGGTCCGGGCCGTTGCTACTTAACGTCCCTTGCATCTGCAATGAGCCACCCAGGCGCCCATTCGGAAGCCGAGGACTGGCCTCTTCCGTTGTCCGTATCTCGACCAGACAGCATAGTCTCTTCCTCCACAAGCTCTTCTGGTCCCAGCTATGCCACATCACCTATATTTCCGCCTCCGCTCAGTCGTACGGCTTCCTCAATTGGATCCCGGTCGAGGCAGGCTTCATGCTTCTCCTTATACGAGGACATCTGCCGTTTGCCGCTGAACCATTCTGTGACCATGTGCGTATCGCCTAGTATCCCATGCAGGCAACATCCGCTGATGGGGCTGTTGCAGCTCCTTCGTTCGGAGCAGTAAACTCTTCAAGCTACGCTTCACCTGTATCGACATACGCAAGGATGCCACGGGAAGCTTGAAGAGTCTTGAATTGGGCGGGGGACCGGGTCAGCAGACTCCGTTGATACATACTTGTAAGTGCTCAAGAAGAGATTGCGGATGGCCATGCTAACCCCCCGTGTTTATCTGTAGTCAACGACACCAAGCTTCCAGTCCCTCACCTTGAACATCCAAAGCTCCCGAACGAGTCGTCGCTTCGCGTTTCCTTCATGGACGAGCAAACAGTTCAATCGGCCCACAACGTGTTCCTCACACAGATCTCTTATATCTTTGAAGATTGGCATGGTGGGTAGCAGAACACTTGAGGGGCATTTATATCCTTGCTGATTTCTGATTGCAGATTGTGTGCAGTTCCAAGAATTAGTCCTGGGTTCGAAATTGGTCTTCATAGCAGGGATCGCCGAGGCGAAGTCCAAGGGCCGAGGGGAGGAGTGCATCAGCCAGAACCTACGCATTCTACGTAATCATAACGGCAAACAGGTCATGCTTTTCTTTGCCAACTCGCAACGGAAGGAGTTGAAGCGTTATGTGTCCATCCCGATCAACTGCATCGACAGCTTCAATCCGGGCAAGAAGGCAGGAAAGCCTGTGGTTCTCCAGCTGCAGCCCAACTTCGACATTCTTTCACAGATGAGAACATTATCTATCCAATTCCTCGATGATTTGGGTGAGTCCATCTTAGAACCTCCTCGGTGCCATTGCTAACGGGCTTCAATAGACCGAAAAGCCTTTTGCCAATTTCTGACAGAACACACCGCTTAATAATATGATACACCCCATAGACATGAACTACGATACCCATGGGCAACACAGATTGAAAAATTGATACAGCATCTACTAACATCACATCGTGGATTTTGGTTGTTTACGAGTCTGCAGCAAGGAGTCTGGATGGCGTTGGGTACTCAGGTACTTTGCATAAATTTTCCTTTCATTTTTTTTGGCTCCTCTGCGGCCACGCGTCAGTTTCAGTTCCAATAATATACCCCTATTGTGAAACATCAGACAATATTGGAACCTTACGAGGCACAAGGGGCACGTGTTTAGTCGAACCAGTAGGACGGCTTTCAGCTTCAGCCAAGTTTCATCACTTGGCGAACTCAAATGGCACAAATGGCAAATTGGCCTCGTATCCAGCGAAAGGCATCTCGGAAGCCTGGCCAGGGACCGAAAGTACTCCGGGATCATGCTACTACTGGCGTCTCTTGTTCATCTGACTGAGGCAGTTAAGTGGGCAAGTGGGCCCCAATGAGGCCCCATTCTGTCTGCACGTGCCGCACGTGGAGCGAGGAATTGGGCGGGTGTGCCCCGGGCATTGAGGTCCACTCCGGCCGCTACTGCACGCACTGTCACAGCTCCCGCCAATCACGCCGTCGCGTCCTGCTTAGTTCAAACCTTCCCGGGAGAAGTATATTGTGCCTCCGGCCTCATGGTGGGCCTCGAGTACCCCTCTCAGACTCATGCTCCCCTTTCTCTCAACGTTGCGCCATCCTTTTTCTTGGACCTTCATCCTCAGATCTGGGGGCCGCAGGATTCATTCTGTCTACTCTGCCTGCAGGTCGATGGCCCTTCATGATGTCATCTGTGTACAATCTGATTTCTAGAACCGTTCATCAGGCTTACCACATCTGATCCAAACGCCAACACCAACAATACCGCCATGGGCAAGTTTCGCACGCGATGGTACAAGACTGATCGAGCTCAGGATTTTGAGCATGAGCAGGTAGGAGCGTCTTAGATGCTTGACAAATCCTGAATCTGCTAGCTAATACTGTGTTGATGTCATAGGATCGAGATGTTCGCGCTCGGCAGGTGTACGACACAATCGACCGCCAGGGATTTCAATACTTGATCGTCTTTGTTGCAGGCGTTGGCTTCTTTCTCGATGGATACACCCTATTTGCAAGCAACATGGCACTTCCAATGATCTCCTACGTCTACTGGAAGAAAGAGGTGTCTTCGATCAAGATTACTTTATTTAACATTGCAACATTAGGCGGGACGCTACTGGGACAGGTCTTGTTTGGGTACCTGGCTGACCGGAACGGGCGTAAGAAGATGTATGGCTTGGAGCTGATACTCATGATCACGTCAACACTGGGCGTTGTTATGGCCTCCCGCGGAGAGAACGATTCGATGAGCATCTACGCATGGCTCATATGGTGGCGTATAGTTGTCGGGATTGGTGTCGGAGCCGACTATCCTTTGAGTTCAGTCATCACAAGCGAATTTGCCCCCACCAAGCACCGAGCACGAATGATGGCTTCGGTGTTCTTCATGCAACCTTTAGGGCAGATCTGGGCAAACCTTGTGTCGTTGATTGTCATCGCCACCAGCCGTTCAGATACCAATGATTTGACCATGTCTGTCGATAGAATGTGGCGCTACGTCATTGGTATCGGTGTGATTCCGGCAGCAATAGCAACTTGCTTCCGGTTCTTCGTTCCGGAGTCGCCACGCTTCCTCATGGAGATCGACGATGATCCAGTGAAAGTCGAGTTCGATGCAACCACACTCTTTACCGAACCAAATGCTGTTTCCTCCTCCCCGACTCTCGAAACCGAAAGCTGGCACAATTTCCCGGGGCAAGCATATTCCCTGACTACGATCACGGCGGAAGACCGATCCTCCACATCCCAGACCGGCATCCTTCAACCAGCGACTTTAAACTCTCACTGGCGCTTAACATGGAAGGACATCGTACAATACTTCTGGGTGGAAGGTAATTGGCGAACTCTAGCTGGGACAGCTATGTCCTGGTTCTTCTTAGACTTTGGTTTCTATGGCATCAGTCTCTCCAGCCCGCAATTTTTGGCCAAAACCTGGGGATCCATTCATTTGAGCGCGCCTGCGCCTTACTGGGAGACGAACGACAGTCCTGGTGCAAGCGTCTATGACATGTTCTTCGCAAGTTGCACTCACGCGCTGGTCATCTTGAATGTGGGTAGCTTTGCCGGCGGGCTTCTCCTCATCTTAGTGATCCACAAACTGGACAGAGTCGCTCTACAAAAATACTCTTTTCTCGCACTCTCCGCACTCTTCATCGCCCTGGGTTGCATGCTTATCACCATACAAAAAGAAGGTCCTGTGGCCGTTGTCTTGTACGTCATTGGCCAGGCGCTCTTCAACTTTGGTATGTAACCGGCCTCTACCATAGGGTTCTCCTCGAAGTCGCTAACCAACCTTTATATAGGACCCAATGCTACAACGTACATCATCCCGGCTGAAATATTCCCCACCCGCTACCGTGCTACCTGTCACGGACTTAGCGCCGGCGCTGGCAAGATCGGCTCTATAGTGGTTCAGGTCTTTTCCGCCTACTACAACTTCGGTGGTGGTTTCGGAGAGGAACCGGTAAAGCGGCACGGCTACATTATGATCGTCTTTGCTGGATGCATGCTCTTTGGGGCGATAGTAACATGCTGGATACCACCTATCCAGAGAAAGCCTGATGGATCCGGTAGAGGCAAACTGTGGGGAGGCAAGACGGAGACGCTGGAGACTTTGGCTCTTGGTCGACTCGGCTTGGACAGTCGATATGCGAATCAGGGCAGAAGGCGAAGGAGGGACGTTGTTACATGACATGACGACTCCAACACGATTGAGTGGTTTGTTCATTTTGGGTATATATTCACGGGTACATACAAGTGTACTTTAATTTCGCTGTACATATTTGCCAGTGGTCGGGTCGACTGACTGTGACTTCCCACCTATTTTCTGGCATTACTGCTGTATATAGGATGAAACAATCAGAAGCTACGAGCGTCGGATGATTATGATATACGGTGTAGCAATCGTAACCACCACATAGGCAAGGTAAATACAAAAGCAAAGGGGAAGGAAATGAAAAACCACTACCAAAGAATATAAAATAAAATAAATGGACAGGCGAATAATGGGAAAGGAAAGCAAAAAAATTCTTCTGGGAAGGAGGAGTGAAGGGCGAAAAAGAAAAAAGAAATCGAATTGCATCATCCGTGAATCGAACACGGGCCTCATCGATGGCAACGATGAATTCTACCACTAGACCAATGATGCTTGTTGATGTCAAGTTTTCCTTTATTAATAATATAATCCTCCCCAAAATATCGCGCAAAGACAATTGCTTGGAATCTTATGTCTGCCACATCTGATCACCACCTATGATGACCATCTGGTCGGAAAACCGACTACTCGATATATTAGGTCTCATGATCAAATGGCTATAGTTTCTATCCGAATTCTAGTTTGGCACTCATGTTTATTTGCTGTGAACTTCGCCGTTCGGCTGCTTGTATCCTGTGGGACTGGAAATATATAAAACCGCTACTGTTGCAGTACGGAGTACCTGGGCAGTGGTTAATGGTTGTAACACTGTCGAGTCCAAATTTGATTCATCTCCGACGCAATTCACCACTGACCTCTCATTCAGATACTAGTCTCATACTACTACGTACCAAACTATCGTCTGCTTATCCTCATTCCCAAAAATCTCTGGTTCCAACCCCGCTCTTTCCCTATCCACTCCTATCTCTATCTACGGAGTACCATTTGTCGCGCTGGGTCGATCGGCATCGGCCCTGCCCCACCACTACGTAGAATGGTTCACGCTAGAAGCATTGAAATCCACGATGATAGCTAATTCCGCGCCCCTCGATGATAGCTCCCCACTTGTGGATAGTACGTGGTCAAGCATCATGTCTTTTGAAGAAATATTGATTGGTCGGCTGTCCCGTGCCACGCAGGGTTGTTGATGCCGATTTTGCGATTGTGGACAGGCGGCTAGGATGTCGTGGGTCGGGGTTGTCGTAGGGTTGGGGAATTCCCCAATAAGAATGCTAGGAGATCCGCTCTTTGGCCTAGAGAGGTATATAGGTGTTTTGAGTGCTTATGATCTGCAGTGGCTAGCTGAATGGGCCGGACAAGACATCCACTTGGGTGGATAGTAGGTGCGATTGTCGGTAATGGATGGTGAGATGGCATGCTTTTGTCAGCGAGCTGAGCGCTGAAAGGCAAAACCTTGATCAATGAAATAGTCGTACTTGATTCCGATAGCGGCCGGTTTGCTCACGGATGCAGCCTGCACGGTTACCATAATGGTAAATGCAGTGTAAGTAGCTGTGGGTCGCATGCAAGGGTGGTTGGGTGTGACGGACTCATCTTGGAAGAGACAATATCCGTCGGTTCCTTCGGGTAGTTGAACAATGGGGACAGAAGCACGCAGGACAATAAACTAACCTAGGATGCAGCATGAACCCGACAGACATAATTGATTAGCGACAAAGATGAAGCAGTGAAGCAGTTGGCAGTGTCTTCCCTGCCACCAGATAGCCTCCGAAGTCGCTTAGACGCTCGGGTTCCTGGACCATGAGTGGAACCCGCACTATTCGTCTGGTTCAGATCCAGAATCAATACGGATATACCGACCCAGAGAGAAAGACCCATCACCAATTTCATGGGGTTGGACTCCGGTAAGTACAAAGTAGCACAGGTTAATCAGGGTGGGATCGATTGCGGAACCTTAAGGAGAAGGTGGGATTCCCTGCGGGGTCACGTTCCCGGCTGGGCTCCTTTCCCTTTGTCGACAATCATACTCCCCCTCTTTCTACCTTTTGCCATCTGTCCTTAATTCGAGCAGGATGTCGCCACTCATCATTTCACATACTTGATTCTGTTCACCACAATATAACTGTGCTATGCTGTGACCTCGCTCTTCGAGGCCTTCTGTAGAGATCTGCAGAATCCAGACCCGCAAGAGTGCGGGGTGTCCAACCTGCCGATCCCACAGGCCAGGTTGGCGCCGCCACAGCACATTGAGCTAGCTTGAAGAACTACTCCGACCGGAACGAGCTGAATATCGAGTGTGCAGATACGAATCTGACTAACCACGCTAATTGACGCCTCAATGAGTTGTCATGGCTGCTGCGTTGCTCAGCTGTGGCATCCAGAAGCGGGGTGGGTACTACCCCCGCTGATTTAAATCCGGCGTCTTCCCCTCTTTGACCCGCACAGAGGAATACCACCCCCGCTCTACTCTCAGCTCCCAATCCCTTCATCACACCAGGCACAATGCCTTCTGAAGATGTTTCAACCGGCTCGGTCAATGTCCCCATTGGCACATTTCCCCAGACCTGTTCTTCGACCGATGTCAATGCCGACCAGGTCGCTTCACAGCTAGTCGAGAAGATCAACACAGCTCTTAGCAAAGGAGACGTGCAGTCCCTTTCCGACCTGTTCCTCGAAGATGCCTACTGGCGAGATCATCTCTGCTTAACATGGGACTTCTACACTGCGAAAGGCAGAGAAAACATTCAAAGCTTTCTCAAGTCTGGCCGTCTTCCGAGTAAAGTTGAGATCGACCGCTCGACCGCGTTCCGAGGACCCTACGTTGGCCCTATCGATGCCTTTGGCGACGTCACAGGAATCCTGTTTTACATTACGCTCTCTAGCCCCCTGATCACTGGACAGGGTATCGTTCGGCTGGCAGAAAAGGACGGCGAGTGGAAGATTTTCACCTTCTATACGTCTATGGAGAGCTTTGTCGACCACCCAGAAGCGGTTAACTTCAGAAGGCCCCTGGGAGCACAGCATGGCGAAAGCTTGGATCGAAAGAACTGGAAAGACCGTCGGACGGCCGAAATCGAGGCTAAAGACCGGTCTCCGACTGTCGTGGTTGTCGGTATGATACTCATCCAACAACTTGTTGCTATTCTAGGTGCTGACCCGAACAGGTGCTGGCCAGTCTGGTCTCATCATTGCGGCCCGTCTTAAGATGCTGAACATCGACGTTCTGATCATCGATCGAGAGGAGAATATTGGGGACAACTGGCGCCAACGCTACCACCAGCTGGTCCTGCATGACCCTGTGTGGTTTGACCACTTTCCTTACATTCCGTTCCCGCCTAATTGGCCGATCTTCACTCCAAAGGACAAGATAGCCGAGTGGTTCGACTGCTATGCTAAGCTACTGGAGCTGAATGTGTGGACCAAGACTAACATCAAGGGGTCCTCATGGGACGACAAAGGAAAGCAGTGGACTTTGGATTTGCAGCGGCGGAAGGAGGACGGTACGGTGGAGAATCGTACCCTGAACCCCCGGTATATCATCCAGGCCACCGGCCATTCTGGAAAGAAGAATGTGCCTGACTTCAAGGGTATGGATTCCTTCCAGGGCGACCTCATCTGCCATAGCAGCGAGTTTCGCGGTGCGAAGCCCGGATCGAAAGGTAAAAAAGCCGTGGTGGTTGGGGCGTGCAATTCCGCCAACGACATTGCACAAGATTACTATGAGAACGGATATGACGTGACGATGGTGCAGCGCAGCTCGACCTGTGTGGTTTCCTCAGAGTCAATCGTCGAAATCGGCCTCAAAGGGTTGTACGAGGAAGCAGGACCCGGAACCGAGGAAGCCGACCTTTACCTTTGGAGTATTCCGGCGGAGCTGTTTAAAGCACAGCAGATCAAGGTCACCAAGCGTCAGAACGAGAATGACCGAGCGACGTTGGAGGGCCTGGCGCGGGCCGGGTTCAAGGTGGACCACGGTCCAGACGGTGCGGGTCTGCTCATCAAATACCTCCAACGTGGCGGAGGCTACTATATCGACGTGGGGGCCAGCCAATTGATCATTGACGGCAAGGTGAAGGTGAAGCAGGGTCAGGAGATTACCGAGGTCCTCCCTCACGGACTGCGGTTTGCGGACGGATCGGAGCTCCAGGCGGACGAGATCATCTTGGCGACTGGGTATCAGAACATGGCCACCCAAGCACAACTCGTGTTCGGCAAAGAGGGCGCGAAGGTGAAGGACGTCTGGGGATTCGACGAGACGGGCGAGATGCGCATGTGGCGGCGGACCGGACACCCAGGCTTGTGGTTCATGGGCGGCAATCTGGCCGTCTGTCGGTATTTCTCGCGGTTGCTGGCGCTACAGATCAAGGCGCTAGAACTTGGCGTCACCTCCTACGACGGTTAGTGAGAGACTTGGCGGTAGGGCGAAGACAAAGGAAATAGGTACGGAGCAGATATAATTGGAAAACAAAGTCGAGCAGCTGCAATAAATGTCGCAACTCAACAATCTATTGAAAATGAAAATCTGCCCAGGTATCACAAATTTATCCATAGTAGACCCGCTATGCAAAAAAATAAAAATATGCAGTCTCCAGGCGATAGTAATGAAAACCATCGGAGCGGAGATTTCTGTGAATCCCGTGTTCCCCAAAAAAAGCACCAGCCAAGACTCCCACCAACAACACCCGAACAACCAAACACCGACCAAGGATGCCCCTGAAACCACCTACTTCTACTCACACACTCACAGGATAGTAAGTAGTAAGTAAATAGTAAGTAGTATTACAACCAACCCTCCATCCACCCAACATACACCCCCAGCGTCAAAACCAGCGTGACAACCTCCTCTCCAACACCTATCCCCACCTCCTCCAAAAACCGCACTTGTCTCGCATCCCACCCGCCAACCCTCAACCCCTTTTTCTCTAGCCCAGCCAGCCCCGACCGTCTGACACGCTGATCGGCGCCGACGCCAGCACCAGCTGCTCCTCCGATGGCACTAACGCACAGCACAAACCGGGGGTTAGCATCGGAACTACTAGGGTCGTTCGTCGTCTCCTCCTCGCAAGCCTTTCCATTATTATCGTGTATGGTATCGGAGTCCGTTGATCCCGACACCGCCGATGCGGAGCCCGAGGCGGTTCTTGGCCGTCCGGAACCCTGCGTCTTTCTCCGCCATTCAAGAATGACGGTCTCTCCGGACGTGTTTTTCTGGCGCAGGATGAAGCGGTAGTTGCCGCGCGACGTGCGGGTTGCGGTGTATGATTGGTGCGTGGTGGGGAGGTAGATTTCGTCGGATTTTTCTTCGGGAGTATTGGTATTGTCTTGTTGGGGTTGTGTGGTGGTGGGTTTCTTGGTATTGGTGTTGGTGTTTGTGTTATTGTAGATTACCCCCGCAGCGATTGGGTAGGTAGTTTCTTCCGATGAGGATTTCGGGGTTATGTCGGTGTAGGCGTCGCTTTGGAGGATGTAGAGATCCCGGCCGTGCAGTTTGCGCGGGCAGTTGGGGAGGGATTTCCCTTGTCGCGGGGGTTGGTAAAGTTCGAGGATGGGGAGGGCGCGGTGTCGGTTTGATGTTATTGAGAGTTGTTGGACTTGGAGGAGGAGGCGCGGGGTGAGGCGCAGGCAGGGGGAGGATTTGGGAGGGGGATGCGCGAGGGGAAAGGTGTGTTTGGGGGTTTTTGTTCTATTGGATTGTCATGGTGGGTTAGGTTATGATCATTGAAGTATATGGATGGTTTGTAGGTAGGTAGGTAGGTATGTACCTTGTTTGGCTGGAGACAGAGCTCTCTGCGTCGCTGTCTTGGGTGGACATTTTTGTATACTACTACTAGTACTAGTGTATAGGGTAGTGGTAGTGGTAGTAGTAGAAGAAGTGAGGAATGTCAAGGATAGTAGTATAGATAAAAGATGAATTCGAATATCATCACCTCAATCGAGAGAAGACCGCATATTTATTACTCACACGATCCTCAATTCTCTTCCAGCCCTGTCTGTCTGCATAGATCGTATTCGTTCCCCTCGCACGGGGCGCCGATCCAGGCACTAACTTTCTACTCCGTACCATCTTACAAGATGCAGTGGGTGAGAGGGTGTGACCAACTAACTAGCTAGTGACTTAGTCAAACATGCCTAAACCCACTCATCATACGAAATTATTTTCACCGTTCAAGCTTATTCTCTTTTTATAGCCTTGGCGGGGCGGGGCCATAGACTGGGCTGAACCGCTGAAGGGAAAAAAGGAAGGGAAAGAAAGGAACCAAGATGCCAGTTGAGTTTAGACCCAAGATTCAGCCTGTTATTCGGGATACATGATTTGTTGAAAACTCCCCCCTGTGGGGAAAATTCTTTGCGACTTCCGCAGAAAGATGAAATGATTCCCGCACATATTGGGATATCGGATACGGATACGATCGCTGCCGAGGATGTTGCGAATTTCCGATTAGTTGGTTATTGGTTATTAGTTCACTGGATATAGGGATTGGCCAGTTAGTTAAGCGGAGTTTGCTGCAATTTTCATCGGGTCACGGAGTCAACCACTCGCAACCCCCTGGTTCCCTTCCTTCTCCTCCTCCTGTTCATGGGTGGTTGCAGATGTAGTAAAGTTGTCGGTCGGGCACTGTCCGACCTAGACTGTCTTCCGTATTCGTTTTCTTCCAGGTGCCGGGATGTCGCCGTTCGGAAAGTCTTGGCCGATCTGGAGAGGCGGTGCTGAAATCCCTGATGGTCTCCATGAGAGGGAGGGAAGGCTGTGGCATCCTGTCAGACTGTCAGAATTCTTTGTTTTGGGTTTGTGAGAGAAGGATTGCATTCCTGGAGTGTCAGGTGTCTGACAGTCAGCCTTGTGAGGCTTACATAACGAGCTGCGAAATACTTACCCAGTTGGGACTAGTCGGGACACAGTTGGATCGGATCCTGGAAGTTTCGGGGCTGAACTTGGCTAGTATGGAAAGGATTCTTTGCTTATGCTGCGAATGACTGAAAGCGTGTTTGGTGATTACTATGGAGTAGGTAGACACGTTGTTCTGATAATTTAATCGACATGGAGAAGATGATTGGTTTGTTGTGCTGCGGTTGGGAATGCTCTAGGTACTCAATTCACTCTGGATCAATCCCGCCTCCTTTTATCCTACTCACTTCTGGCAATGGGTTCAGATTGATCAGATAAAAGAATATCAGAGACATCTTTTTTGAACGGGCCAATTATACACCGTGGCTGGTCGAGATGTTGAAGCATCGCGAAAATCCACTTATCTGCATCAAGACGCGTCGACGTGTCCAAATCTAATCTGATGGTGTGTATGTGAATGTAGTGATTGTTGGTGTTTGTTGACTTTGTAGTGTTTGGTGTTAGTGGCAGCAGTTGCGTAGAGTGGGAGGACAGGTGAGATAGAAGTAGCGACCGAACAGATTATTATATACTCTGCAGCTCAAGTCTATATTGGGTTGGCACAATACTATCATAAGTGACAATCTATCTAACCAGAATAATTGGTGTTGCTGCATCTGCACTTGATATGGATGAACATCACGAACTCCAAAACCCACCCGACCGGTCCAAAACCCGCCAAAAGCCGAGGCGTCCACACTACCAACCAGTCAACTTGCTTCCACCAACCACATATGGAAGAATGTGGGGCGAGAATTCAGAATGGCCTGACTCATTAGTATCTATCTTGCGTACTATTGTAGTAGTTAAGTGGAAGCTGCAATCGCTAGAACAAGTTTACAAGTCTAGGCCCTGAACCAAATATTTAAGCTTACCGATGGCATCATGACTCCACCTCCTCAGTAGCATTCATATATTTAGGCCACATCACACTCATCCATCCAACTTTAAGCATTCCAGACCCAATCCACAATCCACAATCCACATCTCACCACCTGCATAATAGTACTACACCATGTACACAACAGACACCCTCCCAACAAACTTCTGCATAGCCCAAGCAATCGGCCTCAGCGGCACCGCTTGGCTCTCTGGTACTAATCCCCATCCATCCTCAACCCACCAAACCCCACCTAACAATGATATACACAGGAAACATCTTCTCCTTATCATTAATGACAGTCCCAGCCCTTCTTCAATCCCACAAGGAGCACAAAATCCCCCTATCAACAATCACAAAACAATGGGCCCTTGTCTACGAAACGGGAAAGAACCGCGCTCCCCCAATTGCTCTCTTCACCGCCGCCACCCTCTTGTATCTATCCTGGGCGACGAGGTCAGAGAGTACGCTGGCGGCCATCGCACCACGGGGAGCCACCACCACGTATGCGATTTCTGCTGCATTGACGATTGCGATCGTGCCGTGGACCATTCTGGCCATGAAGGGGACGAATGATGCCTTGATGGAAAAGGCGAAGATGGGCGTACAGGAGGAGAAGAATCCCCAGGAGGGGGAGAGAGTGTTGGGTTTGTTGAACAGATGGGCGTTACTTAATGGTGCTAGGGCTGTGTGGCCACTCGCTGGGTTCTTGGTGGGGTTGTCGGCTGTTGTGCCTTGATTTTATTATTTGGAGGGTTATGTGAGGGAGGGATGCGTTTGGGGAATTGGGAAATTTGGCGTTAATGATAATGTAGGATTGTTTTGCAGTTTGAATTGATGTATATTAAATGTATTACACCCGTCATTGGTAGCACGAAAAGCTGAACGGCAATTTTTGGTGATACCGTCACTGACAGATAGTGAGTGTCTCGAGAGGTAATTCCAGTATACATAGATGAATACCCCAGAACCATCAAGACCAGGAAGATACCGTAGCGAGTTTCTAGATATCATTGAATATCGAACAGTAGTTTTCGGGAAACATGCAAAGGCTCAGGGAGTTACCATCCAACTATTGGAAATAGGATGATACTCGCCCCCCTTGTCCCGACTGGAATCATATGCTTCCAACAAGGGAAGAATATTCATATTCACAACTTCGAAGCCACAGTATATGCAATTCAATATATGTCACTCCCAACTTCACCGGAGATAATATGCAATGCAGAATATTCCATGTAAGCTACCATCATTCCCTGTCCATTCGCGTAGCATAAATACTCATGATTTTCTACCCCTTTGACTCTCTTCTTCAACATCTTCGTCTCTATCATCATTGTCATTATCATACACCATACAATTTCCAAGCCTCCAAGCAGGAACATCGCAACAAAATCCATACGAAAAGTTTCACGCAATACATACACATATAGCATGCCATAAGCATGCCTGCTATACCAGTATCACTCTATTCGAAGAATAGAGATCGTGATATAACTACTATACGGTGCCAAGGAAAATGTTCTATGACATTGACCACCTATTCAAGCTCGCGAAAAACGCCATCTGCCATTCAAAAAGAAGAGGGGAAAAGCCTTTAAATTCTTCCTATTCTATCTATAACAAGGTTCAAAACCGAAGAGATTGAAGAAATGTTCAAGATCTCAATTGAAGAGGCAGGCAGTAATTGGCTTCTGCTGCAACGACCCGAATTAAGGAATCTGTCATGGCTTCTCGAAAAGCGACTCCATCCATGATGGTGTTGGACTCTCCAGTGGTTGCTTCATACGGACACTTGGGAATAGTGTACCGCTCCTCATTGGAAGTGTATATCCACCTATACAGCATACTTCACAATATCCTACTACATAAAGAAAAAGGTGCTACCCGCGCTGGGCTTGAAATTGTCTGGACCTTTGGAGACACATGCGGGACCAAAAGCTATGCTATGGATTCATGGCTTTCTCCTACGAGTTTACCAGCAAAGCGGTATTAAAAGCCAAACTCGCAAGCATGACTCGTGCAGTTCGTGTCTGTGCCGCATTCCCTGGTCTCATCCGACATGCGAAGCAGAATAATATCGCCCTTGAGAATATCACCACAACTGCGCCACACATGAGGGATGAAGGGATCATCCCTCATCCAGAAGACAGCCAGTGGGCTAATGATATTGATGCGTTGCTGGAAGGTTCGACACGCTGGCAACTGGTTTGGAAAAGTACCAGCTGAACAACACCTTATAATTATTGGAAGAAGAACTTACCATTATCCAAGATTAGGGGGCATATTTACCTCCGCAGAGACTCAAAATGCTGGCAGAACTCCGACTGTTTGGTGCAATCTACGTGAAAGGAATCCGTGAAAAGTTTCGAATAAAGAAGGACAGAAGAGAGTTACCGGCACTTCACGCTACAAAAGGTGCATGGATAGGGTTACAAATGATGAAGTCGTTCTTCATGACCCCTCCATATCAAGCGAGAGGCGCAGCAGATAAGCTACGATTGGGTATGCGAACCGATAAATGTCTCTGCTTCTGCTGTCTGACGGTTTATCCGTTCGCGCACTGTACCATATTCCCATGAGACAGCACTACGAGATCACCTGTTAGTGGTTTGATCAGCGCCACACTGTGGACAAAAATTACGGAGAAGCAGCTAGCGTGGGATGGAAGCCATATATATATACATTCTGAAAGCTGATATAATTGCGTGATATCCTGAAGAGGTTCGGGAAAGTACACATGTGTCGGGAGCGTGGATAGCTACAAGCAATTCTGGCTGTGGCTTGGAAGGAGAACCCAATGATGGACGACAGACGTTTACAAAGCTTAGCGACGACGGCTGCGTATGACACGATAAACCAGAGGATATGGTATTTCCTACCCCTTCTCTCAAGTTGAACGCTTGAAATACCATGCTAGCAAATACTGTATGACTCTGAGGATCATTGGCAGTCGAGAGCTCCGCTTCATCCTTCTTGTCACCGCCACCACTACTACTCTCCGAACATCATAGAGAGCCCTCGGGATCTCAATTATTAGGCGAGCAGGATATCATTGATAGTTCGATGCCGCATGCTCGGCAAGACGCACGCGGAGTATACATAAGAATATCGGGCATAGAAACTGACTGCTATAACTGGGAGTCTCTATTCTTCAACAATTGGACTTTGACAAGCTTATTCTATGATAGGTCTGGTATGTTCTCTATACCTATTGGTGGAACCACGGCCAAGACATACAGATCATCTCGACGCCGAGACAAAAGCCAGCAATGCATGTGGGCTTGCGAGTCGTGGCACTGGACCAGTGGGGAAAAAAACAGATAAGAAGAGATGAGCAAGGCTTATGTTCACAGGATTGGAGGAAACAGTCAATCTTCGGCAGCCGCTACCAGAAATAGCTACTATGCTCTCGAGCGCCTCGTGCGGTCTATCAACAATTAGCTGATTTTGCTTTGCAAAAGCCATACCTCAGATTGTGGGGTATTCCTCCACTCGTGCGTTCGCTGTGGCTGATGCAGAGTGGCCACTCCTCGAAGAAACAGGCCACGAAAGAATGGATATTCGCAAATTGGGATTCAAACGAGGCGAAGTTATCAGAATTGGAAACCAACGAGGCATATTATAAGGACTAGAATCAGACGAGACCACGCCACAAGAATGGAATTCAAACTCGGAGATCCCACAACCGAAATCATTACTCCTGAAAGTCATCAATTAAACCACTTACGCGGGCCGCAGGGTTAATCACATGGCGTTAGCTGCGGTGATGCCAAATACCAGTGAATCCACACAGCAAATGATGACCGTCGCTTGATGCAAGTATCGTGATTGTTCTGGGACCATGTTGTTGCAGTCATGGGCTTCTCGTCACCTTACTCGCACATCGACTCAAAAACTTGTCGTGTCCGGAAATAAAATGTATACTTTGCACGCGAGCTATTATCAGTCATTAGCTCTTACCGAGAGAGACGTTTGCAATGCTGCTTCGTGGCTGACTTGCAAAGCCATAAGCCCAATCCCCAGTCCATGGTCGTCTCTACCGGCATGATCAGTGACAAAGACGGTTGAATGGTGACACAGACTATGCGAATAATGTGGCAGCTTGTCCTCATCTTCGCTGGACCATGTTTGCTGAGAAACAGGATACGGTCAGCTATCTTTTAGGAGCAACATGGGCCCTTGCTGTCGTTGGGGATGGCTAGGAACTGTCATTACCGACATGGAAACTCAAACCACAGTGGACGGTATATGCACTAAAACAGAAAGATAGGGCTATATATACAGCTCATGTACAGTGATTGGGGTTACATCGATTGAAAGAACAGGCTGAAGCCTGAATGGGTTTTCTCTAGGTTAGCATAATGTCGCAAATTGGGGCCATCTCATAACAGTAGCATTTATTGTCTAAACTACTTTTGATATTGGAAGAGGAGTTTTCTTCAATTTTTCTTGCTTATCGTATTAAATTGTCTATGTAACATCAATTTACATATAAATTCATCGTGTCCTGTAGTTCCCAAGGGTCTACAAATGGTTCTGTGATTAAACTGCCAGTCTTAGAAACCGCTTCGGCATTATAGAAAATCGCCAGGGCCGAAGTCTGTGCTAGTATAGATAATATATCTTTCTCTACTCATGGGATTATACAAATGTCATAGTGTTAAACAATATACTTTCTCATTGCATCGGCGACGCAGACTCCTCCCAAACAGCCATCCGCAAACCCCTTTTAAAAGACATGGACCTGGTCCTTCTGGAACCCCAGCTCCTCGAGAATGCCTCTTCCGCAAGTTCTGCCTCCTACCAAAGCCTTCTCCATCCCGGGAGGCCCACAGACAAACACTTTCTCATCTCCTTCTCGCCTCGCCCCGAAAAATTGCCGCAAACGACTTGTGTTCACCCGCGCCCCGTAGCTCACGTCCTTGTTATCCGCTTCTCCTGTTGAAGGTCCCGCCTCGCTCACCAGATAACGCATCTGAAGCCGGTCGGCAAACCTCTGCTGCAGGATGTCTAACTCCTTCTTTAGGACAAGATCCTGCGCGGTGTTAGCCCCGAATACCACTTGCACTTTGGTGTTGGCGTTCGGATTGTCCTCTAGGATGCCTCGGGCGAGTTGGTAGGTGGGGGTGATGCCCGATCCGCCAGCGATGAGGTATACCCGCGAGTGCTCATTGGCAGTCGCTGCGGACCATCGATATCCGCCAGGTAAGGGGCCGAGAAAGTAGAGGGAATCGCCTGGTTGCAATGTGTGCAGGTGTGAAGACACCTTTCCGTGCGGGTATTTCTTTACCACGAGATCGAGGAAGCCGCGCTGGTCTGGTTTTTTCACGTAATTGTATATTAGCCATTGGAACTGACTGAAAATGGGTCACCCGGGAGAAATGGAAAAGGTGGGAATATCATAGCCACGGCCCTTTTGGGGGTTGCGGGGCAGAGAGTAGATCGGCCGTAGGGTTTGACATACTCAGGCTGCTGACCGGCGTGTATGGTCGAATAGCCGGAAACCAGCTTCTTTGGGGCCAGCAAAATACTAAGACAGATGCTGCAACGAAAAAATTAGCGTGTTCTCCACCACTTGCGGCCGACGGAAAAGGAAAGGGGGATAAGAAGAAAAAGGGTAGGCTGTCCCATGTACATACACGTCAACTGTAACCCAGATGTCCATGTTTGGTCCGGGTACTCGAATCGAAGGCGTTTAGTGTTGTGACTGAGAGATTCGACATTTTGCACACGCAGAGATGTTGGCCTGAAGCCACGGAACATGACGTGCGGTTCTTGTTCTGGTGTCTCAGCCAGTGCTTCCTCTATAAGGTGTCGTCTGAATGAGTATACACCGCAGCCAGCAATTGTGAAGCTGGCGATATATATGTGTGGGAGTCTAATGCTAGAGAACATGAAGACGAAGTCGAGGAGTGATCTTGCAAATTAAGGTTGCTTGATCAATTCTGACAAGGGAAAAGATGTACTCCCATATATACTCATCCTACTTTCCCAAAGTAAACGTTTGGGGCTTGGCCATGTCAACCCTCCGATTGGTTCCGGCGCCTCCGAGGCCCAGTCTCCGAGATGCCGAGTCAACCACATGTTGTTTTTTTGGTTTTTTCTGTTTTCTTTCTTTTTCTTTTTTCCTTGCTGGAAGTAGAAAAACCTCGATTAAAGTAGACAGGTTGGCAGTATGACTGCTAGAAGTGGCCACGATAGGTCCATTAAGGGGTCTAATTTGGACAGGGGTGAATTGTATACCGCAGAATCTTGTAGATCTGTATGCGTCTCGGAGATTGACTGTCCCGAACCATCAAGAAGATAGGTTTAAATCAAAACCTGACTCCTCGTCAAAATAATTCGCACCGCTAAGCTGTATTTTCTATTCCCTTTCCCTTCTGTTGTTCTTTTCTTTTCATCTTTCATCTTCTATATTCCTCTCATCGTTCAGTCTCGATGTCCGAGCCCGAAGCTGCTGCGTCCCTGGAACGGGATCCAACAGAGGATTCCAACCACTATATCGATGGAGTTAAGCTTGCCGCTCTCATGATTTCAATATCCCTTTGCATGTTCCTTGTGTCTCTGGTAAGTTCATCCTTCCCGTTTTGAGGGCTTAAAGATGAAGGAGCTGACCCGTGAACGCTCGCCGTCAGGACCGGACAATCATCTCGACCGCCCTCCCTACCATCACCAACGAATTCCATTCCTTCGACGACATGGCATGGTACGGGAGCGCCTACATGTTGACCGGCTCGGTAATGCAGCTGCCCCTGGGGACCCTGTACCAGATATATGCGCCCAAATACGTCTTTCTAGCGATCATGCTGGTGTTCATCGTGGGCTCGGCCGTGTGCGGCGGGGCCTCGAATTCCCTTGCGGTGATCCTTGGCCGTGCTGTTCAAGGAATAGGGTCGGCCGGAATTACAGCCGGGTGCATGATCATCATCACTGAGACCGTTCCGTTGCCTAAGAGGCCGATGTACATGGGAATACTGGGAGCCGTCTTTGGCGTTTCGGCCATCGTTGGACCCCTGCTTGGGGGTGCTTTGACCACGGGTGCTTCGTGGCGGTGGTGCTTCTTGATTAATTTGCCTATAGGCGCGGTTGCGATGATAGTCATATTTTTGGTGTTTCCTGATGGGGGGAAAGGGGGCGATAAGGATGAGGTGGAACAGGATCGAACAGGGATTACTGCTGGTGGTGGCAGCATGCGCCTTTGGAAGCGGATCCAACGGTTCAACCCGCTTGGTCTTTGTTTCATGGTTCCTGCTGTAGTATGTCTGGTGCTCGCCCTGGAATGGGGTGGCTCGACCTATGCTTGGAAATCCGCCCGGATAATTACGCTCCTCGTCCTTAGCGGCGTGCTTTTCATTCTGTTTGGCGTGGACCAGTGGCTAGAAGGGGAGTACTCGACAATCAAGCCACAGCTCATCGCAGACAGGACCGTTGCGGCCAGTGCGCTGTACACAGCATTTATCGGCGCATCCATGATGAGCCTCGTCTATTACTTGCCAATCTGGTTCCAAGCAATCAAGGGCGCCAGTGCGGTCAAGTCGGGAGAGATGAACATCCCGTTACTCCTATCCCTGGTCATCGGATCCATGATTTCGGGGATGCTGGTATCGAAGCTCGTTGGCTACCCATCACTGTTCATGATCATCTCATCGGTCCTGATGACGGTGGGTGCGGGCCTGCTCAGTACGTTCACAGTGGCAACAGGCCACGCTAAATGGATCTCATATCAGGTTCTCTTTGGTATTGGCCTGGGTCTGGGCATGCAGCAGGGTGCCACAGCCGTGCAGATGGTGGTTCACAAAGCTGACGTGCCTTCCGTACTCTCCCTTTTGTTCTTCTGTCAACAGCTGGGAGGTTCAATTGCCCTTGCCATTGCACAGAATATTGTCTCCAGCAAACTAGTCTCGGGTCTGCATGCCAGCCTGCCAGACGTGGATGCATCAGCCATCGTGAGCTCCGGGGCGACGCAACTGAGGAGCATGGTGCCGACAAAGTCCCTAGCCACTCTCCTGCAGATATATAACGAGGCCGTGACAACTTCTTTCTACCTCACCGCAGCCACGTCTGCAGTTACATTCCTTGCTGCGATTTTTATTGTACCGAGGAGTTTACTTAAGACGTATTGCGAAGACGAGGAAGTAAGTTCGGGTCAAAACAGGCCGGTCTAGGGATGACATGTTGTCTTGCCATTGCGAGAAAGAAGATAATTTAGAACAGAAGTTTTTCCACTTAGAGTATTTACCATTTGGACATTGAGTCTGCGTTTTCAAGTAAGCCAGGCACTGAAGTCAAAGTTCGATTCCGGTGAAGCAGTGGGCATAAACAATAATTGATCCCAGTTATCGAGCTGCTCCATGATTGTAGCCTCGCTCGTGATAGGAGCCGCACCATAAGTGCCCTCGTTGGAAATTATTTCACGGGACTCCACAGGCGCGACTTGGTCGTTCCGGATATAAGGCTTCGACAGTAGTTCGGTGATGAAATGGGGGGTTGGTTCCACTTCGCTTGGTAAGGCGGGCCCTTTCCGGAGAGCCTGCCGAAGCCACCAAACTCGAAGGACAAGGGTATTCACCAAACGATGTAGTCCTCGATCCTCGTCATATAGCTCTGGATAGCGCTGATATAGTGTCTCGATGTGGTGCCACGTGTTATCTTCCCTCGCGCCCCAATCCTTGGTTAGCATCGACTGGAGCAACCAGATGAGAGCACCCCATGGAAACTGGGCATAGATGAACCAGCGGAACCCATGCACGGATGGGTTTGAGTGCAATAACTGGTCATATTCCAGCATTCGCAAGCCGTAATTCAACTTGGACCCCGAGTCCGACCGCGATGATTGCTGCGGTTTCCGCTCCTTGGGCCGAATCTCTTGCACGAAAGCCTGCATCTTGGACAGGGTTAAGCGCGCAAAAGAGTTGAGCATGAAATGTACAGGTATTACAGGGTCACAGAAGCGAAGGAATCTGTCTTCTACTGTCCTGCGGAAAACATTGATTTGCTCAATGGAGAGCAGCATGCGAGGACTGTTTCGCAGCATGACCTCGGGCGATGCAGCGAGATAGGCTGACCGGACAAGACGAACCGCCTCGTACTGGAACAAACAGAAACTCATGTCGGTCAGACCGTCCGTGGCTGGTGTCAAAAAATCGATATCGGGATGGAGATCTTGATCGTTGATATTCGTGGGGAAATTAGTGTCCCAGGGTTGCGAGATAATTGAGTTAGCAGCCCCAGACAGTTCAGATACGCGCATATCAAGAGTAACCAGATACCACCAGACGCGTCGACGGATTTCACACTCGTATAGAGAAAGACCTAATGAGGTGCCGTCACGATGGAGACCGATGGTCTGGGCTTTGCGAATGACCAGGCCGAGTATGGACCAGCAAAGCGAAGGCTCGGACAGGTGGTGAATGGACGTCTACCGTAGGTTAGACGAGCATCTGGTGAGTCCAGGAGAACAATTCTCACCAATAATAGCGCCAAAGCCTGGACTAGCATAAGGTCTAACGAGTGGAGAAAGTCCAATTCAAACAAGGCTTTTCTCGTGGCCGCATAATAATGTTCTATTAGGACTGCGCGACCATGACCAAACCTCGTCTGGCACTCAACTTCCCCCAAAGGAACTATTGCGCATGCATAGATTGAGGCCAACAGAGCGTCGAAGCAGGTTGGGGTGGGTTTTGCGGATATTTTCCGCTTCCTTAACTGATCTACAACCGGCCAGTGGATGACTTTGGTTAAAGGGTCGACATCCCGAAGAAAGATAGACCATAATTCCTCCTCATGGGATGCTGGGATGACCAAAGAAGAGGACTGACTGGGCCCGATAGGGGAAAGAAGCATTCGGCAGATCAGCGACCGGACTGAGGAAGTACTAGTGGATTCGGCTTGTGGCGTATTGGGTGTAAACTAGGAGGCATAGGTCAGAGTAATTGAACGAAAGCTTCACTCCGAGATCCCACCTCTTTGCTCAAGGTCGCGAGCATCGAATACTCATAATTCTTACTGCCATCATCATTCACGACTAGCCCACCGATAGTAATGGCGTCATTAGAAGCAGGGCCCTGAACGTCAGACAGTGATTGACGATCAGTATCCTGCGCATTCAAAGGCCCAACATGGCCCAACGGCGACGATCTACTACCTGCTGAGGCGGACGCTTCGATATTGGATGTCACGGCTTCGACATCATTGGCTGGAAGAGGAGTAAACGGAATATTATTGCGGCGAAGAAGATCTTCATATTCTCCCAACTTTTCCATTAGAACATCTAGCGAGGACTGGAACTTACGTTTGCGGGGTCGATGCACAATGGTTGGATAGATGCACTCGGCGCCAGCACGGTGGCAGGCACCGCATGGCTCCTTTTTGTCACATTTAACCTTGCGCGCCGCACATTTGTTGCAGGCATTTAGGTGCTTGAATGGAACCCCTGATGCAGACATGCGTCTCGGTGAGATTTAATGGCAGATACAGACAAGGGACTGCGGAGAGCAGATATGTTACTAGAGAATCGAGAGCGCTGACTCCAGCAAGCTAATTGGTCGCCATGTCATGCGGAACATTTTTTAACCGAATTCCATACTAATCGGCTGACAGACGAACTGTTGAGAGGGAATTAGCCACGTGAAGGTACACATCGATGCGAAAATTATACGAGAGAAAAATGAATATGCCAGTAGCCTTTACAGGCTAGTACAAATTCAGGTCATGGAAAGTATATTTAGGCACAGATTCTAGAATGATCAGATCTAGTTAACAGCTAATAGAAGATACCTCCTTTAAATCATTGAACTCCCAAGCTAGCTCACGGATCTACTGAAGGTAATAGATCTCAGACCAGACTTAAGTATAATCAGAAGGTAAAAAGCGGGGCTATATACCTGAGATCTGAGCAGTGAAAATAAAATATTAGGGACATCGACTAATTTAAAAATAGATAAAAGTCATGAGAAGAGTTAATTATGGATAATATTGAATCAGATCTGTATAGTATTCAAAGCTCCCAGTCCTTGTCAACGGAATGCAGTGATACATTGTTTGCATCGACCCCTTGACAGAACCAGAGTAGGACCTCGAGGAGGGTGGGGGGGGGGGAGGGCGCTGAGACTGAGCATCATTTAGCTCGCTAGGAACAGTTGCATCTGCCTGTCCTTCCTACTCCCAACAAGCATATGTGGTATATAATCAGCATAATAGCATCTAAATATCCTACGGTGGGCTTCCCTAGCAACAGCTGACGCACAAGGCATAGCGCTGCCTACACATGGGCATCCGGTTCAGCAGTAGCGGATTACGAGCTCGCCTCTAGGCATCTGCGCTCGATGCATCGTTGACAATTTTTTTTCATTTCCGCTTGCTCGTACTGTCTGTGAGACTAAGTAAGCCGCATGGACATAGTTCTGGCCTGCGTGATGGCGTCGATGGGTGATACTTTGGACGAGCATAATGGTGATATGGATGAAGATGGAGTTTAGCACTGCGGGGGTTTCAGTACATGAAGTCGAGCTGGTCAGCACTCTTAAGCTGTAGTATAATGTCTCTATGGCTAAAGTATCTTATTCAGGGTACATCTATTGACTAGATATCAATGCATGACCCAAAGTGGAAATATGCGACCGTGACAAACGTGCAATCATTGATCCTTATGCAGGCAAGCAATAGTAGGTTACCTTATGCATGTTCTCCTCCAGAGCTAAAGTATAATGCCGTAGCATAGTTAAAGAATGTGGCATGCTCTTCTTCGCTATAAAATATAAAGCAGCAGCTTCTGGAGAATATCAGTAGTTCAGGTAACTGACCCCAGCCCCAATATCTCCATACTACCCTTGTGGGTCGATTGTAGCAGGTAACAATGACATATGATTGGACACATCACGTGGTGATCTACATTTTAGAGTCGTCGTCCTGCAACACCGTGCATTAGTGCAATTTAGAGAGCCATTCAGTCGGCCCATGCATTAGTGGTAGGTTTTAGAGCCATTGTCCTGCGACATTGTGCATTAGCGCCATATTTAGAGCGACTGTCCTGCACCCATGTGCATTAGTGCCTCTTTTAGAGCAATCGCATTGCAACACCGTGCATGCGTACTGATTTTAGAGCCATCATATATGCAGTCTTGTGCATGAGTGTCTCTTTTAGAGCCATCGACCTGCAACACTGTGCATTAGCTCCATATTTTAGAGCCATCAACCTGCAACACCGTGCATCAGCGCCTCCCTTCAACATGGTCTGTGCAGAGGTCGACATGCATGATTGTGCTACCCGAACTATAATACCATTGGCTATTAGACACCATATACTCCACACCTTCATGCACAGTCCGGCATAAATATCACTTCTTGTGTAACCAGGTTATGGTCTGTGCAGTATCCATGTGAGGAAGATGGTAGATATCATTGGTGGGTTGGTTCAAGCCGCCTGCACGGGCTTGCATGATCACTATGGCTTTGTTTTGCTGTATGTTGGTCTGTGCATAGCGAAGGTATACGAAATTCTTTGGTGGTGAGCTTTGAAATTGTAACCTGTCATTATAAAATGTGCTATATGTTTCTTGTCTAATACATGTCAAGCACATACGACCACAGGGTGTGGAAAACAGGGCTTCCCGTCCGCTCAGCCGTACTTAAGCCACACGCCGGGAGGTTAGTAGTTGGGTGGGTGACCACCAGCGAATCCCTTCTGTTGTATGTATTTTGCTTTTTGTTTTTGTTCCCTTTCTAGGAAACATTGATTCAGTTCGTTATCGCAATGTGAAATTTGATATCCTGGATCCCTGCGAGCATTTGTTGTGGGAGGGATGTTGTTCAACGATGTGCTGTTGTACCCTAATAGAAGTTGCCCCCGATGTCAAGTACGCCATCATCATCTTGATCATTTCAAATTATTTTCCCTTGCGGAAATCTGTATAGACCGTCGCGGACTCTTGTCCCTCATTTAATAATATACGCCGTGTATGTAGACTTCAAGATATGTGCAGACTGCTGTTATGATCTAATATTGGATAGTAGATCCCTGTTATCAGAACATCACTGGCGTCCAAGAGTTCTCACGACCCTATCTTAGTTGAGACTAAACGAAGTGTAACTTGCCAGTGAAATTTTCTTTCATAGCCCAACTAACAAGGGATAATGAATTGTGTCTTCTAAACTTAAACAAGAAAGTACCAAAACTGCTCTATTGCTAAGCCCGAAATTGACATCAACAAAATTAAATGAACAATGAAGCATGAATGAGCACATCAGACGTACATCAGACGTAGTGAACAGCATCACAACCACAACAACCGTAAACCCACACCTAAACCACCACAGACGCCCTCCCTTTCAGCCCCCCAACATCCTTCGCCTTAAACCTCGCCAACAACCCCGCCAATGCATCCCGTCTCTCATTCATACTCGCCAGCTTCCCCCTCTGAATCTTCCCACTAACAGTCCGCGGGATCCTATCAACGAAGAACACGCCCCCATCCAACGCCTTATACGCCGCCAACCGCTGACGCGCAAAATCATACACCTCATCGGAACTGATTCTAGCACCGGGGGCTCTAGCTCGCACAACATACGCGCGGGGAGCCTCCGAGCTCCCATCGGAAAGACAGGTGCCGATGACTGCGACGTCCGCGATGAGTGGATGCTGAAGCAGCACGGCTTCGATTTCGGCGGGACAGACTTGGTATCTATAAATTCCAGAGTGGATTGCGTTAGCCATTGGTATGGGTTCAGTCATTCTGGGGTATGAGAATGGTATCAACATACCCCCGCACTTTAATTAACTCCTTCGTTCTTCCGACGATGAAATACTCGCCGTTCTTGACATAGGCCACATCGCCGGTATCGAACCAGCCTTCAGCATCAACCATTGACTCATTACGTCCCAGATAACCCGTGAATAAGCCCGCTCCTCTCACGTACAATTGTCCTGGGACTTCATCATCCTTGACCACTTCGGCACCAGACACAAGTCGTGCCTCACACCCTACAGTGACAGGCCCAATACTACCTAGATCGCCCTGTCCTGATCTGCCATTCGCAGGATAGCATTGTTGAAAAACGACCCCACACTCCGTCATACCCCAGACTTGGCCTGCACAGGCATCCGGGTGCAACAAGTCCTGGAAAGCAGACATAGAGGCACGATCGATAGGGGCCCCTGCAACGCCGATGTATCGGAGGGAGGAGAGGCGGGTTTTGACATCCAGAGTGGCAGGTGCTTGGTTGAGCATATGAACCATGGCAGGGACGAGGTAGGTCTCGGTGATTTGGTATTGGTGCACAGTGGACAGGAAGACAGGGAGTTGGAAGTCGCGGAGGAGGTAGAGGGGTTCGCCGTAGCGGATGGGAAAGAGGTGTGTCCAGAGGGAGCTGAAGAGGTGGAAAATGGGAAGGGATATGAGGCGAGTCACTGGGTAGGGAGGAGAGTGGGCGATGGAGGCGTGTTGGGCCATGAGAGAGGCATGGGAGAGCACGGCGGCTTTAGGAAGGCCGGTGGTGCCGCTGGTGGAGTAGAGGGCTGCTGGGGTGGAGGCTGCGGTTGCTGCGTCGGGGATGGCGAGGGGAGCAGAGGTGCCGTGCGATAGAAGGGTGAGGAGGTTGGGCTTATCTGTATTCTGGGGAGGAGGAATGGATGGGTCGTGCACGAACCGGATGGTCTCGGTGATGGTGGCATCGTCTACAAGGAGGACATGGTCGTCAGGCAAATTGTGCTTGTTAGCAATGGTAAGCACAGTTGAAGATCCCTCTGGCTCGGTGATGATCCATTTGGGATGGGTTAGGGAGACAGTGTGGTTGAGCTCTTGCAGTTGGCTGTGTGGGTTGGAGCCCATGTAAACGCCACCTGCGCCAATGATGGCGAGGAACAGGGCTGTGTAGAGAACCTAAGGATGACAAGGGAAGAAAAGGTGAGTCGGAGGTTTGTATAGTAGGCTAGGATAGACATACGTTGTTCCCCGAATGAAGTAAGATGCAATCACCACGATCCAGGCCATGGGCCTTCAGCCCGGCAATCAGAGTGTGCACTAGGAACCTGAATTGGGTGGCATTGAGAGACTGACAGGGCTCCTGGGGATCGATGAATAAGGGCTTGCAAGGGTCATACTCAACCTGGGCGTCCAGGGAGAAAGTGACCACGTCATGTGAATGGGAGGACTCCATCGTGGGTGCAGTGAACTGACAGAAGAAAAGTTTGAACGAGAAGATTAGGGGTTCTGGGGATAACATGCTGGGGGAAAGCCAGGGCTTCTTATAGCCTTCTCATCAGAAGGAAGGCCCGTGCCTACGGAGTCTACGGAGAAACTCATCGGAATAGGGTATTTTCTACAAATCAGAGTTACTGGCTGGCACCGTCAAATGAAGCGGATGGACCGGGAAAACCCCCCTTGGGTTGACTAAGACTCGCTAACAGCTAACTAAAAGCCAAATCATATTTACCTATGCCTGAACCTGCGGCAGCAGTGCTGGGTCCAGCTGTCCTGCCGCATCTCGCGCCAGGGCATCGATGGACAACCCTCCTAGCAGCTTTAGCACCGGCATATCCACACCCAACTCCTTGACAAACCAGACCCGCAGATCGACCGCGATGAGTGAGTCTATACCGAAGTCAGATAATAGGGTCGTTCCAGGTAGGTCCGAATCCGGAGGCAATTGTAGCTTGCGCTCAAGCTTCTTAGAGAAACCTGTAGCAATGATATTGGCCGCTTCTGTTAAGCTGCTTGCGGACTGCAGCTGCGTCTTGATGGGGATTTGTTCCTGCTTGCCCTCACGAACCTCCGATTGTCGAGAATACTGGACGTACGACCACAGACTGGGGTTTTTGAACCATATCACGTCGGGGTATTCTTCTGGATCGGTCAAAGCAAGACCGCAGATAATTGCTGGGTCCTGGCCAGAGTCAGGCCGACCGGCCAGAATCGCCTCCGCAAACTGTTCCAATAGGTCACGCTCAGACAATATCGACTTGCCAATAGTTTTGGCCAGGTGGCCAATAGTCTGCGATCCCATGCGCGCAACATACCCGATACCGCGCACTTCAGCTGGAATGACAATGCTGCCGACATGACCACGGCGCCGTCGCTGGAGCACGAGATCCTCCATGAACACCGCCGTGGCGGCGTATATAGACTGGTTGAAGTTACCAGCTAGACCGGCATAGGACCCCATCAAGATGAAGAAATCCAGATTTTCATCCTGATAGAGTTCATTCAATATCTGACTGCCCTCGACTTTGGGCCCCAGAACAGTTTTCACGTCTTCCAGAGACGCGTTGGCAAAGGCGATATCCCGGAGGACCATCGCACCGTTTATAACACCTCCAACTGGTGGGAGTTCTGCCAGGATGTAGTTGTGTACATGCAAAACAGAGGTACGATCCGAGACGTCCCTGAAATTATCAATGAGTATGTATGCTGCAGCACAAGAATATAAAACTTACATGGCCTTGACAACGACGTGTGCTCCGAGGGCCGACATCTCTTCAACCCAGCGGGGATCGATGCTCGGATTTCGACTGGTTAAAACCAAGTAGCGGGCCCCACGGCTAATCATCCACTGGCATACCGATCGCCCAACATCGCCCGTCATCCCGACTAACAGATAGGTCTTGTGGGCGCTCAAGGTCACTAGAGAGCTAGCCGATAAGGGATACGCTGCCACAGGCCCTGAATGCAGCCAGTCAACGATGATGGACTGGTCACTGCCCAGCGAGTATGATGGAACGTCCTCTGGATTGATCGTGGTAACAGTGGGCCGCAAGCCAACTTGCTGTTCCGCAAAAAGGCAGGATGTTGCCAGGTTATCTGTGCAAAATTCCCCTTCGCCTTCTGGCCTTGAGACTGGCGAGCCACCATAGAGTGTGTGCAAATCATAGATCGTCACTGCGGGAGACAACGACGACTTGATTCGGGCAATGGTACTGTCTGTTTCAGACCTCAAACTCGCGAAAACCGAGACCCCAGCAGGCAACAGGCGCGAGATTGCACGTGATGAGCTACGCGGTGGAATGAAAAGCGTGGTTGAACCTTTTCGGGCGACCTCAGTGCTTGTAGTATACCGTACTCTGACCCCTTTCATGGAGGCCATTGCAGCCACCGATTCTTGAAGGGATGCGGCAGCTTCGTCCAGAAGAAGAACGGTATTGGATGGGGTATTATTAACCAGATTACGGGCAACCAGGGCTGTAGCCACTTCGTTCAAATATGCTGCTTCATGATTTTCTGGTAGCCAGCTTGGAGCGTTCCAACACCAGGATGCTGGGGTGGAAACGACTGAGGCGTGGCTGACCGACAATCCCACAACTCGCGTGCGAGTTTTCTGGTTTTGTCCAAGAACCAGGTATGTAAAGCCAGCAGACTCGACGTAGACCGTGGAAATAGTGGCATAGTGCACCCGAATGTAGACAATCTCGTTATCATGAGCATGGAACGTCTGGCCTGGAATTGCCCGTTGGGGCAAAGAGACTAAGGCGCGTTCCGCCTTATCAGGAATGACGTTCACAGGCGTCAGCTTGGGTTCGACATGCTCTTTACTGGGAAAACCACGACTGGTAAGGAGTCGCCGGTTCATCGTGGGACTGGCCTTCACCCGAGGGATCATCATCATGCCGTTTTCGAGTCGAAGTTCCCATTCAGGATTCTCCGTGCAGTCCGGGAGGCTATAATCATTATAGACATTCGTATGAACAAGCCGCATGAGTGCAGTGGCTAGGATACTAGGGTCAATCGTATCCGGGTCACCGATGGTGAGGTGCTGGAGTAGAGCATGTGGAATCTCATAGGACAAACAGCGTAGAATCCCTTTGGTCATGGCCTGATATGGTTCCTCGCCGGGTTCTCCAGTCGCAACCCAAAGAAGCTTTCCAGATACGCCAAACAGTGCCTGTAGGCTGTGGAGACGGTTCGCAGATATCCCTTGCAAACAAGGGGTGTCTATGTCGGACAAAACCAAAACAGACACCAAAGATGCATCGGCTGGAGGGACGAAGTCTTCAAGCGTGACCGAATGGCTGATACGAATGAAGAAGGGTGCCACAAGATCCCGGACTCCTGCGACCAGACGTTCTGTGCGTGAAGAGGCACCCCCGAGTAGGATAAGATCTGAGTACTGTCCCGTGGCGGGCACCGACAGCGGTTGTTGCAACTTCGAGATGTGATCATCCACGGCCTGAGCGCTAAACACCGAAAGTCCCATCTGTTCTCTGACTTCCGGAGAAGAAAATGTTTCCAACCCCCCGAAACCCGCGTTTCGGAGCACCTCGTCCCAGGTGTCGAGGGAGACCATGGGCCCCCAGGGGCGACCGTCATTTTCTCCTAACCACCATCCTTCAAACCCGCCAAAAATGAGCGAAACGACGACGTCTTCGGGATCAATAAGCTCCATAACAACAACGCGACCGCCAGGTTTCAATAACCGTCGAACATGGGCCATGGTCTTGGATAAGGAAGTGGTGGCGTGGAGAACGTTACTCGCAATAATTAAGTCGTACGCGTGCTCGGGAAAGCCCTGCTCTGTCGGATCCTGCTCGAGATTCAAAACCTGGTAGATGAAGCGATCATTATTCGCCACAAAAGTACTTTCGGCCGCCTCAAAGAAGGCTGCAGAGATGTCGGTGTAGGTGTATGAATGATAGTCTCGTCCAATTCGATTGATCACCTCCCGTGTCGCCGATCCTGTGCCAGCGCCGACTTCGAGTATTTTCATGCGAGGAAATCGGAAGGCTAACTGACTCACAACGTCAGCGAGACTGCGGGTCATCGCCTGAAATGCGTAATCCTGATAGAACCGAGTCAAAAGATCATCGCGGCGAAGCTCTTCCATGATGCTCGTTTGACCTCGCAGCCACTCTATTAGTTTCGGTCCCGCAACTTCCAAACACGCCAAATGATCTTTAACGGCATGCTTGAATTCGGGCGTGAGAAATGAGGTATCATCGTCATCGAGCCATTGAGGAAGATAGCTGGGATGATCACCAGAGCGCACCCTGTCCAACATTCGGTCCATCCAGGCTACATAGCGGCCCCGGTGCCAGTCCAGTTGCTGACGATCCTCTGGCGTCAGTTGCTGTTGTGTTTTTCTCAAATACTGCAAACCTAGGCGGTGGAGGTCTATCGCACTGCCTGGAACCCCCCAGGGGCCGGAGAGCGTCGCATCGGGTAGCCAAGGGCCCCACGTCCGTTCCCCGAATATTTTGATACCATCCATAGTGGGCCGTGTGAGGGGTGTGATTTCAACGCCTTCTATTTGGACTACCCCATGACCTTCCTTGTCAAACAGGTCGATATCACCTCGCGGCCCTGAGGAATCCGCCCAGGACAAGGTGGCCACTACGTCGTAGGGGCCACGGGAAGCTTCTCCGCTGCCAACGTTGTGGGAAGACGGATTGAATGTAGCATTAGCAATCCTAGTGGGGAGATACAGCCCGGATATCTGACCGTCATGAGGATCACCAATTGCCGCCATCATGGCCTGAAGGCCAGTGTCCAGCGTAGCGGGGTGAATTAAAAACGTCGAGCCCACATCGAGGGTTGGTAGTCTGGCAATTGCAATGTCCTTCCGACGCCGGATGTCCTGAAGTGTACGGAAGATGCCTGAGTAACCATACCCCAGCTCTGCTAATTTCTGATAGAAGTCTTCCGAATCCACCGAGCGAAGATCAGGAACTGTCGGATCCATTGGTGGCAGAAGTGTCGCATCTGGCTCGCCGAATGTAATCTCCAGGCGACCCGATGCACAACAGCTAAAGGTATCAGCGTCGAGGCTCGATTGGCATGTGAACATGCCAGTCATTTTGTGACCATTACTGCTTGTCTCATAGAGGGTAAATAGCGTCTCAACGCCAGTGGGATTGTCGGGTATGGTAATCGCACGATCAATGGTAAGTTCGTGTATCTCGACAAGTTGGAGCAGTCGTTCATCCGCGACAATACGAGCCGCCTCTAGAGCCATGACGAGGTACCCTGTAGCGGGAAACACAACTTGGGATTGAACTTGGTGTCCGTCCATCCATTCCAAGTCCTGTACCCGCAGGAAGTTACGCCAGCGCCATTCTGCGTCCCCAGTCTCAGGGGTGAGGGCGCCAAGGAGGGGGTGAATGGGATGTCGACGATTGATGCGCGCACTGGATAGACGTGGGACGGCCCAGTACCTTTGGCTGTGGTCGAATGGATAAGTGGGAAGATCAGTCAAATAGTTCAACTTCATAGACGGCGAAAAGAGCCGGATGTATGATAAAATATCCAAATTTTGGGCTCCTAGATTCGCCCAGAACGAGCCCACGGCGAGTGCCAAGGCTTCGATACCACCAGACTTGCGATTAGCCATTCCGACGTAAGGGACATCGGCCTCAGGTTTGATGGCTGACAAGGTTTGCATGGTGGGCCCCTGAAGAGCAGCATGGGGTCCCACTTCTATAATGGCATCCAGCTCGGGGAGATCTCTTATAGCAGCTGACAATGCCTGGGAAAAGAGCACAGGGCGAAGCATATTATCGCTCCAGTACTGGAGATCGAGATTCTCCATAACTTGGTCCTCGAATACACTGGAAAACCATTTAGTGCGGGCCAAGCCTTGACGTGCCTGAATCTGGCACTGTTTCATAGACTGAACATATGGATCAGCACAGGGGATCATATGGCTAGAGTGATAGGCCGTATCGACACGCAAACGCCGTGCAGAATAGCCGAGACTCTCTATGACCCACTCCAGCTCAGTGATTAAATCACTGTCGCCTGAGAAAGTCACACTAGTAGGAGAATTGAAGGCAGCCACGACAACGGTACCAGAATAGGCCGCTTCGCTACGCATGGCGTCGGCCTGATCCCACGTTGCACTAACTGCCAGCATAGCACCAGACTTTCCCTGAGACCCAGCATGCTGTGCCGCCACTCCTCGCAAATAGGCGATCCGAATGGCGTCTTCTAGGGTCAGCCAACCTGCCGCATAAGCTGCACCGATTTCACCGGATGAGTGCCCAACAACTGCCGCGAATTCTATCCCCAGTGATTTTAGAATATTGACCTGAATAATTTGCAGTGCTGTGCGTAGTGGTAGCGAAATTGCCGCCGAGTTGAGCCGAGAGGTTGCCTCGGGAGCGGATAGTTCATCTAAAAGAGTAAAAGTCGGTTTGTACTCTGCCGGAAGAGTATCCAGGGCCTGCTGCAGCTCTTTCATCCACATCTGAGCCTGTGGGGATTGGGAGATAACATCTAAGCTCATCTGTGGCCATTGTGCGCCTTGACCCGTAAAAACACCTAATATCTTCTTTGGCCCAGGAGTGAGTCGTCGTGTGATGGTTGACGACGTATCAGCAGAGCGTCGTTGCAACTCACTGTGTAGGGCCTCCCGAAGGCTTTCAATTGTGTCTGCAGTAAGAATTAGGCGATGACTCAAGATGGATCGCTTTTTGAGGAGAGAAGCGGCTAGTTCCAGTAGGTTCACTGTAGGGTGCTCCTCCAAGTACCTAACGTAATGTCGTAGGACTGCGGTGAGAGAGACTTCAGATGCAGCTGAAAACACGAATGGAAGTATTTCTGGTGTTACAAGCTCGCAATCTGATGATAATGAGGGAACTCCACTAAAGCTCTCCAGAATGACGTGCGCATTGGCACCCCCAAATCCAAATGAGTTGACCGACACCCGTCGTGGAGACCCGGATGGAAGATCTGGCCAGGGAAGAGCTTTGGTTGGGACTTGAAGATGAGAGGTGTATGGAGCCACTAGGGGGCTGAGTTCGTTGAAGAGTAGGTTGGGCGGTATAACACCATGTTGGATGGCCAGTGACGCCTTGAGAACCCCTGCAATACCTGCTGTGCCTTCTGCATGGCCTGCGACGCTTTTAATGGAGCCCACGTATATTTTGTCGTCGGGATGGGATTCATCGTCGAAAAAAGCAGAGGAAATCCCAAATGCCTCTTGCGGATCACCCGCTAGCGTGCCTGTCCCATGGGCTTCGAAAAATTGGCAGCGGTCTTCCCGGCGAAGGGGGTTGAGACCAGCGCGCGCATATGTTGAGCGAATGAGATCCCGCTGTGCCTCACCATTTGGCATGGTCAGTCCGTCAGTACGACCGTCAGAGTTTACACCAGTAGAGCGAATAATACATTCAATAGGGTCACCATCAGCAATTGCGTCCTGCAGGCGTTTCAGCACGAGCGAGGCCACCCCTTCACCTCGGGCATAGCCATCCGCGTGAGCATCCCACATCCGACAGCGCCCTGTCGGTGATACCATCTGCATCTGAGACTCCCAGATATATGCGTTTGGGGAGAGGATCAAGTTGCTGCCCACAACAACCGCGAGTGAGCAGTCACCATTGTGTAAAGCCTCCGACGCCAGATGCAGTGCTACTAAGCTCGAGGAGCATGCCGTATCCAGGACAAATGAGGGCCCATGCCAATCGAAGAAGTAAGAGATTCGATTGGCAAGAACCGAGGCTGTTGTACCAGTGGTTGAAAAAGGGCGCAGCAGGTCTACATCTGCACCGAGAAGTGAAAGGTAATCGTTGCTCATAGAGCCACAATAAACTCCCGTGGATGAGCCCTGCAGGTGTTGCAGTGGCAGCCCGGCCCTTTCGAGAGATTCATACACCACTTCCATGAGTAATCGCTGCTGAGGGTCCATTGATGCGGCCTCCGAAGGGGAGATCCTGAAAAAAGGGGCATCAAACGTCCGGACATCTTCCTGGAGAAAGTAGGACTCGGGAGCAACCATCATCCCGGGGCGGACCTTGCCAGCTTGGTAGTAGGCATCTGCGTTGAAGCGGTCAGGAGGAGGCTTGGACGCGATATTGCGCGGATTCTCCAGTAGTTCCCAGAGGCGCGAGGGTGAGGAGGCCGATCCTGGGAGCCGGCAGCCTGTGCCGATGATAGCGATTGGCTCAGTTCGCGTCATCAGGACTAATTGAAAGGTCGTTGTTCGAATAGGCGAGGGAAATATCTAAGAGAGCAGTAAATGTCTTTCGAAATCTTGGAAGGAACTTGATGACTTTGGTAGGTCTGTGGTATATAAGGGCATAGGCTGGGATGATGATTTGCATCCCGACAAGGTGACCCATTATCGAAGGTGGTGACAAATTTCTTTCTTTCCATTTTTTTCCTGATACAGAAATACAAATCAGCAGTACGTTTCGCATAGCATGACGCCTCGACCCCGCATCTCAACTTCTTCGCTTTCCCTTTTCTTGATTTTCCTTTTCGAATCGCTGGCGGGATTTGATACCGATCGCTCATAGAATCCCCGAGGGTATCTTACTTCGACCCCGGAGGAGTCCGCGATAACTTCTCGGTACCATGTCAGCAAAGCCCGGAGCAGGCGCCACATGCAGCTATACATCATCCAATGCACTGTGATCAGTAGCGATGATGGCGTCAATCTATATGTGCTTTTCCCCGGGGAAGGACACTGAGTGGGGTCGGGTGGGGAGTTGTGTGGCGAGCCCACAACCGGGAGACGAACCCTCAGCATCAGGATCGACGGTGCGTCGATTTTCCACTACATCAGCAGCTTTTTCGAGCGTTTCCATTTCCTTTTTCTTTTCAGTCCCGTTAAGATAGCACAGTATAGGGACGACTCTGGACAGCGAAGTCCATAAATAATCTCGGATTGAACGACTGCACATTGAGCAGGCGACCGGACGAGCGAGAGTCCTCAAAGAACCAATATGCCGGGCGGCTGGGAAATCTACTCGGGCCTGATGCTGCCGTTCTATGATCTTATGATTCACTGGTTCAATAATACTTATGTGTGGCGGTGCCCCTTATCAGTCCTTAGCGCCTTCTTTGCGGCAAATACCGGACCTCGCCATATGGACATTGGTGTAGGAACCGGGCTCTTCCCTGCACAGTATCGCGAGCAAATGCGGCAGAGAGACCAAGACTGGCCTCAGAAATTGGCCCTTGTCGACATGAATCCTTCGTGCCTGCAAAAGTCTGCCGCGCGTATCGACTGTCCAAGCAAGACCGAATGTGTGCAGGCTAATGTCTTCGAGCCATTCACCATACCAGCCGGGCAAGGAACCCTCGATGCAGCATCCAAGTTTGATTCCATATCTTTGATGTACCTGCTGCATTGTCTGCCTCCGCCAATAGAACACAAGATCACGGTGTTTGCGAACCTAAAACATCACTTGATTCCGGAAGGGACTCTGTTTGGTGCCACTATCCTGGGTTATGGAGCACACCATCACCTGCTGGGGCGTTTGACGATGCGCCTCTACAACTGGAAAGGCATATTTGGAAATGCTGATGATAGCCCAGAGGCATTTGTCAAGGCCCTGGAAGATGAGTTTGAGGAGGTTGAGACCCATATTGTGGGTGTGGCGCTGCTCTTTCGGGCTCGTAGACCCCGGTTGGCGTTAGCCTGAACTACTTTGTTGTGGCCCTGAAGATTCTCGTGTAATCTACGTTGAGGACCGTGACAATATGATGAAATTAAGCGCGATGTGCATATCCGTACTCTTGCACATCATTTCCCCTCAATGGGCCTGGAGGCCTGTTGGATGCCTGAGGAATGTGAGAAAATTCTGTTGTTGTCTTCCGTATAGTTGTGTCTTACTGAGGTTCCAATCCGTTCCTAGCTTGTGTGTTTTATCAGCAAATGAGTATTAGCGTAGTCCGAAGATTTCAGTATCTCCAGCATGCTGGTGCCCTCTTTGCAAACAAACCCCGAGTAAATAGTTTCAAAGATCAGACCGGGTATGCACGATTTCAATGGCACGGGGAGAAAAAGAAAACCGGGATTACCAACCTTGTATGGCGTCTGAACTCGGGGTCTGTAGGGAGATGAACTAACTGGCTCGAGGAAGCCGGTCGCCGATCTTCCCTCAGCTTGCCGATCCCTCGGTCTCTTTTCTTCTGCAAGATCTCAATCGCGAACCTAACAGACACCAGGGTGTAGGAGAGCAACCGGTTCCGGAGTTACTGTTTCCGACGCTAATGCTGACACGCAGTGCTAGTATGTGTATGGATACCCTGAAAATGAGGTGGTGATAAGAAGGCCAGGCTTTGCTACCGTATACTGCCACAAGCCAGCAGAATACCTAATTCGTTGATCGACATGGAAGAGAACCCGTGCCAGATCCAGTCTGGACTGGGAACGAACGATTTGTCCACTCCGCTGATTCTTTTCCACGATGCAGGCGGAACTGTGTTCCCGTATTTCTGCCTGGGAGATTTGCACCGGCCGCTTTACGGCATAAGCAATTCTCACTTCGATCACGGAGGCAAATGGGACCATGGTATTCGCCAGATGGGAGTTGTCTATGCACACTTCCTTCGGTCGGTCATCAACTCTGGAGATGTTATCCTAGGAGGTATGATGGGATCCGAGCGCTAACGCGGAACCTCTGGCACTAACAACGTATTGCTTTTTGCACACAGGATGGTCTCTCGGCGGTTGTGTTGCTTTGGAAGTTGCATCTCGACTAATGAAGCTTCCCCAGTACACGGTGCAGGGTGTTATCATGATCGACAGTGTCTTCCCAACTTCCAAGGTCACAGACCAATATCCCCGCACGATCGCTGAGGTTGCTGCCAGCTTCCAGCTACCGGCCCGGATGTCCGAGGCACGGCGGGTGCAAGCGCAGCAATGCATTCTGTATGCACACGAGATGCAGCGTGACTGGCGGCCACCACTGTTTCCGTTAGGACTGCCTCCTACAGTACTCATACGCGCAGCCGATCCGGTGCATCTTGACCCCGATGCGAAGCCCCACTACCTCGATCTCATCCGAAACTGGACGTACCTGGGGTGGGAGGAGTACGATAGGAGCTTCATCCAAAGCTGTTTGGTAATCCCAGGCAACCATTTTACCATATTTGATGATCAACATGTCTGTCTCTTGTGCCATAGGTAATAACCTTGCTGATAATGCTGCAGTGTCACCAAACGACGACCAAGATCCGAGAAGCTTGCGCGATATTGGCTCGACCGCAACAGCCAAATCCCGAATGATCGACAGTACATCAATCTAGATACAGGGAGCTACCGATAGCATGAGCCCATGGAGACCGAGTCGGACTGAGTATTGCATGTTGATATGTCATTTCCTGGGAGCGAACCATATTTGTTCAACCAGGAACTGTTGGATTATTGGCTCTGTAGATAGCAGTATGGGCAGCGGAGCTGAACTGGTTCATTTTCGTATTCTGACACACTTCTGCGTAGTGATAGCTTTTTTTTCATGCACCAATCCAATTTGGCATTTTCACAGCTAAGTGCATGCTCGCTCAGCTGGTGGCGACCAAACAAGTCATGCAGTACTTTATTCGTAACTGTTCCGAGAGTTCCTCGCCGAAGCGAGCACCTCGTGCTTGCCGCCGAATGCCGATAGTAGCTGCAGGGGAACACAGAAGGCATATATATAATATCAGTATGGAGGGAGCCTGGGCCACAGTGAAGATTGAATATCCGAAATTTCTGGACACCTGAATATATCCACCATGCTTGATAAACACATACCAGATGGTCATTTGGAGACCACAAGTGCCCACTGGAGAGACCTGAATCAAGTTGTTCAGAATGGGGAACTCAGTATCGACGGCTATAGCCTTAGTCTTGCCGATGTTGTCGCGGTAGCGAAGTCAGCCAACACCCATTCAATTGTTATCTACTCACACGAATGAGTCTAACAGTTGAGATAGATACGGCTGCCAGCCTCGGCTTACTGATAAGCCCGAGACGATCGATGCTATAAATGGAAGTGTCATAGCACTAGCCGAATGCCTTCGAGATGGGCATCATATTTACGGTGAGTCGAGCCTTTCATATTGGAAGTTAAATGGTGTACTAAAGGACCAACCCATCTATCAGGCGTCAATACCGGATTTGGAGGAAGTGCTGACTCACGAACAAACCAAACGACCACTTTGCAGAGCTCCCTCCTTCAGCTACTCCAAAGCGGTATTCTTACCGCATCTGATACTACCAATGAAGGCTTACAGCTCAATCTCCAAGAGCAGAGCTCCCACTCCATGCCTTCTGAATGGGTCAAGGCAACTATGCTTGTGAGAAGCAATTCAGTTGCTCGGGGCCATTCAGCAGTGTCCCTGCCTGCAATTAGCGCAATTTTGCGGTTGATTCGTGAGGATATCATCCCTGTAATTCCTCTGCGGGGAACTATTTCCGCGTCTGGGGATCTCATGCCACTCGCATACGTTGTTGGGGCTATTGAAGGAAGTCCCGGGATTTATGTGCGCGTCAAGGACGGATCGGAGCATCAAGTTGTCACGGCTCAAAAGGCACTACAGACAATTGGTGCTAAAGGAGTCACGCTGGGACCCAAGGAGGGCCTTGGTTTGGTCAACGGCACAGCCGCTTCGGGTGCTCTTGCCGGCTTAGTGCTCTATGAGGCGCATCAGCTGGCCGTACTTGCGCAGGCAGTCACTGCTCTGACAGTAGAGGCCATACAAGGGAGCACAGAAAGTTTTCATCCTTTTATCGCCCAGGTGCGCCCGCATGAAGGCCAGATTGAAGCTGCGGAAAACATTCTATCTCTCTTGAAAGGCTCCCTACTTGCGAGAGGAAGTAGTACCACCCAAACTAGGACGGGCCTCGTGCAAGATCGTTATTCTCTCCGAACAGCCAGTCAATGGATTGGGCCCCAACTGGAAGATCTTCTTCTCGCAGATCGGCAAGTCCAGGTCGAGCTCAATTCGACGTCAGATAACCCGCTTATTGATACGGGCTCTAAGACCTTCTACACTGGAGGGAACTTCCAAGCAACTTCAATTACTTCTGCGATGGAGAAGACTCGACTTGCGTTGCAAATGTTCGGGAAGATGTTGTTTGTTCAGTGCAACGAGATGATAGACCCCAATTTGAACAATGGTCTGCCTACCAATCTAGTCGCCGACGATCCCAGCCTCTCCTTCACCATGAAGGGGGTATATATCAACATGGCGGCCTACATGTCTGAGTTAGCGTATCTCGCCAACCCAGTTAGCTCCCACGTTCAGACTGCAGAGATGCAAAACCAAGCGCTCAACTCACTGGCATTTGTTTCAGCACGGTATACGATGAAGGCGGTTGACATCGTGTCAATGATGGGTGCGTGTGCACTATACGTTGCTTGCCAAGCCCTCGACCTGCGCGTCTTGCAGCTTCGCTTTTTCCAAAGAGTTCAGGGTGTCGCCAAAGAAATTGCGAATGGAGCTTTTGGAAAAGTGCTTGAACCATCTGAGATTGATCAGGTAGCGGATCATCTTTCCGAAGCGATCCAGAACTCTTGGCCATCAACTTCACGCCTTGATCTTCGCGATCGCTGCAAGCGCGTAGCCGAGATGTTCATCCCCGTCCTCTTTGGGGCCCTGTTACAGATGATCCCACAAAATCGGCAGACTTCAGACCTATTTACAGCGATCTCTGCATGTAAGATGATAAGCGTTTTCAAGCTCGAAGGTGTTTATCGGGAAGTATTTGCCGAGTTTTGCACTTCGCAACCCACTGCCGACTTCCTCGGAACAGGGACAAAGGAGATCTATACATTTATTCGATATGATCTTCGCATCCCATTCCACCAGGGTTTTGTCGAACACCCATCAGCGAGCCAGACCGATTTGCCAGAGATGATCAACGGCAGAGTCAAGAAGACGGTTGGGGGGTGGATATCAATTGTCTATGAAGCGTTGCGAAACGGGACGCTGAGTGGCACAATCCTTAACTCTTTTCGACAATGAGCACTGTACAACTATAGGACCCACCTAACTGGTTTAATGATACCAGGTTTAGCACTTTCAACAAGACTAAGGGACGACGCCAATCTCTGATCGTACTCATCCTGAGCACATTTTAGCCGAAATAGACTTGTAAATTTTCATAGCGACATAGGGGGATACAAGACTGTCAATACAACTTGTTTGGCAATGATCAGAATGACGGTTGCGATTATACGGATGATCAGATTCAAGGCTGTGACCTTGATTGAAGTCGAAGTATTCCATCGAGCGGGAGCAAATCGGTGTTGGTCATGTAGCAATTACACGTGAAACACGTGCTTTTTTAACCTTGTCTACTTTCTCACTGGAGGCTATTCATAAGACAAGAGAGATGTTCTTGCTGCAATCAAGAGACCCGTTACCATGTACGAGCGAGACATATCGAGGTATCTAGATCTCGACTAAGTCCGTGCTGATTGCCTTCTGAATGTATTTCGCACTTATTCTTACTACCGACTAAGAGTGTCACTCGGCCTTACATTAGCATTTATGTAGTATGTGTCTCGTACAAAATACTAGGAGCAATATTTTGAGATATGTACAGTCACTTTCTTCCAATCTATTTCTAGTGCTGGGGTTTGAACCTGTCCTTCATCAAGACAACGTCTACAACGCTGGTCAAGATATGAAAGCTTTGCGTTTCTCCCAATTTTCGATGAATCGCTTCAGCAAAGGTCCGTCAAGAGCAACATACTTAATATCCGGTCGGTCTCGCAAAGCGCGCGTCGTATTCGTCGGGTCATACACAGGAGTATTCTTGCTTGTCTGCAGTCGACTCAAACCTTCATAAACAGGTTCATCGAGCAACGGCATCATGGATTCCAATGCGTTTCCGGGAGAGTCGCGGATCTTCTCCACCCATTCCTTGTAATCGACCATCTCCACGGGGTATCCAATCTCGCGAAGCATCTCATACTTCTGATCGTGACCGACAGACAGAGATCTATCAGGAGGCACAATGTGATACGAACGACCGAGGTTTTCTCGACTGGACGCAATATGCAAAATAGCCTCCGCAACATAGTCGACTGTCACATAATCCAAGAACTGATCGGGAAGATGGGGAAAGCAGCCACACTGAATGCTACCCATGATCAACCGGGAGAAATAGTCTTTCTCGTTTGCAAGAGCGCTTTTGCTGTGGCCGATTATAAACCCGGGTCTGTATATTGCAGTTGGCAGACCGCCAGCACGCGCTCGTCGAACGATCTGTTCAGCGACGAATTGACTTGCCGCGTATCCGGTATCATATGGGAGGGCATTTAGGTGTGGGTCTAGCGACTCATCCTCATACACGCGATCCACCTTGTTGATAAATCCGGTGACGGTCCAGACGTCAATCGACGAGACGTAATGCAGAGCTTTTCGACGGCCTAGCATTGCGGCTCGTATGACGTTCCGTGTACCCACAACATTAGGCACATGATGTGCCTCGTAAGGCTGGCACCAATTGACCCGTGCGCCGACGTGAAAGACAACGCTCGCCCAATTTATGAGCCATTCGAATTGTTTCTCTCCAAGCCCGAGAGTGGGGTCCGCCATGTCGCCGTGCAGAACCATGATCTTCTGGGTTGTTTCCAGTCGGTCATCCCAAAGATTGTACTTCTCCAGTGTCTGCTGGACCCGGGTGCTGGCATCGACAGCATCCTGGCCCCGTATAAGGCAAGCGACCTTCTGAACCGATGGCATAGTTAGGAGCTGATGAAGTATATGTGCACCAAGGAATCCTGTAGCACCAGTGAGGAACACGCGACCTTCGTCTTTGGCCTGCCAATCAGGGGGAAGGAGGTCAGGATCTAGGTTTTTGGAATCCTCCACGCAACGCTCTAAGCTGAACTGCGAGCTGTCGTTATCGGAGCTGGCCATGAATTTTGTAAGTTGCTCCACCGTTGGGTTTTGATGGAGCTGCGCCAGAGTGATGCTGCTTTTGTGATCCCGCTTGATCTTTCCGACAAGTCGAGCGGCTTGGAGAGAGGTCAATCCACAGGAGAAGAAGTCATCACTCGGGGTGATCTTCGATCTGGGGAGGAAACCCTGGAGTGTCGACAAAAGCCACTGTGTCATGTCCCCGACATCCCCGCCATCATTTATATTTGTGGTGTCGGTTGTATCGTTCTGTGGATGGCTTCTCTCCTTTCGGTGGCAAGGATGCTCTCCATCATTGTCTGGCTGGAGCGCCTTTTTATCGACCTTTCCAGAATGGGATAGGGGAAAATTGCGCTTCATATGTATCATTTTCGGCACCATATATGAAGGCAACCTTACTTTCACCCAATCAATGAGCTCTTCTGAAGAGACCTGGCTATCCCAGCTGGATGGGACCGCGTAGGCTTCAAGAAACCCATCACTGCTCTCTGGAATATATTTGACAACGCACGAATGAATCTTTCGGTGTTCTTCGACACAGCATGAAATATCCCCTAGCTCTACCCGATACCCCGATATCTTGACTTGGTCATCGGCTCGGCCAATGAATTCAAGGACCCCTCTCTCATCTCTCCACTGGGCAAAGTCGCCGGTTCTGTAAACTCGATTATGTTTATCTGACGAACCACCCAACCTAGTTGCAGGGACAGAGATAAATTTTTTTTCGTTTTCCTCAGTCCGGTTAAGGTATCCTGGCGACAACTGAGGTCCCGCAATACAAATTTCTCCAGTGTGCCCTGTCTCATTCACGGGATTGAGGTCCTCATCAAGGAGGTAGATCTTCGTATCTCCAACAGCCCGTCCTATACTCACGCGCGGGCGTCGCATCTCCTTTTTGTCCAACCGGCCCACCGTTGCAAATATGGTCGCCTCTGCAGGACCGTAGCCATTCCAAAGATTTTCCGGAGCTGCGGCCTCAAGTACCTTACGCAGGGCACTGGAACTGACCGCCTCGCCCCCGACCACGACGTGGCGTAGTCCACCGAAAGTGGATGGTGCAGTTAAAGCAACGACGTGGAACAGGGCTGTGGGCACAATCATGACGGTGATTTTGTGCTCACGCACGAAATCCTCCAGAGATGGTGGATCGGCACGCACAAGATCGGGCACTCGAACGATAGTCGCGCCGGCGAGCAGTGTTAGCCACATCTCGCAGACAGACATGTCGAATCCAGGGGCGATGAGGGCTGTCATCCGGTCTGAGGAAAGGAGCGGTCCGAAGGGAAAGTGATTAAGAGCGTGGAGAATACTGCTGCTAAGGACCTGGATTGGCTTAGGTCGCCCGGTGGAGCCAGACGTGAAGATGATATGGCTGCGATGAGAATCTGGACAATTTGTGCGAACAGTAATCTCAGCCTCTGTGTCCAGGTCAATTTTTGCTTCGAGCCCCGACTCAATGAGAATGGCACTTTGCTGCTGAACACGGTCAATGTTGCTTTTATCAGCGATGAGGTGTCTGGTGTTTAAATCTTCCAGAATCGACTTGATACGATCCTCGGGCGCAGCTGGGTCGATGGGAACACAGCTTCCTCCTGCGCGAAGAACTGCAACCTGGGCCATAACCTGATGTAGTCCAGTGTCGGCCAGAATGCACACCGGGCTTTCAAGTTTCAAAGGCCTTTGGTCTAGTTGATCAGCGATCACGTCGGCCCGGGTGATCAGTTCCCGGTAGCTGACGCTGCGGTCACTATCCTCAACCGCTACGGCATCGGGGGCCGCATTAACCTTCTTGATCAGGATTGCTTCCATTTGTAGAATGTCAAGATTCGTAAGTTGCAAATAGAAAAGGCGAAAAAATTTTGATAACTGAGCACGGTTTTATTGAAAACAGAAATGCCGATATGAAATGAACAGACGGAGAGAGGATTGCTTCATAAACTTCCAGACCAGATTACTGCTGAACATTTGGATTTCAGCTAGTCCTCATAACCGGTATTCAACAATCGTTTCATCAGGATTTTGAGCACACAGTCTTGTTTTTGCTAATGTTCATCGGAGACAAGCTCCAAACGAGGCCTGCAAGCAAGAGGCAATGCTCTATGATCATTATTATGCAATAAACCTTGTTTTCTGCTTAGATGAACCTTTAGGATGGCTCAGTGATATTCTAGGGATTTACTGGATTTATGCGCAGATCCTTGTAAAGCAGGTCGGAAAGCGATACACCACTATGCAATCAAGCGCCAATGCGCTATAATCACGATCGTATGGTATTGCCAGGCTCCCTGTTCTGATACATGCCACAAGCACTAGATTGAATGCCATCGAACCATCAGAGTTCATTTGCAGATCGTTGCTCATAAAGTAGATTGAAGAGTTAGATTCATACGTTAGCTGAGAAGCCGTTGACGTCGTGATTTCGAGAAAAAGCTTGGGGTGGCAACAACGAAGACTACATTACTCACCATGTTCACTACTTGCTCTCCAGCGCTTGGGCCCTCGTAGAGCGATGAGATAATATTGAGGGAAGTGAAAGCATAGGAAACGTCATATTTCTAATTTTATTGCTGCACCCTTGCCATCTGCTTCAAAATAACGGGTGCATGTAATCTGACACAGTTTCTGCTGCTAGACTCAGACACATTACCATGAATACCAATAGGGATATATTTCGTCGCAGGCCTGTGAGCATCGTCATTTTCCGTACCGCGTGTGATGCAGGCCACCACTTGGGTTGATATTTACCAGGCAAACTGATGATTAAAATACCTTCTTCTGATATTTCTGCTTTCATCCTTAGCTCCGGAACTATGATTTCTGCATATACTCCCTCTTAGCTCACCATAAGGTTGAGTGCAAGAATTCAGTACGTTGTTAAGCAGGCACTAAAAGAGTGTCGACGGCGCAGGAAAACTTCTTGGGACGCTAATCAATCAAACCACTGACCGGCTTATCCTGAGTAGAAGTGATGCTGTTTCTATGATAACTTATGGCTGAGGTGAGGGAGCAAGACTTACTTGTTCTCTGGGTTACTGAAGCCACATTGTGCAGGCTTTTACATGAACGTCCTTGATAAAAAGCACTTGGCCCTCGTTCCGGCCGAAGGCCACTGGAAACTCTCCGCGCGGATACTGTGTATGTGTCCTCCAGGATTGTCGAACGAAAGATCTTAATTCGGAATCTATAAACAAACGACGGTGAGCCACACATTATCATATTGTGGTTCGAGTTATGGAGAAGTCAAATTATCCTGGCGGAATATTTAGCCTCGCGATGGGCGACCCTCGTAGCCAAACTTATAGAGAGGTAACTATGAAGTACCGAGAACATCGCTTTACCTGCTAGTTAAAATTGATCCTCGGTATTAGGCACTTCTAAGTACTTTCTAGCTTGCGGCAGGCGGACATGATTCCCGCCACTAAGCACTAGCAGTTTCATGCCCCGCTGTTTCCCAAATCAGATAAAGGAGGGGTCAGTTGCCAGCTAGTCCAACACGTGCAGGAGGAGCTCCAGGGAGCAACAAAGCCGGGTTTCATTCACTTCTTTACTTTCTTAAACTCACAACTTTCAAATCACTTCTTCAATCCCATATACCCCTACTTCAACGGTCATTGTCACATTTTCTGCGAAGCACTGATCTGCCTATTGAAAAATGCCTCGAACTGCTATCTTCGTCATCGACATCCAGAACCAACTGGCCGTTGATTCAACCTCTCGCGTCCCTCAAGCGGATCGCGTCATCAAAGCCTCTGAAGAGATTCTACAGACAGCTCGGTCCATCACCGACTCCAATGGAAACAGCAGCAGTCCACTTATTGTTTTCATTCAGCACGAAGAGTCTCCGAATGATGGAGCTCTGGTAAAGGGGACTGAGCCCTGGGGGCTCGTCTTTCATCCTCGCGCGCACGCAGAGGGTGAAATTTTGGTAGCGAAGAAGACAGGTACAGTACTCAACATGCTCGATGAGAATCGATCTAGCTAATTATTTCGTTACATTTTACAGGTGACACATTCAAATCCAACCGCGACCTCGCGCAGAGGCTGCGCAACGCCAACGTCACCGAAATCGTCGCGTTCGGCCTGCAGAGCGATGCCTGCGTTGAAGCAACATGTACCGGCGCGCTGGCAGCAGGTTTCCACGTAACGGTACTGGCAGGCGCACATTCTACCTACGATGCCGATGGAAAGACCGCCCAGGAAATCGAGCGTGAAGTCGAACTTCGCCTCTCGACACGCGGCGCTCGTGTTGTCCGGTGGGAGAAGGCGATCGCGAAATGGGTGGAGAAGCAACAGGTTGTCTGATTCGCTTCTTTTGTTTTCGATTTATTTCATCATTGTACATGTTAGATTTGCCAGGAACTTTGCCTGAAATGCGGGCTTCATCGAGATACACCACAAACGATATTATCACCACCTTTTCCTTTCCTGCCTTTGGAGCTCAGAACATAACACGTACGCCACAGGGGCAGCCAAGCTGAACAGGCCAAGTTGAAAGATCGGAGTATAGTTGGGCTTGGCGGGTTTGAAATGAAGCACGTTGGAGGGGCAAATAGGGTCTGGGCTCGGGGCGCATGTCTAGGCGGGGAGCGCTATAGGCACGCCCCACTTGCGCCCAGCTGATGTTCACCGATAGTCCGAAATAGTGTAGACCTTCGATCAGCCGATCCATCGGCAAACGGACATCGCAGTAACCGACTTGAGGTTGTCACATCACCTGACTGGTACGTACGAGGATGATCAGGAAGATCAGGCAATGATCACACCTGAGGCATATCCTCCCCCACTCCTCAATACTACGTACTGAGTACACAGCCTCCACTATTTCGCTGCTATATCGCAGTAAGATACATATTCTTCCATGTCACGGTCTCAATAATAAAATTGAGAAATTGCCAAACGTAATGAATTTAGGAACGAGGGAGAACTTCAAAGACTGCTTGCTATCATTCTAATACATAAATCTGTAGCATACCTAAGAGCTGTAGGCCTGGGAATTCACAGACCTCCAGAACCTGCAAATGACAAGTCCCATAGAGGTGAAGATGCTGCGAATGATTGTATAAATAATTCCAAGTGCTTATTGACTCTATCTGTGAACACTCTGAAATCATCACAAGGAGCTGATTTGGTCAATATGACCGCTTCCGATAGTGTAGCGGGTAGCGGTGGTGCCTCAGCCATCCTAATGAGATGTTCACATCTCCATCGTTGCATCGTTGCATATATAGTGAATCCAGTTTGCATTCTAGCATCCGTAATGATCGCGCGCGGGGACTAGCGATCACCCGGTTTAGTATCGCTTCCATAGCTCTGCGTTTTGTCCAATTTCTTGATTCCATCTTTTATTCCGCCGAGCTCTTCGTCTTCATGCAGGCGCTGACGACGTAAGTCGGCCTTGTTCTTCCGCGGGTGAGTCGCTTTCAGTCCTACTTCAGCTCCCGAATAGATCCCCTCCAGCTCATCCTCTGTCCTTTCGATATCCACCCATTCCTCGGGTCCGGGAGGCGTTCGCGTGGATGGAACAAATGGCGATCAATGAAGTATGCTATCAACTGCTTTCCCGCGTGGCAGGCATTGTACTGACCGACTTTATTCTTATCACGACTATGAGAAGCCAAATGATGGCCGACTGCTTCCGCAATGTAAAAGACATCCTCTGTCCACTGACGACCTTCAAATTTGAGGGATTGTTTATGATTATCTGACCATTCGCTTCTAGCACTAATAGACGGGAATCTTCCGCCTCGTTCTAGCCTTGCCACTGTATTCTCACTTCCCAATGTTGGTTACTCTGTGAAACGATAGGACCGGGACAGCGATAAAGTGGGCGGTCCTCCAAAACCGATCTTTGACTTGCCAGTCTGTCCGCCAAGGAGACGTACGACGTCCCAGCGGTCAACGGCCGTTTCGTAGGTCTCTTCGTAACAAATATCAGGACAATCCTTCCTTTCCTCTAGATTTTCCAAGCAAAATACATTGCCTGTCGATTATTGACATCCCGGATCTTGGGACCCGCACCGTGTTTTAGGAGAAGTTTTATATTGTCAACCCGCCCAAAGAGCACTGCCTCCATGAGAGCGCTCCTTCCGCAAACGTCAACGGCATTCACATCAGCTCCGCGTTCAAGGAGAAGGGACAGCATCTCTGAAGTATCCCTAGCTGCTGCACACATAATGGTTGTTTTACCGCTATAAGGGAGTCGTCCTTGGATACTAAACAGCTGAGCCTCACTAGACGTCTTCAAATATCTCTACACTGCTCTCGTATTTCCGGATTACAGTCGCTGATCGGTTGGACAAAAACTTTCTGTTCGAGTAGCTCAAGGTCGTCTCCGATCTTACCATACGGTAGATGAACCAGACACAACCAGCCGTTAATACTAGTTCTAGACTCCTTCACCTATCACGCATGAGGAATGTGTCGACTCTCGTCCCTTTCGATAGTCAGCCTGAGTCCTATTGATACAATAGGCATCGTCTTCCAATGACAAGAAGACCATTTCTAATCACATCGATGCTGCAATTCATATAGACGATGAAAGTGAGTTTAGCTCTGTTGTGCTCACTTTGCTAACCTTCTGGTGGAAGCCTTGAAATCATTTGCCAAACCAGACGGATGCCTTCATTCATCGAGTGACACTTGAGCGATCGCAATAGCAAGAGGACTTCAACCTGCATCGCAAAATCTCGATACTATGCGCCATACTTCAGATTTCTGTGTTTGGCATATGCCGATAACTCCTTCAAACTGAATCTTCCTTGTATTGAGTTCGATAATACGCATACCATGCGAGGTTGAATCTGGAGACGAATGCCTGGATTCATTCGACAACCCAAAATAAGCAAACTTCAACAGAAGGGGCTATGAAGTGCCGGGAAACTTGGTCAATGACACCGACAAGAGGAAGGAGAAAGACAGCTCAATGGGCAGGGAAATTGTTCATCTTAGTTCTTCAGCATGTTGTTGATGTATGGGGTAAATTGCAACGACTTGATGCATTCATGGGGGAGCCTATCTATCGCAGAACTTCATATGAACATGGGGGTGGAAGATATGCGTGCGGACATCCTCTTCCAAACTCCTCGATGATTGCAATGATAGCCATGACATGATGGCGCTAGTAGCTCTGGAAGATACTGATAAGAGAACAGAAACATCCAGCTGATGGCCAAGCCTGCGCCAGTCTGGACATTCGCTTGTCAAGACTGAGGGATTAAAAATACTCAGGGGTAAGCTGGATGGCCCCGGGGCATGAATAGCTACCCGTCAGACGATGCGAGTGACTAACCACTCAATAACAGACAGCTAGCTAATGACCCCTTCTAGTAAAGCTGGTCTGGAAATTGTCACTTCGCGGGTGGATTCTACACGAGATTCTCGTATGGTGGGAGATGAGACCCGTGGGGAAGCAGCTGGCCATCCAGCCAATGAATTGACATAAATCTGGCACCGGTGATTTCAAATATCCCTAATCAAGATAGATACTGTGCCCAGACCAAACACATCATGTTGCTGATGCCTTGAGAGCTCCTCTCCGGAAGACGTCTTATCCGCCCTACGAATCACAACAGGGACGGGGTCCAAACCTAACAACTTCCCCCGCCTTTTCCCCACAAACTCCCAATCTCCGCGTCTCCACAAAAACACGTTGGAAAAACTGGGGATGGGTTATGCACGATGGGTAGTCCGAACTACCTTATTGACTATCTAGGTGAATGGGTACTGATGGCGTTGGTGCAGCCAAAGAAGGGCACGTCCCCAAGTATTGTGGGTTTAGGACAGCACCCGGAAAATAAGGGTGCTATGACCTCGGTCCTTCATTTCGGGTGTGGGGAGCTTCGCAAACATCACTACGCGATCCTTGATAGCTAGTTTTGAGCCAATGGCTGAGCTCCTGCCGAAAGCTTCGCATCACTCGAGAGCGGATGACGCGGGCGGATGGCAGCCTACGATATGATGGTTGGCCTGCGTGCAGCTTATTGTACCTTGAACAATGCTCCCGAGAAAAGCTTGTTCGGCCAATTTTCGCTCCATGAGTATACACCGAGGTATTACTTTGGTCATCAATGCTGCTTAAAACCGACGGTAGTTCATTGAATCATCGCCGCTTATATGCCGAACGTAAATATGTGTCTACCCTTCAAAAGCTGTGCGTTGGATACCAAACGCAACAAACACCTGTATTGGGAATGCGCTCGATGAGAATTTGTTGCAAAAGATCATGGTGCGGTCGCAACTGGTCATAGCCCGCAGGGAGATATCTCCTGCTCGGTCTTGAACCCCCTTTGAGGACATGTACTCCGGCAATCCCCCGCAGTAGTGTGGAAATGTGCGGGGATCGAGCCTGCCGGGCATCGGCACTCAGAGGACCGGTCGAGTCTCACACTACAAGCGGTATCGTGGAAGACGATCCCCATAATCTCCCCACAAACTCAATCAATTCAGCGGCACATCCGGATGACCGATGACGACTTTTTGTTTGCGACTCCTGTGGCAGGGAGTCTGCCCGACTCATTGGGTGTTGGGATCTGCGATATAAATTAGGGGATGCTTGTGTCCTTCTGTGGATCGAGCAGACAGACCCATTTCTCAATTTTCTTTCCATCTTTTGCTGGCAGCTTCTGGTTCTTGTTGACAGGATGCGTTCACCCGCCTGGGCTCCCATAGCCATTACAGCCCTTGCGGCAGTGGCAAATGCTGCAACTCCCTCCACGTTGGCAGAGCTTTGCACTGATTCCATCGTGAAGGCAGCTCTGCCACCATCTGAGTTCATCCAAGGCATAACAATTGACTCAGACTCCGTGACGACAGAAGTCGTGACAAACAGCAGTGTCTCCAGCGAGTTCTACCCCAGCGCCACAATCGATTATTGCAATGTCACGTTCGCCTACTCCCACGATGGCATTGACGGTGACCAAGTCCTTTTGGAAATCTGGCTTCCCGCACCCACAGATTTCCAAAACCGCTGGCTCTCCACTGGTGGAGGAGGTTATGCCATTAACTCCGGAGACCAGTCGCTGCCGGGAGGCGTAATGTACGGTGCTGCGTCAGGTATGACGGATGGTGGTTTTGGAGGATTTTCAAACAATGCGGACACGGCTATGCTGTTGGCAAATGGCACCCTTGACTACGAGACGCTTTACATGTTTGCATACAAAGCGCATCGGGAGCTTAGTTTGATTGGAAAAGCCTTGACCCGCAATGTATACGGGATGAGCGACAGCGATAAGCTGTATGCATATTATCAAGGCTGCTCTGAAGGAGGCCGTGAAGGTTGGAGTCAAGTGCAGCGCTTCGGTGATGAATGGGATGGAGCCATTATTGGCGCTCCAGCTTTCCGATGGTCATTCCAACAGACGCAGCATCTTTATTCCAACGTCGTCGAGAAGACACTGGATTACTACCCACCCCCCTGTGAGCTGGACAAGATCGTCAACGAGACCATCGCTGCCTGTGATGCCATGGACGGAAAGGTAGATTGGGTGGTTGCACGGACCGATCTCTGCTTGCTCGACTTCGACATTAGTACCATCGAGGGTAAGCCCTACTCGTGCGCCGCATCAAGGGGCACCCCTGCGCAAAATGGCACAGTCTCTGCCAAGGGTATCGAAGTCGCAAAAACCATCATCAATGGATTGCATGATTCCCAAGGTCGCCGGGTCTACTTTTCCTACCAGCCCACGGCCGCCTTCGATGACGCTGAGACGCAGTACAACTCCACGACAGGTCAGTGGGGGCTGGATATCGACCAGCTCGGAGGCGAATATATTGCTCTCTTGGTAGACAAGAACGGCACTACACTAGACAGCCTGGATGGTGTCACCTATGATACCCTCAAGGACTGGATGATCTCGGGCCTGCAGGAATACTACAGCACCTTGCAGACCACTTGGCCGGACCTCACGCCCTTCCACGAAGCAGGAGGCAAAGTCATCCATTTCCACGGTGATGCCGACTTCAGTATTCCCACCGCCGCATCCATCCGCTATTGGGAATCAGTACGCAGCATCATGTACCCCAACCAAGACTATAACTCCAGTGCCGAGGCGCTTAACGAGTGGTACCGTCTGTACACTGTTCCAGGAGCGGGTCATTGTGCGACCAACGATGCTATGCCCAACGGCCCCTTCCCACAGACGAACATGGCTGTGATGATTGACTGGGTGGAGAATGGAGTAGTACCTACAACGCTCAATGCGACCGTGCTCCAGGGAGAGAACGAAGGACAGAACCAACAGCTTTGTGCCTGGCCACTGCGGCCCTTGTGGACCAACAATGGAACCACCATGGAGTGCGTGTACAACCAGCGTTCGATTGATAGCTGGCATTATGACTTGGATGCGGTTCCTATGCCTGTGTACTAAGGCTGGAAATTGGATAAGGGCAAGCTTGATTTGTATATATATCGCTTAGGTCAGTATAGTCAGACATAAGGAGTTGAGGCTATTGATTGCTTCACAAATACATATCTGAAGGCACTTGAATTTTTCACCCCCTGCGCTTGTGTTTCCTTGTAAAAGTCCGGGGTATGCCAAACTAATCATACAAGAATCAATATGGCGAGAAATCCTTGGCCGAGATCCCAGGTCCCTTCCAGTTTCCGGGACGTTTTAATGTGGACTACCATTCCCAGTTTCATCCTGATATCCAAAACATCACGGACCCGTCGCATATTAAATCACAGCCGGCTCGTGCTAAATCATAAAGCATAGAACTATATATAGTAGAGCACTCCAGCATACTGAAGAAAAGGAAGTTCGTACAACTTCATGCAAGATAAGGCAATTGGCAATACGGCTCACCCCCACCCCAATAATGATCCATCAACTTGAACCCCCCAGGTACTGCCCTCTGAAACATCCCATTCGGATCATACTTCCGACTAACCTGCTGAAGCCGTTGCTTATTGCGAGGCCCGTAAGATCCAATCGGATCTTGAAAGTCAGATGAATAGTTCATAAGTTTAAAACGAGACCCCGTACCACGCCGGACAGCCTCATCCTCGATCCTCCCAAGCATCAACTTCATCGAATCCAGTACCACCCCGTCCTGCTCCTTATTATCCCAATACGCCAGCAACAATATCCCTACCAACGGCCCATCCCTTCGATGCAACCCCAGCATATTCCCTCCTAACTCCTTCGACTTCCTCATCAACGACACTGGATACGGCTGAAACGACATCGACAGTCGTAGTCCCTTCGTGAACCTCACCGGATCCACCACAGCAAAGAACTCATAAAAAGCTCTCAACAGTGTGTCCTCATCTGCCTTCACCGTTGTGTTCATATACGCACACCTCGTCTGCCTCTGGTCCTTCTCCTTCACATCTGGATTCTGACTCCAACTCTCCATCTCCACACCAGGACCCCGACTCCGACGCTGTTGCACAGACGCCACAGCCTCCGTAACCGACACCATCCCCACGCGCCGATAGTCCTGCACCTCATATGACATCTCCATGAACGGTCGGAAGGCTTTTGGAACTGCCTCGGCACGTGTATAATACAACTTATTCTCACACAAATACCCCCATTTGCGTTGATACACTATGGTCGCTCGCAGATACATATCACTCATATGCTGCGACGTCTGTAGCACCTTCACCAGCTCCTCAATCTGGTGTGGGAACCCGAAGCACTCATACCACAGGCTCCCTCCGAATAGAGAGCCTTGAGGGAATGTCCGCATATCGTATCGAGTGACGATTCCAAAATTGTTGCCTCCACCGCGCAGAGCCTCCCAGAGATCGGAATTGGTTTTCGGGTTGGCATTCACAATTTCCCCGTTTGCGAGCACGACTTCGAAGTTGAGCACATTGTCGCAGACGAAGCCTTCGCGGGAAGAGAAGAGGGATAGACCACCTGGTTGGAGTCAGTCATTATCATCGAGATTGAAAGATAGAAAGAAAGAAAGAAAGAGGGAAGGAAGACATACCACCTAACACAACACCCCCGATCCCACTCTCCGTCGAAAGCGGTCCCGTTACCGCCAACCCCTGACTCGCTAAGAAATCGTATACACGCCCCCATCGCTCCCCGGCCCAGATCCTTACAATTCCATCCTGAAGGTCAATTCCCCGGAGCAGATTCAGATCGACCGTGATCCCGTTATCGAGGTTCGCACATGCATGTGTTGTCTGTTGACCTCCACTCCGGACGGCGAACCTGATTTCCTCCCGATCAGTGAACGGCTTGATGATGCTCAGAAAGCGCGACACGTCCGTGGTATCTCGCGGACAAAAGACACATGCTGGTTTGAAATCGCTCTCTGTGGCTGAGCTGTAGGCGTTGATGAGGGTCTCATAGCCAGGTTGGCCGGGGGTGAAGACATATTCTTCGGAGAATATTGCCTTTAGGGCTGTTCTTAGGAGAAACACTGTCATTATGTTGTCATTGGGTTGATTGGATTCGATGGCAGGGTTTATAGATAGGGAGGGGTGGGTGTGATTGGTTTAATGCATCGTTTTGCTGCTGTGTTACATCAATCTCTGGGGCTGAATGGGATTGTAGCTGGCTATATATTCTGCTATATGTTTGATGGGCGTTCATGAGTCTATAATGTATGGAAGAAGCCTTCGTTTATGAGGATGTCCCCTATTTGTCTTTGGATCTTGACCTTATGAAAAGAGCTGGATTTTGATCAGATGGTCAAGTTCTACCAACAGCTTATATCTTGTGTTGTACGCAGCGCATACTTTTGGGTATATCTTGGGAACGGCCCGATCACAAACACAAAGACGTACCATCATGACCTATGTACTACCAAGCAATAAAGACATAGCTATGTCATATGACTCATTCATCTACAATTCGCACAGTGATCTGGGATCCTATGAGTATATATTCCTTTGTCACCTCCAACCCTAAAGCTATTTCCTGCCCCTCGTCACGTCTCTTACATTCCACCGGGTCTTACCGGCCCTTATCATTTATTGTGTGCTTCTCTGCCAAATCGAGCCTAAACCTTGGAAAGTACCACATCAACTACCAATGTTAGCAGCGAGATAGGGAGAACAGCAGTCATCATGTCTCAAATTGGGATGGTAGTTCGTGAGCGAGTGTAGAATAGCGAATGGGCTTGCCGTTGTTTCCCCAAGCTGATATACTTGATCCAGTCTTCCTTTGAAAACGAAGCTCAGTAGACATGAACAAAAATTGGAGACATAAAACGACTAGGCGAGCTTAATAGGATCATGTAATCCGACATTCTTAGGTATTATGGTCAGAGTCGGCGTGGTCGAATATCAGCTGAATTACCTTTCGAGAAGGGATGGTGGAAACAATAGCCAATACACTCTATGATACGTCACCGCCACTCAATTATGAGCTGAACCCAGACGTTACTGCTTTCTAAGCTGTCAACAAAAGTAGGATGGGTATCATGACTAGCGGCACTCATAATAGGAGCTCCACTAGTTCCGACTAACATACAGCACCAGAACATACTCACCAAAACTGAAATTGATCCATCAAGGAGTCCTGACTTGACCTTACAGGAATTTACTAGCGCATTTCCCAGAGCCAGAGAAAGTCAAGAAACCATGCCTGTCTAATCAACCGAAGTGGAATCGCATGATGCAGACCCTCCTTTTCAACACCGACCCGCGGTAGTCTCTCTCTCTTCAGAATGCTGACTCGATGCTAGCTTGAGAATCGTTTCCCCCTGGTCGCCGCTGATCGCTACCGCAGGAGTCTGACGGGACAAGTGTTGTTTGCCCAAGACGTTTTGCTGCAACAGCCTGTCGTAACAGGTTGCCTTGCAGATAGTTTAGGCCCTGCGATAGTCAATAGTAGAGTCATCGCCATTTCTTCGACAAACTGCCCTGACAGTTTGTTGATAATAATATCGTCTCTCACAGCCGTCTGGGCGGGATGGTCGTGGTCAGGGCCAGTTACTGCAGACGGTAACTTGGTAAGCAACAATGGGTGGCCTGATTCCACCAACGGATGAACCCTGCATAGGGGCGGTTTTAGTTGCAGATGGTAGCACGTAAGCAACAGCATCATTGGTGCTTGTGGATAATTTGTCAATGATACGAAACTTATAGGGCTGGGATCGCCGATTGCAGAAACCAGGCAGGTGCCTGACTTTAGTGCATTGGGGCTGTAGTGACTGCTGAGTGGTACCAGAATCACAGTTACCAACTTGACACTCTAAGGGTAATTAGTTCTCGATCATGAGATTTTTGGAAGAGGAAAGTTTGTATACTAATTGCTTGGGCCATCCGCCCATATAGTGTAAGGCTAACACTCATAGGAAGCCCTCTCCATCATGCGTTTGAATACACTGAATGCCTCAGTAGTAGTAGCTTATACTACAGAAAAAAGAAATGAGCCTCGTATGCCAACTGGACCCTGCATGATGGCCTGACGGAATAACAAATGTTTACCTCTTTAAACATATCTAATAGGCGCTTGGGAAGAGCATCAGGCGTCCAATTAGGCGTGCTACAATGTATCGATTGCCCTTGATGTTTTCATTACTCCATCAATATGGGAATATATCATTTCATTAGGAATGAAGTCGAAGAGCCTTGGGGTATAAGAACGAGGACAAGTCTACCTCTGTTCTGAGTTTTCATCTCATTTTTCAATAACCAGTATCTCATTCTGATCTCGATTATACAAGCTTTTCTCCGTACTCATATATCATCGTCATCATGGTCAAGACCGCCCTTTTCCCCCTCGCTCTTCTTGCTGCAATGGCCCCCTTTGCCGCCGCAAGGAACTGCAAGACTGGCCTGAACTACTGTGGTTGGAACCTCTTGAGCATTGGTATGTGAGCTTGCCTACTTCGTCCAGCCTCAAAGTCCCTAATGAGACCCTCTCCATAGGCAAATACGGAGCCCAGGTCAATGGCGCCCTCGAAGCTGCCGGCCAGCCCACCGACGATGCCCATATTCGTGAATCCCTCTTCCACTGCAACGGTGGCGGCAATGGTGATATCTCCTTCACCACCTTTTGCGATGGCGGCTGCAAAGATGGCGGCACTGACCGCAGCGACTACTGCTAGAGATTTGGCTGTGGATTGGTATCTTGACTCCTGAAAGGAAGTGCGATATAGATGTGGACGCTGTACTTTATCCTCTTCGTCGTATTCAACATACGGTATTGTGGAAGTTTTGGTTTTTGGAGGAAGAACGCTGCTTTTTTGGGGTTGAGTTTGGTTGCTTCATGCCATAGATAAAACATACCATGATAGGAAGGAATTGACAGGTCCCTATATTACAAGGCAAACAGCTTCCCTAAGAAAGTCAGAGTAATTCAGCCAAAACAACTGAATAATGTTTATCATTACTGTGGAAGTCATGGTCGTGATATGCGATGGTTCAGAAAGGAAGGTGAATCACGGCCAACCTCATGATACCATTAACAAACAATTAGGGTTCCTAATATACGAACTTTGCAACATTGTTTCGATGGGATTGTGAAGAAACAGGGGCTTCAAGTGCATAATTGCACAATGGGCCTACTTCAAATAACCAAGCTGCCGAAACACAGCCAAATTTCGGCGTTGTTAACAAATAATATTCTTGGGCCTGAACGCCTGCCCCACAAGCCATGCCCTACTTGGTCCCCGACTTCCAACCGTCAACTTTGGCCTCCGCCACTGCGCTTTCCCCCGGCTCATCCGACGGCATTATCCCCAAATCTCACCAATAATTAGCCACGAAGACTCATCCGCACCCACACTGACTCACGTCGGCAATCCCCCAGTTCTCCACTCTCCCAATGTAAGCAAAGGACACCCTAATCGTATAAGTAGCCTCGCTTCTCACCCGACCACTAATCTCCATACAGGACTCATCCTAATCAAATTAAATTCCTTCAAAATGACCTTCACAATTCGCTACGCCACCGAGCAAGACGCTCCCCACCTTGCCAACATCAACGTAGTCAGCTTCAACCACCAGGCATCTTGGGCCGCGCTTTTCCCAAACGTCGACGTGCCCGGAACTCTGCCCCTCAAAACAGCCCGTTGTCTAGATAAGCTCAGGTCGCCGCAAGTGCATGTCGTGGCTGCGGTTGATGATGACTCGGGCAAAATCATCGGATATTCTCGATGGCTGTTTCCCAAGGATTATGAAACGAGCGTTGTCGATTTGTCCTCCGAGGGCGTTGATGCACTAGCGGCTCATGAAGATGGGAAAGCGTACCCAGAGGGTATCAACATGGGAATCTATCAAGCATTCAAGGACCTTTTGGCTGAGATGCACCGGTTACATTTTGAGGAGGGGGATATCAGTACGTTTGATACCCGCTCTTATATTTTTCTCTTTTTAGTGCTTGGAAGACTGGCTGTATCTTGTACTAATTATACGCAGTGCTGGAATTCCTCGCTACTTTGCCGGAAGCTCAAGGCAAGGGTGTCGGAACGGCTTTGCTGCAATGGGGCATTGAGCGTGCTGATGCGATGAATGCTAGAGTGTATTTGGAGGCCACCGAGGATGGGTATCCGCTTTATTGGAAGCATGGGTGGCGGGATTTGCAGGTAGCGAGGTTGGACTTTACGGAGTATGGGAGCACAGGATCACAGGAGTGGGTTGTTATGCGGAGGGATAGGAGGGTGCCGGTTGCTGAATGAGAAGGTTTTGTTTCAAGTTTGTTTCGTGTTCTGGTTGGACTGTTGACGTATGAGATTATGCATATAATGGGTTTTAGGCATTAAGGGTAGATTAATGGATGATCACTCTATATATAGAGCTACTATAGAAGACAGCCTCAAGATAAACTCAACTAAACACCAGCTGTATACTAGTGACGGGCTCTGGCTATTCCGGCACAATCACTCGTGCGGAAAACTGAAGTAGCCTGTTAATTTTGCGCAGGATGGGTATTGATATCCGTATTCCGCTGAGATATTTCTTTGTATCTCGCATAGAACATACTCTTTTGCATTTATAGGATCAAATCGTCCACTACATCTCCCCAGAATGTCCTGATGTAGGTGGCTCGTGCCGTACTTAAATGGTCAGAAGACAGATATAACAGAAATCCACAGCTACATACACATGAATAGTAGTATTTGGCTTGCTCTAAGGGTGTCTGACGGTCACAAGGGTATCACCTGACGGCCTTGTTTGTATGACCGCATCTCACCTCTCCTCCGCCCTCTTCATCATCTCTATCTTCTCCCTCACTCCCTCTTCGCATCCAACTACGATGGTCAAGAATGAGATACATAATGATATGTGCCTTTTCATACTTGTTTCAATGTGGGATATATACTGCTGGACGCACAATCTCATATAATGTTTATAAATGGCCCCTTTGGCTGCGACCCAGGTACTGGGTTGCCTCCACAATTGTCCGTGGCCTCCCAACATGTCTGGGCCCATAAATTCACGGGGTGTCGGCCACGTTATACACCAACTTCTGTCCACTGACTTTGCCATCCTTCATATCCTGCAGACCCTCTACCACCCCCTGGAGTCCCCGTGGCCCCAGCTTGACAGGATGAGGCTTGACTTTTCCTTCTGCAAGGAAGGTGGCTGCCTTGCTCATGAACTGACCCGCAAACTCTCGATCCTCCGGCTTGGCTGGGATAATACCACCGCCGAAGTCAAAGTCTTCACCAAAGGCAGTGTATCCTATGGTGAAAAGACTGCGGACATCGTCCCGAGGAACGGCCACCTTCAGCAGGGCAGAATAATCGCCGCCCTTGCTAGAGATCACTTCGCCACAGAACTTAGCGCTAGACTCAACAGCAACAGTGTCAAAGACTAGCGACAGCTTATCCTGGGCGTAATCCTTGATGGCTTGGACTGCATTCGCATCTTTATAGTCGAACACTGCGTCTGCACCAAGACTCTTCACGAGATCAAAGTTTTGCGCCGAACAAGTTGTCAACACAGTGTACCCCGACAACTTGGCAAACTGGATGGCCAGAGTACCGGTGGCTGTGGAGCCACCGTAGATGAGAACCAACTCAGGCTGGGCCAGTGGGGCATCTGGTGGTGCGAGCTTCAGACTCTGATACAGGCCCTGGCCCACCGTGATTGTCCCCAAGCCAAGGGTTGAAGCTTCCTCAAAGCTGAGACGGTCGGGGATAGCGATCTGAAGATCAGCTTTGGGGATGCAGTATTCAGCAAAGGCTCCACTTTCCGGATTGTTAGAATTGCATCCTTGGACCCAACCGCAAACACGGTCGCCCTTGCGGAAGGCTTTCTTGACGCCCTTGCCGACCTCTTCGACGACGCCGGAGTAATCATTCCCAATGACTTGTCCAGGAGGTTTCCGGTCGGCGCTCTTCCAGTCGGTAGGGTTGAGAGCGACACTAACTGTCTTGACCAGAAGACAGTCGTCGGGCAGAGTGGGGATAGGGCGTTCCACCACGTCGCGACTACCGGGCGCAGTGATTACCAGGGCTTTAGGCATGATGAGAAGAGTGTACTGGTATGGGGCGAGTTACTGGGAAACAGGTGAGAGTTACAGACGAAGACACACGAGGTGGCAGAGGGGTTTATTTATGTTACATGACTGCAGATTATCACGTCACAGCTTCTGTGCCGGACGATGTCCTTCTTATCTCCGCTTCTTCACTGAAGGGATGACAGCTAAGCATTGTATTATTAATCGAGGTCATTAATAATCCACGATGCTAAGGCTGGCTTGCTGCGATGTGATTCGAGATCGGGACTCGCTAACCAGCGCCGGTCCCGAAATGGATCCGTTCAGTAGTTTTAGCTTCTCTCCAGCCGATCCATGTTCTCCAACATTCAACTATCTACCTCTGTTCCATTCTTCTTCAACTCACTGCTATTGATGTCGGCCCGGCCCAATGACATTCGTCGTGTTGCCAACTTCGTCTCTGCCCAATCCAGCCCGACTGACTCCCCGTCCACGGCTCCGCCAGCGGGAATGACGCCTCCTCCCCGCGAGCGGGTCCCTCGGGCCTGTGAACACTGCCGGGCCCGCAAGATCAAATGCAATGGCCAGCAGCCGTGCAATGCCTGCGCGCGTCATCCAGAGCGATGTCTCTACCGGACAGGAAGCATTCGCCAGAGGAAGAACCGTCGCACCAAGGAAGCCCCACGACCACCAGCTACCTTACTCCCTCTCCCGACCACCGACTCACCGACTACTCCAAGCGACTGGTCCCACACCAGTTTAAGCGATGGCCCGGCGCAGTATAAGCGACACCATGAGCTCCGTGCTGGCATCGGCGTACAGAACCCGGAGACAGGGGCATTCCAGTTCTATGGTAATTTCCATTCCCTACGTTTCGCTAGCTCTGTTAACCCTCGAAGGACCCTCCTCCGGATTCTGCTTCATTCACCGGGTCTACCAACGCATCAAGCAAGGCTCGTCTAGTGAGCCGCTGCTTGCGCGACGGAGCTGCTCCATTCCAGATGCCATCCACCGATTTGGTCTGGAGCGCTTCATGTTTGCCCGGCCAGGAGATTCGGATCCGCGGCGGACTCATTTTCCGTCTCAGATGTTCCTCCCCAGGGAGTTGGGGGATCAGTTCATTGAGGCCTATTTCCGCATTATGCACCCGCAAATACCCATCCTAATAAAGTCCGAGATTGACGATGCTTGGAACCAAATGTGGGAGTCTCCTGTACGCGACCACAGCGTTAAAAATCAGGACATCCTATTCATGGTGCTGGCTATCGGCGCTCGGGTCGCCAACTTGAAGGGGAAGCAAACCGAAAGCAGTGTCGCGGCTTGGGCCGATTATTTTTCCAGTCGAGTGTCTGAGGGGCCCATCTTTCTGCAGGAACCGAGTATCCGAGGTGTACACTTGATGCTGCTGAAGGTACGTCACTGACATCTGCCAATTGAAACTCGCTAATCGATTAAAAGTCAATGTACGCTTTGCAGCTGATGCGACAAAACGATGCTTATCTCTACCTGGGTCACGCCACTCGCACCTGTCTCGTACTAGGTTTGCACCGGGCCCAGGTCACCGATGGCCGCGATCCCACCGTACACCGGCTGCGTTTGACCTTTTGGACGACGTTTTTTTGCGAGCGCATATCTTCTCTGTACATGGGTCGTCCGTCGAGCCTTTCTGACCGACAAATTGACACAGCCTATCCCGAGGACCTGCCGCCGAATCCCTATGACAGCACTTGTGCGCCCATGCAAGAATGCGCATTCATCCGAGCCATGGGCGAGATCGCCAAGCTGGCAGATCGCATCTCTATCGAGATATATTCGCCGGCCAGCATCAAAAACCCTACGGATCTGGACAAGCTCAACCAAATCAGCGTTGAATGCGATCACGCCCTCCAAGCTGTCACCCCAACACTACCAAGTTACCTGCATTTCTTCGATGACAGCGTCCCAATTGGCGAGCCCTGGCAGGAGATCCAACGCCTGAGTCTTGGATTCTGCTACTACGTCGTTCGGATGCTTCTCTCCCGCCCGGCACTGGTGCTCACCACATTTTTCTCCTCAGTACAAGAAGCCCAGATCGCCACTGGCTGCACTGAGCTCCAATCTTGCATCAATTCATCGACTTCTGCAGCGCGGAATTTGATCCACCTCGCTCACGACGTCTATTTCCGTCGTTTCCCAGATATTCGCTATGACGGAGCTTTAGCTTCGTTCCTTCTATCTGCGTCGCTGACTCTTTTATACGATGTGCTCAATTTAGGAACTGATCCGGACCGAGCCAGGCAGACATTCACGGTCGTGGAAAAGGCGATAAAGTGCCTCGATGAGATAGAGCATACGGGGTACACATCGGGCAAGGCGTTGAGCCTGGACCTGATGAGAGTGGCCAAGCAAGCGGTGCAAGCGGCAGATCCTGTGGTGGACACTAATCAGGTCTTGATGGATGCGTTCCCGTGGTTAGAGTATGTTTCCCCCTCTTGTTGTCAGACTATGCTGACTGAGTAGTAATTGGGCATCTGCTCAGGTCGGGGAGAATCCCGATCTGTCAATGTATACATTTCCCCCAGCGGACGTGACGGTCATTGGCTCATTGGCGGGGAATGATGTCGGTTGGACGGAAATGGAGGGCAACCATCTCTGGTTGGGCAATGGATTCGAGCCGAATGCGATGCCGGGGTGTTTATTCTAGGCGCGAAAAGGGTAGAAGGGATAGAACAGCACATATACAGACTAATAGATTATTCATGCGTGCCGGCGGCTATTCTGGCATTGTCTCCCGGCCACGTTTCTCCAGCTGAAACACCCCAATGCACCTCAGCCTTAGGGTATTATTGCTCCAATGCGGTGCCTGCCCTAACCGCCATCCATCCTGGTCGTAGTCCGAGCGCCATGCAGATAAAGAATCCAGAGATACTTATACCTTCATTCCATCCCAAGCTCATCCTCTCAGTTACATGAGTGCCAATGTCCAAAGCTAACACCCGGGCAGTCCCCTGGACTTCCCATCTCATCTACCTCCTCCTAATTCTCCCCACTGCCCTCAGCATCACCCTCCTGCTCAGCGACTCTCAGCACTGGACCCTTACGGGCGACCTCTACACCTTCATCAACCACTACCGCACAACCGTGCAAACGGCCCTTCAGGTCCTAGCCACTTTCCTCGGCGCTATCCAAATTTACAGCATCTGCCGCCTCATCAACCACGCCACTCGCATCTTTTTCAAACACTCCACCCACCACACGACCCTCAACGACCTCGCCCTCTGGTCCGCCCTCTCCACCCCAACTACCAACTTCACCCTCCCTCTACCCCAAATTCTCCTCACTCTCCTCCTCGCCAACCTTTCCGCCGTCCTCTCCGCCCTCTGGACCGGCGCCCTCACCCCAACCTCCACCACAACCACCGCCAATACCACTATCCTCATCCCGTCCTACGCCAACCGTTCCTTCATCAAAGAATATCCCTCCCAGATCGACACCACCGGTCCCTCCCTCCGCACCTCCCTCGGCTACTTCACCTACTCCGTCGGCGTCGGCCTCCTTACTTCCCTCGTCTCCTCCGCTTCCACCGCCTCCCCGCTCACCGGCTCCCTCCGCGCCCGCTCCCACGCCAAACTCGACTCTACCGGCTACTCCTACTCCGGCCGCTCCTACGGCGTCGGCAGTACAGTCGGCCTCGCTGACGAAAATGTCACTTCGTCTTACCCATACGCAGCCAACTACACCTACCGCGAACGCGGCTATCTCACCCGCGTCTCCTGTCTATATAACACCTCCTCTCTCTTCCTCCTGGAAGATACCTACGACACAGCCCTATATGTTGCCAAAGGCCCGCTACCGGACAGTAACGTCTCCTCAGGCGAGTACTCCACCTACACGGGGTGGTCGACAGACACGATCGTAGCCCTGGGCGTAGCCAGCCAGCCAGCGGCATACACAAAGGAGAGGTACGTCGCAGCGGCAGCGGGGAGCTATTATGCGTCGTTGAACGCGAGTCAATGCCTAATCAGCTTCGTACCAAGCTGGTTCTCCGTGAACGTGGGTATTCAAGAGAAAGTGGTGGATGTGGTACCGCTGAACAACACCACCTCTTTTCCAGAAGAAGAAGACACCGACATAGACATCGACCCCACCAACAAAACCATCCACGTCGCCATGCGCCAGCTCGAACTCATCTCCAACGACCTCACCTCCTTCTACCGCTCCACGCTCGGCGACGCATTTAACACCTCCATCGCAGATCACGCCACGAATACCAACACCACCGCCACCATTTCCTCGAACTTCACCACCACCACATCAAACTCCACCGACAATGTAACAACAACCCTGACAGCCATTCAAAACACCTATATCTCTCTCATCGACGATATCCTCGCCGCGTACGCCTCTGCGCAGATCATGGTGGGGAATTTCTCTCGCCCCGCTACGGCAACGGTTACGATTGATGCGTTGCGTCTGGGTTCGAGGGTGTATATTGTCGCGGTGTTTGTGGTTAATGTGCTTGTGGTGCTGGGGGTTGGGGTCGAGATGGGACGGACAGGTGTGTGGAGGGCCCTGCCTGGGTTTGATTATTTGGATGCGAGGATGTTGGTGCTGGGGGGTGCAAATGGGGGAAGGGGGATCGCGGAGAGGGCGGCGGATGTGGGGTGGAAGGGGTCGGAAACGGGGAAGATTGGGGTCCGGCTTGTTGGGGTTGGCGGGGTGAGGGGGGTGGGGTGGGGGTTGGTTTATGGGAGTCGTAGTAGGAGTAAGGGTGATGGTGGTGGTGGTGGTGAGAAGGGGAGGGAAGGGAGGAGAGCGTCGCAGGAGACGTTGGTGGAGGGGTGGATTTGATTTATTCGAGAGTGTTTAGTATATATAGTAAGTAGAAATTGGGGATGGGTTACGGATATTGGCTACGCTGTTTTTATAGAAGAAAGGAGGAATATGAACTGGTAGCTGTATTGTTACTTCTGACTCCTCACCATACTTCGCAACGCCTCTGTCTCCCCCTCCAACTTGGAAACCCGCATCTTCAACTCGTCCCGCTCGCGCTTAATCGCCTCAAGCTCCTCCTCCAACTGATTCATCCGATCCACGCGTCGCTGACGATACCGTCGCGCAGCAAGGGTATTCAGCTCCCGTTTCTTGACTCGGTTCGGGGCTTCTTTCGGAGGAGCGGCGGCTCGAGAGGATGTAGTTGAGCTGACAGCTGGCATGGGTGGGAATTCTGATTCAGGTTCTTCACATTACCTCGTTAGTCACACCGTATCTCTGATAGTATTTTAAAGCAGAGGGGGTTATGGGAGCATCCTACCAGGAAGAGAATTCACACCAGGCGAAGCCAACAGATTCAACTCCTCGCTCAACTCCGGAGAACTAAGCAAGGAATCAATCGGGTCGAGATCAGGTCCAGCAGCGGTAACAGGCACAAGAGAGTGAGGATGAGGGTGAAGTATCGTCGCGCAAGAAGTATGTTGGGTAGTCGGATCCGGATAGCCAATGATCTGATCTTGATAGCTACTATCGCTCAGACTGGACAAGGCTGTGTTTATAGTTGAATTGGACCCGGCAGTTAGAGAAGTATCCGGCGGCGAGTCGTCATAGAACAAGGAAGTGGTGTCAACGGGAGGAAAGGCCGCTGACGAGAAGTCAAAAGTAGGATTATTATGAAATTCGGGAGGAAGGTAGAATGAATCTGGGTATTGGGAGAGGTCCTGGTAGAAATGGGAACTATTATACGGCGGCGGCGGAGAGGTCTCGTTCTGCGCAGATGAACGCGAAGGTCTGGCGGGCGACAGGCATGGCGGTAATTGCAGTGACAGCCATTCTTCTATACTTAGGGCCGGGTCCTTGGACCCGGGAGAGCCGGTGCGAAGAGAGGGTAGAAGGGGACGCTTTCGCCGAGGCGATGGAGGATGAGAAGGGGGAGGAGAAGATGAAGTTGGTCGGGGTGAGGCCCGGTTTATAAGGCCGCTGCGGATTGAGGAGGCGGGCTTCGTTTTGGGTTTAGTGCGACGGGTGGGGCGGGTGCGTTTTGGGCGCGTGTTAGTTGGGTGGCTTTTATTCATGTCTTCAGAGAACAATAGATAGTATACTAGTGAAAGATGTATGGTGTAGTATGTACATTCAAACAAAGACAACCAGCGCAGTATTCCATCTATGTACCCTCGTCATTCTGAGCCATCTTCTTCATTCTAACACTTGTGAAGAACGAAACGTTGTCTAGTAAAATCTCGGGTTAGCTGTATCCAAGTGGAGATGGAAAAGACACTATGAACACGAGCGAGCGACTCAGATGATGTCGGCCCGCAAGCCTGGAAAGGTTCTTCCATTTTCATCTTTCCAAGCGCCTCAGCATGCGGAGCATGTCAGCGATCGGGGGTTGTCTTCATCGTGCGGTAGCGCTAAACTATCCAGAATGGGGCTGGTGCTTACGGACCGGAGGAAAGTGGCATGCATGATGATTAGGTGGCGTATTGGAGGGAATTGACAGATAAGAAGATGAAGATGGGTTCAACAAGTCCATTCAATTGATATATGCTCGCTTTCCTACGTAGAGATATATCTCTCTTATGTCTATATACTGCTGCTATTTGACTCAGATTATCGTCAGAGTCCACCATGATGAGTCCAGCATGAGTTCAGCATGGTCTATCATGAGTCTCTGTGAGTCGAGATGATACAGAATGAGCACAGCAGAGAGACAACTAAACTGCACCCGCCAATTGAATACAGATGGGGCCATCGAGCATGAGTCATTCTCACTCATGGCCAGATTGCCCCACTTGCTATTAACCCCACCCTCCACCTCAACACGAGCCACCCAATCAGAGCGTGATGCCCCAGACATGCAGCGGTGCCTGAACTGGAATCACAATTATGCTGATAACGCGGGTTTTCTCTCCGCCCCTGACAAGGGCCATTGTGCTTACACATTAGACATGTTGTGTTGCCACTGTGGCTTGTCGCAGAATTATCCTTATCATGAAAATGCCTTAATGCCCTGTGTGTGCAAATATCTATCCATGGTTCTCATCATCTATCATGAGCAGTTTCATCCCTTATGGTAAACTTCATATACTTGTACTACAATCTAAATATCATGTTGACAGGCTATATCTGCAGACGGAGTATGTTACTTTCTCCATTTAGTAGTACACATGGTTGCAAAAATAAGACATACACACTCACAAGTGTCACACCATCCGCTCCCCTCGTCGGATATCAACTCCGCAACCTCACCAAATCAATTCTGTCAATTACGGGGTTACTTTGTGAAACCCTACATCCTGGACCGGAGGTACTTTACCTGCCGTAGAAATTGCTTCCTACCAGTATCGGACTATCATGCAACTTCTCATCCAGCACATTGTAAGATAGAATATCTATAGACTTCCTACAAACTTCATTGCCTATGTGTAAAGATCCTATTATTGTAGTTCACCTCAAAGCATCTCCAATATTCATCCTCATCTCCATATAAACCACACCACTTGTTAGAAATCAGTATCTACAGATATTGACTTTCGCTTCGAATCATATACACCTGATGACGGCATCCTTAGGGCTCTAAACAACAAGCCCAAACACCACACAACTATCCATACTCCTACCTGCCTACCTACCTACCTAAAACATATCTTCACCTAACCAACCAACACCAATACTTACCCCATAACCACCACAATGCACCTCCTAACCACCCTCCTCCTATCCACCACCACCACCATCACCACCCTCCTAGCAACCGCCTACTCCATCCCCCCCCCCCTATCCGCCCTCTACAACAAACACAAGGTCTGCCCTAATACCCCCTCCCCTACTCCCTCCCCTAACCCACCAATCCACTAAACCGAATCAACAAAACAGTCCAAACCGTGCCTCCACCCCCTCGCCACCGGCTTCCACGACGGCCAAAACCCCACCGACTCAACATTCACCTACTGCAGTGACCTATCCAACAAATCCATCTTCCTGCACAGCCCCACCCTCGGCGGCCGCTACGACAACATGGACATAGACTGCGACGGGGCGAACGCTCACGGCGGGAACTGCGGCTACGACGAGTCCATCCAAGACCAAACGAGCTTCAAAGATCTTGTTGTATCTCAGTACGGGATCCCTGATCTGGATGCGAATATACATCCGTATGTGGTCTTCGGGAATACGGATTATGATCCCCAGAGGGATGGGATGTGGCCGTTGAGTGTTATGGTTGTGGTTTGTGGGAATCAACTTGTGAGTGGTCCCCTCCGGAGGAGTGGTTTGTTGTGTAAGGGGTAGGGGGGTTGCTGATGAGAAGGGATCATACTAGTTTTATGGAATCTGGGGCGATACGGCTGGGGGGAGTTGGACGGGAGAGGCGTCGATTGCGTTGGCTAAGCTGTGTTTCCCAGGTGATGGGGTGAGTGGGGATAATGGGCATGTTGGGGATGATGTCCTGTATATTGGGTTCGTTGGGAGGGAGGCGGTTCCTGGGGGGAGGGCGAATTGGAAGGCTGGGAGTACGTGGGAGTTTGAGGAGAGTATTCGCGGATTGGGGGAGAGGTTGGTTGCGACGCTTACTTAGTTGATAGTTCTAGCTAGGTAGCGAAGGTTGCTTTTTGAAATTAGAGCATCTTGTTCTTATTGTTGTTGGCTTACTGTGCTGGTTTACTCCCTACGTATATCTCCATACTACTGTGTACGATGGTAGATTTCATAGTAAGATGAGATTCTATAACTATCAATTTGCTAAGTAATTCCCGCAAACCATAACCCGACCAACAGCAAGGTATCATAAGCGCAGCAGCAAGCCAAGCCAATCAGTCCGTCAAGCTCTCCCAACGCTGAAACTCGCTCCCGCTATGCAGAACAAAACAATCATGTCGTCAGAACCACACTTTTGGCGCGTTCCGTTGCAGTGGCCCAAATCATTTAACGCCGGCCAAATGCGCCATACACAGTAATAAAACAACAAGAAGATAAGCAAGGGTATAAATCAAATACATGATCATTTCTTGAACATGTAGTGCCCGTAGAGCCCGCCTACGTCGCCCACGGCCACGGGAATCTTCCGCATGCCCCACCAACGGGCGCCCATCTTCCAGGAACGCGCTCCGTCGTCGAGCATGACTTCCGGCATGGAGGCCGGGTCCCGCACGTACCATCCCCGACGGCCCAGCTCGCGCACCGTCCAGTCCGGCGAGGTGCGCGTGTTGCGCGCCCGCTCGCGCAGAGGAGCGATAAGCTTGTCGCTGAACTCGATGACCTGCAGCGGGTAGCTCTGCGGCGAGAGAATGACGCACGCGTTAGGATTAAAAATGGTGCCGATTGTCAGCTGGTTGGCCTTGTTCAAATCCAGGTAGCACAGCGTGGATGGAACCCAGGGGGTGATCGGCTCTCCCTCCACCGGCTTGGGCGGCACAAAGAAGGTGTTGAGATCCTGGCCATTGAGCTCGCATGAGCTCAAACCCAGCTCTTCCAGATGCTTCGTCAAGGGTAACAAGGCCTGGGTATGGGCGGAAGTCACCTTGGCCCCTCCGAGGTTGAGCGAACGAAGGGTAGAAGGCAATCGAGGAAGGAGTGCCTGCACATCCTCCTCCTCCAGGAGCCGGGACCGGGTGGGGTCGGTCAGCACGTTCAGGAACACCAGCGAGTCGCAGACGGCTGGGTGGGTGGACAGAAACTCGACGACTCGAGAGCCCCGCAGGCGGGAGCAGCGGGAGATGCTGAGATGAGTGATCTTGGCGGTCTCGGGGATAGAGAACAGCGCCTCCTCGCTGATCTGCGTGTGGGTGACATCGAGGTGAGTGAGATTGACCAGGCGTGGCAGGAGAATCTCAAAAGCAGCCGCGGGAAGACTGCTGCATTCATGCAGGGAAACCCGTCGCAGGTTCGGCAGGGTCATGGGGAGACCAGGACCGGAAATCAAGGCCTCCAAGAAGAGAGTGGAGAAGGATTGAGAGGAGCAGCCGCAGAAATCGACGGCTGACAGGTTCGGGAGACCGGTGAACAGCTTCCGAAGCACATCCAAGCTGATATCGCCCTCGACATGTTCCTGCAACAAGCATTCCTTGAGGTTGGGCAGCAGTTCCAGACACTGGAGGAGCGTCTTGGAGGTGAGGTTCTGGATCTCAGCGTTCATCTGCTTGGTGCGACCCAGTCCAACCGACGTAAAGTGCGAGAAGTCAAGGCGGCGAACCAGCGTGCCCAGAGCCGGATAGCGAGAGATATGATTGAGAGCTTTAGAAAAGATGATGGAGTGGGGGAATGTCATGTTCCGGTACAACACACTGAGGGTGGCGGCGTGCAATGTCTTCGAGGTAAGCAGGCACGAGATCAAATCCACGTTACGGGGGGTATATCCATTGGGGGGCACGTCCAATGCCAACATGGAAATAAGATGGTCTGTACCAATTAGCGGCCTGATATCCATGTGAAGATCCAGCACTTACCAAGAACCTCCGGGGGAAGCCTTTCCAGAGCCGATGTGCCTGCAGGCGGCTTCTGCTCCACTTCCACCTCCTTCACTTCCGGCACCTGTAGTTTCTGCTCTTCCACCGGCAATGGCTTGCTAGGCGGAGTGACATCGGGTGTATCCCAGGCCCAACCACGGGCGTGCAAGTTCCCCAGGCTGCGGAGATCGCTGTAGCTCCGACTAAGACTCTTGCCACCCAGCCGGATCTGCTTCCAGCCGAGAAATCCACCGCAGGGGCAGCAAAAGTCGGGCTGCATCTCAATGGGGTTGCGCTTGGTGGGCTCTTGAGGGGAATGTTCAATGTGGGTATCGACGAAGGACTGGGCAATGCCTATGACGTGTAAGTGACCTGCTATGACACCATTCCTGCCCATTGATTGACATATACATACCATCCACGTCTTCCTTGATGGAACCGAATGACTCCCGGCGGCGACTGCTGGACCGGGAGTTCTGGGAGGAGCAGGTGGAGGGATGAGGGGAGGCGTTGCGGGAGCCTTCAGTAGGCGAGGTGTTTCCCGAGACAGCGGGAGAGTATCTAGGCTGTGATGTCTTGTGCAAAGACAGCGGGACGGTGGTGGCGGCCGACATAATGAAGAGGGGGAGGGCGTATGGTTTGGGAAGGCTCTATATAGGAAAGTAGGGCCGGTCCCAGAAAAGGGTGGTGAGGTGACGAGAAGATCAGGAGAGGCACACACACGCACACACAGGCAAGAGGGACGGTGGGAAGAAAGAGGAAAAGAGGGAAAAACGGAAAAGCTTTTTTTTTCTTCTTTCCCCAGATTCCACCCAAAACACCCCTGTCTGCAGAGGACGCTAGAAGATGCCAAAGAGGGGCGCTGGAGACGTAATTAAGCGTATATTCGGAGCCAGAGCGTGAAGGTTGTTGCTGTTAGTCACAGAATCAGCGGCCGATGGAACGAGGCCGCGCCCCGAGGCGGGCACACGCTATTTGACTCCAAGAGATCCAAGCCAGCGGACAGAGTAATGATTCGCTTAGGCGGAGGGGCAGTCAGTGGACCGTGCAGTGAGCTATGCAATGTTGGTTCAACAGGGCTGCTTTTTTTGTGCAGATCAATTGAGGGGAATGGGGGGAAATAGGAATCAAGGAAGTGAGGCCAGTGGATGTTGTTCCAAGGAGGAGGATAAAAATACCAAGCACGGGGTGAAAGGTAAAAATAATGTGAGTAATCAAACAGTACAAAGTAGAGGGGGGGAAATGCCAAATGAGAGAATCAGAGAGAAAAAAAAAAAAGGGAGAAAGTAGAAAGAGAAAGCGGCAAGAAACTGCAAGTCGACGTCAAATTTCCATTAAGTAAGGCGAACAGACCGGGTTTGCCAACCAGCCAAAAGCCAACTAACAACGGTGACACTGGGCACTGTCTTGGTAATTTTTTTTACAGAGGGTTTGCCCGCGGAGTGGAGGCGGAAAGCAAAGCTCAGCGCCGAAAAGAAAGAGAAGCCCATGGATCCCGCCGATGACTCGGTCGGACTAACTCAACTGACCACATGGGGCCCTCCATCCCTCCCAGCGGCGAATCCGGTTGTTCGGAAGGAGCAAAGACAAAAAGAGGTACCATTTGGCTGCTCCATTCTTTACTTCTTACCAAAGTACTTTGCTGCATTGTGAGTGGTCCTCCTGGTCCATCCTTGAATCCTTTGACCGTTGATCGATCGCCTCCCGCTGCGGATTGGTTGCTTTTTTCTCACACGGCCGAACTACCATAGTACTATTTTAATCCACGTTCGGGGGCGATACCCGGTCTACGCAGTAAGGTTATCAATCAAACCGGTCGGAAATTGACATAATGCAGAGGTCGTCGTGTGAATTACTGAGGGAAGGGGTCTCACATACTAGACACACACCCTCGCTCTACGCAGTGTCGGTCATCTTCCCCGGTGAGAGATGGTATTTGCAATATACAGCAATATACAAGGAAGAAATAGATTACCAGACAGATTTCCATTAGTCGACAAAAGTGATGATTCGATGGCGGACTTGCTGGCGCCATGGCCGAGTCTTGCTCGATCGGGATCACCGCCTGCATTCTATGACATAATGGAAAACCGCCGCTGGTGGCCCCGTGACCTGCCCGACGGGGCGGGATCTTCTCGAGGCCGAGTTCCGCACTCCTCCGACCATCGGGACTTTCCTCCCCTACTAAGAACACTAGTGAGTTATCCATCTGGTCCTCCGTTACTCCATAGTAGTATCCGTAGTAAAGGATGAGAGGGCCATTCTCGTAAGAGTAATTGGATGCGTGTCATCTTCATTTCCCATGAACTCCCAAGACATTATCCCCTATAGTATCGACAGATATAGTTTCTCAAAAGTTATGTCGCCATCTACCCCAGACCTGCACGCACCCCTGATGCAATATTCCTTACCTAACAATTACTACTCGCCCGCCCTTCATTTGCTCCGGGCGGGATCCCGTGATCCTGCGGAGAACGCTAGTGCTGTCACTCCTTCTTCCTCCCCCTTCTCCTCTTTCCATTATTCGTCATCCACAGCCATGTCTCCCTTGATCCAGAGATCAGGAGAACTCAATCCCTGACAGTCTTCATCTCTTCCAAGGAGAAGTTGATGAAACCAGGCCACATGTCCAAGTTACGGCCGAGTAATTCACTCTTTCCAAATCAAGCTGACTCAGGTCATTGAAGCATGATCAATACACTAACTACTGGCGCTCGTATCGGGGGGATGACTCCTGGTTGACTGACAGCATCACCCCATCTTTGAGCCTTTAATGATTGTGGGGTAGCTGCACAAAGAGGAACTAGACTAGCGGTAGGGAGCTACTAGCTAGGCTACCGTGCCCCAGGGGGCATGAACTATGTAGCACCCCCTGATTGGTAGGCTGATCTTAGTACTTCCTAGATCGCATGGATGATCTGACACGATACCGAAATCCACGAAAGGGCATTGGCTTGTGAGAAGTACAATTCATCTCCCGAAACAGCCAAGTCTTCGACTGGACGATCACCTCACTCTTCATGCAGCAACTCATTGCTTGAAGCTGCTGACCGGGTTGATCAATCCAGGATACAGAAGTGCCGACAGCAAACGAAACGAAAACGAAACGAATTCTCTTGATGTCGTCTTCTGATATTGTTCGTGCAACCAGGCTTTCATCCTACATCCTTACGCAGGCAGTACAGCATGTTTCTACCACACCGGAAAATACCCCGCATATCTCCAGACAGGGATCGTCCGCGATGGGTGTGCTGACTCCTCAGGCCATCATTGGTAGTTAGTCATACGCTGATTGAAAGTCATGGAACACCAGTGTGACCAGACCACACCCATGCTTCCTGTCTACTTGAAACGGTTGCACATATGATGTCTACTGAATGTGGTGGTGGCTGAATAATTACATAGGCATCGGGGGTCAAGAATGCAGTAGGCGATGAATCACCTGGAACAGACCAAATGAGGTGCTCAACCCCAAGACAAGACAATGAAAGGGGATCTTGGCCAACATAATACCACTAACCTTCAGTACAGCTTGAACTCCCGATTCCGGTCCATCCTACTTCATAAACATGCTAAACAACAAGCCAGGTAGTAAGCAACTATTACCAAACACTACTAATAGATAGTCCCCATAGCCAGGCCATCCCCGTCTTGGCTTCCCCTTGCAGTCTGTCGGAAGTTGACACCGACACCTTGCCCATACCATTGTCGTCATCGCAACCACCTTTATCCCATGTCGTGCTGGGTTGGTCAGATTCGTAATCCATCACGTAAAATATTCTACCTTCTGCAGTGAAACATGCATCAACCGGTTATTCTTAACCGGCATTTACAATGGTAGAACAGATAGATCGAAAGATGCTGGCTATACTAATTACCGACCCCCAGCCCGCCAAGCCAGGGATCCCCAGCTAAACCCGTCTATCCAACAGGCGGCGTAGCTAGCCGAACCTCCCAAGCGAGCTCGCATTCCCCACCCTCTATTGGTCTGGGCCTCTCATAGTCGGGTTTCTGTGCTCCAGAACTTACTTCCAATAGCCTAGTACTACTAACAAACTGACAGACTGACTCGCTTGATCGGTTGGTTCCTGGTTACAACCAAAAACCTAATTAATTATCAAATTAATGACAGGTTATTATTAGTTAGTAATCGAACACTACTCTGCTTCCGAAAACATCATTGTGCCAAAGCCACTGCAACCCAAGGTAACCAGATGGCAAAGTCGTAAAGTAAGTACTATGGTTACAATCATGTCCAGAATATTACCGGGTAAATACCCGCGGATACCCTGATCACGAGACATATTAGGTAGGGACCCGGGTCGCTCACGCCAGCATGACACCACTTGACACCTGCGCACGCAAGCAGCATCGCCCATCCCCGCTCATAGTTCGGTCGGCCGACATGATCCGTGGGTTTGGGGGCTGGGTAACACGATGGCAGCTGGGTGGGGACTACGGGACTACTTGCTACAAAGGACTGATGTGGCGGGTTTCTATAGGTATTGTTGTAAGGCTGAGTGAGGGTGGGGAGGGGAGATGGCATCCACTGGACTGGGTGTAGGTCTCGTTTTTGGGGTCATTCGTTGTTAAGTTCACTTATATATGGGAGATTACGAATACGAGAAACTAAATATATTGGTTTTTGACATGTATATCCATTGATGGATCGAGGTAATGGGGATTTGGGGGTTTGGGATGATATTCAAATATGAGGAATAATTTGGAATGTAGTACTAGTATAAGCACTGACACCGCTTCAGGAGTGGTTGAATGCTACTGGATGATTCTATGCATGCCGAATTATCTTCTATTATTGGTCAATTCAGTGGTTATTTTGCTATTTTTCTTGTCGCTCTTGCTACTCATGCACACACAATGGCATGAGTTGCTTTCTTCATGTTGCAGCATCGCTCATCACATACCTCCTACGACGATGTTCGTATCACCCATGCAGCAGCCCTTCTATGGGCATGCAATGTCCAGAATACTCATTAACATTCAATGAGTACCATCATAATGTGGTACCCGAACGCGTTGACCATCTACAAGTGCTCTGCCACTTTCTGTCCCTATAGAGACCAGTGGTCGCTAGAGCTCCTGAGATAGTGGCCCCTTGGCGAAGTCGGAGTCTTACAGCCCACTTCATCAAGACATTACATCCGCCGCAGAGCGGAACTATTGTGAATATTGATAATAAACAGTTGGGTAGGAAGAGTCGCCCTTCGTATAGATAATCCAGAGAACCGAAATCATCTGCTAACAAACAAATAGGACAATAAGCAGAGCAGCATACACTGCAATACTCATAGTGTTCGTGTGTCACAGGCCCATTATGGGAATATGGAGAGTAAAAAGGGATGGTTGTCTGCGTGCCATAGGTAGGTTCTGTCAAATCAGCGATTTATACCAAGCAGGCCAAAACGATATATCGCTGGCTACCAAGCAGACCCGGTTACTCAAACATCTCAAGAGATTCCTGTGTATACAGCTTGCATGCATCTCAGTCACAGTGTCTATTCGGGGCCAGAGCCTTCCAAGAGCACGTGATGCTACAACAACATCTGAAGGTTGTCGAGTTATTCTGGCAGCGCATACTTTGACAGCGAGTCTACAAAGATTCTATCTCGGCATTGGCATCCACAATATCACCCTTTCAAAGACAATTTCTTCGACTGTTGTCGTGGTAGAAGTACAAAGCTGGAGGAGGATGCGGCCCGCCACTAAAATGAGGCTGTGCTGGCTAATTGCAAGCGGGCAGATCCCTGTCCTTCAGCCTCGCCAACTCATCAAGTGGATTGCCAGAACGACTGCTAGCGGACTCGACAATTGATCCCTTCCACTCAATAATACATCATCCCCTTAACAGTACACAGAGCACTATTCACTTCCAAGACGAAAATATTTGACGACTTGTACTATGCGTTTGCTGAACACGTGCTTGTCTGACAGCGGGGAATTCGTAATTCAAGACTTTTTGAATTACGAACTACCGCCATACGCTATTCTATCACATACCTGGGGCAAAGAGGAAGTCACATATCAAGAAATCAACGCGAACAGCGCAAAGGGAAAGAGCGGGTACAAGAAAATTACACAATACTGCTCAGTAGCAAAGGCGGATGGATACGATTATGTCTGGATCGATACATGTTGCATTGACAAGACAAGCAGTGCGGAGTTGTCTGAGGCGATCAACTCCATGTATCTCTGGTACCAAAAGGCTGAGGTATGCTACGCAATTCTTGCGGACGTGCGGTCTGAAGAAGAAATTGCCCAGAGTAAATGGCTTACGAGAGGCTGGACACTTCAAGAGCTGATCGCTCCATCAAGAGTGATATTCTTGAACGAAAGATGGGAAGTGCTGGGAGATAGAGCAACTCTCCGAGACAGATTATCTGAATATACTGGGATACCCGCCGGAATTTTGTCCGGAGAGGACGATCTTGAAACGTCTAGCGTCGCACAGAGAATGTCATGGGCTGCGAAAAGACAAACATCGCGAGTGGAAGACCGCGCCTATTCCCTAATGGGCATATTTAACGTCAATATGCCGCTGATCTACGGGGAAGGCGAAAATGCGTTCATCAGACTTCAGGAGGAAATCATGCGGATCTCAGATGATCAGAGTCTATTCGCTTGGACGTCTTCTGATGATCGCGGCGGGCTTCTCGCCACCTCTCCTGCCGCATTCGCCCATTCCCATAACATTGTGCGATTCAATCCGTATGGCAGTCTTGATAACCCTTTCACTGTGAATAGTAGAGGGGTGCATTTAGATATTGGCTTCGCAGGAATATCAATCGACGGCCTAGGTGTCGCAATCCTTAACTGCGTGGAAAGAACCTGCACAGAAAGAACCCAGCAAGATAAGGTTATTGCCATCTACTTGGAGGATTTAACTTTCACTATGCATCTGTTCAAGAGGGTCCAAAGCGGGCTTTTGCGACATATCGATCTCAGAATCTTTCGACCAACCCAATATCCCGTGAGAAGGATTTGTGTCCGAGGCGGTCGCACAATGCTCATACAAAAGCGTACCGCCGTAGAACAGGACGGTATCTCCCCAGAAGAGACTCATATTATCGAAGAGCTAAGGCTTCCGATGCGTTATAGAGATCCAGCAGCCTTATTGGTGGCCACAGAAGCAGGAATTAGAGGTGGTGTATGGTTATTGTTGACTCACAGTGACATCGGGATAGAGATAACGAATCATAATGGTCAGACACCCTTATCACTTGCTGCAGAGAATGGACAGGAGGAGATTGTGCAGATGCTCCTTGAGAGAGGCGCCTCAATTGAGACCAAAAGTTCAAAATACCAGACACCGCTTTCTTTAGCTGCAGAGAATGGACATGAAAATATTGTGCAGATGCTCCTTGAGAGAGGTGCCTCAGTTGAGACTATAAATTCAGATAATCAGACACCGCTATCATTGGCCGCAGCGAATGGGCACGAACGCATTGTTCAGAAGCTTCTTAAGAGAGGTGCCACAACTGAGACCAGAAGTTCAAAAGACCAGACACCGCTTTCTTTAGCTGCAGAGAATGGACATGAAAAGATTGTGCAGATGCTTCTTGAGATTGGCGCCGCAATTAAGGCTAAGGGTCAGTGGGGCGAGAGAACACCGCTGTCACTGGCAGCAGCGAACGGGCATGAAGGCATTGTCCAGATACTTCTTGCCAGAGGTGCTGCAAATAAGACTAACGATCGATGGCTTCAGATGCCTCTGTGGAAGGCTACAGAGAATGGACATGAAGGTACCGTCAAGATGCTTCTTGAAAGATGCGACGATACTGAGAATCAAAATACGTGGAGGTGGGATTCATTGCTATCACTCGCTACGGAGAATGGACATGAAGGTATCGTCAAGATGCTTCTTGAAAGAGGCGCCAAATCAAGACAACACATCCGTACGGCTCGGAGGCTTCAGCGAATGGCTATGAGGCTGTTACCTGCATCTTCGCACGCCGCAACCTAAACACAGGACAACTTCTCAACGACAGAGTATAGGGGTATTATCCATCTGCTGAAAGGAACAAACAATACCGGGGGACAGCTGCGTGACAGTACGAAAAGTCATAAGTAATTGATCCTGTCTGGAATTCAAATGGAACATCTCCGGACGGTCAGATATTGGCGTCAGGTCCACTTGACTCTAATTCTGGGAAGGAACCACCGGCACAGAGCAGCAGACACCCGACTGGCCATATTGATCTTGTGTTTTCTGTCGCGAACAAAGTTCCTTTATTAGATCTCCTTAGAGAAAGAGGATATGCTGTGGCTTTCTGTTGGTTATGGTTCATTCACTGTGATGTTCATGCTGTAGAAGATTTTAATGAGTTCTTGAAGACTTGTTAATTTACCACCGATGTGTGATACTAAGAGAGCGACTCTATGACTGTCACATCCGGAAGATCTGCCGGACCCAATTCTTTCCGCATCAGGTTTAGCTTGCAATGCCATAAATGAGCTGTATCTGGGGTTCACTTGTTCTTCCAGATGACCTTCCACCTAGTTAGTTAAGGACTCTGACAAATCCAGAGAACCACATTATTCAACTTCATGTACGGTATATAATCGGAGATAAACAGCCGCAGCCGGAAAATAGCGGCCGAGACGGACCAAACGTGCAATTACCGACGTCCTTAGTTTCAAATTTCCAACTTACCTGGCATGATTTAATTTTACTCGGTCTCTCCGTCGGCGAGATGTCGGAGATACAACCTTATGGTTACATCTCCGGAGGCTTTGCATTCAACACCCTTTAATCCGGAATCCGTGCGGACTACTTAAGTCCGGAGACACGGGTATCATCGCCGAGCCCGATCGTCGGCGGACAAGACAGCTGTATACGTCCGAGACCGCTTTTTACAACACAGCAGGCTGACGTGGGTGGGAATTTCGCCTCATTCTTTGGGGAGATCCGATTTATCCGAGGATATCCGTGCACTCTATGTGTACAGGTCATGTATCTCCTATCCAGCTTAGTTGTGAGACAAACCAGTTTGGTTACCATTCGGTTTCTATAATGGAACTCCCAGTCTGGCCAGATCCTGATAACTAAATACTAATTCAAAAGAATTGGGTCACACATGAACGAAGAAGCATGAGACCTTATTATGAATTATTGAAGTTCCTGCCTACGACCTTGGCTCTCTTTAATGGTTTATTCGCTCTGAGTCTTCTCATAGCCGGCGGATTTAATGTTAATAGTCAATTTAGATATCAAAGCTTTCTTTATCTAAGAGCTAAATGTATCTCATTCCTTCATTCCCGACTGACGCACAATTCCAAGCAAGTTCCTACTTAACCAATTTGAAAGGAATAATTCGCTTGAGGCACAATTCACAGCAGGTTATCAAGATCAGGGGGCGCCCTGACATCCTCTGCAATCAACAAATAGCCCTGTACTCTGTGTAGTTTGGTATAAACTGACAGAGCAGAACGCAAAATCAAGCACATCACCTTACTAGGATATACCCTATCAACCTCAAGACCCGCAAAGCAAGGGAGGTTCTTCATCCATGAACACAGCTGCCTTAGCTCCTCTGCAGTCATCTCCTCCGCAACTCTCACACTAAAGAGAGCCGTGCACATTGGCGCAACAGTAACAGGATCAACAGTACAAGATCCATTAAGAGGCAAAACAACCGAACCAACCCCAACCAGCAAAGCATGAGTAGGTCTGAGCTTATCTCTCTTCCCATGGGATCTCAACGTTTGAAAAACATCAGCAAACTCCACATACTTATGTCCGCTCCGCTTCCTGCAGGCGATTTCCTCCGCGAGCTTAGCAGTAAATGTATTCTCCGGTAGAACTCTATTCCTGGGTATCTGTGTGCTCGTCGCTGCTAATATCTCCACAACCCTATTTGAGATAATTGGAGCCCGAGTCGTTATATGCCCAATGTAGCAACAATCAAAGATAAGTAATATATCTAGATGGACTGAGTCATGAATGAGCCCGGTATCTTTAAACAGACAGGTGCCTGCATTAAGAGTCTTCTCTGCAGTAGCAGTCTCGGCAAATGTAAGCTGCCCATTCTTGATGAAACCGTGTCCTGCGTAGTGGAAGATTAAAAGGTTATGCTCGCTTTTAGTCTTGGGTTGGCATTTGTCGAGAATGTCATGGAAGGCTTGTTGGAAAGGGATGTCGGGATTCGGGCTGTTGTGGCAGATAATGTGCTCGGCGGCTGGTGGGATGTTAAAGGTTTTCAGGAGATTCTGGAAATACTGGGAGACTTTGTCTGCGTTTGTATCGTCCTTTTCCCAACGCACGGTCATTGAGTGGATGTTTGTGTAGTTGTGTCTGTGTTGCGTTGCCGCTGCTCTTAGAGTGTTTTGAAATGCTTTAATGCTGATTGGTGCCATTTTTGAGATGCTCTGGTATGGCAGAGTCTGGGTGTTGGTTTGTAAGTAGAATGGAAAGCGAACAGAAGCGGATTGGCGTGGACTGTGTGGGTCTGATGTAGGTATGTAGGGGAGTATCACGAGGTATGGTGCTTTTCCAGTAGTTACCTGAATAGAGAGTCTCCTTTAAGAAGACATATAAAATAAGTAGGAGAGAGAGTAAGAAGTAAAAAGCAGAGGACTGGATAGAATACTATGTATTAGTAGTCATACAAAAAATTCCTATATATGACGATATTTGATATCATAGTCTTTGAATAAGATTACATGATGATCACTATGATACAACCGAACAGTAAAATATTGTTTAAGATATGTGACAATATGAGGAGAAGAAGTTGACGTAGATTATAATGTAATTGAACTAGTATTTGTATCTCTCATAATCATAGAGGAGAATAGGTGTTTCGGTTTCATCAGAACATTCAGCATGCACGAGTATCTTGATCAACATTATAGCAACGGAATAATTAATTTCCATCATCAGACCTGACAGAATTAGCTACCAGTCTGCCAATGACATTTCCTATCAGTAACGCTCCATAATAAGCTGCGTCTTTAGTGACTCCTTAGGGAGCAACCAACCCTTGCTCTGCAAGTCGGTGACCAAGTTGCTCCGCTCATCCGAGGCCGTCATTATATTCTCCGTCTTAAAAGAAGCTTCGACGATATACTCAATACCTGTGCGCTGGGAGTTGATAAGAGGCCAAATCTCGACGTAAAGCGGGATCCTGCCCCATGTGCCAACAAATCGCTTGACGAAGACCGGGCCATAAATCCGCGACTTCGCTAACACGCTGGTGCCCCATTTGTTGGGACGCCAGTTCTTGAATTTGTCCGGCGCTTCGTCAATTAACATTTGGCGCGAGTCGCTTGGGCCTGGCAGATCCATTTTGCCATTTCCAGCAACAGCATCAGCTACAGTTTTCTTGCGGCTGATAGAAAGTATCTGCCTTTCGTATCCCCATTCGACTTGAGCCTTGTACTTCGTGTCACCTGCATTTAAACCATCATTCTCAGCCGCAGTGAGAGCGGAGTCAATGCCGCCATCCGTAACAGCATACCGCTTCTTATACGTCAGCTCAAGATCGTCCTCGTTGTCGGCCTTGCGAATGCGAGCGCTCCAGCCGGCGGTATAAATTTCTCTAGAGAACGTGTCGAGAAACTGCACATTCAGAATGATGGCGGTCGGGGCCAGATTGAAAGCCGATCGGACATCGTCTGTTAACTCATGTTCGGAGCTAAGCACTTTGGCCGGGTTGAGCAAAAGTCTGACCTCATAGTCGGGCGTCATATTTAGCATTGGCTCTGTAAAGCATACGGACGTAACATCCATGGCGAACAATCAGCGCGGAAAAAGACGTATAGTGGTTGGCTAAGGCCTTCGAGGCAGGTCGTGCGTGGACAAAGGGTCTCGGGCAATAGAAGAATTGTTACTATACGAGCAGACCGAGGTTGTTGCTTGAAACCCATTGAACAGCAAGGCGTAGGTGTTCCGCTCTACTTAACGCCTAATATACTAACAAATCGAACTGGTACCAGTCCGACGCAGAGTACTGTATCCAGGGGACAATCGATCTAGAATCCCCATCGCCTCGTTATATGAAGGTAGCAGTGAACCTGTTCCAGGCAAGGATCCCCTCATCTATGCACGCCACGTAGGTTTTCAGACGTCATCGAGTCTCGCGTCATATTCCGTATTTCAGTTTTGATCAAGGCCAGTGATATGAAAACATGCAGCGCCTTTTGAGAATTTCACAATAGACTTACTGGGGGGATCCAGGACACGGACACATTGCCAAGCGGCTGTTATTACCGTTACACGAACCTGGGGTAGAAGGAATAGGCCTTGATCTCCCTTATCCTAGATACACTTTTCGTGGCGTCTGCTCTCTAATAGTACAGCCTAGATCTTATTCTGCGACGTGATTTCAATTCAGTATGAGAACGTGGGTATGGCTTGCAGCGAGGAGGAACCACGGATGGCTGAACAACAGAAGCTGGTACTGGGTTGCAGTCGGATGATCGACGTGCGTCATGTGGCATACCGTAAATTCGCGGCGGTCACCCACTCTCGGGCTAATTCTGGATTAACTTGAAGAGGATGGGAAGAGGCTGAATGCTCGGTCCCTCTGTTGATATATATATATATTCAGCTGCCCACCGCAACCGAATTCCTAAGGTATGTGGCTGCTGTTCGAGGATTCGATACCACCGCGCCGACAACGTTCAATACATCATTGGCGGAAGCGCATTCCTAGTTCGTGCGCATCATATGCCATCTTATTTACAGGTTGAACTCACGGCCAAATAGTGAACTAACGAGCCACGGTTCTGGGCCGTTATATGGTGCCACTATCAGCCCTAAGGTTCGTTTTTTTATTAAATAAAAACAACCAAACGGAGAATCCAAAAGTCTCCGTAGGTAAACCCGCAACTAACGCCGTTTGTGGGGAAGCACATACCAGCTCATTCAGTAGATTAACGCGGCCACATGCGGCATGATCTGACACCCAGACATTGTTATGATTGGTGGTACGTTGTATCATTGTAGTTAAACTTCCACTAGTCCATACAAAACATAATTCTCCTGTTCTATGCTAAGAGTAATCAATAGCTTAATGTTAGTGCCGAACCGTATTGCGTATAGGAGATAGGCTAGTTCCAGTAATGTCCTATGCAGCGACTATTCCAACCTCTACAATCTATGGTTATTACGAACGAGTTGGAATTTGATTTTCCATGAACAGCCTAGTTAAAGTCTCCCATAGCGACTGCGTTCTAGCCCGTTCCATCTAGAAAGCCGACGTAGAGCAATTGAGTCGCCTACGGGATATTCCCCCGCCCGAAAGAAAGGCAAGCGAGCAAACGTAGAATTTAGTTCCAAAATCTAGCAAACCTAACTCAACCAAGAATATGCTGTACACTGCAAGGTCGGTAAATCCAAGGCTACATGGTGCCCGATAACCGACTTGCCATCCTAACCAGAAAAGCCATACCCAACAGCTTCGTAATAGCAAGCACGGTCCAAATCATAGCTCCAGAATTCAGGGAGAAATGGTGGCTAAATTCCTAAGCCTATTGCACTGCTAGCTAAGAGTATGGGACGCTCTAGATGGAATCTAGAATTGTCTAGCCAGATGATCGCCATACATCCTCACATCACTCATCCTAATCATTTTACATACAATGACTCAACAATGACACAGGGGTAGATAGATCGGGCAGTCATACATCAGAATTCTCATATCAAACAAGAAGATCTTCTGGCCCCTCTCAAATCATGGCAAGAGACGTTTGATTATCAAACCTTTCTGTTCAACTTCCCTACTCTTTGTTACTGCAAGCCAGTTAGGATATCGGCCGATATTCTTAGCAGAACGCAAATATGGCTCGCTTATGTACTATTATACCACAATATGTCCTAGAGGGCATTGTTGAGAAGGGATTAGCGCCACAGCACATCATCAGTCGGTGCCGATCCACTATCGACAAAACCAGGCAACTTCAGGATACCCGTGGGCAACACGTGCAGAGCATCGCATCGCCTGAGCTGTCACAAACCAACCATAATATTATGCCACCCTATATCCTTGAGTCAATAGCTCGGAATGCCGCAACAGAACAGCAGCGCGAGGCGGCGCGCCACACACTCGCAGTCAGCACTAAACATCGAATAGCGGCAGGGCGTAAACGTCAAATACACCGTACAGTCTACGACGCGCAGTTTTCACCTGCCATACGTCCTCCGAGGGATAAGCGGCTCCTCAGAGAGGGCGATGAACTCCTCTCTGAGGTGAAAGATCCGACCAACAATGCAAACGAGTGCTATATTGGCCTTAAGAAGACTTATGACTTCTACTTCGACTTCTTCCATCGAAACTCGATTGATGATAGCGGTATAGCGCTCGATGCCTTCGTGCATGCTGGTGATTTCCTTAACGCTTTTTGGAACGGATATGAGCTCGTATTTGGTGATGGAGATGGCGTTATCTTTGACGGATTTACCGACGAGCTTGATGTCATTGGCCACGAGTTTAGCCATGGCGTTGTGGAGCATACAAGTCCACTCCCTTACCGATTCCAGAGCGGTGCTCTCAATGAGTCTTTGGCCGACGTTTTTGGTATTATGATCAAACAATGGGGTGAAAGCACCCCCCAGACAGTTGATCAAGCCGACTGGCTTATTGGGGAGGGACTCTGGGCTGCTGGTGTCAAGGGCAAGGCACTACGGGACATGGCAAATCCTGGAACAGCTTACGATGATGGTGCTGTGGGGGCAGACCCTCAGCCTGCGCACTGGAGAGATTTCAAGAAGCTCCCCATCAGCAAGGACAATGGTGGTGTCCACATCAACTCCGGCATCCCGAATCGCGCCTTCTACCTTGCTGCAACTAAAATTGGAGGATATGCCTGGGAGGGTGCAGGTCCTATCTGGTACCGCGCTCTAAGCAGTGGTAAGCTCCCCACGGACGGTAAAGCTAAGTTCAAGGACTTTGCCGATCTTACGATTGAGAATGCTGGGGAGCATGTAGATAAGATTAGGGAAGCTTGGACACTCGTTGGATACCCATTCGCAGAGGAGAGGGCCGAACTGTAAGGATCATATTTCGAGCTGGAATACCGTGTTCAGGAGCCTGAATTCTTTTCTTACAAAAATGTGCTTTATCATGTTATTTATCACAAAATATCGCCGTTATATTGCGTCACCCAACGAAGATGGATTTGTTTAAGTTTCCGTTTCACGCACGACTTCTTGTGACTGGAATATATATGTAGTATATTGTAGTGGTGGATCTAGCGACGCTTGTCACTCTGTTTGTTGATAGCTGGAGCTCTTTGCACTAACTTGAAGCTCGCCTCTGTAGCATAATTAAGAGCGACGGTGATTGAATACAGCAGGAAACAGAGGTAAAGAATACCGTGTCGCCACGAGGAAGTAGTCACCATGTAATGATCTTATATCACCTATTTGTTTTGCTTATCTGAGCGAGGTTTACCATTGCTTGTTCGATAGTTCTCTCACGCGGCTCGTAGCACGCAAATGTAGTACCAGATCAATTGACACGATCGTTCTGTTTGCTGACTACATTTAATTCTCCTACACGGCATTATTGTTGTTGGGTTTTTTTGTCAGTTATCTCTACTGCTAAAATTTCTTATTATGCGTCAACCTACCCGTGCTGGCAAGGTTGCCTTAAGCTCTCTTACATTACTAGTTAGAGGAGTCGGAAGTCTTTGATCAACCAGTGCATAGTAATCAACTGCCACTTCTTAGCTAGACACATATTCCTCCCTTTCTTTTCAGCTTGATTTCTTAGATTCTTCAAAGAGTGTTATATTCAATTGCTGCATCCGCGTCCCCGAGCGGCACCACCAGATGAAGACCACAAAATAAACTGCTTAATGGGTATATTCTACTTCAAGCGGTGACTCTTTAATGGTACCGTGGCAGGTAAGTTCAACTTATAAACCATATTATAAAGGCAATCTGATCAATCTGGCATGGGACATCACTGGGCCCAGCTTCGAACGCTTCCCCCAAAAGTATCAAGATAATAAGTGTTGTGATTACGAGCACCTGAGGGTTTAATTAAGGTTTTGTGGTACATCTTGTGAAAGTAAGATCCGACAAGGTTAGCCAATCAAAGAAAAAGAAAAAAGGAAAGAAGAGAAAAGAAAAATAGCATATTCGGACTTCTCGTTCCATACGGCCTTTGGCAAATATTATCTGGTCATAGCGCCAGGCGTTGATTCGCTCCCAAGTAGCTCAATTCAGACGCCTTGCTAGGCCGTTCTGGGCCCTTTTAGTTCAGGGCGGGTGTATCGAACTCCATGGCTGTAACTCGAGGTACGAGAGAAGCCAATGGCTATATGCTCAGTGCCGTTGTAGCGAAGAGATCACTCAGCCCCGCCATGTCGGACAGATACCCCGGCATTGCCTGCTGTCCCTGGCTTGTTAAGAGGGCGGTATGGAGTGCCAATCAGTCAGAGGATCAGTCCCAAGTCTCCCCGATTTAAATATCTTACGAACAAATAAAGCATCCTATTTGGCTGGATTTGGTTCTCCGCGCTTATGTGAACGTCTCTCGGGATGTTACTGTTATTAGGGTTCGGTTCACTGGCTCTTTGAATGAGCCATACTCCTGTTAGCAGCACGTTGCGATTCATTTGGCGTGGGCTGAAGATTGTGGCCGGAGATATCGTTGGCGATTTCAAGTCCCGACGGGACACCACCAACGGGGAAACTTCCGGACAGTCCGTTGCGGGACCCAATGGTCTCGTATTTGATGTCAACCAAGGCTATAGTAAGTTACCGAAGTGACCAAAGCAAGAAATATTCGCCTCATGTGCAGAAACGCATTCAAACCCATAGCAGGAGCTGCCACACAGTACACTAATAAAAGGGTGTAATATTGTCTCGAAACCCGATGACAGTTATTTCCACTCCCATATAGCCTGCACTCCTATTAATTTGATTCGTCAAGTCATCCATGAGAGTCTGGTTGATCTGTGACCAGGACTTCCCCTGTATAACTCGCTGAAGCTCCTGCTGAACTTGTAATTGTATTTCCTCTTCAAGTTTCGTGTGACGAATTGCCTTACCCGGGTCCGTAACTTTGTAGGCAATGAGGGGAGAGGGAATTTTATAAGTGCCATCTGATAAAATTGCAGGAAACGGCAGTGGCAAACCATCAATGACTTTTCCCTCTTTATTAAGCTTCCTTAGAGTTTCCGAACGCGGGTTAACAAAGTGATGACCTGGCGAAAGTGGTTCTCCGTCATTTCGTTTTCCAAATCTAAGTTTGACGGCTACTTCTCCCTCCTCAACAATCTGATTACCGTCGGGACAGCATAAGCAAAACGGCAGCGCCCCCAGATATCCTGTAATACAGCCCAAACAGGCGCCTTCGAGTATAATGGGATCAGTACTGACACGGTATAAGGACTCGCAAACACTCACATGTATTTTCGTAGAACTTTGGCATCGGAGTTATTCAGCGTTGGACTGAGAACTTTGCTTGGTTAACAGTGGTGAACGATGTCTAGATGAACCTGGTAAAGAATATGCTCCTGGTCGTTTCGCTTTGTTATATTTATGTACGTAACCGTTAAGCTACATCACCATGATCCCATAAGGCTGCAACACATGGGAAAGTGCGAACAAAGTCTTTCTCATATGATCATCTCTACATCAAAGTCAACCAATCCTGAAAGGTCCAGCTGGCTATGAAAGGTTTCGTTAGCCAAATATACTTTTATTTACCAAACTACTACATCTTCAGAGTTCTTGTCTATCACCAGCAACCATCGGAGCCTGGGCCTAGACCACGTATCCGTAACTGAGAGCGGGCCCAAATAAAGCCCTAGCTAGCAAACTAAGGATAGTTTAGCAAATTTGCTTACAACAATGGTCTGTATGTCATTATGATTCACAGTGGTAACTAACCCACCATCCGCTGCAATATCAATATATTTAAGCGTCCTTGCTAAATTAACTGCCATGGAGATTGAGATCCCAATCACATATTATTACACGATGCCGAATAATACCGACTCCCTGTTAAAGAGAGGAAGGGATTGGCTGTGCCAAACGTATTTTGGTTCGTACTATGTACGACCGCTCATTGACCCTCAGTGGAGAAGGTGGATCAATCGAGCAGAAGTCGATCATAGTGAGTCATGCCCATACATTTGCGAGCTTGTTTCTCATGGCCGTTAGTTTCTATGTTCAAAAAGGGTTTCCCACAATTTTCCTTCGTCCTAAGTGCAGATCCAAACTCTCAGATCTTTTGTCGCTTCAAGTGGCTTTTCACTCAATGCCTCTTGCATCTACAGGGTCGACTACTGAAAGAAGAGAAGGAGCTGAAAGTCGTCCTTATGACCTCCGCAAAAGGGTCAGAAACGCAATTTCGGAAGCTCTCGATCATCTCGAAATTACTGAAGGAATATGCTGAACTCGCTGAGTTGCAAAGAAACCTTCTTTCCTTGTGCTCTCCAGATACTACAGCGTTCGAGTCGCTGATAAGATTTGTGGAGCGACATAAAAATGACCTCGGTGAGGAGGATTACGACTGGATATTCCGCGCTGACGATCTTATGACTCTCTGGCCATATGCAGAGGATACCATGCTGGAAGACGTCATTCAGGCCTTCCTTGTTATCATTCCACAAAAGCTCTTTCCCAGTTTCGCTGTGAGTGACTAGTTTAACATTTCGCGCATGCTACCATGACACTTATTTAGCCGCGGCTTCGAATCAGATGTTACATCAAAAAAAAAGTGCCATGCTAACCATATATGGTTTCGCCAGTTAACGAGTCATACTGATAGGATGAAATTCGGCGCTCATACCAAGTATATTACACATAGCCGGTTGATGGCTATTGCTCATTTTATACTCATTACAATGACCCTGTTCTTCATTCTGATGCCTGCTGGGTTGCTCTATCTCAATGTTAATAGCTGGTCACAGTGGCAGAACTTTGGATGCGTCATTGGATGGTCTGGCCTGTTTGCATGCTTTTACGGCTTGTCAACAAAATCGCGAGCGCACGAGGTCCTAACTGCTGCTTCTGGGTGAGTTGAAGATGCCACTGTCTTATCATTTACTAATCTCTGCAGATACTGTGCCATTTTAGTAGTATTTCTGGGCCTTAAGACTGGCAAGTAATTGGAAGATGACGTGCTTCGATATGAATTGTTTTGTATGTTGTTCTTGTCCCATAATGACCCACTGAGTGTGATAGTCAAGATCTTGAATATAATAATGGCTGGGAAGGATTCTGATTTAGTATACTTTTTTGAAGTTGGACGAGCTGATCGTATTAATATATAACTAGATTAAATAGTATGACTAATTTATTTAGAGTTTTACTACTGTTTATTATTTTACATATTGTTTTTTTAACTACTATTTTATATCATTTATTGTTCTCTATAATTCTGTCTGCTATCTTTAATTATCTTTTTTAATATAATCTACAGTTGCGCAGTCTATTTTGTTAAACCCTAGGATCGCTTCCCTGTCCCGCTTAGCTTAGCTTCAGTGGTATACGTACCGTCGAACTGAGTCGAGGGGTATCAGGCTGATGACTATCTAAGGAACAACTGGTCTTGGACGAGGAAGAGAAGTAAGGTCGATTCCTGATATTTTCGCATAGAAAGAAGGGTTTCAGTTGCAATTACAGCATTCAGCATACACAAGTAGCTTAATCACTCTGAAGCAGATGGGTCAATATTCATCATAAGGCCTGACAAACTTAGCTGGCTAGTAGCTATTTTTTGTATCTAGACTGGTTCTGTGTTGCTATGAAGATTCTATTTCGATGATTTTGGGTGTGGGTGTTTGTGTTGATTGTTTGAGTTAGACTACTATTCACTACTACTGATTGCACATAGTACACATTTACATCATTAAGTTGTTTGTCACTTTTGCTTCAACTTGTGCCACTTAAGCAGTTCCTCACAACCCGCTATTAAGCCAACTAATGTTTCTGCACTGGCAGTGTGGTGCACTCTCAATGCTGAGAAGTCATCCACTACTCTTCTAAAGGTACTACTAGCGTGCAGTTCCCAAGCTGCGGAGATTAGCTGGATATACTATTATATACTATCCTCTGAGTGTTCCGGAGTCTTTACTCCTAGTTTGGGTATTTATTCTGGAGAAGGGTATACGGTGCGGAGAGTATAAGATATAGCGTAGAGACATGGTACATATTAGTCGATCTCCACGTAGACAATCTTGGGTAAGCTATGATGATCGTGGTAGTATCAAGAGAGCGTCGTAGCAGTAACAGCAGCAGTAGTTATTTATACGAAGAGTTTCCGATCTGTTGTATAATTCCGTTGGGATCTTGCCTAAGCAGGGTCTGGGAACATTTCATCGAGGTCAGTTCAGGTCAAGTCAAGCTAGGTAATTCAATCACTAATACAGGTCTATTATTATAAAACCCCTGTCAAATGGCTAATATGGTGACATATCATCGATTTATGAATCCCAAGTCTTTTGCTCATTGCCAGACTATATATGGTGGGCATTGGGTCAGGGGGGTGGCGATAGGAAGAATGGAGGACCCTTTTTCGTCGTGATTTGTTGTTTGGTCTAATCCATGACCTATGGTACTCTGTATTGATTAAACTTCGCTCATACTATCGCTGGTTATAAGCACTTCCAAGCAAAGTGTCATTCTGACAGGCAAAAGATTTTGATTAATTACACCAAAGAGCAATAGCTCATTTATGGACTCAATCCGATGTCCACCTCGATAATAGATATTCCTGAATGCAGTCTACTCACCCCATCCATAAATATCTCAGAAATCAGTTCAAAGACCCTCCACAACCACAAAGAAAGATCCAACGCCTACCCAACCGGAGAATGAGACCTCTTCTTAGCAGCAACCACCTCCGACCCGTGATCATCTTTCCTATCCTCCATAAACCCACCGCGACGCACAAACTCGGACTCCCCCACCACCACCGTCCCACCCTTACTATCCTCCCAGAGCTTCTTCGCCCACTGACACTCCCTAAAATGAACCATGAACGCAGCCCTCGAGTAAACCTTATCCCTAGGAGCAGATAGTTCCCCCACCCTTCTCCAATCAGATGACACCTGCTCAAACCGGCCCTGACAGTCTCGACACGAAACCCCACGCTCAATTTCCCCGGTCTCTTGGTCCACATAAGGCACCGCAGTGGTTGCCATACACCATCGCAGAAGCATCACCCGTCCGCGGCGGAAGGTATCAGACCAGGGAATGCCATTTTGGTGAGCCGTACTGAGCTCGCGCACTCGTTTATCATGCACCAGAGAGTGCCGGATCTTCCGCTGCGTTTCTTTCATCGTGTAGAATCCCCGAACGGTCTTCAGGATTGGGACGGATTCCGCACGCAGCACGGCCGGGCTGATTCCGTAGAAGTTATGCGCTTCGGCGAGCGTGATCAACTCGTATTCTCGGTCATAGTGAAAACGGTGAGTATGTGGATCGATAACGGGGCGGCGGAGATCGGATTTGCTTCGGATGCAGGGGAAACAGCATCTTGATAGTTTGGGGGGGAAGAGGAAGACGAAGCCTCCGAATTCGGCGTGACAGATGGAGCATTCCCGGGTATGTAGGACCTCGAGGACGTCTTGAGAGTATACCACTGTGCTAGGGTAGTGCGTAAGAGCGCACATATGAGGTCCGCGGCGTAGGTCGTCACCTGCTGATAAGTCTCCAGAGAGCTGACAACATCGCGGGTACGGACGTTGACGTGGCGGAGGTTGAAAAGGGTTTGGATGTCTAGGTCCGGGATGAACTTGAGGAGGATTTCGACGGGCAAATAGTCAAGGAGGCCGGGTTTCGCGGGCTGGAAGGGACGATTGAAAGCGTGTGTGATACCGGGTCCAACGCTTTCGCTGTCTACTGGCTTGATTCTGATTACCGACATGTCGAAGTCCCGGCGGTGATAAGATGTTGCACGAATGACGTCTGCCTCAATGGCTCCTTCGGGGAGAACTTCGTTGTTCGCCATTGCTGCTGTTGATGCAGCCTTCCTGTTAGGTGGGCTGACCAATAGCTGAATGTGGTGTGCTCACTGTATGACAGGATCCTGTGCTTATTTATGATGATATGCACGTAATGAGAATATTGGTCTAAGTGGGATACTTGCGATCAGTGGCAGGCAGATGCCGGAGATAGTTGGAGATGTCGGAGCCTGTCAACAAATTCCGTGGAAGGAAGAACACGTCCGTGGGAAGAAGAGTGAAACACACGCACTTTTTGTTACAGCCACCGTCTTGCTTGTCACGGTGCGACAAGACGACCGTTCCAGGTAGTGAACGGCTGTGACCGTTCGAACTGGAAAATGGCCATGGACGTGTGATCGTAGAGCCATAATGCATCAGATGATCGCTAGAAAGGGGGTATTTCAGATTTGCATGGCTCATGTAAGGGTATCAGGGAATATCTATATCCAGGCTTCAAAGAGATGCGATATAAATACAAAATATACGATCATGTCGACTTCACCCACGATTGTTGATTGAACAAAGGCATGCACTTGATCCGAACGGGTGGCTCCTTATCCCACACTACCAGTTCCTTGCCCGCTTTGTAGTCTGCACTCTCAATGACATTGTGCACATATCCTTGGCCATTCTTGGCCTCCCGAGTGGCTTTGTACTCATATGCCACATTCACTGAAGGCACTGCCAGGATCTTTCCCAGTCCTTGGCCCCACATGTCTTTGGCCAGTAATGTAGGCTCGCCCATATGGCACTCGCCTTCTTTGTGATTGCGGAACTCAAGCTTCCGTTGAACAAAGGGCGCCGCATCCAGAATGACCATACCACCCCAGCACGAATAGACCTGCACCGGCAATTTCCTCGCATATCGCTGCTGATTTGGCTGGTCATCAAAGAACATGTCCTGGGTGAGCCAGTATCGCGCATCATGGGTGATTTCAAAGAAGAGATTGCCGGACATGCTGCGCGATACCCATGAGTCGTAGAACGGCCCGCCGGCAGCATTCCAGTCAAAGGCACAAGTCATACGCGCATCCTGCTGCCGGTGCTGATACAGCAACTCGAGCAGATCCTCTACGCAGAGGACGACGTCGTTGATGAAGAGGATCGTCGCGTCCGCTGCGTAGGGCTTGAATTTGCCCGCTCCGGCAGAGACTAGCGGCGCGAGAGCCTGGTTGCGCAGGGTCGAGAGGTGCTTGATTCGGTCTGCCCAGATAGCTTTGGGATTGAGATCGCTGGTGGAGAGATAGTATCTCACGCCCATGGCGGCCATCTCGCTCTTTAACCGATTGAGAATATCGTAGGTTCCGTCGGTGGACCGACCTTCGACGATCGAGAGAGCGCAATACTCGGGTCCGAGGAAGCGCATCGTCTCGACAATGGTGCCCATCAAGGGAAGCATGATGTGAGCGGATTGATAGAGATCCAGGGCGAAGAAATACTTGATCTTGGGCTTGGAAAAGAGGCTGTTGGATGCGCGAACGGGAAGATCGGCATAGCGCGGGCTGATGGTAGCCGGGCATTCAAGCTTCGCAGACAGACTCATATCGTGGGTCATGATGCTGCAGACAAAATCATCGACAGCGCTGCCATTGATGGGCAGTTTGGCGGTGAGGGTCTCATCGAGGACATCTGCCACCGTCGCGGGGTTGAAGCCGTTGCAGGCGGAGATGGCGGGAATGGCGGCATCGAGATCACCTTCGTAGCTCGATGCGCTGAAACCACTCGGATCTGAGGCAGAAGGAGACCATTCGAAGGAAATGTAGAGGAAGAGCAGGAAGCAGAAGGAGGCGGTGGAGATTGTCAGCCGAAAGAGGTGCGTCTGCACCTGTCGGACATTGAAATTCATGTTGGACGGGATGCAGGAACCATCTAGGGCGGGAATGCGAATCAACGAGCGACAGCGGGGATGCGACGCATCTTGAAGGCGATAAAAGGGGGAGGGGAAATCGAGTAATCGACAGCTTCAAAAAGCCCAAGAGGGGCAAGCGGAGATAAATACTCAAGAAAAAGCTTCGGCGATGTGAAGGTTCTTCCACCCATATCAGCAACAGTGGGGCGCCCAAGCTGACTAGGAAGTAGTTCGGTGGGAATGATTTGATCCGTCAAGCTTTGGTTTGATGGCTCTATCTGACTTGCTAATTTAGCTGCTCGACCGAAGAATCGTGGGTGCCTGAACGGGATTCCCTCGGGACGCCCGGATTGGTCTATGGAAGTGGCGATAGCGTGAAGTTTTCTCCGGTCGTTGCATGGCCCCCTTTCCCAAATGCTCTCCAAGCATTGGCGATAATCATGCCAACGCAGAAACCATGGAACCGCCAAAGCCAAGGGGAGAATCCAAATATCGGCAATTTGACCACGAGCTGCGGATGAGCCACTAACTCCATTCTAGTGCCGGATTAGCCTCGTTGTTAGCTCGACCCGAAGCTTCCGAGGCCCCAGTCATTCTCCGAATATTTTTTGCTTGCCACCGTCAGCAGTCAATCATTTGACATTGAAACCATCGAGAGTCTTGATTATCCTGCTGTGGTGAGAATGTTGGTTATCGATGGTGATAAACCCATACAATGACAAGATTCTCGGGGAGAAGATTCGATTCGAACCGAACCGAACCGAACCCACACTTTCTTTTTCCCTTTTCTTCTCTCTCTCACTCTCTCTGAAGGCTGCCGATCGTCCCTTGCACTAAACGTAGCGAACCATTCATTCACCCAAACTGGGCAGGGATGATCGGTTGCCGCGATAGTCGATACTTATTTCAGCTCGCTCAATTTCCGACTTCGGTAATTGACGAGATCTATCTAATTCTACTGATGGGGTTTCCCATTGTTGAAGAGCGATCCACTCTGTGATCGATCTGGTGTCGATGGTGGCATTTCCATCGGGATTTGACTTTTCTAAATCTCGGTGGCTGAGATAGTGTTTGCTTGACGGGTGGAGATAGTATTTGGAAACCACATCTAGTTCATCATTCATTTGCACTCTAATGACATATAATTATGCATGGTCACATAATCTTCCTTCAAAAGAAGAAACATCAAAGTTACTTCGGAAGTGTGCGAATAATCACATCTCCCTCAGCCTATCCAGCAGAAACCGAAACGTAAAGTTCTTGACCCCGCTGGAAACTTCCAGCCGTTCCAGGTGTCGGAAGACCTTCGCCTCCAACCCATTCAGGGTCTCTTCGGTGAGCTGCAGAATCTTCTGATCCCGCATCTCATTCAAGATCAGTTGCTTCAGATCAGCCGACAGCTTACCATTTCTGGTTCGTTCCTGCTGGATATTCTCAATCAATGCCGCGTTCGGCGACTGTGTCAGGAGGTGGATTAACGGAAGAGACAGTTTGCCTTCGTCGAGATCCTGGGCAAAGCCTTTTTGTTCTTGATACTGGTAGTTTGAATCATATTGTGTTAGACAGGTTCATACTTTGTCTAGTGGATTGGTGACCTACCTTCGTTGATGCCAGGTTAATGTAGTCGTCTCGGGCTTGGAAATACTGGCCTAGAGAGATCATGAGGTCGCTCAAATCAGTCTGCTTGATGGCTCTGCTATCTTGTTAGTTCCATTACGGCTGCGATGTGATCTATCTCCACATACTCTGCTGGGAATGACCCTTGAATATAGAGAAGGTTGCTCGCAAGACAAAACAGTGCGCCGGTTTCTAGGTACCCTCCATCAGTATCGAGTCGGAATGTCAGTGGCTGTACAAATACTTACTCAACTGATTCATTTCCAGGTATTCTGCAATCGAAGGACGATACCCAGACCGCGTCCAATGAAGATCCATCGCCTGTCCAACATGAAGATTGCGCAACTCATCTACCTCAATCAGCAAGCATACCATCACCATTCTTTGTAAAGAACTCACCGAAGAACCCATCTGAGGTGCCTGGCTTCATTAGTGGGACAACCTTTTCAAACGCTTGAGTAAGTGCATGGGTTGCAGCATTGATGGTCTGTGCTACCCCAAACACGCGATAGGCAGTTGGCCGACCGCGTCTGAGCTCTGAGTTATCCTGGATGTCATCAAGCAGAAGCGATGAATCGTGAAGATGTCCGATCAAGTCTTCCACCTGAGTTGCTGCCGATTCCGGCGCGTTGACCCATAGATTCAACGCTTGGATGATGGTGCCTCTTATATTCTTCGATGGTACGCTCCGAAGATAATCAATCGGCTGCTGGAGAACCTGTCCGGGAAAAGTGTCAGCTTCCCTGTCTGTTCGTGCTAACAAACCTAAAGGCGTCTGATTGGCAGCCAACCTTATAGTATGGGTCATCGGTCATTGTCTGTGGACCCTCAAAGGAGTCCACGATCCGGCTAGACCTGGCTCCCAAAGTCTGGCTATTCAAGAAGGTGGCGCATGTTGCTGTGGCTTCATCGTAATCGAATAGCTTGGCGGGTGGCAGTTGTAGAACCTCAGCCCATCGGTGGAAGCGATCAGCAATAGCATGCCAGTACCAGTTTCCCGATAAACCTAAGCCAACCATTTCCAGGAAATAGATAATATCGCCTGACTTAGGTGTCATGGGATCCATGTTGGCCAGATACTCAGCCTTCTTGGCAATGAATTCTCTTTCCAAAGGCGCAATCTTGTCTTTCAGCAGGAATTCTTTGGCTTGGGATACAGTCAAGTTCAGTGTTTTCATCAGGTACCAGACCGAGTTTGGCGTCGTGATAGTCGTATCCGTATCCGTGTCAGGCTCCAATATCACCTCCCTATTGAAGCTATACAGGTCGTTAACCAGCGCCGCTGCAGCAGTCGCAGGCGACCAAATTTGTTTCAGGGCCTCAATATCAGTCTGCGTCAGGTCCAGCTCGCAGCAGTAGATGATTGACATGATATTCAGCCTGATCCAATCTCAGTAATGCATCTTCCAAAGTATGGCATAATCTAGGTTGTCTGGCAAACATACTCTGCCCCGTAATCGTCGGCCCGATACTGCACTAAATCATCCCATGTTTTAAGGTCACGCGAGCCGATCGTTCCGTGGACTCGAGATACATCGTTGATACATCGTTGATAGCTCGAAGGATGAGGTTTCCGCGTTTTCGGTTGATTTCGAGAAGACGCAAGAACACTTCGGACTGGATTTGCTTCATTGCGCTGATGCGAACACTACTCGTTGTTCCCTTGCGTACTTCCCATCCAATGGAATCGGTTGATTGTTTCTCACCGGACTGTACAAGCGTTAGTCCGAGTACCCGGAATCATGATGAAGCCAATTCATGTTATCCTCATCCATACCTTAGCACTTCCAGGAGCGGCGAGAACATCTGTCACGTAAGTCCATCAGTAACTAATCTCACGGTACGGTTTGAATACTATCTGACCATCATAAGCGAAGAAGTACTCAATGAGCTTGGCAAAGATCTCAACACGGTCTTGTTTGGTCTCCGGGGGAAAGAAGACAGTAACAGGGCCCTGCGGCGAAGTTGCTCCACAGTATGCGAACCCAACTTCCTCCTGCCACTGCTGCTGAAATTCAGAGACAGCTTTCTCAGCTAGATGGCTGTACCTGCTTTTGCGAACAGGTAGGGTGGTTGCGCAAACACGAGCAACTTCCTCACTGTCAACAAGCTCGGAATGGATAAAGGGAATATCGACTGGCGACATATCTGGGGTAGAATAAGATGTTTTGAGATTATAGGAATGTATTTATGGAGAGTGAACAATGGTGTCTATGATCCCTATCTTCAGGAAAGTGTGCCATTTATATATAGTCTGAACTGGTAAAATAGTCAACATACTCCGTCAGTAGCTTCTCTCTGAGATATCGCGTCCAAGAAACTCCGTAGTTCATTCCAGTGCAGATTGAGGGCTGGCTGGAGTTCCCACAAGGAAAAGCTTTCCAGAGCGGATATAAGTATCGTGTATGGCCAGAATGCAGGGCGGCAAGAAACGTGCGTTTGGCATCGTCAGTCTCCAATGAGGCGTCACAGCTGTTACCTTTTGATTGGCTTCTGAGTTACCATTGCTTGAAATGGAGTGCTGGGATATGCAGCGTTGGGGAGGGTGTGGGGGCAGTACAGTGCCTCCCGGTCTGATATTTAGACGGTTGGGAACCCAGATAGGCTTAAGATTAAAGTTCGGGTAGAATTTGGCCTAACTGACATTTTGAGAAAGCAGGAATTACAGATAAAGAAATATACACATGATTCACAAAAGAAATTAAAGCCACCGTGATAAGAAAGAAACTATTCCTACGGCATGAGTAGGAATATATTTCGTTCTGAGCCTGTGACCGAGCAAGAGTAATTCAAGGGTTGAATTCCGGTGACCAAAATGAGCTCATGACAGATTTCAATGACATAGAGCTCCTTCTTCTCTCCCTAAGCCTACTAGTGCAAGGCCTGCCAATGAACCAACGAGTGAGAGGGACATACCGGGCAGGACGCATGGTGAGAAAAACAAAATCTCCTCATTGATGTAACGCTCCGACTATCCAGAACTGAACAACAAATCTGAGCGGTGAAACTTACTGGGAGCCACAGAAGCTACTAGTTCCTGGAGGGTGTAACCGTACTTCGCACCTGACAGCAGAATATCCAATCATGGACATGACAGTGCTTACTAGTCGTAGTATTTAGGTTCTTCATGATCTGTCAGTGTTCGCGGATTATCTTTCCCAGACATCTCGTGGCACAACATCTACCAAAATCCGTAGGCTTCCATAGTTGATTGCTTTTTCTTGCTAAACTTCAATAGTACTGTACTACGCTGTGATTGAAACCAGTTGCTGGGTCAAACCGAATATTAGATCTGATGGTAGTTATAGTAACGGGTTCACGGAGTATCTGTTTTAGTTAGTTGATAGTGTAGTGAATTGAGCTAAATAAATTTATCCCAAGTGTATTGACATGTCTGGATACAATAATTAGAACTATTCTAGTAGCAACAGTAGGAATAAAAAGATACTATCAGCATTGGATGATTATGCATGCTGGGGCTATATGTAACTTCCGACTCTTCAGCGGGCTATATGTGGCTGGCTGACCTCCGCTGGACTACTGCAACATCACCAGATAGTTGAGCTTGGCTAAGCTGAAAGCCAATTAGAACATTAGCCTTATCCTCATACTTATCTCAAGAATATACGAGCCTGAATATATTGCGGCATGGATCTGCAGTTTTGGCGAGTCATGCTCCTGCAGATTCCAGCTCTCCAAATTAACCGCCATGCTAAATACCTCATCTTTCGGGTCCATCCGGAGCTACAGTGCTGACCCACATTAGAACTGAACACGAGCACAATTATGCCAATCTGCACTCATCATCTGGAATACTAGTGCGCTGAAATGATCAATAATTGCAGCCACGAGACATCTGTAGGTTTCTATTGGCGGGTAGTCCTGCCGGTGGAAGGGGTATTCTCGCCATGGCCCTTTTCTGGTCTACTGTTCTTCTCTGAAACAGATCGTTCAAAACAATGCGTCAGAATTCCCACGTTTCATTCTTTTCGTATTGTTGAAACACATGTTTTTGTTACAGCGGTATTTCTGGCAACGCGTTAAAAACGGTTATTCAGTACTTCACTTTCTTTTCGGTGTCAACGTCAGACATAACCTCATGTCAAGACAATAATATCTATCTCAATAGAAGGACCGTTTCACTAATAGGGCCAACCAATTACAATTAATGTCTGCCTGCTGTCAAAACCATGTGACATCATACGAAAACCCCCCAGTTCCGATCTAAAAATACCCCAGGGCTGTGCCCACTAAACCCAACACAGTAAAGTGTGAAGGACCCCTGAAACCCCCGCGCCACAACCGGGCGGTGCCGCATATATCAACCACAACAGACAGCCTTATATTGCTGATTATCACTCAATAAGCAATCATCAATCAATACCAACCATTTCATTTCATTTCCCTTCCCTCTCATCGTAACAGTATACACTTCACCCATCATGTCCACCTACACCATCGTCAGCGGCGACTCATTATGGAAAATCTCCCAAGACCACGGCGTCACCCTCGACGCCCTCCGAGCAGCCAACCCGCAGATCACCAACCCAGATCTTATCTATCCGGGGCAAGAGCTGAACATCCCGGGGCCTGATCAGCCTCCTCCGGAAAGTCGCAGCATCCCGGGAGATGTCCCAGGCCAAGCTCCTCCTCCTCCTCCTTCTGCTCCTCCTGTTCACCTTGCCGTCTGTCCCCCAGGGCCGCCGGTTGTTCCAAGCGCTGCTGCTGCCGCTGCTGGAGCACCGCCCGCCATTCCCCCGCGTCCTCCGATGGCCCGTCCGCCGCCTCCGTGGATCAATGCCGGGAGACCGGGGTATAAGACTGTTGGGTACTTTACTAACTGGGTATGTTATAGCTTTACCTATTTGTATAAATCATTAGACTAATAAACGTGACAGGGCGTCTACGGCCGCAATTACCAACCTCAAGATATTCCTGCGGAGTATATCACTCACATTCTCTGTATGTCTGTTCCAATTCTATCATAGCGCTAGTCTAACATCAATAGATTCCTTCGCCAACATCCGCCCCACCGGCGAAGTGTACGTTTCACTCTTCCACTCCAAACCATCCACCAAGCTAACATTTAGAAATGCAGCTTCCTAACCGACACCTACTCCGACCTCGAAAAGCACTACCCAACCGACAGCTGGTCCGAACCCGGTACCAACGCCTACGGATGCATCAAGCAACTCTACCTCCTGAAACAACAACACCGCCACCTGAAAACCCTCCTTTCCATCGGCGGCTGGACCTACAGTCCCAACTTCGCCGCGCCAGCATCCACCCCGCGCGGCCGCGAAACCTTCGCCCGCAGCGCCGTGCACCTCCTCGCGGACCTGGGCTTCGACGGTATTGACATCGACTGGGAGTATCCAGCCGATGCATCGCAAGCGAAGGATTTTGTGCACCTTTTGCGGGATGTGAGGCGCGTGCTGGACGAGTACTCTGCCACCCATCTTGGCGGAAAGAGACTGTTATTGACGATCGCGGCGCCGTGCGGGCCGGACAATATCCAGAAATTGCGGATAGGCGATATGGATCCGTATCTTGATTTCTGGAATCTGATGTGTTATGATTTCAGCGGGAGTTGGGATAAGTGTTCCGGCCATATGGCGAATGTGTTCCACTCGGGGAGGGGGGAGATTACGCCGTTTTGTGCAGATGGGGCGGTGACGATGTATTTGAGGGGTGGGGTGAGGGATGCGAGGAAGCTTATATTTGGGTTGCCGTTGTATGGAAGGGCTTTTGAGGGGACGGATGGGCCTGGGAGCGGGTTCCAGGGTGTTGGGGAGGGGAGTTGGGAGAATGGGGTGTGGGATTATAAGGATTTGCCGTTGCAGGGGAGTCAGGAGGTGGTGGATGGGCGGTTGATGGCCAGTTGGTGTTTTGATCCGGCGAAGAGGAAGATGGTTAGTTATGATACGCCGGAGGTGGCCGGGATGAAGACGGAGTATATTGCCGGGAGGAGGTTGGGAGGAGCTATGTGGTGGGAGTTGAGTGGGGATCATCATGTTTCGCATGAGAGGAGCTTGGTTAAGGGGACTGCGGAGAGGTTGGGCAGGTTGGGTGGGTTGGATGGTACGGAGAATACGTTGTATTATCCGCTGAGTCGGTTTGAGAATTTGAGGAGAGGGTGTGTTTGATTCGGTCTATTTGTGATATATGGGTTATCAAGAGCAGGTCTTCTCTGGCTGGCTCTTCAGTATCCGGAAAAAATGCTGCCGGATCGTCTCTCCGTCTAATGTACATGTGAATGCTATCAGCCCGTCCGGTCGGATCACTACGAGTCTTCCTTTGCGTGGTTCCAGTTTGTAGGCGATGTGTGCTATCCCCCTCGCGTCGAAGTAGGTATCGCCGAAACCCGTCATCCCGAGCACCTCGTACGGCGAGCAGCCGGCTGAGCCGCACACTGTTAGCCAGGCAATGGCCGGGTGCATTGAAAGCTCTGGATGGCTATCCAAGTACTCCCGAAGAGGAAGTAAATCCGACTTCGCTGTCTCAATATCACCTCCTGTAAACACTACCGCAAGAAACTGGCACCGGTTCCGCAGAACTTGGTGCATCCGCACAGACTGGAATGTCCCTGGCATGGTCAACTCGGTATCCGGAGCCCGACTCCCCGGTTGAACTCCAATAGCCACCTCGGCAGATGGCTCCAAGGGTTGGTTGATCACGTTGGCCTCGTAGCTTATACCGAGACCCGTGTTGAATGGTGCAGCATCGTGGAATATCTCTCCGAGAAGAATATTCGGATCCGCGCTTCGATCCCCATCATACCAAACCGGCCATTTATGCGTCATCAATAGAGAGATGTCTCTATCATAGTTGAGTAACCTCTGCACGGCGGACTGGCGCTCGGTTGTGTAGGTGTCCAAGACCTCGGGATGAGATAGTCCGTGCACCTCCAAAGCCAGCTTCCATGCGAGGTTCACGGCATCATGGATACCAGTGTTCAGGCCTTGAGCGGCACCACTGCTGTGGGTGTGGGCTGCATCACCGCAGATGAAGACGCGATTGTTGTGCGTTGCAAAAGTTCGAGCCATGCGCTGGCCGATTTTGTATCTGACGATTCGTTAGTCGGACGTCTCGTGACATGCTTAGGTTTCTTACAATGTCCACCAATGCACTTCCTTGAACTTTAAATTAAAAGGCCGCAAGCACGCAATTGCTTCGTTCACAGCAACTTCCTCTGTTACTCCTTCCGGGTATTTGGCTGCTATCTCGGGTGTGTATGCGTAGCCGATACGGGTAGCGCCGTGGTCAAGAGGGGCCCAGAGGACATTCCCATGTGTTGTTGTTTCTATGGCCCTATGTGCAATCAGAACATGTTTAGATCACTATTTCAGGTCTACTTACCCATAGGCCCGATTTATGGGCATATTCGTCTCTACTATGCCATCGATACGAATCCACTGATCTTCTGATGAATCACCATCGAAGGGAATATTGGCATATCTGCGAACGAGACTATGGCCACCGTCTGCTCCAACAAGGTACTTACTAACAGTTCAATCAGAATCGCCCTTCCTATAATAGCACTTCGTGTGGAAAACATACCTTTTTACTGTCATCATGCCACCAGGTCCTGAGCAACGTACAGTCACCGGGTATTCACTACCGTCCAGACCAATTTCAAAGGCAACACACTCCATAGAACCATGATAAGTAACCTTTTCCTTATCTAGCCTCTTTCTCAATATATCCTCGGTGTACATTTGCCTTAGCACGAGGGCAAAATCAAACACTGTTCCTTGGATATTCTCCATGAAAGTCCATACTTTTCCTGGAAACCTACCCAGTCGGGTTAGCCGAAATAGTTGGAACAGACTGAGAGGTATACTTGCTGTCGCACTCCATCTTTGTATGTCACACTACTTCTGCAAGCAAATCCCTGTTGAAGCATTGGATGGACCAAGTCCAATTGATCGAGGAGTTCCAGCGTCCGTGGGAATAGGGTGATGGCGCGGCCGTAGCGGCCCTCTGGACTATTTTTGTCTTGCTTTTCCACAATGCAGACTGAAAGTTCGAAGCGGCTGAGTTGGTAGGCGAGGAGCAGGCCAACGGGGCCGCCGCCAATGATGGTTACATCGTAGGTTTCAGGGGAAGCCATTTTGCTGCTAGATGGTGCGGATGGTATAAGAAGTCTGTACAGCGTGCTGAGATGGAGATTAATATCATGTCGCTTTGTAGGAGTAAAGTGATGGTGGCATTCAAGACGATCGACGTTCGTGAGGGGTAAGATAGGAGAAGAATCCGGGGAGGGGTTGATAACAGAAGCATGACTAAGGGCGCCAGGGTCTGAACCGCGGCTCAGCAGCGACTTTTGTCTGATCCCCTTTTTTGCAGGTTAGACTTTGGTTCTATATCTGATCAGTGGCGCAAAGGCTTCCCGATGAAGTTAGTAACAAAGTGATGTGCTTCGCTGAGTATCTTGAGGGGCTTTCAACTCATACGAGGCTAAATCAAAGCAATGGGATGAGTAACGCCTGCTTGAACATCACAATCTCAAGCCATCGTTGAGCTTTTGAATGCCCTCATCCAAGGTCAACAGATTGTTTTGACTCTCATATAGAAACGCCGTCTCTAGAACTTGATGACATCCGTTTTTTCGGCTCCATCTTTGTGCACCTGTCTGAGCCAGCCGCTCAGATCAAAAGCCAGTCACGGCCCAAGTGACCAATTGAAAATATCCAGTGTGAAGGTTCTGTGCCGTCGCATCGCTGCCAGCGGTCTTCTATAATCTTGGAAGCATTAATCACATTCACACACTTGGTGTGTTCCCAGAAACTCTCCATATAAGTCCGCACGGACTCTCTTTGCTCTTGTCGTTGGCATTCCAGACCAGCAATGATTATAGGCCAGAGGATGCATCTGTATAAAGTCTCATCGTTTTGCAAACTTTCAATCGTGGCAAGCAACTCCTGTACCAGGTCCTCGAGTGGTAAATATTCCTTAGTGAGAGCTCCAAGGACACGTTTTCCGTAAATTAGGGCTCCTATTTTGTACGATTGTGCCAACGTGCAAAGGGAGCTTGTACCTCTTGGAGGGACGGTGCCTAGATATGGTAGCGACGAAGCCCATACGGAACAGTCGAATTGCTGGATGAAGTCTATCATCGACATGGTATCCTGAATGAAGTAGCTCCAGGTAGAGTCATCATGGCATTCGGAGCTGGCAATGGTGTCTCGTCGCGCAGAGAGATACCGTATAGCGTCCAGTAGGTATTCCGGACATCCAAGGAATGACTGCTCGACGGTCTCCTGAAATTGAGGGCCCTCAAGCAAATTAAACTGAGACAATAACTTTGGGCGTACAAATGTTCCACCCAAGGTCTCAATCCTAAGGTCAGATGATGCGTCAGTCACAGGAAATCAACACCTAAGGTGCTTCTTGCTTACGAGTAAATCTGACTGGCAAGAAAATTACGCAGATCCTCAATAGTTTGTCCGGAATCGTGCCAGGAAACAGCTTGCGAATCAGGTGTACTTGGCTCCATCAATCTTTTGGCACCTTCTAGGTGAACATTCCATCGATCACTTCCAGACTCCAGAAGATCGAGAAATACTAGGAGGAATATGCTTGCCACTGTCGTATCCTTGTTCCGTGATGTCGCATCGCCCAGGGCCTGCGCGATCCCTTGTATAGCTTGATATTTGAAGCGAAGCGCGTCGGCGTTTGCAATCATTTGATCGGATGATGCTTTGATGGTTAGATCATGGAACGAGCAATGTCTATTTACCCTGTGTCGCGCGGCAAGAGCCAGTACAGACTTGAGGAGAGTGTGGTCAAGCAGTGCGAGCGACATGAGGGCCCTAAGAGGGTTCCTATCACTATCATAGACGATGAAGAGCCCACATATGCTTTCATTATCTGATGCAGCGTTAGACATGTCTGTGTACAGCCCAACGAGAAGACTAACAATAATCCAAGTAGTACCTGGAAACTGCGTCCAGATTAGAGGCGGCAAAATCGCCTATGGTCGAGGGTATGCTAATTAAAGGCTCCAATGGGGCGACTGATTGGAAATAAGCGACTTATTGAATACTCAATAGGGTATGCAGCAGCTATACTTACCGTGACCTTCGGGAGACCGCACAACAGAAAGAGCAGACTCGGTCGCCGGTGCAAAACTACTATCCCTCGAGTCTGACTCTTTTCGAGACTTTGCCTTCTTAGCTGGACTAGCTGAATCGGTTGCCAGCGATACACCCCGCAGCTTCCCTCGTATCGCTAGGCCTTTGACCCATCTCAGAGGCCTAGAAGCAAAGCATTGATAGCCACTTGTCGCGCACTTAACACAAGGCGACTGAGACTGGTCGCAGCGAATCCGCCGACGCCGACATGTGTAGCACGGCTCCTCCATGACTCGTTGAGCGCGCAGTCTATAGTAGGCTGCGTAGCGACGCTGTCCTTACTGCGTGGCGAGGTTGTCGGGACCCCTCATCGAATGCCAATCCACCAATTTCGACGCCCAACGCACAGACAGGCAGTGATCTGCAGTCGCATAAAATTTGAGACATGCAGACTCAGTAGACATTAAAGTTGGTTGACAGGACTCTGATAGGACAGAGTGGGGATGTGAGATGGAAGAAGATCCAGCGAGGCCGGAAGCAACTCGTCAGAGATTCAATCTGGCCGCCCAAGTATCCCCGCCATCCAATCAAAACCCGTTCCGCGCCCCTTGGATGATCGGTCAATCAAAGACCACGCCATGACAGATACTCTCCTCATTCCTATTCCTACCTTGCATTTCACATTCCTCATTTCTCTCTGTGCGCAATAAGCAAAGGATGTGAATGAGTATATAAGTCTGCGTAAATCCCTCGTTGTTCTAGCCCGGTGCTTGGTTCGTCGCTCTTCCCTCCCTTCTATATACTACTCCTAGTAGGACTATATATCTTGTCAAGTCTCATATTAATCCAACACAATGGCACCGGTCGACGAGAAACCAGCCTCTCTCTGTAGGTCCGAGCCTCACGACACCCTGGAGGTCTCCTTGCTAAAGTATATCTATTCCCACCCCTCCCTGGCCCAAATCCGCGGCTGCCCATCCGCCCTACTCGCTCTCATCGACGAGTTCGCTGCAAAGCAAGCCTTCTTCATCAGCCTTGGCCCAGACAAAGCCAAGAAGCTTTCGACGCTTTTCGCAGACGAAAAGCCGAAGGTTGTCGTGGAGCTCGGCACCTATGTCGGCTACTCCGCCATCATGTTTGCAGACGCCATGCGGCAAGCCGCTGGTGGATCCTCGACAGGCCTCCGCTTGTGGAGTCTGGAAGCGGATCCTCTCATTGCATCTATCGCCATGAATTTTATTGAGTTGGCTGGACTGAGCGACATCGTGAAGGTCGTTGTCGGTCCGGCGGACGACTCGCTCAAGCGCCTGAGTGCGGAGGGAAAGCTCTCCAGTGTTGATCTCATGTTTATTGATCATATCAAGGAACTTTATGTTCCAGATTTGGAACTGTCTGAGCAGCTTGGGTTTCTTCACTCTGGCTCTTTGGTACTCGCAGATAATGTGGTGCACCCTGGTGCGCCGGCTTACCGCGAGTTTGTCCGCGGGAGCTCAAAGTATGAGAGCTGGGGGTTGAAATGTCTTCTCTTCCCTGAAGATATAGTCGTAAGTGTTTCCCGGTCGTTATTGCATGTTTATATGCACTAAACATGTATGTGTATCAGGACGAAATCGAAATCAGCAGAGTGAAATGAGATGCAGTCTATTTCACACACGACATCTAGGATACGAGATTATGACAGGATACGCGTGATAACTTCCACCATCTTAAATGTGCTAGGCAACCGCTGCGGTTATCCAGAAGTTTTCACTAAGATAGTGACATTCTTTCGGCACTTCATGCATGGCGCCCCACATAGTCAGATATTATTTAAATCTTTGCTCATCCATTCGTACAAACAATTCCGTAGACCTACTTCTGCGCATCCTTCATCTCCCCTCTCTCCCTCACCATCTGTGCAACCCCCTTCCCAACATCCGACTCCAACGCCTCAAACCCACTAACCACCCCCTCGCGGTCCCCTTTTCCCATCTCCTGACTCATCTTAAACTTGCCCTGCAATCGCTCAATCCTAATCTCAATACCAATAATATTCTTCTTCAAAATCTCCACATACGGCACCGGCGCATCCGACACCTTCCACGGCCCCGGCCGCCCCTCCGTCCCCGTATACCCCATAATAGACCCCTCACTCTGCTTCGTCAAATCCTCCACAGCCTTCTGCAAGAACGTCCCCGTCTCCTCGGACTTCGAGTCACAGTAAACCCGGATCTTGCCGTATGCTTGCGCAGCAGCATAGTTCCATGTGGGGACGACTTTCCCCGTGGCGGGCTTGGTCTCTGTGTAGAACTTTGGTGTGACGTAGTGGTGGTGTTCGGAGGTGAAGAGGACGAGGACTTCGTCTTCAAGTTCGAGAGACGTGTTGTTGCCGGTTTGTTGCTGCTGCGCTGCTAGTGCTTCCATCAGGGCCTTGGCCTGGGGGTTTTGTTTGGCCATGTGGCCGCGGAGAGTGCCATTGGGAATTGTGCCGTCTGATGAGTCTTCGGACGAGGGGACGTCGAGGATGAAGGGGATGTGGCTTGATTGGAGGAGGGGGTAGAGGGGAGATTTGATTGCTGTTGTGAGGATGCCGAGGGGGTTTTGGCGAATGAGTTGGTGGAGGGCTGGGATGTGGGATTCGGCGTGGATGGCGCGGAGGTACATTGTGGTTGTGGCGGTTCGAATGAGATACTGTTAAACGGATTTGAAGTATGGGCGTATGTTGGAACGATCGTGAGCGTAGTAGGAAGGGCAAGGGTTCTTATATTACCATCTAGTTCATGAGTTTATCTGCCGAGGAGTCATACTTTGTCTGTCAGCGCATCGGACAGTATGCTGATTGGACAGTCTCGCCGAGGAATAACATCACGTACTTAGTAGTACTGGCTAGTACTAGATGTAGACCCCTCTTGGCTTGTGCGGAAACATCATTACTATCTCCTCGGAATTCGGAAATTGAGTGGATGAGCAATCTGGTGGGTACTAGATAGTAGTACGTGCCTCAGCATTGCGGCACGTGGTCCATAGCCACCAATTGAAGCCTTATCATCGGATTTTAATGTCCGTTCCTACACGTGCAAGTCATTTCAGAGTCATTTGGCCAATACCTCTGGCATTGGATTCTAGAATATGGAAAATGTCTGTGACTGTAAAAGTGGCGGGGCCACATCTCCCGAACCAATTAAAGGCTTTTGTCCTCTCCAAAACTTTGCCTATTTAGGAACTTGAGGGGAGTGGGGCGGGATCCCCGCCACAGAAAGAAGATGGAATCACTGTAGGGCAGAACCCAAAAGTAGTCGACTCACTCTCTGTCTATATAAGGGATTCATTTCACGTTTTGCTATTATCTTTGTTTGGGCCCTCTTCATTGTGGATTACCCTCAAGGCTTACCACCAATTCAGAAACCTATAAGCAGACGAGCAAGATGGCTCCTTCTAACCTTCACCATCCCTCGACTCGAGCGCTGCATGCAGATGATCACCTTAACAGGGTGACAGATGTCGCACCTCCGATCCATCTGTCTACAACCTTCAGATTTCCCGATAATCCAGATGATTTGATCCCGTCGGTTGACCCTGTGGTATGTTTACGGATCAGCCAGCGCACACTTCTTCATACAACAACGACCCCACGACTAACAGCATTATCAGGAAGAGTTCGACGGCAAGAACTACATTTACTCGAGGGAGTTCGCACCTAACGCAACTCGATTCGAAGCTGTCGTTTCGTCACTTCTCAACGGCCGGGCCATCAGCTATTCGACCGGTCTCGCTGCCCTCCAGGCCGCTCTAGTCCTCCTGAACCCCCGCCGCATCTCAGTCGGTGAAGGCTACCACGGCAGTCATGAGGTCATCTCTGTTGTCTCCCGATTGTCAGGGCTGCAGAAGCTACCGCTCGATTGCCCTGCTGATGCTCTTGACAAAGGCGATGTCATCCTCCTGGAAACCCCCGTCAATCCGCTCGGAACTTCGTTTAGTATTGATGAATTCGCTAAGAAGGCCCACTCCAGAGGCGCTTATCTGGTGGTAGATAGCACCTTCGGACCTCCTGGCCTTCAGGATCCCTTCCGGTGGGGCGCTGACCTCGTTCTTCATTCGGGATCCAAGTATTTCGGAGGCCATAGTGACCTTCTATGTGGCGTACTCGCTACTCAGCGCAAAGACTGGGAAAAGCAGCTGCTGGAAGATAGAGTCGCATTGGGCAATGTCATTGGCAACCTGGAGGCATGGCTTGGACTCCGCAGTCTACGCACCCTGGAGGTTCGTGTCCAACGAGCGAGTCAGGGCTGCGGGAGTCTAGTTTCCTGGCTTCATAAGGCTTTGTCGACTCCTTCTACTGCCGCTGGAAGTGATGAACAAATAGTCCAGTCTGTTGTCAAGAAAATCTACCATACCAGCCTGCAGGAGGAGCCGTGGATCCAGGAGCAGATGCCTAACGGGTTTGGTCCTGTCTTTTCGATTGTCCTTCAAAGTGAAAAGTATGCGCAAAGATTACCTAGCAAGTTGGCTTTCTTCCAACACGCCACGAGTCTGGGCGGTGTTGAGTCTTTGATCGAATGGCGCGCATTATCGGATTCCCGCGTGGACCGGAAGTTGCTGCGACTGAGTATCGGGTTGGAGAATTGGGTAGATTTGAAGAATGATTTGCTGGAGGGGTTTAAGGCGCTTTTGCAGGAATGATATGCACAGAGGATGGAAATGTATATAGAAACATGTTTGATGGAGACACTAGTGAGTTAATGCAAGCACCATGACAGAAAGTGCAATTGAGGTATTACTTTGTAAACCTAATTACTTAAGAGGAGGCCTTTGCGCTGGTATGGTCACTGTATGTATAAAAGCAAGGGTATAAACCAACGTCGACGTCCCCAGTGATTGGAGCAGCTGCAAAGCTAGTGGTCTTCTGCCTTGGTCTCGGTATCTAGTTAGTTCTACTGTTGGTGGGAACATGACGTCGTTGGGTTCTTCTGTCCTCCGCAGAATCAATGTCACGTCGAAGATTCTAATATTTTGGCATGGCTGCAAAATGCATCCGACCTGAGACCAAACGAGACTCCAGGAGTTGATGTATCAAGTACCATGTCCCAGGGGGCGACAGGGATGAGTCGATGTTTGACTCTCAGATCAGGCAAACCAAGTGAGCAACTGCCCAGATAGGCAAGTCTATCTGGTGACTAAGCCAGACCCTTGTTTGGGGGGGAATGGGTAAATTACCGTGTTGTAACGCAGTATACTACTGCAACAAGAACCGAACCCACTCGTAGAACCTCATGGGGATGGATACTATGAAAGACAATGTTGGTGATCATCACGAAGAGACCTGGAAAGGGATGGAGGCTCACCGTATAAGTCGACTCCTCTCTGTCAGAAAGCCACCTGGCCCCCTCGCTCACAGCCGTTGTGCCGTCGTATCGAGAGATAGCCGCCGGTACACATACATAGTTAGTAGTTACTATGCTTAGGTACAATTTGGATGCGGTGTTACCTTAGCGGCATCAATCAAACGCGGCGACAGATGTGCTTGGATAATTTAGTCTTTACTGACTGATCCCGGATTTGCTGGCAAATTCTTTTTCCCTGAAAGTATCTTGAGAGGATTGTGAATTCCTGGAATACTACCTGGTTATTTTGTATGTAGCTAAGAACGAACTCTGCATAAGAGCGAGTACTAAAACTACTCATGGAGCACCGCAAACAGGGCGGACAGTCTCAAAGCGGGCCACTTCTGGCCGGTCCAGGCTCTCTTTTTCCCTTTTTCCCTGGCATCCAAAATTAGCAACTTTTAGGGACCGTCAAAACGAGGGAAGACAATCCCCATACCTTCCTTACCTGCTCAATACGTGAAATTAAATTACTTAATTTGTCGCAGGAAGGAGCAGCAGCGAAGCCCAGAACAAAAACCATCCACCATGACTCTTCTTCCATCGGTTCCTTGCAGCGTCGTTCTTTGTCTCCTTCTCTTCTTCTCTTCCCTTCCATCTCCCTTCTTTCTTACCCTGAATCCAGGGTCGTGATCGTGTCCTTCAACAGCAGGGGGGCGCAATCCCGTTCCCGCCGGGCGCATTTTCCTTATCTTAGGTTTGCACCGACGTAAACGTTGTCCCCGGCTGACCATTATTGACTTCCCACCCCCTCACCCTCACTCTTTCAACGGGTCTCCCCCGGCAAGGCTCGTTTCCCTGAACGGCACTTGGCCGCGCTTTTATTGCTTCGGATCTTGCTGAAAATGGCCTACAACGCCGTTTCTCAGGCCGACCACGAGGTGGCATCCAATGCGACCGATTCGGACCATTCCCGCAGTCCGTCGCCGCACTCTCAGCACAATGGTCACTTCCAGCAGTTGCCGCTGGACGCCGACCACATCGGGGCGGGCTCATACCTCCAACCCGCCAAGTCGAATGAAGACTCGGGCGTCAAGAGACTGGGCTCTATGATTCGATCGATGACCTCAACCAGCTATGATATAGTGGAGGAAGATGACTACGAACTGCCTGCCGATCCTTCTGCGGACCAGAGTTCCAATAGTCCCCGTTACGTCCCTCCGCTAAGGACAGTCCCTCAGACTAGTTCTACGACTACCACCGCTACCGATGCCCACACCCCTGAACCGGCCCTGCGGACTCCAGTCACCGACCAGCCGGTCCCTCTCAGTCATCCTACGCCCGACCTTCAATCGCTGCAAGGAGCCTACATCAATAATGTAGAGCGGCTTGAAAGGAGCGCTGAACGCATGAGCCTGAGTTCCAATATCGGGGACGAAATTCGCAAAATGGACCAGGAACAAAAGCGACGCTCTAGTTCGGCCTCCAATTCCACTCACGCCAGCAATTACGACGGCCTCAAAACAAGTCTGTCGTCTCGCCACGGCTCCATACAGTCCTCCCGTTTGGCACAGGTTGCAGAACACGCCCCTACCCGATTCTACGGCGATTCGACCACTCGAGTTCCTGCGATGCCCTACCTTCCTCCTCCCCCCGCGCCGGCTGCGCACAGCGAGCACGACTTTGTCCAGCAGGATTACTACGACCAGGAGCTGGGAGAAGAGCTCGAACGGACATATACGGCGGCTTCCACCGATACATATCAACAGGCTAGGGTCCTCTTCAACGACTTTGATGGCGTGCATTATGTTCCGAATGAGAATCATCTGGGCCGACGAGTGTCGCTGACGCGACCACCTTTGGCAAGCAGATCCGAGGCATACAAGGAGCCGCAGGCAGGTGAGAATATGGTTTACTACCCTGCCCCTGTGCCAAGGATGTTGAATCTACCACCTCGCTTGTCGCAGAAAAATGATCAACCACGAGGCAAACGTCGTTCACAGCTCCTTGGTGTGCTCGCTGCCAAAAACCGCAAGTCCACACAGTTAGCCGCTGGTCAAGATCTGGGCGATGGTAGTGAGTCAAGTCATAACAACCAGCCGACAAGCGTACCTCCTCAACTGCGCGCGAGTATGTTTTTCGAGCAACCAGCTAGAGCCGTTGATGTAGAGGTCACCCAGGCTTCTGCAGTGGCAACACTAGACAACATCCTTGATGCTTCGACGACTGCACCCGTCAGTGCATTCACGGGGCAATTGGACCCCAAAGGATTCAGTCAAGCAAGCCGCAAACTATCTTCGAGGGATTTGACAGAGCAGCGAAAGACACTGAACTCCACAAGTATGCTTGGGCTTGACCATCGCTTATCCGATCCGGATCTTAAAGATGTGCCTCTTGGTTCGAGTCGCTTACACAACCAAACTGAAGGCGAGGCTGCAGATGTGCATGAAGGCACATCTTTACGGGATGACAACCAAGACGGGCTTGGCGGTCCTGATGCTCCCGAAGCCGATGGGGAAGAGCACAATCACGAAGAGCCTGAAGCTGATTACACCGGGCCCCCCAACACGCTGCTGGCCGAGCTAGAATATCGAAAGAGCGAATTGAAACAACGACTGCGATCGGCCCCCGAGACTACGGCGTTGCACTCGACTCTTCTCCAGCTCGAAGCGGTTGCGCAGAAGCAGAGTGAACATCGACGGCAAAGACCAGTGACCTTGGCATGGGAAGCCCCAGATGCTCATCCCCAAGAAGGTGACGATGACGATGATGTGCCCCTGGGCATGCTGTTTCCCGACAAGGCGAATGCGGTCACTGAGGTGCGTCCGTTGGGATTGATGGAAAGAAGGGAACTGGAAGAGTCGGAGCCTCTCAGTAGGCGCCGTGCCAGACTCCGGGGTGAGCCCGCCCCGCGCAGCCCTGAAAGGCGCCCGGCCACCATGTATTCCACGGGCGCACCAGACGATCAGCCGCAAGAAGATAGTGGTGACGAAGGCGAGACTTTAGCCCAACGCTTGAAGCGGCTCAAAGAAAAGGACCAGCCGAGTGCACCCGCCGACAGTGATTTTGCGAACGAGATTTTGGCGGAGATCAAACATGTGGGGGACGATGAAGAGGCCGCCCAAGAGAAGGAAACGCCACCGGAAGATGAAACTCTGGCCCAACGTCGAGCTCGCCTGCAGAAGGAGGCTGAGGCTGAGGCCCGACAAAACTCCACATTGAAGATCCCCCGGTACCGAAGAAGTATGGCAGACATCCTTCACGCTCGACGTCCCACTACTGTTGGACGGCAGTCGACAATGCGCACTGCAGCGCCTCAGCCAATGCCTCAGCGCACACTGGACCATCGAATGTCTCTCCAGCAGTTTCCATCGAATTATGGGCCGATGCCGGGTGCTGGGTATGCCCAATACCAGGGGCCCGCCGGCACGGTACCATATGGCCCCGGAATGGTGCATCCCAATACCTTCTACAGCGATGCATTACTAGGCATGAACCATCTCAGTTATGCTGTGCCGCCTAAAGCGAAGATGGTCCGACCGGTCAATGAACCGGGGCAGCGGGAGATTATCGACCGCTGGCGACAGAGCATCGTCTAAAACAATCTTTCTTTGCTTCCATTCTTTACACTTATTTCTGCTTCAGCATATTAGCCGATCGATATTCCATTTTCATCTGTTAGGGCAATTTGGTTATCGGGTACATCTACAGGTGTTTTAGCGCATCTTGCTAGCATGAGTTGAAAGCATGAGCGATTGCGTGGTGTTGATTTCGAGTTAGATTAGCGGAACATTTCCCAGTTGTACTTATAGTAGCATGCGGGTCATCTTAGTCGCCCTGTCAGAGGTGACGATCTTTGCCTATGGAAACGAGCAAATTATTGGGTCTTCTATCCTGTAGGAGAGTGTCTAGCATCGTAGATATAGAACGGTACTATGTGCAATGGTTGGCATTAACCTTGGATGAATGGTGTGCATTATTTATCTCGTCGTCACTTTCTCAATGCCCAGTAGGAACTCAATATGGAGGGCACTAAGTACTAAATATAACTGTTTTTTTCTCTTTCCAACTCTAATTCCAGACTTATCCGTTTGCGGTTGCGCATTCCTGCTGGCTGGTCCGTTCCTGACTGGCCGACTGTCTCGTAGTGCTTTTCCTTCCCCCCTCTTCGGCCTCTTTTGCTTATCAGGAGACTCATTCCATCCCCTACGTCGGTCGGTCTCACCCAAAACACCTTCCCACCATTGGTAGACCTATTTCTGTTTTATGACGATCGTTGCTTGAATCTGCTGCGTCTCCTCAAACCCACCGCATTAACTCATTAAACCCTCCGTCTCGATTTCGCGCGCGTTCCCCTGGGATTGGCCCGCCCTCGTCGCCCGGATGAGACATTGCCCCACGCCGCAACCTTGATCTTCCTCTTCTACTCCGCAGAGCTGTCAAGGCCAGTGTGAACTTCGAGAAGCGCCAACCCATACGCATTGCGACCATCAGGAACAATGGGCAAGGTTTTCGCATCCTGAACGCCTACTCGGACGCGCCCTGGGTGCTTCGGGCTGATCCTCTAAACACCATGCCACCCTCCACCGTTTTCGCCTACTGGCGTCGCGAGCATCGCCGATCGAGCGCTTCCCCCGTCTCGCCCTCCTTACAGCCCACCTCCAAAGCACCGGTCACTAGCAACCCTCCTCAACTACCGGGACTGTCTAGCACAAGGCCGAATAATCTCACTGCGCTTGGGGCATCTTCTGTGGAGAGCTCAAGTCCGCAGGTCCCGAACAATCCCCATGAGGACTACTATGATGCAACGAAAAAAACCATCGCCGTATCCGTCGCCCCGGCCAATGCGCCAGGCTCCTCTTCAGCAAACCTCGCAATTCCCTCCTCTTCCTCCGACAGCCACACCCGACCTCTTTCAATCTCCGACGAGCAAGATGTTACAACCACCACTTCGCAGTCGAACTACTCCCAATCGTCCATTGCCCCGCCGCGTTCAGATCAGAGCGACGGCGATTCTCCGAAGCCAAGCTCCCCGTTTCGACTGTCCTTGGGCAAATCCCTCCTGAACTCCCATAATCTCACTTCCGATCATTATAACAAACGCTCATCGACTCCGGGGTTGTCATCTTCCGGTCATTTCCGATTTAGAACTTCTCCCGATATCTCCCCGGGCGACCGGATGGCTTCGTCACACAAGGACAAGGACAAGGAATACAAGTATGAAGGTGCGGGCAATCGCCGTTCCGCAGACCGGGACGGTTCGTCGGAACAGGCACATCATAAGTCAGGGAGGACTCGGCTTCACTTGCTGAACCCTATGTCTCTATTGGCCAGAAGGCGTTCTTCCAACCTGGCTAGTCTGCGGACAGAAGACACTAGAGTCGGTGCTCGCAATATAGTTCCGGCTATACCGGACGATTATGATCCTAGAATTCGCGGCAATATTGTTCACGACTTCTCTGCTCCTCGTCCGCGTCGGAACCTGTCAACGGCGCCTATTCTTATGCATGACGTGAATAACCAATCGAGCTCGGCAGATGTGGCCTACAATGCAACTGGGAACTTTGCGCACGGCAATGACCAGAGTGCCCAGTCAGGCGAGCAACGGAAGAGACACACACAGTACTCCCCTGTTTTCAGAGAACACTTCGAGGACGATCAGAAGGTGTTGCAAGTCGAGAGCAAGGCATATCTGCAGTCATCATTACTGACAGCGCAAGCCAATGCTGAAAATGATCCACATACGCTTCCCGTATTTGCACGAAAGTTGCCGTCAAAGATACCGGAGCAAGAAGTGTCGCCTGAGGTGCCAAGCGACCAGAAGACCCAGAAGCAAGACAGCCAACATAGCCCACATAACAATTCTAGAGAATCAGCACAAGAAGATACCGATACGATCGAGGTCATACCACATCAGCCATCCGGCTTGCCTAAACACCTGAAAAGCAATGCCTCCAGATTTAGTTTCGATATGAACGGCGTCGAATCCTCCGCCCAGGAGAAACTGTTAGAAGAGAAACATAAGGAGAAGGAGGCTGCAAGAAGAGCCAAGGCACGCATGGAAGGCACAAGTTTCAGTGACGGTGAAGACGATTTCGACGAAGATCTGCTCGATGATATGGATGATCTGGAAGAGAAGATACCCGGTGTTAATGTTGATGCTGACGAGGATGATGACTTTTCTGGCTTTTCCGGGCCGGGCAATGCACTCAACAAGCCTTGGCTTGCTCCTGAACTCTCACCAATCATTGCTAGTCCGCTTCCAACTGGAAGCACGAATTCCCAGAATGTACAAGAACCGGCCCAGGGGCCGTTGGCAGGCATCTCTGCTCCTTTACCCGTATCTGATCCCGCTGTCTCTGATGTCACGACCAATTTCCAGGCTTTATCAGTGGCAACAAATGCTCCCAATAATGGACCACAGGTTGCTATGGGTTCACATCCTCCGGCTCCGCAGCCAATAGAAGATGACGACGACCTCTACTTTGATGACGGCGAGTTTGGTGATCTGTCCACAGAGGACATGGGCGAGAAATTTGACGAGTCCATTTTCGACGATGAGACGAGTCACCTGTACGAGCGGAAGCCAGTGGTGCAGCAACCTGTTCCTGCACCTGCGCCGCCCGACAACGGGACCGAGAGCACTAATCCACTGGATGTTACCGCGGAACACGACGAGTTTACACCAGAGCCAGACTACGATGGCGGACTTAGGCATGTTCCTAGCATGGCAAGCGATTATCGAAAGGGGTCGATTAGAGTCTACGGACAAACGCGTGAGAGCTTGACTGATCTGGGGTCAGCAAAGGCTCATGGTGGGGTGCTTTCCGAGCACAACCTCGAAGCTTTCCACAATGCATTGGCCAAAGCCGCCAGTGAAGCGGCTGCAAGTGACAGGTTCGGGCGCGAGGCCAGCATCAGCGAGCGGTCGTTGGGCCAAGAAAGCATCGCGCAGACCATGGACACACCTTCAGGCCTCATTTCCGACGACAGTCGCTTGAGCCAGACGGTGGATATGGCTGCATTTGAAGAAGTCTTCGAAGACTTCAGCTACGATGACAACGATGATGCACTTTTTGACGACCCCATCATTGCAGCAGCGAACGCGGAAGCCCTGGAAAACGACGATGAGGGATTTTATGGTCAAGAGTTCGGGTTCTACGCACAAGCACATGGTGGCTGCAACGGTGAGCTCACCAACGGTGGCTACTTTGGTCCACGAGGGGTCGAGGGCGTCAATCGTAGCTTCAGTAGTCGGGGCAAATTTCGAGAGCCAAGCTTGACCCCTATCACGGAACGCAGTGAATGGAGCACGCGGAACTCGGTCATCTCGTTGACAGCTCATGGTGCTGCTCACTCCAACCCTATCGCAAGCCCAGGCTTGGCTCAGCTGGTCGACCTTGGCGCTATGGATGACGAGATGTCTCTAAGCGCTTTAATGAAGCTCCGACGTGGTGCCTGGGGTGGAAGCAACGGCAGTCTACGCAGCAGTAGTGGCAGTCCCCCACTTCTACACTCGACGTCGAACCGAGCGAGCTTCATCTCCGATGCCAGCCCCACGGTATATACAGCGCCTCCCGATGCGTTTGGCGGGAGTGCGACTGAGTCTCCCATCCGGGAATCGGACAAGTTCAGGTGGTCGCTGAACAATACGGAGCAACGTGTGGGACAGTCAGCAGCGGGCGAGAGAGAGCCTTAGAGCTGCAATCATTCGAATCGACTGGTCCTTCATCGGTCATACGCACCAAAGGTGGCCGGGAGTCAGTCAGAAGGGCGCACGCGTGTGACCAGCCCGGCTGCAGATCCCGGCAACAGGTTCGTCGGGCCAATCGGTAAAAGGATGAGAGTATATATATAACGCATATTGGTATTTTTATTGGTTTGCTTACCCACAGGAGTTCAAGGGACCTGACATATATTATGAATGTAATGCCTGATATATAATGCTTTACTGTCCCGATCAAAGCGATCTGTGGTCTTTATGATATCTGATGACTTGAAAAGGCGGATGGGCGGGGGACGGAAGGCTAGACAAGGATGATGTTTGCATATAGTACTAGTACAGCTTGGGGAGGTAATAATATAACTATCTTGATGCTGGTTGGCCTTTTGTGACATGGCTGCGGGGAGTCGTGGTCCGCTTCCATTTGTACGAGGTCCGGAGCATAACCAGAACGGTGCCCAGGCCCCCGGGAGCATTCAGGGGAATGACAGCCCCTTCATTCATACTCCAGACTTACAGAACAACTCAAATAGTCTCCTCCGTACTAGTAAATTCAGCTCTCATCCCTGAGAATCAACCCGAGGATGATTGGTCCACGTGCCCACCCGCAAAGTCCCGGAGCGGGAAATGCTCATAACCGGGCTGTGGCGGTGCAGAAATTGGAAGTAATTGGGAAGCCAACTTGCAGTTGCTGTACCCGCAACCGGGAAGTTCGGCCCGCCCTGCGTTTTTCTCGGTTGCAGGGCACGGAATGACTAATGTGTGGCGACGCTCGAAGTTACAGTGTAAGGACATAGTAACTCGTAGTCACTAGTAAGTAACTCTGGTGTCTTTGTGTTCGTCTCAGCCACAGCCTGCTCGCTGGCCGTCATAGCCGTAGATCTCGGCAAACCTCAACTTGTTCCGTTCCTCCCAAGGCCCATCTTGCTCTCCCATCTCCTTCTCCATTCTTCTCCTCATACTTACGAGGTTGTCCTCTATATTCCACCCTCTCCTCTCTCCCCCCCACTACTTCGATCAAAGAGAGTGCTTTTGCTCTCTGATGAGTCCCGTTTTGTTACAGGTGCTACGGCAATCTTAGTCGACACCTGTGTTTTTTCTCGCTCCCCTACAAACCGTGCGTGTTCCTTTCATCCGCCTCGAGAAAAATCCCGCAGCTTTAACAACCGGTCCCCGTCAAACTAACCCGCGATTTCTATCTGCCAGAGTTCTCGAGATAATTCGCCGTGTCGTATATCTCGTTCGCCTTTTCATCGTTGAGCTCATAGCATATTAAATTTCAGCTCGCATTACGCCATAGAAAAATTGCCGCGATGTTTCGTTCTACTGCCGTTAAGGCCACCAGCGGCCTGCGCAGTCCGGCCTGCTCTTCTTGCAGGAGATCGCTCTCTCTTGCTTCTACTGCCAGATCTGCTGCCAACCGCAGCTCAAAACTCGGCCTGACCACGAGACGTCCTCTCGCTCTCGTCGACCGCTTGTCCAACAAGAGGCACTATGCTGCGCCCGCCGAGGGTGTGGTAAGCAATTCCCCTGCACAAGAGTCGTCCACGCTTTTTTGGCTTGGTATGTTTCCAGTCTGAAAGCCAGTTAACTGACATTTCGCTTTTTGTTTCGCGCTTTAGGATGCCAATGACTCTTTCCTCTCCGGAAACACCGCCAACTACGTCGATGAGATGTACGTCGCATGGAAGAGAGATCCCTCCAGCGTGCACATCTCATGGCAAACGTATTTCAAGAACATGGAGGAGGGCAACATGCCCGTCTCCCAGGCTTTCCAGCCTCCTCCGACTCTCGTCCCTACCCCTACCGGTGGTGTTCCTCAGGAGATGCCCGGCGCAGGCCTGTCTTTTGCGGCCGGTACCGATGTCACGAATCACCTGAAGGTTCAGCTCCTGGTCCGCGCTTACCAGGCTCGTGGTCACCACAAGGCCAAGATCGATCCTCTTGGTATCCGCGGTGAGGCCGAGGCCTTCGGTTACAACAAGCCCAAGGAGCTCGAGCTGGACCACTACGGATTCACTGAGCGCGATCTGGACCAGGAGTTCAACCTTGGACCCGGTATCTTGCCCCGCTTCGCCACTGAGGGACGCAAGAAGATGACCCTGCGCGAGATCATTTCCACCTGCGAGAAGATCTACTGCGGCTCCTACGGTGTGGAGTACATCCACATCCCCGACCGTAAGCCGTGCGACTGGATTCGCGACCGCTTCGAGGTTCCCGAGCCCTACAAGTACTCTGTCGATGACAAGCGCCGCATCCTCGACCGCCTGATCTGGTCCCACAGCTTCGAGTCCTTCCTTGCGACCAAGTTCCCCAACGACAAGCGTTTCGGTCTGGAGGGTTGTGAGACCCTTGTGCCTGGTATGAAGGCCCTCATCGACCGCAGTGTCGACTACGGTATCAAGGACATCGTCATTGGTATGCCTCACCGTGGTCGTCTGAACGTCCTTTCCAACGTCGTCCGTAAGCCCAACGAGTCCATCTTCAGTGAGTTCGCTGGTTCCGCCGAGCCCTCTGACGAGGGATCCGGTGATGTCAAGTACCACTTGGGTATGAACTTTGAGCGCCCTACCCCCTCGGGTAAGCGTGTCCAGCTTTCTCTGGTCGCCAACCCCTCTCACTTGGAGGCCGAGGACCCCGTCGTTCTCGGAAAGACCCGCTCCATCCAGCACTACAACAAGGATGAGCAGAACTTCGACTCGGCCATGGGTGTTCTGTTGCACGGTGATGCCGCTTTTGCCGCCCAGGGTATCGTCTACGAGACCATGGGATTCCACTCTCTCCCCGCCTACTCCACCGGTGGTACCATCCACATCGTTGTGAACAACCAGATCGGTTTCACCACTGACCCTCGCTTCGCCCGCTCCACCCCTTACTGCTCGGACATTGCCAAGTCCATTGACGCTCCTGTCTTCCACGTGAACGCGGATGACGTTGAGGCGGTCAACTACGTCTGCCAGGTTGCTGCCGACTGGCGTGCCGAGTTCAAGCGTGACGTTGTCATCGACATCGTCTGCTACCGTAAGCAGGGTCACAACGAGACCGACCAGCCCTCTTTCACTCAGCCTCTGATGTACAAGCGCATTGCTCAGCAGAAGAGCCAGCTTGACAAGTACGTCAACAAGCTGATCGAGGAGGGTACCTTCACCAAGGAGGACATCGATGAGCACAAGAAGTGGGTCTGGGGCATGCTGAACGACAGCTTCGACCGCAGCAAGGACTACCAGCCCACCAGCAAGGAGTGGCTGACCTCCGCCTGGAACGGTTTCAAGACCCCCAAGGAGCTTGCCACCGAGGTTCTGCCTCACCTCCCCACTGGTGTTGAGGGTCCTCTGCTGAAGGACGTTGCTGATAAGATCAGCGGTGGTGGTAGCCCGGAGGGCTTCACCCTCCACAAGAACCTCAAGCGTATCTTGGCTAACCGCAAGAAGGCCGTCGATGAGGGCCAGGGTATTGACTGGGCTACTGCTGAGGCTCTTGCTTTCGGCTCCCTTGTGTCCGAGGGTTACCACGTCCGTGTCTCCGGTCAGGATGTCGAGCGTGGTACTTTCTCCCAGCGCCACGCCGTCCTGCACGACCAGGAGAACGAGGGCACCTACACTCCTCTGCAGAACATCTCTGAGAACCAGGGAAGCTTCGTTATCTCCAACTCCTCCCTCAGTGAATTCGGAGCGTAAGTTTTCACATATTACCTGGTGTATACTAAAGCTAATCTTTGGACAGTCTTGGTTTCGAATACGGTTACTCTTTGACCTCCCCCAATGCCCTCGTCATGTGGGAGGCTCAGTTTGGTGACTTTGCCAACAACGCTCAGTGTATCATTGATCAGTTCATTGCTGCTGGAGAGTCCAAGTGGCTGCAGCGCTCCGGTCTGGTTGTTTCTCTTCCCCACGGTTACGATGGCCAGGGTCCTGAGCACTCTTCCGGTAGAATGGAGCGTTGGTTGCAGCTCTGCAATGAGGAGCCCCGTGTCTTCCCCGAGGGTGACAAGCTCGACCGCCAGCACCAGGACTGCAACATGCAGATCGTCTGCATGACCAGCCCTGCCAACCTGTTCCACGTTCTGCGTCGCCAGATCCACCGCCAGTTCCGCAAGCGTATGTGACCCTTAAAGTCTCCCGTACAAGTATAGTGCTAACCTTTGTGCCAGCCCTTGTGATCTTCTTCTCCAAGTCCCTGCTCCGTCACCCTCTTGCTCGCTCTGACATCGAGAGCTTCACCGGCGACTCCCACTTCCAGTGGATCATCCCCGACCCCGCCCACGGCAAGGAGATCGATGAGCCCGAGAAGATTGAGCGTGTTATCCTGTGCTCTGGCCAGGTTTACGCTGCTCTTACCAAGCACCGTGAAGCCCACGGCATCCGCAACACCGCCATCACCCGTGTTGAGCAGCTGCACCCCTTCCCTTGGGCTCAGCTGAAGGAGAACCTGGACAGCTACCCCAACGCCCGCAACATCGTCTGGGCCCAGGAGGAGCCTCTGAACGCCGGTGCCTGGAGCTACACCCAGCCCCGTATCGAGACTCTGCTGAACGAGACCGAGCACCACAACCGCCGTCACGTTCTCTACGCCGGTCGCGCTCCCAGCGCTTCCGTCGCCACTGGTCTCAAGTCTGTCCATCTCAAGGAGGAGCAGGAGTTCCTTCAGGATGCTTTCACTGTCCACCAGGAGCGCCTCAAGGGCGAGTAAATGATGTCGTTGTAAGAGTGTGTTTGGGTTGGGGAGTCAGCGTTGGCTCGTTCTGGTCTTCTTTGTATGATTTTCCTTTGTTCAGCAGCATAGTGTACGATGATTATACTACAGTTCATGCTTAAGTGTTTCCGGGCTTTGGGTCTCGTTTCTTTGGCACATTGTTTCGTGATCTAGCCTGCCGATACCTAGCATGTGCTTCGTGCACGCGTGTAAATTAAGAACCTCGATATAATTTCAGTTTCTTTGGATAAGTGCAATTGCATAGTAAGCTACATTGTATTCCGAGGGATGTTCTGTTTTTCTCAAATATTTCAATCGTCCTTGCTTCATAAGGCCAAAAAGAGTGGCAAAATCAACAATTACGGGGCAATGGCGCATCTGGGAGCGCGTCAGACTGAAGATCTGGAGGTGGCCGGTTCAAGCCCGGCTTGCCCCATTCCTTTTTTCCTCAATTAATTTTTGATGTGGGCGCCGTATCTTCCGTTATACACCAGTTGATAGCTCGACTTGAGATTGAGATTGTATTTATAGGATAGGTGACGTCACGGCAACCTTATCTGCGCGTCTTTGTCAGCCGAGTTCAGTGCCTGGCTCTGCAGGCACCAATCACCTGATGAATGATGGGCTCTGCCGGGTCTTTCTCCGCACTGCAAGCCTCCCATCGCTCCAACTCTCGTTTCCCACCCCAATTTTTCCTGTTTCGTCTGTCCATGTTCCATCTGTTGAGCCATCGATCTCCCAGTATCTCTGAGTGCTTCTTGTTCCCTGATTGAGTCGGACTTTCTGTCCGACTGTGCCTTTCCTTTTTACCCATCATGTCTGCCGTTGCTTCGTCGGCCGTCAACTCTCAGGGTCAGAGCGCTCGTCAGTCAACGCGCCAGACGAGGACGAACCCATCTCGCACGTCGAAGACACTAGGCCGCTCGTCCTTCGCTTATGGTCATGGCTCGATGACAGATACACCTTCTGCGACCCCGGTTGCTCATGGCTTCTACCCTGCTCTCACGCATTTCACTGACGCCATTACGGCCCTCCCGAGGGAATTCCGTCGTCATAATTCGTTGTTGAAGGAGGTGGATGCGAAGGCCTGGGCCCTCGAGGATAATCTGCTGCAATTGCTGAAGTCTGCTTCTGAATCTCAGCCTGTGCCGTACCCCTCTACTCCAGTAGGTAGTTCTCTGCTTGGCGCCCTCGTTGTGGGTCATACAGTGGTCTGCGGGGATAAACTATCTACAATAGTGGTGGTTGTGCCTGTGCTGACACGTTATCGTGATTAGATCCCCGAATCTCAGGAAAGCAAAGACCGCCGGATCCTGTTCCATCGTGTGCGCCATACGCTTACGGACCTGATGATGACCGCGGATGAGAAAAATCACGTTATATCGAATGCGAACGATGAACTGGACCGTCAGCTCACACGTCTTGATTCCATATTCCCGTTTATCGCGGGGGAGATCAGTGATGAGGCTCGTCTAGGAAGTCTCACTCACTGGGCTTACACGAATAGAAACGCCCCCAAGACAAATACTAATGAGCGTCCTCGTCGGGAGGCCGCATCTACTAAGGAATTGGCGCATGCGATCCATGAGGCGGAGGCTGCTTCTCGGAGCGAGGCTAGGCGCGAAGCTGTCATCGCGCGTAGGCAGCGTCGCACGCATGCAGATTCGGATCTGGACGATGTACGTGCTGGCGGGGCTCGCAAGGGACAATCTAGTAAATCTCGCGGGGGTGCAGGTGCAGGTGATCAGGCCGGACATGGTCAGGGAAATACTGGGTCGGGCCAGGCCAAGCGGCGCAAGGTCGAGCGGCCCCCACCTGTGGAGGCTGGTGCTGCGATGGAGCGTACTGCTAGCAGCGCTAGTACTTCGAGGCAGGCTGCATCGAAGGATCCCGCTGAAGCTACGAAGAAGAGGCGGGCACCTAATGCGAATGCGGCTGCTCGGAAGAGGTATGTTGGATTTCGATTGCTTTGGGTATATAAACTAACAGCCGTAGCAGAAACAATACCAATGCATCTGCCGTTGACTCTCCGGTTCTGGCTCCGTCGCCTGTTGTCGCTGCTGCGGCTATTCCACGAAGCGCTGTCAGTCCTGGACCTGGTGCAGTGCGACCGCAGACTTCTCGCGCGCAGCAGAATTCCGGACAAGCAAACAATGGTCGTCAGAGACCTTCATCTTCTGCGTCGAATCGCGTAACCAGCAATGGTACGTTTCTGCCATATTCAATCTATTCAAACCGATCTAATCAAATAACAACTTCAGGCAAAGCTACAGAACCTAAAACCACAACCAAAGAGACGACATCCAAAACCGAAGCTACCCCTACTTCGAATCCAGATACCCAACGAGAAACCGAAGAGCCAACCGCAGACATTTCTAAGCTCCCACCTCCTATCAGCACTAAACGTGAAGACACCGACGGCAAACCCGCGCCATCCATCGAACCCGGCGAAGTCCCCGTACCGCCAGTGTCGAATCCACCCCCCAAGGGCCGATCATCGAAGACATCCACTCCGGTACTACCCACCTTCTCCGAGCCGACCCAGCGCGTACGACCTACCCGAAGCACGGATCCCGCACCAGCCAAGCGGTCCCACAAGAAGACCACCAGCGTACCAGTGGTGCAAGCGCGGGCCGTCTCAGAAGAGGAAGAGTCTCTCCACGAGGGTGATGATGAAGATGAGGACGGTGAACCCAGATACTGCTACTGCAATGAGATCAGTTTCGGCGAGATGGTGGCATGTGATAATGACGCTTGTCCTCGCGAGTGGTTCCACTTGTCGTGCGTTGGGTTGACGAAGCCGCCAGGGAAGAATGGTGAGTCTATGGCCTTATATTCGTGTGGATATGAGAGATGCACATTGCTAACATGACACTAGTCAAATGGTACTGCAATGAATGTAAGGAGAGCATGCGACGGAGTCGAAGTGGGCGTTGAGGGAGCAGAGCAGGACGAAGCAAAACAAAACAGGTTACCGGAGTTATGGGTATTGGAATGGCTTTTAGCTCTCATGAATGTACATACGTAGAGTAGACAATAAGATGGTTGTCTGCATTTCAATTTTTACATACAGAATGTAAGGACCTGTGATATCAACATCGACCCTCATCTTGCAGCCTTCGCTTCACACCTACTTGGCTATGATCTGCCCTTCTACAAATATACACAAGGATAGACTTATTCTCATCGATAAAGGCGAGCAAGCCCCTTTCTATGTATACGGCTACTAGTTCTAAGCCACGGAAGCTTTCAGCCAGTCAGCGAGTTGGATCACTACTAGTAGATATAGTATGCGCCGCACCAGCCGAACTTGGGGACTCCGGCTAAAATATAACGTGGTCCGTAATCATGTAGCAATACAACTTCCATCGCCCTGTTTTGGCCCTTATATATGTTTACTAGAGAGGAATGCTGTTATGCATGAACGTCCGCGCGCTACAATATTGCGATATCAGACCTGTTTAGCAGAATCAAAAGAATCCCTGGATTATTCTTAGAGAAGCAAATCACATCCTGGTCCATGTTTTTTGTTATGTCCGCAATGTGCCACGATATAAAAGATCTGGCCGGTACTAGGTACTACTAGAGTAGTTAGAGCAGACGACTTGAACTTCCTCAGTAACATCGCATTTCCCTTCCAGTGAAACTCCACTCCAGACAGCTTCGTCAGGTCCAAGTCATCGGGATCCTGCAATCGGACCATCTATTGAGTAATTGAAGTCGGCTCAGCGTGTTTGCTGGATTGTCGATGCCGATGCAAGAATGGGAATCATGGGCTGGGCCCAGTATATTAGTATCTCACTGGGTGGTTGTTTATATTCGGACACTGTGTAGTAGTAGTAGCCTGTTCCTAAGGATTAGAAAAATCATGATACTAGGAAACATAATCTGAAAATACACTATGGCGTATCTCTCGTCCGTGATTTGGAAGTAGTACCGCTCCCTCTCCCCAGTATATGTATGCAGCATGTTCTATGAAATATCAATAGTAGTGTCCAGACTGATATGACCTTGATCGCCGCTTGGATATACTTGTGGCCCGCCTTGAATAACCTCCGTCTGGACTTGGGCCAATGATCCTTAGTAGCATCAATTGGATGTAGTCGAGATTGCTGTATACTAGTAGTAGTATTTTTGAGCATTCAACATTCTCTTGGAATTAACAATTTGAGCAAGATACAGTTAGTCGTTCAAACGCAGGTGGTGCGTGCGTAGTACGTTTCTACTATCCGCGCCCACTTACTGTACCGGGTATCTCACTTCTTCATCTATCATACCCTAGATGCGTTCTTCAACAAGTCGTCTCGATGGTGTAGTTGGTTATCACGTGGGTCTCATACTACAGTATGACGTGGAAGGTTCAACTTCCATGCGATCCCAAGGCCGGGAGTTCGAACCTCCCTCGGGACAGATCGTTTTTGTATCTTTTTCTTTTTCCTTCCCCATTCAGTGTTTGAAAAATATTTGCAGTAGGTTGAAAATAATATCTGGCTCATGTGTTTATCCACTATCTCGATGAAGTTGAGCCCTTTCGCTTCCTGTCTTGCTGTTGATGTTCATCAAATAAGTTTTGACTTGAATCGGAGGAAGGTTCTTACGAGTAGCCAACTTCGTCTATGTGCTATTTCATTAAGCGTAGTAGATATATTGACATGTACACCCATTGGAATCTTCCAAACGACAAAGACTAATACTAAGAATAAGCTTGGTTCTCCTCGATCGGCCCCATTTCGTCATTGCTTTGACCCGAATCCAAATTTGTAGTCACACTCTCTGAACCTGCATCTTGCTGGGATAGCGGTCTCCCCTTCTCGAATCTCCCATCGTGATCCCGAGTTACAATCTCCAACTTGTTGTCGCGTTGCATCACTCGTATATTATGCTTGTAAACATCAATAGTTGAGATACCAGCTCCCGTATGAGCCATCTTTTCAGTTGGAGCAGAGTTCCATGCAAGCGCTGCGATCTCTGGTGCTGAGCCCCAACTGCTCGAGGAGAGCCCGCTGTAAATCGAATAGCAGACGTGGGCAATGGCCACGGCAATATAGATGGCAAGTACGACCATTTCGAGTACGGATGTGATCCCGTCCGCGCTGTATGCGTAACCGTTCACATAAGCTGCCATAACCAATTGAGTAGATCGGTTGCGCACAGCGGCAGACACGTTGAATGCGTTGCGCCCCGTGCCCATGTTTCCGCCTTGAGGAATTATATCGTAAATCCAGTCGCCACCATCCCAAAGATCATTAGGGTTATTAGCACCTTTCAAGTCCATGATGATACTATGATTGTACGCTGACCGACCGATGCCGTTGGTGATAAGGGTGGCTAGGATATTCTCCACTATAATATCGTAATAGTAGGAGGCCGATGGAGTTGAACTGTTGAAGATGCCAGCCATCGAGGTGATAGGTGATAGAATCGTTTCATTTGTACCGGGAATGTCTGGCGTCAGGTACGTCGCCCAGTCCGCCGTGAGTGCAACTCGCGGCCAATCAGAATGAAATGTCCCATTCTTGTCCATTTCTGCAGGCTGGCCAGTGACGATTTTGATGTGGTTCCGCGTGGACACTAAAGTAACGTTGGTGAGCCTGCTGTCGACGCTGCAAGTGAAGTACTGTGGATTGGTGCTGACTGTGGCAGGAAGGACAAATATCGCAGCGAGAGTGGCGTCTATGGGTTGCAGCAGACGAAAGTCATCGATCCAGAGCACGGAAGGGGTAGCACCTTGTCGGAGGAGTGATTCCACCTTGGTTTCAATCGTCTTGTTGGAAAACCCATTGTATAAATCGATCGAGGCCTGACTCGTGTCGGCCGTGCCCGGGCCTGAGGAGAGAGACGCAGTACCCAATGCGGGAAAGGCCAGAGTGATATTACCGGAGTAGTCGTAGAACGTCTGACCACAGAACGTGAGTACCATCGGCTGCAAGGCGTTGGTCATGAAGAGTGCATCGTTTCTGAACTTGAACCGGCCGACGTCGATGTTGGCGGCAGCGTACGACCATAGCCTGCCTAATTCTGCAACGCTATCCGCGACGACAGAGAGTGGGGTAGTTGCAATGGTGTAAGCATTCCCCCACATCATCTCATGAGTACCGAACAGGTTGCGAGACCTCATTCCAAAGCTGCGGATGGAAGCTTGACCGGAGATGGTAAGATTTTGGGGGACACTGCCCGCATTGACGAGCTTCGGAAAGAACGAGTAATAGTCCTGGTTGAGGATTTGCCAATTCCCGGCCGGGCAGGCGAGGTCGCTGTTGTCAAAAGCACAATGCGCTAGTGATGATGAGTTCTTCATTTCACGAGGAAAGACTTCACTGTCGGTGGCATTGATCCAGAATGGTGTACCACCTGCTGGCCAGTCATCCAGACGTGGTTTCATTAAATTACTTGTAGACGGTCCAACTGTTAGTCCCAGCAGGGTGCAAATAACCATAAGGCAAAGCATAAACCATTTGGTGGTTCTTCGCTTCCAGTCATGATTGACTGAACCCCACATGCTGAGGGACCAAAGGAAACTGATGTCTTGAAACTGCAAGGAGGTGAATATGGCGCCAAACGGAAGGCCTTCCCCAAAGGCAAGTTCTCTACGGATATAAGTAATTAGTATGGAGCCAAGCGAAGCTAGCATAAGAAGTTCATGGAGCTTAGCTGCGAATGTCAGCGCAGCGAGCTTCTCTGCATCTTGTCCCGAAGTGCCAGATAATTCGCCCCCGATATAGTAACCAGTTGAATTAAGCATGATGAGTGCAAATGCAGCACTGACAGGAACCACATGCAGGACACAGCGGATGGAAGCAAGTGTCTTGCTCCTGTCCATAAAGACTTTCGGCCTTTCTGTTACCTCAATGCCGCATAGCTTGCAGCAGGTATTGTAGAAGGATGTGATGCCGATATTCTTTAACAGTGCCAGAAAATGATCGCTGAGCCCGGGACTGTTGGATTCTGCTCGGAGTAGTCGCTGCCAACACAATCGATCTCTTACTTGGGCCATCTGGGCCCCCAGTGAAGATCGGAGTGAGTGCACCATGCCCCGAGCCTTTTCCGAGATCGGACGCCGAGCATACCGCACGCGCTGATTTGCCTGTATAGAGACGTCGCTATCGGATGCATCGCTGTTGGAGCGCGAGATACCATTATGCAAATTGGAGTCACTGCTCGACATATTGTAGGAATTCAGCAAGAGCCAGGGCCCGTCAAGATCCCAGTCTAGACTTACGCGGTGGTCGGCCGATACGGTTCAGCAGCATACATGTCCTCTAAGCTCACAGCTTCGCCATCCAGCTGGGACTGCCATGACAGATTGGACGACGAATAAGTGTTATGAACGAGGCGAATCCCATTTTGAAAAGAAGGCCGAGTGCCATTCTCGGGTGTCATCTCCGAAAATCCGTGGCGTATAATTGTTTTTAACTATAAATACCAGGGGGAGGTGGTTGGCCTCAGCCCAGATAATGCCATGTATAGTATGTGGACTAAGAAGAAGGAATACAAGGCTTAAGCCGTAGACGTGTTATAAATGGACTGCGTCCGCGCCCGCGGACCAGCTTCAATCCCATATCTGAATTTCGGAGACTGGAGTAGTCAGATCTACTAAAATGATAGCACATAGCCTAGCAGGGGACCTGGTTGATGATTGGTCTCTGCTCGCTGTATCGCTCGGATGTTAGCGCTTGGAGGATGGGGCCGGCGAGCTGAAGCTGTCTACCCAGCCCCTGATCCCCTAGCGGACAAGAGCGGCCAACAAATGGTGCCCATGTCAAGATAGACCGGTAAGCAGTAAAGCTACGCGCAAGCACATAGAGGCACTTTGAGTGCCACCAAGGGCGTTTCTCTCTTCACTCGGCCAAAGGGAGGGGGGCGCAACGATCGGACGAGGCTAAGGATACTAGACAGGAGCCAGTGCCTTTAGCGCCGCGGCCCACTCAAGGCATATCATTGGCCTCGACCACGAGATGGTCTGCGGGGTCATTGTGAACCAAGGGGTCAAATGGCGCTTAACGAGGTTGTGCGTTATACTGACTGGCCGCAGAAAAAATGCGAGCGGGAGCCGTGGAGCGTAATATATGGTGTACTGTGTACAGTCGTCGGCTGTATTCATAATTCTTTTCCGACTTGCCCAGGCAACCCCAGCCTTACTATCAACAGTTCACGCCTACTTCTTGGCATCTTCTGTGATTGTAATGATCCCCAAACCCCATGAGGTGTATAGCAGGGCAGTTAGGCGGTCGTGTGTTGAAGAGTGCTTTGAAGTTGGTCTTAGAATCAATTTCTACTCACTTCGGACATAAGCCGAAGCGCCCAATTGTAGGTACTCCCCCGAACTTGGCCTCAGACGTGTGCCCAACCATTAGAGACAAGCACCTGCATCTCATTGATCAAACAAAAGTCACCAGGTTCTTGCTCATCGATATGGTCATCATGCCAACCAGCAATCCTCTTGCGGACTACCAGCTTTTTGAAGAATGGCGTTGTAAACCATCGTCGGAGTCGGTTCTCCCAAAGAGCCAATGCCACATGTTGCAACGACAACCAGGCCCCTGTGGGATGAACAGCTTCATAGGCTGCAGGGTTATAGCCGACACGAACCTTGGGGTTCAGATAAACTCCCTGTTGTTGGGAGAGAGGGTTATCCGCATGAATCAAACAACATTCAGAACCCTCGAGATGTGAGAGCGCCAGGGAATCGGATATAGCGCGAAATCGCAACGGAGGAGTGGCGATAAAGGGCTCCATAGGCATAGCAACTGCGATAATTGATCGATCAATACAAGCGTCGAGAAAGGCATATAGGGAAGTCACCAACCCATTCCGTTCCAGCAACTCTTAACAGGCACAGGAGACAGGGTAAGTAGTGCATTGCGCGAAGCTGCAGACCGAAAATATGGCCACTTCTGCATAACATGCTCATCGCCGTTTGAATCACGCAAGGCAAAGGTGTCATAATAGAGTGGTGGTTTGGAAAAGTCCAGCGAGCAAGCAGCAGCATAAACTCCATCATTTGTATCAAGTAATCTGATAACATCGTCCACCTATGACCGGCAGTTAGCGACCTGCTAAGATAGTTTCTATACCAGATAGAAATCTGAAATAGCCCAGACATACAGTGAAGACCACATCATTCAGAAACAGCACTTTGTCAAATGTGATGCCTTGCTGCGACAAGTCCCCCAAAGGCTGCAAGGTCAAGTTGCGTAGTCGCGCAAGATAAGGAATGCGCCTCAGTTCCTTCTTTTGGCGAGGCGTATCGATCCAGCCCTCTCGAGGACGAGCGGATAGCTCATCCTGATGGGTCGTGTCCGATAGGGTGATGTTGCGCCGTACGCCAAGTCGGTCTAGCCCAGCGTCAAGCTCGCGGAGAGCTCCCTTGGAATCATCCCAGCTCCCACTCTCATAGACGCTCACGAAAACATTATCTGGTCCGAATGTTTTTGCTAGTTTTATCACCGCATCATTCCAATGGCTTCGCAGGATTGGTTCGTTGTTCCAGTGCATACTTGCGATGAATAGCCGCTCGGGTCGAGGTGACAGGTGGTCCTTGGCCACATCCACAGTCGAAGCTTGGTGATGTATATAAAGGGTCTCAAGTATCGTCCAGGCCATCATACAAAGTAACAGACCCTGGAGGAAGCGCCGGCGCAGGCTAAACCGGCGGGACAACCCATACCGAAGGAAAGAGCTAGCATAGCTGGTAGTTGGAACCATTGAAGGTAGATTTAACGATCATGTCCTATTCATATATGATAATATGAATACAATGGAGGAAAGCAAGCGAATCCGCATGGATGTCAATATATCGTAGATGTGGCACCGAAGGGCATTCAATAGGAGACGATAATCAGCAACTGATCATGGAGAGAGTTCAGCTGGCCGGATTCTGCCAGCCTCTACCGCCAAGACAGGCGATAACAGTGGACTCACGTGCGGTCTAGATGCCAATTATAGTACGTATATCACAGGACCCGGCGGTCAAAGCGCGGCGTTTTATGCCGGGGATCAGCTTGGCTTTTTGGCGAGTCTGGAAACACCAGCTGGACTACATAATGACTGGCATCGATAGCGGATGAAGCAAGGCCGAAAAGGATACCTGCATATCACTAAATGAAAAAATTCTTTACAAACTACACTCTATGTTACTTCTATCTTCACTCAAACACACTGAATGCACCTATACAAGTAGTTTACCCATAAGCCTTGAACAATTGAAGTTATAAAACACTGCTATATCGTAATAACTACATGAAACAAACCCTCTAATCTATATTCCCCCACTCCTCCTCAACCTCTGTCCCACAGTCTCCCCCGCCGCACCCGTAGCCGACGAACTCGCCGACGCCGCAATAGCCTCTCCCTCCAACCTCCTCCTTAGATCCTCATATCTCCCACCATCTCCTCCACCAGCGCCATTAACAACTCTCCGCTCCTTCTCCCCCACCATCCACGCCGGGACCCTCCATGCGCCAGTCCCAGGCAGGAACTCCATCCGCCAGGCCACACCAACCAGCCATCCCACCGCAGCGGGGACGATCATCGCCGGAAACTGCGACAAAGCCAGTTGCGCAGCGACGATATATGTTGTAGATTTATCAGACAATGTAAGAGTGAGGGACTTGTTGCTCTGTTGCGGTTGGTCTTTTGTATCGTTCGAATCAGAAGACGACGATGACGTGGAGATCCGGTAGCGGAAGGTAGATGGGATTGAGGCGTGGTATTGCGCTAATAAGGCGAAGATGGTCGCTACAGGTCCGGAGGGGAGGTAGTTCATTTTTCCGAGGGTCACGGGTCGGAGCACAAGGATGAGGAGGAGGGGTGGGAGGAGGGTTGTGTAGGGGAGTGTGGTGAGGAGGAAGGTCTATGGATCATTATCGCTTGTTAGTAGCTGCATTTGTAGTATAGCTTGTGGACGGGGGACAGTGACGAAGAAAAGTAAGATAAATGAGATAACGTACGGCAAACTTCCTCTTCCCCCAGGCGCGTTCGACGACTCGTAGATGATACACCAACATTGCGGCGAATAGCGCCTCCGTCGAGTTCGCGAATCCGGCTACCTGCCACACCAGGATGCGCCAGAACTGTCCATATTGCCAGATGTGCGGAACGACCTGGATACTAGTGAGATGTTTAAGGTCGAAGATGGCGAGAGCCACCGAGGAGGCGATGGTGTAGATGAGGAGGGATTTGGAGATCGAGGCGTTGGTGAGTCCGGAGGTTAACATCTTCGAGATGTTGGTGTGGATTTATTAGATTAATGTAGGTTATTGGAGCTGGAGGCAATCTCTCCTGAATATTAAGAGGTAACTAGAGCATTAAGGCGATATCTGATTAGTGGAGCGTCCCGGTGGTTGCGATGCTGGTCTGATGAGCTGGAAGGAAGGTGGAGGAAGTGAGGGACACGTCGCGTGAAGGGCGGGCCGAGGCGGAGGGGGCGGAGAGCGGAGGGCTCGGCATGCCGATCAAAGTACTTAAAAGACCCAATATGAATCGTTAATAGTCATTTATGTCTATTCTATCATACATTATGGCCATATCACGCAGATGGCATTTCCTTCATTTCTTCAGCCAACGCCTGGTTGTACTTCGCCAATGCCGTTTCCAACGCCCGAATGGTCGGCCCCAATAGTCGATTGACAGCTTGTTCACCCCCAGCCACACCGGCGAGATTGAGCTTGAGCTTCCTTCCCGTCCTTTCCAGCACTTCTCGGGCATGCTGCTTCAGTCGATCAACCTCAACCTGCCGCTCTCTCTCTGCGTCTTGCGCCACCGACTTTATGCGCTCCATGGCTCGGTTCAGTGACTCCACAAGCGAAGCTACCTCACCTGCGCGATCCGCGTTCCCTGACAGAAATGCCTGCCAGAATTGATGCAGAAATTCAGTCGTCGTGGCATGTGTTAGGGTCAGCCGGTCGTACAATGCAGTCGACAAACCATATGTGCCGGCATTGCCTGATCCCTCTGTTTGGGAGCGGCGGTCACGGATCGCTTCGAGAATCTGGTTTGAGGCGCGCTTCAAATTGGCCCTAGAGCCAATTACGTCTTCGAACTTTGCCTGATCCTCATCGTCCTCTTCCTGCGGTTCTACCAATCTCCCCAGCGGCGCGGCTCCGCCCTCGGGCAGATTTTGTTCCAGATCCCCCCGTAGCTGTCCGAGTATCTGATTTGGATCCTGCTGGGCAAACAGCTTATTTTGCTCGTCCTCCGCAGTTTTTGAGTGTGACGAGAAAAAGCGACTTTGGTCCTTGACGTTGAGGAGGATACGTTGCTGTTCCTCGTCCCCGCGTAAGTCACGCAGCTGCAGCTCGTTGTACGTCCCATCCTCACCCGTCTTGCCATCTGCCTCGCCATCGGCTGGTGCAACGTTCGCCATAATCTTCTCACTCAGACTATTCAGGGTGCGGATGATAGGCACCTTCTCCACCGAGGACGGGCGCATGTCGAGATCAGGTCGGTTACCTTGCCGTTGACTGTTGTTCACTTCATTTCCAGCCAGATCCAGGAAATGCGGAACATGCGCGTCGCGCGGTAAATTTCCCGACTCGTCCGCCTTAAGGTATTTGTCCAGGATTATGTCCGTGGGATCCGTTTCGGAGATGCGCTCTCCGCGCAGTTTCTTGAACAACCGACTTTGGAAAAACCGAGACCAGAACTGCTGCTCGCTAAGCTTGGGTACATTCTCATCGTACACCCGCTTCACAAGCGGGTGCTGATTGAAAATCAACTGGATCTGCTCCTTGCTAATATTCAATTTTGTCACGCTATCCTCCACCCGCGGCTTCAATGTCGACAGCACATTGTAGGATCCGCGTGTCTGCGACCGCTCGATCGCATGCGCGCGCAAAAGATGAAGTCGAGTGGACCAAAACTGCGTCATGAACTGCGAAGCAGACAAAGTATCCGGCTTGGTATGTAACGACTCCATGAACATGCGCTGGAGAATCGGATTCGACTTCAGCAGCGACTGTTGCAACTCCACATCTCCTTGAAGCCGCTTGTCATCATCCCATGGGTTCTTCTCTTTCCCTGCCGATGATACAGCATTCGCTATGGCCATAGCAGGAGACACGCCTTCTTTAACGGGGGCATTCTGAGCTGTCTTTGCAGCTTGAATAGCGGCACTGAGAGCATCTCTGATGGCATCAGCTTCCGGTCGCGCGTTCGCTCCAGCTGTAAAGGAGAAGACATATTGTTCAGGGGAGCTGGCAGGAGCGTTCGGAGGGAGGACAAAGATCTTCAGCATCACTTTCGGGTTACTCGCGGGGGTCTGTTGCAAATCTATCCGTAGTCAGTAAAATCGCGCCCGGTGAATCAAGCTGAAGACTACGCCGTACTGGTAATCTGAGCAACTGGAAGGGTAATTGCACCAGCTGCACCGCCAGCCGCCGGGATCCAAGAGATCGACTGGCGGTCCTGGGCTATGGTCAGGGTGCCATCTTTCTTCTTGTATGCCGCCGACCCGCTCGGAGGTGCCATCGTCATGGATCTCGACAGCGTCCACTGTCCAGGGCGGCGTCTAGGGATCCACCCATCGGGAGATTAAAATCCCACGGGAGAATCGGAAGGACAGGGCCTTCAAAGACGCGAGAGCTTTGAGTGGATGGGTGAAGATGCGAGTTTGTGAAAAGTACGAAGTTCCGCAATCAGTGAAGATGAAGGCACGTGATAGATATACTGAGACATGTGACTTGCTCTGCTTAGTCAGGTTAACAGCCCTAACAAGTCAATTCAGCTTAAGTACAGTTTAGGTAAAGGAAAAGAATAGAAGTGACGAGGTTGTCGGGCTGGGTATGTCCTGCAGATGATATTTTGGGTCAGAATTGATTCTGATCTGAGATTGTAGTACGCATAGCATGTATATGCTGAGGGTGCGCAGAGACATTATTTCGGGTTTCTTCGAAACTAGATTTTGATACTAGTTTATCTTCAGGGACTAGAGTGATTTCAAAAGCTAATTGTCTTGACTGTACTGAATGATGGCTAGAAACAAAGAGGAGTTGTGCTCGGGTATTCTCATTAGCTGCATGGATGCAACCAATTTGTCCTGCGACTTCTGATACTCTCTAGTCTTGTGACCAGGAACCAATCATGGCCATAGTCGAGCAGGTTTGGGGGAGTTATTCTGTACAAAAAGTAAAGACAGTTATAGTACGACACAGTAAATGATACGCCAAAGAGGAACGGCAGCATATCTCAAGCAACAAAGACAGTCTCATAATAGACGTAGACGGATATTTCCTCCCAGCACATACATAAGATGGTAATTTGTGGCAATATCCGAGCAGAAGGAAAAAAAAAAAAAAAAAATCTAAAGAATCAGTATTTTACTTTCTAATTTTTGAATAGCTCACCCACTACTCCAGAGCAAAGCGGTAGACAGTGCAGGATGCGCGTGTATTCGCCGTTACATAGAGCTATTACAACCGATAGCGGAAGGGGGGATTATTTGGAAATGTATATATCCAAGGGTATAGTACGTTAGGCAAATCACACCTAAGCTTCAGACTCTAAACTTGCTAAGAGTCCACCAGGGAAAGGAACATCTGGAAGTAAGACCGGAAAGTCCCATATATAGCCCTGAGTCGTTTCTAGGGCACTCGAATATAAAGAGAGCGCCCCACTTGGTTCCAGATCTCTCGTCTCATCCAAGTTCATACTACATGTCGACACAAACACCCCATGACATGGGGAGTTCTCAGTCCGAGGAGTCTGGCGCGAAAGCTCCAACTCATATTGATTATAAACTAGAGAATATCATCGCGGAGGCGCTAGATAATGCTGGAGTGCCTTACGTATTCTGCGGTCATGGGCTAATGAGCGTCTATGGTCTTGTGCAGGAGCAAAAGGTAGCATACTTTCTCCCACCTCCCTAAAACTAGTGTGTGATTGAAGCTAACCACTTCCAGAGTTCCACCTGGGTCATCCCAAATTTCTACATTGCAGAAGCAGATTCCCTTCTACAAGCGGCCGGTCTCCACAGCTGCCATAGGTCTTACTGCGAGGGATACCGTCCCAACAAGAGGCCTTTTGCTCCGGCCTATCACTATCATGTCCAACCACGGGTGAACAGACCGCACAACCACGTCGTGCTCTTATATAAGATGGGGGACCTATTCATCGACCTGGCACCGGTTCCCACGCGACTACCACCATTGGATGATCCGGACTATATGCTAGTCGATGACCCTCGGCTGCCAGACTACAATGATGAAGTTGGAAATGGTCGTTGGCAGTCTATTCGCTCGATTAAGATTCCAAAGCCAGCCCGGTTCATTGATGCTATAGTACTTCTCATGGTAAGAGAATGGCCTCAGGACCCTACGTCTTCTATATGGTATGAGTATTTGAGCGAGCTGCTGGATCATATCCGCGAATGCGGAGAATATGAGCTCGTACCGAGTTGGGATGTGTTGGGAAATTTAGCGCGTGGTTTTGTGAAGTTTTATTTCGATGGGGAGACTAAGAAAAGTCCGTATGAGGTGAAGAATTATATATCCAAAGTGCGTGAGGAGATGATCGAAAAGACAAAGATACCTTTACTCCTCATGGCAGATGAAGTTGAATGATAATCATGAAAATTCTTATCTAATTGAGAAAAACTTCGTTGATTTATCTATATAAGTAATCTGAAGCTTATACTCCGAGTTATTTCATTGTGAATGAACTTGGGTCGCTCGGGCTGTATGGCTCCTCGCATGGGCATCTCAGGCGTCGTTATCTAAGACACTCTGCCCCGGTACATTGCATAGTAAAATGAGCAATGCAAATGACGATTTACAATAATATTAAAGCTAATGCTTACCGGATGTTTCATATTCTCGAAGATCTAAGTCCCACCTTACCGGAAACTACATCTAATAGTATAATATTCCCATTTCAACCCATATCCGAGAAAATGAGATCGATGATAGCCTTAGATATTTATGATTGCATTATACAAATGTACAAGGTCAAAGGTCACCAATAGGCCTGCTATTGTCCGCTACAAAGCCGATTTCAAAGAATGCTGGGGTACAAGTGTGCTTTGTCTCAAAGTCAATACACCTTTGTCCAGGCCTTAACAATGACTGAAAAATAGTAAAGGTAATTCTCTATTCTGCTGATAGGTAGCACCCGGGACCTAACATGCGAGTTATAGCTTCTTTACTACGCCACAAGTTACTACCCCAATGTCTCTCACACGTTGTTGACTATAAATTTACCCCAGAATTCCTGTTCCATCTGATCCCTGTTCATATAGATCCATCCATCAGACAACTACAGGATCGAAGATTCATACAGAAAATGCGTTTCGATAATTTAACCATCGACGAAATTGATAGGAAGTATCCGGATATTCTGTATCCAAGCAATGATGAGCTCCTTGACGCTGCATCACATCTGATCGAATTTACGCAGATACTGAAAAATAAAGATATCTTGCGTACCACACTTGTGGGAATTACAGGAGGTCTTGCTGTCATGCATCATTGCCCCGATCGCCTGCCCAGCATTGTAAGTGGCTGGATTACAAGAACCGCTCACCAAGGCAGCCTTCTATTGACTAACATACTGAGTAGGCATGTAATAGAAAAGAAGATATTGACATCGTCCTGGACTTAGCAGATTCAACCCTGGAAGACCTTAAGGACGCATTGCTATACTATTACTCGCAGATCTTCATAAAACACCGTCAAACGCTTTACATGCGGACACCATGGGGTAAAGTGAGGCTTGACTTCAAGATAATCCCTGCAAGCGTAAGTACAGATATACACAATTCCATAGATCTCTATTAACTGCGTTATTAATTACGAATTGACCTCAATCTAACTATTCCATCAGCGGAAATTGAAAGGAATGCAGTATCTGTCCGTTCTTGAACTGACAGATTTACCATTTGTCAACAAGATAGACCTCATGACGTCTAAGATATACGACGTTCACCCTGATCCTTTGCCCTCACCTTGGGGAGAGCCTGAAACCGCGAGAGCTATTCACCATGGGACAGATGCGCTCAGACTGGCTCTGTTATCCGATCAGGGAAAGAAAATCATTCTCACTGTGAGGCAAGCTATGCGGATAAGAAGGGCGTTCCGCTCTTTAGAAAATTATACCGGCATTCCAGGCGTTCAGTGGCTTGAGTTGTTTCTCGTCCGCGGCAGATATTATCATAATCGTCCGACTGAGATTGTGGATCTGGAGAAGGCTTTCTTTTTGTTGGAAATGGGCAAGTACAAACGAGAAATATCAGACCCATGGTACTACTAGCATAATACGAATTCAGCTATACTCTTTTCTCTATTCTCTATGTTTGAAAGAAACATCAAACTTGTCAACAGAATCAGCATTAAAGTAACAGGCATCGCCTCCCACATCAATTCTCCCAATATCTCCTTTAAAGAGCGCCGAATCCTGTTTGACCTTTCCATCATCCAACGTATCAATAATTCTTATTATCACACTAGTCCTATCCACACCAGCCTCCGCAGACGCCCCAGGACGCCAAATAGCCCTCACTTCTAACATCAGCTATCGCCCCTAAGGACAGAACCGTGCATTCATCGACTTCTTTATCAGCGGCAACATAGACCGTATTACTTTTTTCAAGGCATTAAATTTACCGTATGTCCCAGGACATATTGTTTGGTGGTTAGTTGGAGTTGATTACCAGTGTTTTTGATGAATGCCTTCTGCATGCCTGCAGAACAAGTGAGTGACGTCATCGAACTATCAACCATCTTCTCACTTAGTGCCAACCTAATATACAAGCTCAATCCTCATAAAGATAATAAAAGCACAGTATCAAAATAAAATAGCTCTAGTATTGTAGTCGAGCTCTAAACTCTGTCCCATAGAATAGTACATAGTAGTGTAGTAACCGACTGTAAATATCTCCCCTCCTATTGGCGGGCCGCAAAGTAATGATTTCCGCACGTGACAGCGCGCCATGCGGGACGCGTGCCTCAAGCAAGAAGGACGAGTTTGACGCTCCACCTGAATAAAAAGGCATCGATAACTAGAATTACTATTGATATTCTAGTTATACACAAATAAATTCTCTTCGAAAATGTCGTACTATGACATTGATGCTATCTTGACGGATTCCCAAGTATGTGTTGTGTCAATCCTGGAAAATGAAAATGCATGCATGGCTGATTCCCACCCATCCAGAAACTACCGTGCACATTTGAATTGGACGTACCTGGTCTTGGTATTTTGGAGGGGAATCCGGGGGAAAATGTACTTCTCCCGTCTGAATGGTTGGATGGGAGGTTTGCTAAGTGTAGTCTATCTAGATCAAAGCTGGAACGCGCATTGATTTGCCGTTATGGCTGGGTGAGATGCTTTCTATTGGGTGAGTTATTTTACTTCCACTACTGATAATATCTTGGTGAGGTATCGTCTAACTATCGCAGTGCCCGACTGGGAACCTCTCGACTGGTCACGCTGGATCTCCCCTCAGCACTCTCAGAACGAGTTATGAATGCCTTGAAAGCTGATCCTCGGACGGTGGATCTGCGGTCATTGGCGCCGCATTTTTATAGTCTGAGCGAGAGGATTCTGGAGCTGTTTGAGGAAGAGGAATTGGTGGAGGTTTTGAGTAATGTATGGTGCTTTTGTGAACTGGGGATGTGATTAATGTGGCTAATTGTGATGATGATAGACGTTCAAGAAGCGCTCAGCAGTCATTGCGGACCATGCGCATAATCCGCAGGGTGCTTTAGGGCAGGGAGCGGATTTCTTGCGAGGATTGGATGAGACAGAGAGGCAGCGTATGTTGATCTCTCGTCTGTGTTGTGTGCGTTGCTGATTACTGATGCTTTTGTGTAGTTTTCCGGGTTGCGCATGATAGTGCTAAGGAGACGCGGGTCTGGGCTGGAGAGGCGAAAAAGAAATGATGGTAATGGGTTACTGGTTTAGGTGGAGCGTATGGATTGTTGAAAGGTTGAGCTGTGCTCGCCGTTATGAACATAAACTTTAACAGAAGAATAATTATGAAGTATCAAAATGTGATGACTTAAATATTCATTTCGTATTTAGTAGTTTGCTATAGTCATGGTTGGAGATGTGTACAAATATGATCATAATGGCTGGCATCTGATTCTGAAGGTTAAGTTTGGAACTACTTAATGAATGTCCTGCTAAACCATAAATTGAAACAAGAAGATGAGACAGTTACCCGAAACCTATCATTCGAAAGTTCCGAAAAATTGCTGCGGATAACCCCCCCACGCAGGTGTACTTCGTGCTCCGGAGATATGGAGGAAATCACGAGCGCAATGCCCACCGAGATAAGAATGACTGGAAGGACATGTCAACTCCGACTGGCGGAGTAAGCGCCTACGACCGGCATAACCGAGGGCTTTATTAAGGCCCACGAGCTGGGAGAGCTGGGAAGAAGAGAGAGGGAAAGGGGGAAGGAAAAAAAGAGAAAATCTAATTATGGGTGCCGACACGAGCCATGGGAAGAACGATGGGGCAGCAACTTATCTGTCACGGGGCGATAGAGGACTAAAGCTGAGAGCGATGGGGATGATGAGACGATGATTGCAGACGGACTGGTGTAGCGGGGAGGGGGGAACCACGGGCGGTCGATGGGTCCCTGGAACGTGGGGCAGCCTGAGGAAAAGGAGCGCAAGTGGAAGTGAGAAAGTTGACGGATCAGATTTGGCTGCAGTTCCGGGCGGCTACACTGAGGATTCTAATGGAGCAAATAGATACGGAGTACGGAGTAGATATACTTGATAAGTTTATGAAGAGAGGGGAAGTGGAATCGTGCGATTTTAGCCGATGGAGTGGGGGAGGAGGGCACTGACATTAATGATTCCTGTCCTTAATCTAGTGGTGGTGATTATGTGTATATACTCTGTAACGATGTGTGTGTGTGTGATCAGTTGAGGAATGGAGCAATAGGAGGTTACAGTAGGGATAGCAGTGTGGTAACAAGACCGAAAAAAAAAAAGAGTACGCTTTTCCAACCACCACTTAACCAGCCACCGTAAGTAGCTATTGGGCGGACCTCAAAATCAGGACGAGAAAGGCGATTGGAAGCTTAAGTTCAGGTTCAGCCGGCCCAGCCATCGGAGACCATCCCAGGGAGGGCCACTTGCACCCACTGCACTAAACCAGCCCGGGAGATGGTGGGAAGAGCGACCGGGACCGGGATCCAGTTCCTGACTTGCTGGTGCTCCGCTAAGGCCACTTTAGCCCGGCTTTTAGTGCCCTGCGATCGTTTGTTCCTTGAGCCTATCTCGTTGCTTTCATGCCTTTCCCCTCCCTCTATTCAAGAGCAAGACCAAGACCAAGACCAAGACCATCCAAACTGCCGACCTGCTTGCATTCATCATCACCATCATCATCACGCATTCACTCCGTCCTCAAATTCTTCTTCCCCCCTCACTGGCATTTCGTTGTTCAGTCAACCTTCTTTGTTGCTTGGCAACCTTCCGTCCATACCACAGAAACTTCCCTCCAAATCCAACGCATGCCTGCATGCATACATACCGAGAAACTGAGATCCGGATCGCTCTCACTAATCCCTCCTCCTCCCATGGATGGATGCATGTGTGGAGATCATCTTCCTGTCACTCGGTCCCCTTTCTTGGCTGTGAGGATCCACGATCGACTCGTCACACTTTCTCCTCACACTTTTCTCTTCGCTCCCCTCACGTCTTGACCTTTTTTTCTCGCTTCCTTCTTTGTTCTTCCCGTCCGACTTACACTTCCTCCACCCTCCCCTCCTCGCCGTTCCCACTAGACGCTTGGACGCGCAGTGGGCCTCGTTTCGTCACCAATCGCCCTTCCTAGGCGCGTTTTCTCACCTTCCGCCTGAGACATTGCTTTTTCCTCCTTGCTCTATCGGTCGACTCCCTCCCCGATCCTTCTGAACGAACTTGTGTGTAGTGGATACGATCCTGCGAACCTACTGCAGTCTAACTGGCATCGCGCATCTTGTCAGTTATGCGCATTAGCTAGGCAACTTTGGCCCATCTCACCCGCAGACCCTCACACAATATGGACCGAAATCCCCAGAGACGGAGCACCGTCTCGGTGCAGTCAACTGCCCCTTCTTCCCTGCGCCATTGCTCATTTCCCTCCTCTTCAAACACCTCGCCTCCGACCGATACCGCGTCCCTCAGACCCGAACCGAAGCTGAAGCGTGAGCCATCCACCTTCCTCTCATCCCTTGATTGTCACCCAAGGGATACATGAGACAAACAAAAGACACTGGACTGATTCTTTGTTCCCCTGCAGGCCGGTCTGCTCCCCCAAAGCCTCTTGCCCTCGCCCGGGTCAAGGGAACCGTCGCCATGGACTCTTCGCCGCAAATGAATTCAGGTGCGGATTTCTCCCCGGCTTTGGGCGTGCAGTGGTATTGATCGCTCTACAGAAATGTCGTGGTTGAACGACGCATCACCAATGTCGATGACCCCTAGGACCGCAACCCCAAGAACACCGCAGCGATCTGGAGCCGGTACGCATATGGCATCGCCGCACACTGCACGCAAAAGGGTGCGAGCGCACACGCTGACTGGTGATGGACAAACAGGTACTCCGGAACCTGTCCCCTCATCGCTCGTCAACCCTTCTTCAGCCCTACTCCAAGATCTTCTCAAAGAACAACGCGCGAATCGAGTGCCCAAGGGAACTGCGACGGAGGACGTTGGTCAGGGCGCCCCGCGCACGCCAGAACGATCTCACTCCCGGCCCCAGTCGCGATCTCAATCCCCGGCGCAGTCCCAGTCCCAATCTCGATCTCAATCTCAGGAAGAGGTGGGCTCGGAGAAACAGCGAAAAATTCAGACCGCGCTTTCTTCGGGTCTCAGGCACCCACATGAAATGGGGGTCAGAGAAATGGGCGAGGTAAGTGTCCCTGGGTCATTCGATCTAATCCGCCTGTAAACTGATTGACCAAATGGCAGTACGTGTCCAAAATTAACAAGCAAAACTTCGACTTGAAGCTCGAAATATTTCACCGCGTGCAACAAATGGCCGCTTTGGAGAAGAAACTACAGCGTATGGAGCAATTGGAAGAGGAACTTGGGCGCCTGCGAGGCCTGGAAGACGAGGTTCAGGAACTGAGGGATGCCGAGTCAGACAATCAGCGACTCAGGGAATCTAACGAGCAACTACGACAAGAGGTTGACAAGCGGGACCAAGCAATCACGGAGGCTGTCGATATGATCTGTCTTCTGGAGCATAAAGTGGCCCAGTTGGAAGCTGGTGGACATCCATCAACACCTTCTACCACTCGCGGGTTCGAGGATGACGACCCGGGTGCTACAACTCCCAGGCAGAATACCGCGTTTGCCGCTATTGACATCCCGGAGAGAACATCTTCGAGGCGGGGTACTTCTCTTTCGAAGAAGCATCGGCGGCCATCCTCGGATTCGCGTCAGCTCAAGCAAGCTCCCTCATTCTTGTCCGATGATCACAAGAGCCCCACAACACTGCAGAGCACCTCTATTACTGCCGACGATCGGTCTCGTTCAGCACTGAGTGACATGACAAAATCAGAAAGTCTGCAATCCATGAGTGATTTCCTCGAGCCCGAGTCTCCAAGGCTCAGTGCTCTGAGCGAATGCAGTGAACTGTACCCTCCCGATGAAGAAGCAAGCGATCAGTTGAATATCCCGGTTAAAGAGCGAGACTCATCAGGAGCCTCAGAGGTCCCCAGGGAATCCGAGGATTCCGCCAGTCAGAACCTGATCGAATCTTGGATCCAGCCACAACGTGATGTCTTTCTGGAAGATGTGCCGGAACAGGAGATATTACCCTCTAATCTCCTCAGACAGACGGGTAAACCAAGCTTTGACAGTGATTCATACAATAGCTCGAGCCAGAAAACACGAGTAGATAGCGTGTTCGGGGGTTCGAGGTTACCCCCTACTCCAGACACCATGAGTACGGCGTACGCCACTGGACCCAATCAGTCGAACGGCAGCATCGTTGCGGAGAAGAGTCTTGTTGATCAAGCTATGACGGCCGGACACGGTCGTCCGCGTTCTGCAGGGGCACTTACAACAAGGCGTAACTCCACTAACAGTGCAGCGGTTGGTAGCGTGGACATGAATGTTAGTGATGCCACACTGCATCGACCTGGTACTGCCGAGGAAGAAGAATCGCCTACCTTCTTTCCCTTGAACAGCCTCACATCGCGGGATAAAAGGGTATATTGCCCTGAGACCCTCGACAAGAATAGCCTTGGGCACATTGGTCAGAGTGCATTTATCAACGGAGAAGGCCTTGACAGGGTCCTTTCAAAGCTCGATAATAGCTATTATGGGTCGCTGGCGCATGAGGAATCCGACAGCTCATTGTCTTCTTCGCCTCCTTTGACACCCCAAGATTGGGTCGAGGCCGCTAAGCCGGATGCCAAACGCCGACGGGAGAAGTCTGGTCTGATGCCTGTTGCCCCTAAATCGATAAATCCCCGACCTCAGGACATGCGAATCCCCCGCCAGTCTTCTTTCCGTGGTCGTCGACACAGTATCGATTCCACCATCAGGGACTCTGATGTTCCCATGATCCCCACGTTGGATATACAGTCGCTCGAGTCTGGCTTGCAGCCTGGGCCCGACCTAGATCGTCGGATGATCGGACGCAAGATTAGCATCCGGCCTCCTTTCTTTGCGCGTTCGGCACCCCCTCGTCGTCTCCAGCCATCCTTGATGTTCGAAGGTTCGGATTCGGACGATGGAGCTCCTGCTCCCATCATTCGTAAGGCACGTGATGACATTCCAACCAAACCACCCAGGGCGATTTCCAAAGCCGAAAGCCATGGCTCTGGTTTCTCTGCGTCTGTACCAGTTCCTGCCAACGCCAAGCGCGAAGATAGTCATCGGACATTGCCACACTCCTTTACCGAATCCGGCTTCATGAACAATGCAGTGACCAAACCCCCGCCGCCCGACCCTAAAGACCACAAGCGACGCAGTTCCCTTGGGATCTTCAGCTGGGTGAAAGGAGCTAGCGGGCTTGGGAAGAAGCCTGAACCAGAGCCTCCGG